CATAGTAATAGTAAGCGAAATAGTATAACGGTCTAAGAGGAATAGAATCCGTGAATAAAAACATAGTAACATTAATTATTACCATATACCCACGAGCTTAAACGAATTCTTAATATATTATAATACGAATTCCGTAAGGACGATGAAGGAGTAATCTTATAGTACTATATCTATATAGATTAATACTAGGATCCGAGAATGCCCTACTTACTATGTATATCTCGATCGGCTATTAAGTATATGCTATAGACTACCGTTTAGTATCCGTTAGTAGGAATATATTACTATATACGACGACGATAATGAATATAATACTATTTAGTAGTTAAGAATATTATCGCTATACTTACTACTATTAGTCCTCTTAACGACGTAAATCTAGTACTAGTAGATATAATCTTAGTAAAAGGAGAATTTACCCTACTATTAAAGGAAGGTAGTAATAGTAACGTCACGCTTGCGAATACTCTTACCGCTAAGCTCGATTTACCTTCTACTTACTCATCCTTAACTTAACGCGTAACTTATCTTTCTATCCTCTACCTTAACCTCGCAGAGACTCTAGCTTAATAAGTTTTATCTATAATCTTAAACAGTTATTAATTCCTCCTTACTCTTATATCTATAGTATATAAAGATAGTATAGAGTAAAGATAATAAAGCTAAAGTTACCTCGGATAAGGAAAACGCCTTAACCCCGCTAAAAACAGTTACTAAGAGAGGTTATAAGTGAAAGCTAAAAGGAAATAAAGGTAACGGAGGTTATTTAGCGAGCGAAATTAATAAAGGAAAGGCTATAAAGAGTAAGAAGTTACTAATTAAGAAGCCTACCGCCTTAAAATATAATATAGTTCCTATTATAACTCGAGTGGTATATAGAAAGCACCCTCGCGTAAAAGGAATAATAAGCGGTATTATCGGAACTATATAATTAGAAACCTTTCTATTCTATAAAGCGTATATTAGAATCGACGTAGAATAAAAAGGAAGCTTTAATAGAAGATATAACGAACGAAAACTAGTCTATGATTATTCTACCTTAGGAATTATAGTTAAGAGCCTCCGATTTACGATGCTAACTTACGGTATCTACCTTTCTAATAAGTATAAACTCGAGATTTACGTGGTATTGATATTCTATAGGAAACTCGATAACATCTTTTACTAGAAGGATATTATAAATAGATTTATAGCGTTATTTTAAGTATCGAAGACTTAGTCTTTAAAGAAAGTATCGCCTTTTATAATAAAGGAAGGTAATAATTTCTATATTCTACCGCGAAAGCTAGACCCTCCCTATAAAGATAGATACTTATACTACGATAATAAAGGAAAGCCGGTTATAGTTAATAGAAAGTTCTACTATCTTACTATCGGTTAGTACGTGCTCTATAAGGAGCGACCGATTCTTACTAATACTAATATTAAGAATCCTACCTAGTAGGACCCTTCTCTCCTAAAGTACGGGGTTTATCGTTCGAACATAGAGATATCGTAAATGGTATTATATAAGCTTCGATGGATTAACCTTCTATATAAGGAAGATAAGGGAGTTACGTAGGATCTAAAAGGTCTAACCATACTACTAAATGTCGCCGTGCCATATTATATTATAATTAAGATAAAAAATAAGCTTAAGATTATAAGGAAGGGCGAATAAAAGGCGCATGATAAGTATAGTACGAGGCACGGTACCATGCGTTATAATATTCTCGACGGTAGTATAATCTCTAACTCTAACTATAAATATAAGCCGCCCATAATAGAAGAGGAGGAACCAGTCGTTATATGGTAATATTAGTTAGAATTTTCGGACCTAGGAGTAAATCCATACCGCCTCCGCCTAGGTTTACTCGCTCTAGTATCTATGGACGAAATTAGATACATTCTAAAGTAAAAAGAATTCTTTATAAAGATTCTAGCTACGGTTTCTAACGAAGAACTCGAGGAGAGTATAATATCCGTGGACGAGGAATGGAACTTCACCGTTATACTCCTAAAAGGCACGAGATTCGAGGTAGAGTAATCGTCTAAGAGTAGTATTATCGCGTAGCTCTTAAAACTAGGTAATAGATACTCTATAAAGGAAATAGCTTAAGTAGAATATGTGTAGATTCTAGCATGATACTTCGTAATGGATACCATAGAGGAAATCCGGAGCCACTATAGTCACGCGTGGAATATACTAGTATCTTAGCTATAAGGTTTGAATAGCGAGAATATTTAGTACTACGCCGCATGGCGAAGAAGGGACGGATTAGTTTAGGTTACCGTCGTAGCTTAGTAGTAAAGAGATATCGCCTAGGAATGGGTAATAGGACCTCTAGACTTAATTATATAGTAATTATAATATAATTAAGAAGCGACGCTCGTGGCACACGAATACTAACGATACATTCTCTATAGATATATAAGATTCTAGCACGTCGTATAGCGCCTTAAAGGACTTAACGGTAACCATATAATAGTACTATAATCGTCCGGATACTAGTTCTAGTTAATCCACCGTCTAAGTTCCCTAGAAGATAAGGCTAGAATTATAAAAAACGTCCGTGAAGTGCACTTATAGATACCATTAAATAAGGTTATACTCTAAGACTTAGTTTAAAAATAGGGCCTAATAGAGAGCGTAATAGTAGACTAGCGTTAAGGAGTAGAAGAAAAGCTACTTAAAGAAGTCCACGCGCTATATATAGAAGACATAGCGCGTATATAGCTAATCTTAGTAGTCTCTCTTAAAGACCTCGCACGGAAATTCGCCATAGCCTATAAAAAGATACTATAGTTTATAGATCCTTTAAATTACGGTACTATGAACGACTAGGTAACTATACCGATAATTATTTAAGACGGTTCCCGCGAAGATCGAATTACATAGGGTAGGAAAATTAATAAACTCCTACCACGACACCTACTTAGTAGATATACTTTAACCCTGCCTAAAACCTCTACGTAAACTATCTCTATATAAACTATTACTATAAGCTCGCTACCTAGTTTTAATAAAATAGATAACTTTTTCGTAATCGAAGGATTCACGAATACTAATAAGGTATGGCTAATCATTTTAGTAAGAGAGATCGCTAAGGGACCAAAGGCCGGAGTATCTACCTTAAACGTCCCGATAAACCTAATCGAAGGCGTTATTAAATTAAGGATACCGGAAGAAATACAGGCTCTAGTCACGAAGGTAATAGAGGTAATTAAGGTTCTACTCCCTATTATAAAATCTATACTAGCTACCGCCGTAAAGAAAGCTAAAATAGTAAAGAAGGTAAAGTCGATTACCACTAAAATAATAGCATCTAAGGTAGCTTCTACGTCGTTAGAACTTCCGTCTACCCTAATAGAGCTAACGGAGCTACGATCTACCTTAATTCCCGCGATCTAACCTACTATAATTCCCGCCGCGTTAACCGTAAACGCTATTAGTTAATAAGAGGCGGAAATAAACACGCTTATCTTAGCCCACGAGAAAGAGATAGAAGCTTAGATAAAAGATATTATAAGGGAGGCTCTAAAAAGGTTTATAGTAGAAGTATAAAAGATCGCTATATAGAAGATAGCTATAATAGTAGAAATAGCTACGCCCGTAGTAATAGCTACGCCCGCGGTAACTACTACACCCGCGGTAGATACTTTATCTAGGAAAGAATTAATTAGGTAAACACTAAGAATTACCGGCTAGATACGAAGATTCATAGAGATAATTATAAACCTATAATATCCTAATAGCGTGACGAAAACCATAGAGCGTACTATAGAAGTAGGCGTATAAGATATCGAAGAAATCATTAGGAGGTACTAGTAATATATTTAAGATAGCTTCGAGTACCTACTCGCTATAAAAGAAGATAAACTACGTAAAGCTTCTAATAGAAATAGAATACCCTTCGAAACGCTCTTCGACAAAGTAGCGGCCGCTAGTACTTATAATTTACTATTCTAAACTCGATAATATTTAGATAGAGATACTAGTTTCTAGAATTCCTACGCTAGAGTATTAGTTTAAGGAACTCCTAGAACGAAACGCCTAGAAGCTCTTAGACGATAAGGGATCGAGCTTAGATATTAAGCTACTTAAAGTTAGAGAATTAGATACTAATATAAATAATAATCTAATAGAAGTTATATACAAAGAAGTAGTCTCGGATAAGTTTAAGAAATAAAGGTAGTAATTCGCGAAGCTCGCGAATACTAATAACTCGGAGTTAGTAAACGAATTCCATAATATAGAAGACTCCTAAATAGAAGAAGCCGCTACTAAAACTATGCTACTAGTAGAAACTAATGCCGTAACTAATATAGATATTAACGTTATTATAAGTGCCGTAGCTAACGTAGAGATTAACATTATTACTAGTACTACGGCCGCTACCGTCGTCGTAAGCGCCGCCGCGGCTATAAATATAGAAACCGTTATTACTCCGATACCTATAGTTCCTACTCCCGCTAAATCTACTTACTTAAATTAGCTAAGAAAAGACGATAATACGTACGAATGGTCTTAGATCCCTATAGCTATACCGATACTACGAATGGATTAAATAAATATAAAAGAAATAAGAGTAATAAGAATAGTACTAAATCATATATTTAAATACCCTAATAACTAATTCGAAGCTTTCCTTAAGGTTTATAATAGGCTTTAGATAGTTACTATAAATCTAAAGGTAATAGAAGCTATCTTCGCGTAAGAACCGGAGAAACGTAGAGCTATATTATAATAATACTATTAATACTTCTACCGATACTTAGGAAGTAACCTCGCGTAGTATCTACGTAAGCATCTAATTAAAGTAAGCCTACTAGAGTAACGGACTTTAGTATCGTTATAGAAGATATTATCGTTTCGAGTTAATTTATTATTTCGATTTAATTAGAGGTAGCTATTACGGAAAGTAATAAGGAGACGAATAACGGTAAGAACTACGGACTAAAGGTCCGATATAGATAGCCGTAGATTCTATGAAGTAGCTAGTAATTAATTTAATACTTGACTAAGACTTGACATCTCTATCCTTAATAGATTCTCTAATATCTTCTAGAGTCTTAATACTACATTCATTAAAGAGAATATAATTTTTTTTGAAAGAATTAGAGGTATTCTCCCTTTAGTGTGAATAACGTTCACCCTGACTCTCTCTTCCCCTCCCTCCTTTTCCTAGAAGAAGAAGAAAAAAAAAAAACCAAGATTCACCCAACCCTCATCCCCTCCCTCACCTCCCCCTCATCCAAGCACGCCTCAAACGCATAATCCACATACCCACAAAACGGCCACCCAGGCACATCCACAGCCCTCTCAAAATTCAAACAGCAATTCCGCACCCTCGCCTCCTCAACCACAACCCTCACATCCCCCGTCACCCCTCCCCCCACACGCCCCCCTCGCACCCCACGCACATACACCCTCTCCGCACCCCCCTCAACATCCACCCCCGCCCCACACGCACTGAACCGCCACCACGGCACACGGCTGCGTGCGTCCGCGCCATATGCTTCGAGTTGTGGCGTGCAGGTCCTGTTTGCCCCGTTTCCGTTTCCGTTTCCGGTGTCCCAGCTGAGGTAGTCTAGCCGTGCGAATGCGTCTTCGCCGTTCACGGCGTCGGGGATGCGTACTATGCCGGCGAGGGCGAGGGCGCAGTGGGTGTGTGTTGGGGCGTGGCGGGGTGTGCTGAGTGGGGAGAGGGCGCAGATGGGGGTGTGGCAGAGGGGGGAGGCGGTGGTTGTGGTGTTTGAGTCTGGGTTTGTGCAGAGGGGGTCGAGGGGGGAGGTGTTTGTGTCGTAGGGGGTGTAGGGGGTTGGGTGCGTGAGTTTTTGGGGGTTTGGGGTGGGGGTGGATTTGGAGGAGGAGGAGGAGGATGGTTTGGAGGAGGGTGAGGATGAGGGAGAGGATGAGATTGAGGAGGGTGTGGATGTGGGTGTGGAGGATGGTGGTGGTGGTGGGTCGGCTGGGTATGCGAGGGCAGCGGCGTGAGCGAGCGCGCTGGAGGAGAGGAGTGTGATGAGAAGCATGATTTTCTTTTTTGTTTCTTTTTCCGGATATCGCAACTTGCGATGGCGTTGTGTTGTGTTGTGTAGTGAGTGATGCGAGTCCAACGCGACGATGCAAGGCAGGAAGCAGGGTGGGCACGTCTACTTGATATACCACACCATCCATCGCAGACGCGTCGAAATCGTTGACGATGCCCGAGTCTCAAAACAGATCAGCGCGTCGTCAAATGCCTCAAAACGACTATTGAGAATCGGGCGCAGATACGGGACGTGGCGGCATCTCACACGCCCAACATCATATTCTATGACAGACAGACAGACAGACAGACAGACAGACAGACAGACAGACAGACAGACATAAGAATCATCACTTACCACCGCGGACCTCAAGGATACGGACTGGAAGACCAAATCTATTCCCTCGTTACACCCACCTGTCTCATCCTCAGGTGAAATCGAAACGTATCCGCAGCCTCACCTACAATCCACGACATGATACAACATATATGGTACACCAAGGCACAAACGCACCCATGAACACACACCCAACGTCACACCACGCCCGCGCCAATATGATAGAAGGTCTACAACCCCTAGCGTCCCACACAAATTGATGAACACCATAAAGCCCTCCACACCAACCTCCCATTTCCAATTCTGTTTTCCGAAGTTCATTCTCAGCCTTAGTACCAAGCCTCTGTCTAGTGTTTATTACCTTGGCATGACACTGACGTGGGACTCGTCATGTTGGGGGTATATATGATAATTTGATGAGTGTTGCGGTGGAGTGTGATATGCGAATGAGATTAGGAGGTCTTGCGCCATGTCATAGTTTCCATCGTGGTTGCTGGAGAGGCATGTCAGCATAGCACTACCGGCTGCGGATTGTATTCTCGCAGTGTGCGCGGGCGGCATAGTATGATAAATACTACGAAAGAATTCAAGTTCGCCTCACATCTCATTCATCCAGGACGACAGACGGATACAGCCCAATCAGATTAACAATAAGGGTCTCCTAGGGTATCAAAACTATCTATCCATCCACTCAACACGCCCACACAAACCCCCTCAAGTAACCTGCGCCGCCGTAACAACACTACTAAACCTCCGCCTCCTGCCGCCACTCCCCGGACTGCCACTATACGCCCCCGGACTCACGCTCACGCCGCGCGTACTCAGACTATCCCCATGCCTAGGCCCATGCGCAAAGCTGTTCTCCAGAATAGCCTCGTCCAAGTCGTCTTCTTCCTCAATCGCATCCAGCACGCTCGTCGGCGGGTCCGCCTCGAAGACAGCCTTGAGGTCGCCGTGCACGTCGAAGCCCTGGGTCAGATTGCTCAGCGACAGCCGCTTCTTCTTGTTCGGACCGCCTGAAACGGTGGCTTTCTTGCGTGTCCAGAGGCTGCGGCGTTCGTGTAGTGCGATGAACAGCAGAATGGGAAAGTTCAGCGCTTTGACGGAGAATACGTTGATTTTGTGGAACCATCGTGGCGAGAGGATGAACTTCAATGGGAGGAGGATGACGAGGGCCAAAATGTTGAATGGGGGTCGATATAGGAACAAACTGTCAGATTTGACACCCTCAAACGTCTGCACGGCGCGTCGAAACTGGATCTCAGCACTCGCGTCGGCAGCGATTTTGCTGAATGTATTCGTGAGAATGGCCACTAGCACGGTGAGAAAGAGCGTGTTTCCGAGAAACGCGAAGAGCACCATGAGTGCGGGACCCAGAATCAAATGAAACGTGGGCGCCTGTTGGATGCCCGTGCCGTCGAGGCCGAACCATATGAAGAGCATCCATTTCGAGATTGTGATGGGGTTCGTGTCATCGTCCGAGACATCAAAGGCACGGCCGGCAGCAAGCCAGCGCATTGCGAGCAGGAACCCGGCGAAGCACCATACGGCGAGCAGGGTGAGCACGGTAAAGTCAGCCATCATGGCGCGCAGCGAGAGGAACAGCATGTTGTCCGGTACAACATTGAATGCGATGCGTGGAAAGAGAAGTATAGAGGCTATCGACAGCAGGTCAAGGGCTTGCCGGCATTGTTCCATGTTGCCAACCGCCCAGCCGTGTATGCGGACCGTCAAGTAGGTGATGTAGATGACGCAGAAGGATATGTCGAGAAAGGACCACAGATTCTGCGTGTGGACGTCCCAGCCATGCTCGAGGATGGAAAGAAGCTCATCAAGCACCCAGCCTGCAGCGTAGACTATGAAAAGGACTTCGGGTGCCGTCCATTGGGTGTGGTCGCGGTAGTGCATTGCAATGCCGTAGAGGATGAAGAGAATCAGGAACTGAAAGATCTCAATCAGGTTTCGGGTGCGTGGCACGATCAGGCGGTACTGGTTGAAGATAGGGGCCTTGCGGGGATCATATAGCGATACTGGCTTGTGCTTGTAGTAGTCCGGCAGTATGTCCATAAAGGACGTCGGTGTGTAGACTACTCTACCGCGGTAGACCGCATCAACAACCTTCCTGCACGCCGAACCGCTCAAGAAGAACTTGCTCTTTGATATGATTGCGACTTCCAGCGCAGTCAACGTTCCCTCATATCCTCCTCTTCGATTTCGTTTCGTCCGTCTGCTGTGATGTCCACTCTCGCTCAGGACCTCATCTGGTGCTTGCTGGAACGGCTCGAAGCTGGCCACAAGAACGTTGGCAAGAAGTAAAAGTCCGGGCCGGCCGGAATGCTCTTCGTCAATCCGTCTCAGAATCTTCGATGCCACGATCTCGCATAGTGTGGCTCGTGTGATGCTGACCGTTTCATGATGTGTCTGGGACGTCTGCTCACGCAGAAACTGGACTTTATTTACTAACAAACAGTATACTGCAACCAATCAGTCCTGGTCCACCGCACCAATGCTCCACGACTACTCACCGACGGACACGTCCTCGGGGTCATACAACCGATCCACCAACGGTCTCACAATCAGCACGTTCATTCGTGGCTCCTTCAGCTGCTCAAAGGAGTACGGGTCGTCTATGCTCGCCATGACCAGCCTCCGTATCCTATGCAGCGTCGTGTAGACCGGTAACTCAGCATGGGGATTTGGACAGAAGATCTGCTCCGGCCCTTGCACATGCCCCTCTTCCGTGTCCACTCGCTCATCGTCACCAAGCAGGTTGTCCTGCTCCTCGCGTGTGCGCATCAAGCGGAGGGCATCGCTCAGACTACGACGGTGATGCGGACGTTCCGGCTGCTGAGTGTTGCGGGACCAGCGGAGACGGGGGAAGCTTTCGTTGTCGTTGGACATTGTTGCGATTTGGGGGGATTGTTCGCCGTAGAAAGGAGGTAGCAGGATCGATGGATTAGAAGGTAGTGATGAGACAATCGGAGGCCTTTAGGTTAACGAGAGTGTACTGTAGAGGTGGCCATGATCAGCAAACAATCAAGTGTATTGCCCTCCTCGGGAGTAGGAGTGATGGTCGGTGGGGAAGAGGCGTAGTGAGTGAGGGGAGCATCAATCAGTGTTTAGCTTTCTTTGTTCCAAGAAAATGCGCCATGTCGATTGTCCCGACGCGCGACGCTAGTGCCGAAAGAGGCAACTAGTCCCGACAAGGCTGAGTGAGAATCGAGAACCGAGAATGCCATGCTGGAAGACGATGCGACAACTCTGTCGCCAATATCTGATATACTGTAGTATAAATCAAAACATCGTCTCGAGCCTGCATCACCACTCCAGAGGCATCGTATATGTGAACCGTACTATCGCTCCGCGCCGTTGTCCGTAGTCAGCACTATTTACCGGCGGCTCCACACGATGCAACAACTCTTCTGACGTCCTTCACCCTATGACTCGCCTTATCACGTTTCTATTACCCCCAGCTTTCTAACCTTGGCCCAAGATCAGAAATCTATTGCCCCCAGCTTTCTACGAAGCACGACCGAGTAGATAACACCAGTCTTATTTAACCCTCGAAAATCTGCCAGTCTTTTCATTCACCATCACCCTTCCTCTTCCTCCATTCTCAAACCAATACAGTAGATTCATCTTCACCTCACAATGTCGCTCAACCACTGCCCCCCGCTCATTGATGCGCAGCCCCTGAAGGAGCGCTTCATCGGCAAGACGCTGTCGCAGATTGATCCTCCAGCCGCGATTCTCGACCTTGCCCTGATCCGCAAGAACTGCGATGCAATGCTCCAGTCTGCTGCTGCCATAGGTGTGCTGTTTCGCGCACACGTCAAGACGCACAAAGTAAGTCTACTAACTATTTATGTGAAGGAAAGCGCCATCTGATCAGACCAGACCGTCGAACTCACTCGTTTGCAAGTTGGCGAGACGGGACCGGTGAGACTGGTCGCGAGCACGGTTGCGGAGATGGAACTCTTGCTCCCGTACATGCTGGAATGTAAGGAGAAAGGACGGAAGGTTAATGTAAGTGTATTGTAGTCCAGGGACGATGATGGGACTGATTTGAGGGAAGATGATCTACGGCATGCCCACTCCCCCATCAACACTCCGCCGTCTCGCAGAAATCTCCAGCACCCTCGCAAGTCCATCCTCGAACGGCCTCATCCTCCTCGTCGATAGTCTAGCCGGCGTGCAAGGCATCGCTCAGTACACCAGCACCGCCAACGCGCAATTCGACATCATGATCAAAGTCGACACTGGCTACCACCGCTCCGGCATCCCCGTCGACAGCCCCGTCATGGAATCCACCCTATCCGAGATTTCCGCCCTCACGTCCTCATCCAAGGCCATCCGCTTCGCCGGCTTCTACTCGCACCGCGGCGACTCCTACTCCGGTAACACCCCCTCCGACGCCCTCTCCTATCTCCAAAGCGAGCTCGAAGGCCTACGCGCTGCCGCTGCCCTCATCGCTACCTACCCCGGCCTCCCAAAAACTCGTCTCTGCCTATCCTTCGGCGCAACACCCACCGCCACCGCAATCCAAAACATCCTCAGCGCACCCAGCCCCGAAACGGCCTCGCTGCGCAGCCTCATCGACGCCCTGCGCCGCGACCACGACCTCGAGGCCCACGCCGGCGTCTACCCGGTGCTCGACCTCCAACAGCTCGCCACGCACGCTCGCCCGTCGGCCGCCGAGAACACCGTCGCCGCGCTCGACACGTCCCACATCGCCCTGCGCGTCATGGTAGAGGTCGCGAGCGTGTACACCGACCGGCCCACGCCACAAGTGCTCGTCGCCGCCGGTACACTCGCGCTGGGCCGTGAGCCATGCAAGAGCTACAGCGCCTGGGGCGTCGTGACGCCGTGGCTTGACGTCGGCTCTGCGACGTACGCCGCTGCGTGTGCGATCAAAGCAGATGATGCTAGTGTCAAGCGTGTCGTGCCCGTGACGTACAGCGAGGCGGCGCCGACGGGCTGGGTTGTGGACAAGATCTCGCAGGAGCACAGCATTCTGGGCTGGCGCGGGGAACATGCGGAAGAGGGTGCGGTGGAACGGGATGGAGATGAGGCGCGGATTAAGATGCGGCGGATGGGTGTTGGTGAGAAGGTGATGGTGTGGCCGAATCATGCGTGTGTGGCGGGAGCTGCGTTTGGGTGGTATCTTGTTGTGGATGGCGGCGAGGAGGTTGTGGATGTCTGGGTTCGGGGCCGCGGATGGTAGGGGTGTTTAGGACTTTTGGCAGCATACTTTATAGAGCTTGAGTTGAGGTACGAATATGAGATAAATTGCGTATCAGGACCTTCAGTGGTTTGAGCGGCGTTGGTGACGACCGGCGTATTATATTCGAGAACGTGTAGGTGCGCCATGCCTCGGAGCCAGTCGATGCCAAACTCCATCTTTGGGGAGACATCGTATTCCATAGTCCAGGCCCGCGCAGGGCCGATATTAACGTCTAAAACACCGCACCGCCAATGATAAACACCCTTTCCTCCTCTCTCCGCACCCACTCCACAATCTTATTCGCTGCCTGCGTCAACGCTATCCGACTCGTTGTCCCCGGTGCTACGCAGTAGAGCTCGAAAAACGAAGTCGCCCATGCAAGACTGATGCAGTGCACGCCTACATTGTGATGCACCTTCAGAGTCGTTGGCTTCGCGTGGATACTGGCGGAGAGGTCGTGGTATAAGGATATCAGGCGGCGCCGGTCAAGGTCGGACGAGATATGCGGGGCGAATGACGGCATGGTGAACTGCACGTTTCCACGCGATTTGTATAGGAAATGGCGGAGCGGTGTGCCGGGAACGATATCTGTGCAGCTCGGGCGTCCAGACTTGATAGCACTGTTGATATGCGACAAGCTTCGGTTTTTCGCTAGCTGTGAGACGAGGTCGTCGCGCATTTGTTTTAGCTCGAAGAAGCTTTCTTTGTTTGCGCTAATGAGAATTATGGCTACTTCGTCCTGCTCAGATGATATATCGGGACGCTCCGAAATTTCCTCGAGCTTGTCGTCTTCGGCGCGCAAGAAGCTGACGTACATGTAGAGATAGCCGGTGTTGTTGAAGCCAGGCAGACACAGCGGAACCCAGGTTTCGCCACCGCCAGCTCTGACGGAGCCAGCTTCGAAGAGCATGTTGAAGATCAGGTGGAGATCGCCAGGGTGCAAGGAGTGCTTCTTGGGGCGTACAACGCTAACGAGTTTGCCGCTGGCTACAATGAGGCCGTAGAGCAAATTTGGCGAGCGTGTCTTGAGGAGCGTATTGTTGATAACTTGGCGGTGTGACTTCCGCAATTTGAGGCATTCGAGCGCAGATAGGAGCGTGGACGGTGAGCCGCGTGTAAAGCCGTCTGCAAGGGCGGATATTAGAGTCTCGGTACCTTCGAGTGGACGGCGGAGGTCAGTCGAGGGGCGGTTAGAGAACATGCGTTCCATGCTGGGAAGGGTCAGCGTGGAGAGGATTTGCATGTAGAGAGCTTCGAGCTGGGAGCGCAGCTGCGAGTCACTCTCGCTCAAGCGGCTTATGGCAACGAGGTTCAGAGGGCCTTTGGAGAGAATCACAAAGCGAGTATCATTGGCTGTGAAGCCTCGGAGACCGTCTTCAGCATCCTGGTAGAAGGAGATGATGGTTTGTATGACACCAATATAGTGGGATATGAGGCGATCGTCGCCATGACGGCTGTAGATGGGCTTTCCGGCCGAGGAAAGGATCATGAAATGCTTCAACTTTAGCTTCCATTGCTGGAGGACGGCATCTACATACAAATGATATTAGCTATGGCACAACATGACCATGGTCTACGAGTTCGAGCTGACCTTCATTCATGTTGTCGCTTTCCACATCAGTCAGCGAGTCGAACTCGTGTAGATAGGCCTCTTCGAATTCTGGATCTGCAGGAAACAGCACGTCCTGCTGTTGTGATAGAGCAAAGTGTTCACTTAAGCTCCTGAGGCCCGTCTCTTGATTTTTGAGGACCTCTCCCAATATGCTTTCGACATCTGCGCCAACGCCTAGGGTGGGCGCATAGCTTTTTATACTTGCGACATCGTCCACCTCGCTCCCACTTCTGCTTCGGCCTTTCCTTAGGCTTATAATACTGCGCTTCCGCGATACGTGCGCTGAGTATGAGTTCCTCCGACTCTCACTCTGTGTGTGTACATCTTGTAAAGAGAGCGCCGTTGTAGCCTTCGACTGCAGATGTGGGCGCGCACCCCTTACAGGCACGGCTAACGTTTTCGAACCATGTTGAATATCATCTGGTCTCTGCCGTGGTCGTGGTGGCAGTGGCGGCGGGGTGTTCTCTCTGGAGACATCTAATACAGGTTCGGAGGTGCTTTGTAATGCATCATTATCATCAGTGCCATCGGTGGGTAGAGGTGAGTTAGGGTCTTCTGAGGTGATGCTCTTGTGAGCCTCTTGTGCGGCGTCCGAGGTCTGCTCAGTCGCCATACTGCAAGTCAAAGTCAAGGGTCAGTCAGTTCAAGAATGGCCCATAGTCCTACCGGTCCAGAGCACATATACCAGCTCGAGGTTTATGGAGGCATATCATCATTGCTCTGGACGTTTCATCATGAAGGATCCTGGCACCGATGTTGTGCTTCACCTTCCAAGTGTATGCGCGCGGTTGACATGACGTTTACGCGACTCTGCACTACGGGCGCACGGACCCCGAATCAAGAATCATATATGTCCCTCTCTTCCGTTGTCCGTTATCCACTTCATCATTCCATCGGTATCACAACTATATCTCATATATCTTCGCTCAGCCCGTTGAGCATCTTCATTCACTAGCTCTATTGTTGTCCCCGGCACTCTACAGCGCTAATGATGCCATGCTTTCGTCCGTAGGTCAACATTCTATGGCCTCTGTCCTGACCACGAAACAGACAAATAGCATGTCCTGTTCCCACGGATCCTGGGGCCAATTCCCTGGTTTGTACTCGCGATGACTTTGACGATCTTGCTTGTGGCTGGCCTAGTAAGCACTCAAATGCTGAGTGTCTAGTCTCGGAACTGAAGATTGGACCCAAAATTTCCTAATCGGGGATACCGTCCATCATGGTTCCGACGTTTAATGCTGACTGAGGCTTGGTGTCTTACATCCATCAGCCTCTAGAAATATATGTACTTACGTAGTTTCTCAAGCATGCTCGTCGTTGAAAAATGTTTTAATAAGCTTTAAGTCCCTTGCTACAACGCACGTCAGAAGGCATCACACAGCTTCTAAGCATTTCCCAAGAAACATTTCGATCTTTTTCTCCCATGTCTGAACGCTCTACTTTCATGCATCTGCCGGGTGAGCTGCACCTCGAAATCGCAAGTTATCTTTGCTCAGCGGAGCAGATGATGCTACGACTGACGTGTTTCCATCTCTTTACTCTGGTTAGGCCGAGGAACTTTACAAGAGAAGAGGATCTCGTCGTGTTCCACCAGTCCAACGTCGCGGAAAAGTACGGGCTATTATGCTGTTCTGCCTGCTACAGAGTCCGGGACTCTTCCGAGTTTGCTGAGGCACAACGAGTCCACCGGAACCTCCGCAGGTTCTGCTATGATTGTAGTTTCAAGCAAATTGGCTGTTTCTTCACTTGTGGTTAGCTTGTCGAAAGGTTGCCACATACATGCGGCCATGCATGCTCGAACGACCACAAATCGGTTTATATACGACCAAGTCTTCCGGACTGGGTGCAAGGCTCTGGCCTCCCATAAGATCCTAGATGGATCGTCACGACATAATTCATAGCTCTCGACCTAGTGTTTATCCGTCTGCTCCGCGAACACGCCACATCTCACACGAGGAACCAATATAGTCTCGCTGTTAGCCATGTTATAACTATGTAGCTACAGTTGAACCCACTAGCTACTTCTCCATCGAGATAAGACTATCATGCAGCAGCTCACTTTCAGCATTTCGGCAGGCATCTCTGCTGTGTATGCACCGAGGACCTTTGAGGACTTGACAGAGGCATGGGTGACGGATATTCCAAGTTAGTAGTAGTGATTCCGTCGCAAAGATGGTTGGTCTCTAATCGTCCTGTTTCACTATAGTGTCTAACATTTTAATCAATATACTGAACGGCCCAGCCGTGCTGTGTTCTAGTGCTTGACTCAACAAATACAGTTTCCTGCTGGGTGTGTCGCCGGTAACGATTGTTGACCTTCGCTTGCCAAGACGTATAAACCTCGGATTCAGGTGAAAGTCATTTGCAAGTCCGGGCTGGCTCGGGCGTATCTTAGCAAGGATGCCTTTGCTCAACTGCTGGCAGATTGCGAAGAACACCCGCTGTGCAGACTGATTTGGTGATAGGCACATAATTGTCAGCATGGAATCCTATTGCTGCACCACAACCATCGTCGCTTCTGATAGCCTGATCGATAGCGGGAGGGCTCCGATAGGACTTGTATGCGAGTTCGATAGGTTTCGTTGCATATTCCGCGCGTTCTTCGACATGATAGCGAGTTGAGCAAGCTCCAGCTTAACCCCTTACAGCAAGCAACCAGCCTCCTGTGCGGTAGTGAGTTTCACTTGCATTAGCGAGCGCCGAAAGGGGCTTAGATATACGGCCTTTTCGGTGACTACGTTAGATAGCCGCTACTGTAGGGCTGAGTGTAGTGTAATGCCATGATATGATGCAAGCTTGGAAAGCCTATCAGCATAGCTATCTCTTCACACCTGTGGCAGCCCTGCTTTGTTGGCCAACTGTGAATCGATGACCTGGAGGTGATGGCTGCAGTAGAAGTGTACGACTTCTATGCAGCTATTCTAGCCTATGAGTCGAATCTGGACTAGCGCCTTCCTCTCAGGCACGGGCATTTGTCACCTCAGGGGCTCACCGCAACTTCCGAGTGATATCGTTCGAGTGAACGTGATGTCAGCAGTTGTCGTTTTTATTGTTTGTTGTTTTGTTTTTGTTGAATTCCGATGGTACACAAAAGTGCGCCAGCCCTCTTGTGTGTATGTATATATCTATACACGTGAGTATGTAGCTTGTATCAGCCGAAGTGCATGAATCGCTTAGTACGGCGCACTCGGCAGATATTGTGCTTTGTGTTGATTATTCATGCAACATCCTCCTCGTGCTGGGAGACCCCGTGTGACAGATCACTGCAAACCAGGAATAGACTGCTAGACTGCTTCAAGGGACGTGCATGGGGAAAACAACGCCACCAGGATTTGCAATTCAAAGATAGAAAGATCGAGCGGCATACGAATGTGACAGAGTCTAAATGCTTTGCAGAGTGTAGGTATCTTTTTGCCGCGAAACGCGTCTCACATTGTCACGCTTCATGGTTCATCTCGCATATTCTTTTTTTGCAGATATAAATCGTCTACCGCTACTACTTCGCAAGGTCATCCCCGTATTTTTCCTTCCCTTTTTCTCCGATTTACTTTGAGCATGAATAAGACATGCCTACCTTCAATTCATTCTCGTCGCTGACTGTAGCGCATTGGGCTCATTTGAAGCGTGCGTTGAAAGAAGGCCCGATAGCGTTGTCAGGCAGAAACATCACTGTCGCGGACGTCATCGCCGTCTCTCGGTAGGTTTCGATTTTGCTTGGTTGCAAGGGCATTGTTCTCACGATAGCAGATATGGCCAGAAAGCACACCTGGACCAAGCCTCAATTGCAGCTATCAACAAGAGCTCGGCTCTGGTAGAGACACTGTTAGCCAATGGCGAAGTCATATATGGCGTCAACACCGGGTTCGGTGGCAGCGCAGATACTCGCACGGAGCACGTCTATCAACTACAGGACAATCTGATTGAGTTTCTACGGTTTGGCCTCGTCCCCGAGGAGTTACAGATGCGACGACCGAACGCTGCTCAGGAACCCTCCACAAGCGTGTTGCGCCCTTCGGTGTCGATGCCAGAGACTTGGGTCAAGGCCACCATGCTCGTACGAGCAAACTCACTGGCGAGTGGAGCCTCCGGTATCCGAGTGACTACGCTCGAGACTCTGCTGTCGCTTCTCAATGAAGACATCACGCCCATCATACCGATGCGTGGTAGCATATCCGCCTCTGGAGATCTCAGTCCTCTCGCATACATCGGCGCCGCTCTCCAGGGCCGATCCAATGCCATTGTCCGAGTTAAGAAGGGCAAATCTAGGTATCTGAAGAGCGCAAAGGCGGCGCTGAAGAGCAGCAACATTTCGCCCATCCAGCTAGGTCCAAAAGAAGGCCTAGCGATCGTCAATGGCACCGCTGTGTCTGCATCTGTGGGAGCCCTGGCCATGCACGAGGCAATCCTGCTATCCAACCTAGCCCAGATGTTGACTGCCATGAGCGTCGAAGCCCTCGCAGGCACCGACGAGAGCTTCGACCCGTTCATCGCGAGAGTGCGCCCGCACCCAGGCCAGATATCAGTCGCAAACACGATCCGCCACTGTCTCCAGGGCTCGCAACTCCTATCAAACAGCCACGCGAGCAACAACACGCTCCGACAAGACCGCTACTCCATCCGCACCGCCCCCCAATGGCTCGGTCCCATCGTGGAAGACATCCAGCTCGCCTTCTCCCAAATCTCAATCGAACTCAACTCCATCACCGACAACCCCCTCCTCGACACCGACACCGCCCGCGTCCTCCACGGCGGCAACTTCCAGGCCAAAAGCGTCACCAGCGCCATGGAAAAAGTCCGCCAGGCCTGCGAGTCCATCGGCCGCATGCTCTTCACCCAAACCACCGAGCTCATCAACCCCTCCACAAACAGAGGCCTGCCGCCAAACCTCGTCATCGACGAACCCAGCACATCCCTCATCTGGAAGGGCACAGACATCCTCGTCGCCGCCCTCCAGTCCGAACTCGGCTTCCTCGCCAGCTCCGTCGCCTCCCACGTCCAGACCGCCGAAATGGGCAACCAATCCCTCAACTCCCTCGCCCTCATCGCATGCCGCTACACCCTCGACGCCCTCGCCGTCCTCGCCCAAATGATCGCCGCCGCCCTCGTCGCCCTCTGCCAAGCCCTCGACATCCGCTCCATGGACCTGCGCTTCCGCGCCGCCCTCGAACCGCTCTTCAAATCTCACCTCCAGCGCCTCGTCTTCGCTCCCATCGACATCACCGTCGCCGCGGCAGAGGAAATCCATCAGGCCGCCTGGTCCGCGTTCCAGGCCCGTCTCGTCGCCGGCATGAGCCTCGACTCGCCCGAGCGCTTCCGCGGGGCAGCACAAGCCACGCTGCCCGTCTTGCTGGACGCCCTTGGTCCGCACCACGTCCAATCCGCGCAGATACTGCAGGAGTGGACGACGTCCTGCGCTGCGTTCTCGCTTGCGGAATTTGTCCGTGTGCGGGAGGAGCATTTTGATAGTCCGGATACGGTGGAGTATTTGGGGCTGGGGTCGCGGCGGTTGTATGGGTTTGTGCGGAGGACGTGTGGGGTGCCGTTTTTGCGGAATAAGAGTCTTGCTGAGGTTGTGGTTGATAAGGGCGTGGCTGGTGTGGTGGCGCGGGGTGAGAGGGCTGGTGTCGAGGAGAAGGAGGAGGATAGGGAGGAATCTTCTATCCGAGCGCCGACGATGGGCGGATTGATAGGGGATGTGTTCGAGCGGATTGTGGATGGCTCAGTGTGGGATGTGGTCGTTGATTGTGTGCGCGAGGTCGACGAGGATGCAAAGTCGCGGGCCAGGAATTCGAAGTTGTGATTTTTCTTGCCGGCGACTGTTGCGGTTCTTCTGCAAGGGCGTTTTGGGCGATCTGGGGGGGTATCTATATTAGATTGGGTCTAAAGATACATCCATAGACTGTTTATTCGTCATGGTTTTCTTCTTGCTTGGCCGTCGTGAGCTGCCGCGTATGTACGTACATACGCATGCACGCAGTGTGCCATCTGCCTGCCCGCAGACAATAACATTACACCCACCCACCCACACATCGCGCATTCCAAGCGCTCTAATGAATGCTCGCGACCGACCGACCAACAAACCCAATCCTCATCTCATCCATAACAGCATGCAAACCTCATACACAAACCCGATATCAAAACCGACCCTCGCCCACCATCTTCCCCTCCACCGTCCTCGCCGTCCCGGGCGCCACACCCCCACCCCCAATCTCCGCCCTACTATCCGCCGACCCCAACCGCTCATGCAGCGCATACGTATCGTCGTCATCATCATCATCCATATCCATGTCCAAGTCCACGTCCGTGGTCGTAGTCTTGGAGCGCGCGGACGGCGGTGTGCGCATGTGGTTGGTCGCCGAGTTTGCCGACACGCTGTGCTTGGACATGAATCGGGTGAGGTGCAGTTTGCGGCCGAGGCGGATGAGGAGTGGGCGGAGGCACATGAGGCAGGCGGCGGTGAGGTACATGCCTGGTTCGGCGACGGACCAGCCGACGAGTTCGACGGAGGCCCCTGTGGGTGGGAGTTAGGGGCGTGTTTGAAGAGGATTGAGGGGGGGGAAAGGGAAGGGGAGGCAGGGGGAACTTACAGGTGTTATCTGTGAAGGCGTTTGTGTGGAAGAAGGCGGCCATGCGCATGCATGCGGCGACGGAACCTCTGGCGTGGACGGTCAGTATTGTTGCACTTGCACTTTTCGAGTGCTTGGGATGTCGGTGTCATTAGGTTGACTTACACACTGCCAGCAAGAAAAATAAAGCAAAGCGCCACCTTCCGCGTCACGGACGCATTCAGACCCAGCACCGGCTGGATAGGAAGCAGAAGCATGATCACGTCCGTAACAATCGTCGGGATATTGACCGTCTTATAGAACGTCACCTGGTCGAAGCAGCGGCCGCCCTCGATCGACTTGTCCCACTGAAACTCGACGGGGATGCACTGCAGCGACGAGACGATCAGGTAGGCGAACCAGTTTGCAAGCACGACGAAGATGAGGATCTTGGTCGAGACTTTGACCCAGCCGTACGGGAAGATGCGCAGGTACATGAGCAGGATGGAGACCTTTGGCAGGGCGACGGCGGGCAGGTACAGCCATTCGAGGGCGTATATCGATTTCGCCCATGACATTATCTTCTCCGGGTGCGCTTTGTGGATGTATGCTGCGTGGCGACCAACGCCGGCTATCGGGACCATGGCTGTGCTGAAGATCAGGATATGAAGCATTGGAATGGGAGTGCGAGTATAGAGGCTACTCACTTATTGCGAGCACGCATAATCCGATATTCGCAACCCATGCAAAGGCAATCACATAGTCGTCGAGTCCTAGTGAGGTCTGCTTCGTAAATCTCGCGTAGAACCGCAGTCCCACAAAGGTGGTGTTGAGTATGATGAAAATAGTAGCGCAAGCGATCAGGTCCTCGCCACTATTTTGGGCCAGAAACTCCGGCGTGTAGGTTTTGGACATCGTAGTTTGTGTATTGTAGTTGGATCGATGTCGTTGTCGTGGTTGTTGTTATTATGGTTTTCGTGATGCTCGACCAGCTTCGGTACCGGTAGAAAGGGACAAGCCTGTACGAAAAAGTGTGCGGTTCCAACAAACGTACAATGGGGTTACCCACGAATCCAGCAAAGTCCAAGGAAAAATTCCTTAGAGCGGGGATAATCAGACTTTTGGGTATGCGGTGGAGTCAAAAAGGCTGTTCGATCGCATGTGATCTGACTCGAGCTGTCAGATAAGGTACGGGCCATATGGCATGGATATAGCTTTTAAGCATACGCAGTGGTGACATGCACAAGCAACAAGACCTGAAACGTGAAACTCTTAATCAAGACAAGTCTGTCTTCAGTGCACAGCCTTCCGATATCTTCTTTGAGCATTAGGAGTAAAATAAAGGTCAGAAATCATAATAACAGCTTTGTCCTCACCTGACATAACGTGTGAGCTTGAAACAAGCTCAGCTCAATCTCACACAACACGGTTCACAAAGACCTACGAGTGTCGTAGTTGTGAATATCTTGTTCTTGTCCCAAATTAGTTGAATTGAGCCGAAGCTATGGCTTGAGCATGGGCGAGAGAGGAAATGATGAGAGCCGCAAAAGGCTGGACCTCAATCCGTATCCGTCTTCAACGTTGTGTGCGGAGCCCAGTCCGTAAAGTTGGGATATTCAAGTTTTCTCCACCGCATTCCACGGCGTGGGGGTGGATCTCGATTTGGAATCATCCCACGAGTCGTGAGCCCAGGGGTGAGTACATTTTCCAATTACGAGAACCTGCTTTGACGACATGGTATGCCATGATCCTCAGCGGTATTGGATACGATCCCGAGCGTGGAGGATTTTGTGGTGAGGTGGGTCTATCACGACGCACTGGCATTTCTCCTATACCAGAATGTTGAGTCCCTGTGCGCGACCTGGCGCATCGCTGGAGCACTACTTGGCCAAAGAGACGAAAGGCTGAGTGTTGATATTCCCCCTTTATGGCATCTCCAGCAAAGAATTGCGAAATTGGTGTCTGCTGCATTGGAGAAGAACGGATGTAGAATCGACATGCATGCATGCATGGGCCTCAAAATGCAACCTAGGTGTGCACGGATCTCCTGAACGTCGTGGCAGCTCGTAGATTCGGCACAGGCTCTGAAACATCGGTCGGTACCTTCGTAGCGCGCAGAGTGCAGAGGACTGAGTGAGGTAGAAGCTCTGTACGTCCAGCCACATGGTTCTTCGGATCTTCCATAGACGTTCCACGTTCCGAGTCCCATGTGCGGAACATGATCGTCGGCAACGAAGTTGTTCCACTACTCCACCCGGAAGATGACCAGGCTCGGGTAATGATGACGACACATTATATGGAGTGTTATGGTACTGTACAGCTACAAGTGGTATAACCAGCCTCGGAGGCACCAACATTTTCTTTCTTGACTTTGTTGAGCAGAATCAGGAGCCTGGAGAGGAGCCCGGAAATTCCGGCAGCCAGGCACGAAAAGAGTCCGAGTCCAAAGATTGGTACGTCTTACCTTCGGCCAACCAGAGTACAAACAAGCAACGACCAATGTTTGTCAAGATGTGATGAATGCGGATCGCTGGCTGGAGGTTGACATGCTGGTCAATCGCATTGAGCAGCCGTTGAGCCGGAGCTCTACCCAGGGTTTTTTAGCACGTGGACTCCCGGTGGAGATGTACATTCAGGCCAGGATCAGTAGTGCCGAGTCTAGCCTCCAATCACCTACGTTATGGCACATGGTACACGAATAACAGAGATGTTACTTCGTATTCTTCGTAATTGAATACCTTGATGAAGTCGCACTGTGAATGCCACGTCAAGTGATTAAGACATGCTAGATCATCCGTGCTTGCTACCTGCTGAAGTTGTGTGGAGGACGCTGAACAGGTATAGATACACAAACGAGTGAAGAATCTCTCAGGAGAAATGATGTTTGCCGTATCCGATCATGTGACCTATTCGGAATCATCCGTGATGCACTCCACCTCGATGCATAGGCCATAGTACATAAGCCGGGATGCTATCTGTCCAACAACCGAGTCGTCGGGTCCGACAATTCACGACCACTTTCTATCCAAACAAGCGCATCGAGGCTACATTCGCAAGAGCAACTCGCGATTGCTGACTGATTCCGCTGACTGACACGAATGGTTGCTTAGATTGCTTGTTTGCCGCCGTGGATAGGTATGTCACTATGAAGTTTTTCGCACCAGCGTCTGTGCGATGGAAATTTCATTAATAGCTAAATAGTAACCCTACATGTCTTCAATCCTTCCTGCAGGTACACCAAAAGAGAATGCCGAGAGATATCGTCAATATAACATATATCATTACACACCGTCACGCCACCGAATTCCTTCTCGATGCCTGTAATTAGCCGTGATCCTGGGTCGCGTCTCCTCGTCACAACCCTACATGATATAGCACAATACGACCCATCACGTGCGTGGGCATCTGTGCCCATAGATGACAACGATCTTGCAAAAGGCTTTCGCGATGTCACGTACAAGTCGCTGCTGAATGCTGTCAGTCACGCGACACACTGGCTTCAGGCTCATATTCAACTCGAAGATGTCTTCGAGACGCTCGCGTACGCCGGGCCGAAAGATTTGCGGTATCCAATTCTGGCATTGGCAGTCGCGCATATTCGAGCAAAGGTACAATCAGACTTATGAAAAGAAGGTATGCGAGACGGTCTGACCACTTTGCCAGCTGTTGCTCCCTTCGCCATTCGTTGCTAAGAGCGCCCTTTCCCATCTTGTTCGATCGTCGCACTGCAAGATCTTCTTGCACGATGCAACATTCCATAGCCTCGTCAGCGAAGCTGTTGAACTTTCTGGAAATGGTGCGGTGATCCTCCAAGTTCCTCAGCTGGAATCGTGGCTCCAGGATGAGCCAGCTACACCAGTTTTCTGGGACAGATCTTGGGATCAAGCAAAGAATGACCCCTGGATGATCTTCCATACATCTGGCACAACAGGTAAATTCTTGGACCTGCTTGCGTCGCGTATAAGCTAACACGACTCGCTACCAGGAGTGCCACGGTTGGTGACCTACACGCACGAGATGATGACCTCACTTGATGCCGCCGAGCTCATGGACGACGCGAAAGGCGCAGCAGTGTCGAATCAACATTACCGAGATAGACGGTGGTACACGCCGCTGCCAGCATTACATGTCAGTCCATCGAACCTCACTTTGACTCATCTTTCGCATCTGGTCTGACAGGACATAGTTTGTGGGCATGACCATAGCACTCCAATTCACCTTCTTCATGAATGGTGTTCTTGTCGTCGGACCAACGACCCCTGGACCAGCCTCTCCAGAGCTTGTGAGCGAAATCTTGCGGCACGGGCACGTCCAATGCGCAATGATGCCGCCTTCACTCATCACCGATATAGCTGCAACGCCCACTGGTCTGAAAGCTCTCGGAAGCCTCGATTTCCTGTACTTTGCCGGCGCGCCCATGAATGTGGAGACTGGTCGAAAGCTCCAGAACCACGTGAAAGTCAAGCCAGCCATGGGCTCTACCGAAGCCGGCGCTTACTTCCTCGGCGTGGACGATGACGAAGATTGGGAATGGTTCAGTTTTCGCCCGGGCATGGGCATGGAGTTCCGTCCCGTTTCCGGGAACCTGTACGAGGCCGTCTTTGTGCAAAGGCCAGAGCTACAGCGCTGGCAACAGGTCTTCAAGCTGTACCCCGAACTCCAGGAGTTTCCCACAAAGGACCTGTTCATTTCGCATCCAGACAGACCGGGTAGATGGAAATGTGCCGGACGGACAGATGATCTGATCGTGTTTGCACATGGCAAAAGCCTCGTTGCGTCAGACCTGGAAGCACAAATCGCAAGCCATCCGAATGTGGCAGGAGTGCTGGTAGGAGGCAGCAATCGGATGAGGCCGTTCCTACTCGTGCAGTGGAGAGGGGAGGATGGCACTGACGAGATGGAGCGGATACGCCTCCTTTGGCCGACTATCCAGAAGACTAATGACACGTGCTCGGAACTCGTGCGACTCACACGAGGACTGGTTTTGTTCACGAAACCGGGCAGAGACCTGATACGGACGACGAAAGGGGAAATATCAAGGAAACTCAACGAAAAGGCATATGAAGCTGAGCTGTCCAAGCGGTATGCTCTGGAAATCTAAGAAACTTTCCTCTTACCTTCGAAGACTTATCTCGTATCAAGCTATGCTGGATGTCTGGCCTTCGTATTACTGTTGCAATGACCTGTTACGAAGACCACAAAGTCCTATTGATAATTTCCTTGAAACTTTTGGTCGAACCTCCGCACGCAGTCCTATATGCCCTCCGTGTTAGCCGGTTTTGATGAGAACGGGAATGCGAAGGATCGATGCTGCCGAGTGCAGTACTCAGAGGGTGTTATATCGTCTACCGGAGGATCTGTCATAGAGCAGGGGAGATGGAAATACTCTCAATGAGTCTTCAATTGGTGCTAATGCAGTTGTCCGTGATGATAATCTGTCCTAAAGAAGTGTGCACTGCCAAGCATGGATGATTAAGACATTACGTAAGTATTCACGTGACTATCCAATAATTATACCTATAGCAGATGCATTCTGTGCGTCATTATCAAAGCAAACAGTTCGTGGGAAGTGAGCCGCTCGAAGGGTTTAAAAAAGGTCAGCTACACTGATCTCTGTAGCTTCATTTTCTTCGGGTAGTTTAGAAGGTATAGGAAAGCTAAATCTGTGGTGACTGTTTCGAATAGACACAGTCCGAGCATACTTTTAACCCAGTTCTCACACGAGCCACATACACGAACCACACTAGCATCCGAGCTCGCGGCTATCTCGCCTAAAAGCCATGAGCCGCCACCACTGTCCCACTAGCTGCGCCACACGTCAACTATTGTTTCAACGTTCAGTATTTAATGCGCGTTTCATGGGGCCCTATTACCATTGTTTCACGATACATGCGATCATAGTGGGAGACTTCTTGTTCTTGTTTTCATATCCAGAATGTAGTGGCTCGGGGTCTGAAAATCAGGAGCAGACTTCTTTGATGGGGAACGTCCCCGCTGCTGTGCGATGAACTGCACTGTCAGCGAAGTCTGGAGTTGTGGAACGTGGTTCATGGTGGAAGGCCCACACGAGCTTACTATGCAACAAGATGAATGGACTAGAGTCTTCTCTTATTGCTGGTTGTCGCGAAGATGTGCAAATGCCGGTAGTGCGGCGAGCTTAATCACCATGACCTGCAGACTCGGCAAGTGAACCCCTGTAATTGTCCTTGTTGTTGGACCGTGCAGTAACAGATTTGACTTTGACCTGATGTGGATCTGGCTGGGGGTGGGTAGATGCGTATCGTAGATGCTGGACCATGTTATCTGATTCAGAGTCAGATTTTCAGAGAATGGAAGGGAAAAACGAGAACCATATACTCCACTGTGTGGCTGTGTGGGTGAATTGGAGTCTCGCTGGTTGTTAAGCTTGCGTATCATATAGACTACTCGAATGCCGAGAGCAAGGAGCATTGGGCCGAAGAATTGGTATGTCGATGAATCGCAGGCTTGAGAACAGACCATTTGGATAAACTTACGAGGTTGTTTGATGTGCCGCGAGAACGTGCATCTGTGATTCTACACTCAGGCAACTGTCCTATCAGGGACTGGACTTGGAGAGGGGCAGCTAGTGCGCAACATTCCATACTCAAGAAACAAACCTGATGTAGATTACGTGACGCCTAGAAAGCGGTCTGTCTGCATTCGGTTCGTATGGCAGGACGATGATCGTAAAGGAGTGTATTGAGTTCTGTTGAGAGCGTTGGTGCTATGAGGCCTGCTTCTGGAACGCGTATTAAGAGCTTGGTGTTAGGACGTTTGAGTTGCCGACTGCGACTTGCGCATCAAGGCTTCCCAATCGAGCCGAGTCTAGGTATGATTGACATCAAAGGACCTCTGAGGTATGTGTTGGAGAGCCGACCGACACATTGAAGATGGATGCCGACAGATCGCCTCTCGTATTCGTCCCATGTTTCAACTGCGATGCTATCGCAGTGCTCAAAGTAGCTCGTCTTCTATCACTCTGACGAAGTGTAACTTATGCTTTGTGTTTCAAGGGTGTACGCTGGCAGAGCACATCACAGGCGTTGATTGGAGCAAGCCATCGAGCACAATGAACAGGGAGTGAGTGCCACATGTCTGGCGCTGGATGGAAGGGCATGCTACAACTCTGACTGAAGTGTCAGCATCTGCGTTATTAAGTCCTGTGTAACGGAGTGTGTCTCGCCGTGTTATTGTACCCAACCGACACCACCTCGCCACTGACGGTAGCGTCATGGAAGACATCAGTTCGTCTGTTTCACAGCATCGATGGCACTGGCATAGAGGATCGTGGTCTTGTAACTTGTTGATCGCCCGCAAAGCCGTCATCCGTCGGTCCGCTCCATGTCTATGATGCTAGCGCTAGGACCAGTCATTTCTTGATACATGCTGATTGTTTCCAGGATCGATAGCTGGTAGATGGCCATAAGGCAAGGGACCTATAGGAGATTGATCGATTCTTCTCTGCGAGGAAATTGACAGCTGAAGCAGATGAGCAGTAGCTTCGCGAGATTGGGCTTCATCTCGACAGAGACGAGCCCCGAGATTAAGGCATCGGGAAGAATGTAAAGCACGGTAGCAGTACTCAACGTTCTCATTGCCATAGAAAAGGCGTGTTGTTCTTGTCATCGTTGTCGTCACCGTCATCGACGTCGTCTTTCAGCTACGCGACGACGCCGACCTCAACGACATGCATCATGGAGGACGTCTCGTAAGGTCATCATACGTAATCAGAAGTAGAACGACAAACAAGCTCAAGACGCGGGAGAAGAAGCCAGGGGTGCGGCGTAAATGACTGGTTGGTTGTGACGGGGGGAGGGTGGTTACAGGTGGGGAGGAGGACAGCGAGGGGGAGATTTTTGCAGGCGTCGGGGGTCAATGGCGGGCGCTAATAAGCGCAAAAGCTCCTTGGGCCGCTGATCCCATCAGCACGAAGCAGCCAAAACCTTGCAGACAAGCACCAAAGCCACCAAAGCACCCCAAAAGCACCCCAAAAGCACCCCAAAAGCACCCCAAGCACGCTCCTCCTCACTCCTCATCACTGCTGCTCCCTGCCCTTCCCTACTCCTCCTCATCCTCCTGTAGGCGGAGAAGAAACCTTTTGGCCTTGTTTCTCCTCTCAGCGTTTGCTTGTGCTTCTGTCCCAGCGCGCCTCAAATCTTCGTTACTTTCCCTCCTCATTGATCTGCCCTTCTACTTCTTCTTCTTCTTCATCCTCTTCATTTACCGTTCCCTTCTGTCCTGCTACGTTCGCTCCGACTACATAGTCCTGCTGTCGCGGCGGGAACGCCTGGTCATCTCCGCATCTTCTCGCGCCGCTCGATCATCCACCCCACAGAAACCAACACAACACCATGCAGAAAGCTGGCGCCGCAATCCCTGTCCTTCGTCTGCTTTTGCTGTCCTTCGAAAGCCCTACCATCTCCTCACCTAGACCACAACACGCTGTCTCTTTGGAGTGTACTGTCGCATAGCCACAGCATTTGCAACACACCGTCCTTCCCATAGATCTGTCAAACATCGTCGGCCTTGAGGCGTTGGTGCCTCGGGGTCGAAGGTCGTGAGCCTTGCGGGGTGTCCTTGGGCCAGAGTCGACATGGCTATGCCAATGTCAATCCTGACTCTGAGCGACAGACATAGCTCTGATCCTTCGAATTTCACTCCTCATGTTGGCGGGCCACTACCGTCAATGAAACTGTCTAAACCAACCGGCAAGATACCAGTACACGAACTCGCAATTCGAAGTCGATCTAACTTAGCCACTGCGCCTGTGTTGTGTCCTATACAAAATGTCGAGAATGGTGCTCTCCATAGCGTTCCCAACGCAAATAAAGCAAGCTCTGGTTCGGATGCCAATCGCGACAAACCATACTACTCGGACGAAAAAATATACGTCGAAACATCGCGCGTCCCTTCGCATTTCCCTACCCATCCTCTGATCGAATTGCAAGGCCCCTTCGAAGAGTCTATGCTGGACGCTGGGAAGAAGGAGGACTGTTCAAACTACAGAGAGACGAATCCAGATAAATTCAAGGGCAGATCTCGTCGATCTTTGATACTGAATCAGAAAGGCGGTGCTGGAAACGTCTCATACAATGCACAGTGGACGTCCGACTCAGAGTCCAAGCATCATCCCATAATGAAGATTATGTCGCAGGTCATATTTGGCGTGCACCTTCTCTGTCAGTCAATAGCACAGTCTGTGCCTGAGGTATCCAACATCCTCAGTGGTTTCGTCCAGGAATTAGACAGTTTTCTGGAGCGCGTCAACGGCGATTTTGATCAGTCATTGAAGGAAGTATCAGACCTATATCGAAATCTGGCACTACCCTTACAGCATGTTGCCGTTTTCGATAATCTTCTTACCGACCGGAAGTACAGGACACAAACTCTGGAAGGCAATATCCGCATAGACGCTCTCATCAAGGCATACTCGCAAATGATGACTGATTACACGGCAGACCTTGCTAAGCTACAAGAGGCAAATCTGGTGTTTAGCACATATCTGGAAAGAATTGGCGCAGAATGGACACGTGACAGCAGAGAACAATGGGACATCTATGTTGCTATGCGTAAGAACACGGGCATTTGGGAAAACAACGTGAAAATTCTTCAAGAGAAGGCTAGAAAGCTTGGAAAAATGTTGCAGCGATGTGCTCTGTGCGTGAATGAGTTTGAGAAGCGTTGTGCTGCCGCAGCCAGACGCACGATGGTATGTCTAATCTTTCATTATCGTGCAATCACGAGTATATGCCTCATCTTCAATCTTGTCTACGGTACAATACGATACCGTCTCCTGGCACGCATGTCACGCTGTTCTAATGCGACGTAGCAAAGCCATAAGCAGCAAAGCCGTACGTCGTCGTCGCGAAGCTCGACCTCACGGTCCTCGTCCGGGCGTACCTCGTCGGGACGTAAGGAAAAACCGCTTCCAGCTCTACCCAGCAAAGCAGAAATCGCCGTTTCCTCCCCTTCCACGCCGTTGCGGCAAGTCATGAATGCCGATAGCACTCCTGCGCGCGGCGCCTCAAATGCAAATGCCAATGCTAGAGTCCGTCCGAAACCTTACAAGAACACCGGCTTAGGCAAACTCCAACCTCGTGATAAGCAGCGAGCAGAATCGACTGCCGAGCTCGCTGCATTCTTTCGAAGCGTCCCCCCACCGCAAACTTATGAGGAACCATCACCAAGCCAGGAACTTGTCGCACGTCAATATGACGAGTCTTCGCGCTTCGTCAAACACAAAAAATCAAAGGCTGCATCGTTAGGCGGTGTCACGTCTGTGTCAGGCCCTAGCACCCGTCCAAGTACTGCCCCAGCGAGTGTATCAAAGCACATTCCATTGTGGACGCTCATGGAGCAGTCTCCGAACACGATATCGTCAGAATGCTTTCCCATGACGTCGTTTCCACGGCACGATAGCGCCGCGCCTTCTGGAAGACAGAGTCGCCAAAGTCAGAAGAGTCATCAGAATAAGCCTTCTCACGGACGCCTGCGATGTATGTTTCGAAATCCTTTCAAGCGATGAACGACAATGCGTCGGACCGCGTTCACGTGAAACGCGGCCTGTCAAGACCTCTTACGAATCACGACGCCCACTCGCTATCTCATATATACTAATACCCAGTCTTGGCGTTCTTTGGGGTCATTTGCAATCGGATCTGCCTTGGTAGAAGCGCAGTAACCAAAACTACTTCAGTTTCATAATGTCAGAATATGCCGACGAGCAGAACATCACTGCGCCCTGTAATCACAGGTATAGAACAATCTTTTGTCTACACAACATGTCTCACACTATTGTCGATGTATGTACAGATATCTCTCATATGTAGTAGCCATGAATATGGATGGGCAGGCACCACAGTAGTGGTTTACGCTTGCACTAACAGACACCGCATCATGAGTCAAAGTCTGAGACTCCTATCATTTTAATGCTCGTGAGACTCACGACCTGGACGAAGTTAAGGTAGGCGCGTATTCATGCTGACACTTTCCATACCTATGGCCACCGGGTGTGAATCTATCAAGGCTACCAAGGACTGTGAAAGTCGCCCTGGGTGGAGGAAGTTCATGGATGAAGTAGGTACTGTCTACTATTCGTCGCGCTGTCGCTCTTGTCATGCATGCGCTATAGACATGAGCGTCCTATGCCTTTGGTGAGCAAGAGCGCTTGTACACTTTGTCAACAATAGTTCAGCTTCTCTCCACTCTTTGTCTTCCTTCCTACAACAACAACTCTTTCGTCCAGAGCTCGACTCGTCCCCAGCATTTTGTTTTGGAAATCCATCATCTTCTACTCTTGCTGTCGACTCTCGTTCACTTTACCCATTATCTGTCACCCCAACTCTACAGCTTTTCTCTCGAATATTGCCTTCCTCACCCCGTTCGCATTCTCATGAGCTTCTTTCGCTCACGATAGGCCATGCCCCTCACGGATAGGGATCCTAACGTCAGCGGGAGGACAAGTCGAACGTCAACCACATCTACGAACAGCCGCGGTTTTGCGAAGTCCCATGGACCAAAAACGGATTCAGTGCCCGGTGGTGCTGGAGTGATGAGTATGCTCAAAACTTCAACAGAGCTGGGAGATCTGGGCACCTTTTCTGGGAACTCGCGTTTGCCTCCTCTGCCAAGGCAAAGCAATCGTCGGAGCCACACTGCACATAATTCGATTAGTTCAACGCACTCTCATGTTTCGAAGCATGGCTCACGTCATAGACCTTGTCCTTCTGCTTCCTCCAGAAGATCTACAAATAGCAATGGTAACGGCACTGTCCCACAGCTGTCTTATGAACTGCAAACACCAGCTTTGATGGGCTACACGGATTGTTTGGCGATGCTACCACCTCCAGCGATCTCAAAGGACGCTCGATCGTTTTCATTGACCAATACGGAGCCACCAATCTCGTTGTCGAATCAAGCATCCTTCTCAAGTCTTCGTAGCCATGAGACCATCTCCAGACCTAGGTCGCCCTTCAGATATCCCACTAGGCTCAAACGCCCTGGCTATCGCCCCGTATCTCCAGCTTTAAGTGAGACGAATGGCTTTCCACCGGGTAGACATGGTCAACCTGCATTTGTTACAGCCTTTGCACCAATGCCCAGGACTCAGCATTACGCAAAACCATATCCTCTGCAGTCTAAGGAACGCATGCCATTCCCAGAGGTATCGAGTAGATCTACAAACAACCACTTCACCCAATTCGAAGAGCCTTCTCGCGACGCGACATTCGAGCCAGCTCCAGTAGGCGTGGGAATGGCGCCTATCTGCTCAAACCTCAGCATTTCCAACGGGTATACTACCGCAGCCGAAGACTCGTCTCCTGACAAACAAACATCTTCGAATCCTCCATCATCGTCGGCTCCAACAACTCCAAGAGATTGTTCTCCTTATGGGCTCATACATGACCCCACTGTCGTAAGAGACGTTGATGACTCTGGAGGTCCCACTGCTCAAGGTGGGCCCCTATATTATGACTACTCTGAGCAATACGAAAGGCTCGTACGAACGGAGCAAGTATTCGAGCCAGAAAGTGATTCCCAAAAACCCCTTCCTGTCCCCTTTGGATTTGTTCACCGGATCAAGACCATCCTCGAAGAAAGAGGCACATCTAGTCTTCCACTTGTCGATGGTGAGAATCTTCCCATGATCATTGAACCCTCTGGTCCTGTACCTATTGCAGAGCTTCCCGCGGAAGACGTAGTTCGTCCAGTCGAACTACCGGCCGATCAGAAAATCAAGAGAATTACTAGAGAGTTAATTGTGAATGCTTTGCGATCCTCTGACTCAGGCGATGACACAGGCACCTCAATCAGCACGGCGATCCAGAATTACATTGCTCAGAATGAGTCCGTTGCATCTGGATCAAACTCAGATGTAGCCGCAATTGCATCATCTGTCTACACCAGCAGTGAAAAGAGAAACAGTGCCTTATCCGAGACTCCATCTACACAGTCGGCTTCCACGGCACCTGAATTTCTGTTCGAACAGCATCGAAAGAATGAGATGTCGCGCGCTAGTCCATCAGTGCCACTCATGCGCTCTGGTCCACGAGCTGCAACGAAGACGTGCTTGACTGATACAGAGACCATTATAGATGCTACACATGGTACTTTGGAGCACATATCTGAACCATCAAGCCCAGAGGTGTCGCCTCGAGGTCAGACGCAGCCATTGAGTGCTATGAGACCTGCATCGGAAGCTCCGCAGTGTTCACCTCAAGTCGTTCACGTAGAAGGCCGCTTCTCAGCGCCGCCGTGTGCATCTACAACTACTTGGGATGTGGACACACTAACCACGCCATTTGTGCATCGCATGCAAGCTATCATCACGGGTGACGACATCTTCAGCGAGCCTAGCCCGACATGTAACGAAGACGAGCGGGTTGAACAGTCTGAACACTGCGAAACTGATTGGCCACCTACATTCGCGTCGAACATGCAGACCTTGGATCGACCGATATCGTCTCCACCCGCAGTGCACACACGAGCAGCGACTCCCACAATTTGCTATCCGGACAGCAATAAAGTCTCGCATCACACATGGAGCTATCGTAAGCCTTATGCATCCTCTAGTTACAATGTTCAGTCCACCTTACATATACCTGGCTACCTTGATGGAGCTTCAACAGACATGAAGCTGAGCGCTTTTCGCTACCCAGGGACTTGCTTGTCGGATGTCAAGGAAGAGTCACAAGAAGGATCGAGTTTGACCGAATCCCAGCGAACAAGCTTCAAGTTTCCGAGAACTCAAAAACTCCATACACGGTACTCGGTAGAAGATCTTCGTCGCTCTGGACGTACATCGGCACTGTCTGAACCAGTACGAGGATCAAGCATCCAGGTGCAGGAAACTGGTATGATCCCGCTCTTGAACTTTAGTCAGGTGGATTTGATATCTAAGATGAACGAAGAGCTCGAAGTGCGTTCACTACGCTCGGCTGATGGTATGTCTGGAATGCTCAGTTACCGAGACTTTCTCATGCCAATGCCCTGTCGACCCAAGTCGTCCAAAACAATTCGTGAAAGATATAAGAGCTTCTTCGCAAGTCTCGATGAGATGGGCCACGGAGTGGAAGATTCTCCTACTAAGAGGTCTAGGGCGGCTGACTTGTGCGCGCGATCTCGCTCATCCAGTGACGCCATGGACGAAGTAAAGAGACTTTCGATTCCATCAGTTGGTGGTCTTGCATATCGCTTGTCAGAGCTCCTGCCATCTTTCAAAAGGTACTGTGCCCCGAGCACGCCGGTAAAGTCTGGCTGCTCTCCTACCGAAGCAGAACTTTCAGCCGGTAATGGCAAGGTTGTTCACGAGCAACGGTCTTCACGCAGACTGAGAGCCCTTCCTGGTCTGTCAGAGCTTGTCGTCTTGGATGACGATGTCTTTGAGAGGATGACCCGAAAGCCCAACGAGAGAGCATTAACAAGTCTTCCTGAGGAGAATGGAGAGATCGACTTGGGCACAGCAGGAGATGGAAAGTCGACGCCAATATGGGAATTGGAAGCGCCTCTGCCTGCATATCTGCGTGTGCATACACCACCGCCAATCTTTGAAGGAGACACCACTCTCGACGACTCCATAAGGAGATCTATGGCATTGGCGAAGCTCAAGACACGATCTCCACGAGACAATCGACCTTGGAACAATGACAACAACTATCCCTGGGCTGGTATCGAGGGACAGATCGAGATCAGTCTTCCTGAGCCCGTGCACTCACGTCAGAATAGCCCGCAACCCGTCGTGAAGACGAGCCTCTCCATGCTTGATCATCAAGATACGGGGTCGAACGAAGCATTGGATCTCCACAACATCTCGGGAGTTGGCGGCAGCACTAACCAAGACGATTCAGGCTTGCATGAACCAGTGAAACGAAGCGTATTCGGATGCATCAAGGACAAAATGGCACGGTCTAAGCCAAGCTGTGATACTCCAACTCCAATGCCGGCTTATTCCGCGTCTCCTGGCATTATGGGTCGCGAAGATTTCGCAGTTGATCCTGGAGATCGTTATCCTACGACGGGATTGACGCCTCCATCTACATTCATCTTGGACGAAGTGCGCAGCTTCTTTTCCGATGACAGTTCTCAATCACGGAAGAGAGGCATTCGAAGACACTTCACAAGCTTCCGCTCCCGAACACGAATCGCTCCTGTATCGCGGTTGGTCTCTACTAAAGACCGTCGTGTTGATGCTGGCAGAAATTGTAGTGAGACACCGTCAGTCGTGAATACAGCACCAGACCTCGAAGAAAATGACGCTTTAGCTCTCGGACAGCCCTTCAGTGGAACAAGTGGTATGGGTAGGATTGAGTTTCGGGCGCGCAAGATGGTTCAGCGTTTGAAGTTTATACTTTTCAAAGGTCGCCAGTGGGTGCGATCACTCAACACAAAACGTGGACAGGGACGGCAGAAGCCACGACATGGCCGAGCAATTTCAATCCAGCGAGCGAGCCACGATCACCGCGACACAACTGTTGGCGACGGTGATGTCTACATGGGTACGTGATTTGTTCGGAAACAGTCACTACTCCTCAACTTATAATTGTATACCCTCCCGCCTTATGTCAGAGTATTTGCCTCGCTGCGTCTACCTTATCCTGCTCTGGAGATACACAACATACTCGTACTTTCACATGCTATACCGCCACTATCACCCTCATCTTTCTTTTGTACCCGTTTCTCTTTCTCACAACGGCTCCTTGTCGGAAGCAAATGCTCTACACCCGGCAGAGGCTTCGCCGTTGATACTACCATACCGCGGCGGGCCGCTCCATTGAGATAAGAAAGCCACTATAAATGTCGAGCCCCATCGTACATCACCACTTCTTAGACTAGCATCCTAGTGTCTGTAACACTCAGCTCCATGTATCATAGACCTACCAATTAGACAGTTTATATTTACTTGCATTTCCTGGGGTATCAAACCTGAATCGATTCTGTGATGTCATACATTGATGTGTTGACTCTCAAACGATGAATCGCTCGAATGTGTGGTCTTTGAAATAGCCGTGAATCTTTCTCTCGTGCAATAGCTGTGGTAGACTAGCTATACAAGGCATTATTGGTTTTGGGAGAGTAAGGACTTCCGCGCATGTCCTTTGATAACACTGCTATCCAGTCTAGGTCCCAGACTAATTAAAATCACCACATACAATACAAAGGAATAAAATCACTCATATCCCGCTTGTTTTTGGAAACCGTTGCTTGGGCTCCCTCCCAATTCCCCCCCCCAAAACATGGTCTTTTCTTCTTCTTTTTCTTCTTCTTTTTCTTTCTACCAAAACAACAAACACGTTTTTTCTTCGTCTTCTTCGCTTTCAAGATTGACGGATCGACGGACGGACGGACGGACGACTTGAGATAGGTGTTCTGACGAATATATACACGACATATATACCGATTGCTCACTCTTTTATTTTTCTTTTTATCGCGAAGAGAGAAGGGATTGATTGGTTGGTTGATTGACTGGCTGATTAGCTGGCTGATTGATTGATTGATTGACTGAGAGAGTGGGTATACCGTGTGATTTTGTGTGAGTAAGCTTTACCTGTTTGACTGAGTCCGATTGACTGAAGTTGAATCGCGGATTTGAGAATACTGATTGTGTTAGAATTTTCATGAGTATTTCGATTTGAGAAATAAAATTAAGATAAGATATCTGGGTGGGATTTTTCGGGGAGACTATACGAAGGAAAGCGCTTTTGAGTCTTTGGCCTTGGGAGTGGATTGTGATTTGAAGAAGAAGAGAGCGAGAGAGAGAGAGAGAGAGGTAAGAGTTATCGCTATCTTTTGCGACTTTGTGGTTTTTTTTCTGTCTTCTTTTGGGTTTGTCTTTTTGGTTTTCTGTTTCTGTTTTCTGTTTTGGTTTTGGTTTTGGTTTCGGTTTCAATTTAGTTCGGTTCGGTTTTCTCTTGCTGCTTGATTGCTTAAACGGTAGTTGGTCATTCTTGTTGTCATAGTTGTGTCTGTATTGTTCTGATTTGGGAATATTCTGTTGACTTTGCCGAGATTCGTTGTTATTAATTTTCGCCTTGGTTTCTCTGCCTCTTGGATGTGTTATTCCGTGGTATGTCGACCACATCGTATTTACATCTTGTCTTGTCCTGTCTGTCTGTCTGTCTGTCTGTCTGTCTGTCTGTCTGTCTGTCTGTCTGTCTGTCTGTCTGTCTGTCTGTCTGTCTGTCTGTCTGTCTGTCTGTCTGTCTATGACGTCTCATATCTACATTTATAAGCGTTCGACAAGAAAAATTACAATGAACAAACACATCACAGCACAAACACTGATTCTAAACTAGTACCACCTCATGTATCAAGCACCACTCTTTCCCCACAGAGCCATGGAGGAACTATACATGATGCCCAGCATCGACGCCACCATCACCAACGCACGCTCTCGATCCCCCAGTCTACGCTTCGATTTCACGTTCCCTGCCAAGCCAGCTGAAGACGTGGATAGCAACGAAAACGACGAAAGCAACGATAACAACGAGAACGACGACGCCGACGACGACGAAAACATCAGCACCGCCGCCATGGACGGCGGCAGCAATACAATTGACATCAGCGACATCAGCATAACCCCCAACCCCTCGCCACACCAGCAGATCCCGCAGTCCCTATCCGAAAACCCCTGGTCTGAGACAAGCACCACCACCTCCCCAACGCCCTCCACCGCCGCCACAATGACGAGGCTAAAGCGAATCTCAAACCACGACGTAAGCATGCGCGAGCGCAGACAAGAGGCGAATATATTCAAGCGGCTTAGTATGGGCTCTACTAAGGACATGGCATACGAAGAGGGAGAGGACGATGGGCCGCCGTCGCTGCTGCTGGCGACGATGCAGTCGTACGAGAAGATCCACGGGTCCAAGTTGAGGAAGATTGGCGGGCAGGGGGATTTGCGTGGACAGAGTGTGGTGGAGAGTGGGGTGGTGCGTGATGCTGGTGGGCATGCGAGGGTACCTGTGTCGAGGATTGTGCGTAAGCCTGTGCCGGAGAGGAGTGTGTGTTCTGTTGCTGTGCCGTTGGGAGAGAGTAGTAGTCTCAGTTCTGTTACGGTGCCGGAAGTGCCGAAGGAGCCAGAGAGAGCGACGACGCCGGTCTCGACACAGACGCCTTCGCCGTTAACAAGAGAGCTGACGAAGACGAAGACAAAGGACGCTCGGGAGAAGAAAAAATCCGATGCCGCGAGCGCGAGCGCGAGCCGCAAGGACAGCGGCAACAGCAATAGCAATGCCATCACAACACTTCTGAACTGGGCGCGCCGCAAGAGCAGTTCCAAGACGGCGAAACGGAGCAGCGTCGACGTCGTCGGGGACAGTGACGACCGCGAAGAGCCGTACCCGAACGCACCCCCGCCGCCCAATCCGGATATCTTCCCGGATATAGACGAACTCGACACCGTGTTGGCGAAGAAGAATGCGGCGAAACGCAAGACAAAGGACCACAAGGCTGCTAGAATGGGGGAGAAGATCCTGCTTGGTGAGGCGCGGTGTATGCGTAACGAGGGCGAAGATGCGGTGCTGTTGCAGAAGAAACTCGAGTCTGTTGCACGTAAGAGTAGTCGTGCAAAGTCTGCAAATGATGACGGTAGTGCGTCGCTTATGAGTGGTATTATGCGGACCATGACGGCGCCGGCACGAGTGTCTGGTAAGGGGAAAGAGAAAGTCGTCGTGCAGCACAAGGATGAGGACGAGGATGAGGCGGCTTTGATGCCGCAGCTCACCCTACCCGATATGAGGAGCAATCCGTGGGATTACTTTGGCTTCTGCCTTGCACCTGGCTACAAGCCCGACCTGGGCGAAGCAGCGACTCGGTTTCAGGGGCTTGAACGCGCAATCGGCCATCTTCCCACCGCGGATCTTGGGCTTTCTTCTGATCGTTACGACGCCCAAAGCCGTAGTTTCCTCGATCGAGACGATGATGAGGACTGTGTCGATATGGATTTGAGTGATCTCACTGAGGTGGACCTGATGGGCGACATGGCGCGGCGCTTCCCGGAGCTGAACCAGCTGCAAGCAACAACAACAGCGACACAAAAAGTCTCGTCCGAAGCGGTTGAAGGTTCTTGTGCTGCCGTCTCGTCGCCATCTCCACCATCTTCCGATAATCAGTTTTCTGGCCACTGGGTTGCTGAGCTGGCAATGCGCTCACTGGGCGACCTGTCAATGGTGTCCACAGCGGCGTCTGACCCACTGGCCCAATTCAACTTTACGGACGGCACATACCAGATCGATGATGGCACCGCAAGTAACGAAGGAGATGCAGATCGAACGCATTCCAGCCTCGGCGTAGATTTTGGCCCACTGGATAACATTGGCCGCGCATTCACAGACAGCCCCAATGAGGGCAACGAGACTCCAGTGTCCCAGACTGGCAGCGATAGTGATTCTCTCCTTGAACTGGACGTCACACCATCGGGCCGCGGTCGGAGCAGACGTCGAATGGCGAGTATGTTTCCCGGCTTCACGCCAGAGACACGCAAACACACCCCCTCTCCCTTGCAACGCACGCTGAAGTCAAAGTCGAAGCTGAAGAAACCCTCGGTTTCCCACTCAGTGCCGGATTTCGAGGATCTGGCAATCAATTGGACCGACGTAAACCCTTTCCTGGACTATGAGGACTGGGAAGACCGCCCGAGCTTTGCATTGCGCAGGGATGATGGGCATGGAGATGATAATGGTGATGATGAGAGCGGAGAGCCAGCGAGCCCTTCGCCAAAGAAGAAGCATAGAGACGGCTCCTTCTCAACCATGAGACAGGCGTTTGGTTTCGGACCAGCGAAGCCTGAACCCGCGCGCGACGGATGCCACGAAGCATCGGCGCAGAAACCGCAGGAGGACGCCGTCTCTCAGCCCCTGGGCGCTCTCCCAGAGATGCAAGACTCAAGCTCAGCGAGTCCCTCGACATCCCGTCTGCGCCTCGACGAGAGTGGTTCTACCGGCCTAACGCTGTCGATGTTCCCGGCGCAGACAGCCCCTGTTCCTCGCGTCCTGCCCATATGCATCGCGCACGAGCAAAACGAGCGTTTCAACATCACCGTCCAGGAGATTAGCTCGTCGGCATGCTCGACAACGGCATCCGCACGGGATGCCAGTACCAGGAGGCAATCCAAGCCGACTCCGTCCAAGAAACTCGGACTGTTTGGCCTTGGTCTTGTCCGTGGATTCGGTCTAGGCCGCGCAAAAGGCGCGCGCCAGCCCAAGGGTAAGGAGTCCGCTATGTCGGTAGACAGGATGGCGAAACACGATTCTACCAGCTCGTTGAGGCTTGTTCGTCGCACTGGAGATGATGGATGTGTTATTGGGCCCGTGGAGCGCGAGATGAGAGGGCCTCGGATTCGGCACATAAGCTGGATTCCGGAGGATTGGGTGCCGCTTGCGCGTTCGCGGGTACAGAGTGGGGAGGCTGAGGAGAGTCGCCGTCCGGCTGTTGGTGTACAGCCAGTCACTGCGTGGCCTGCTTCTCCTGAGCTGCCACTGCTTGACGACAGTCTAGTCGAGGACCAGATGTATACCGAGGGTGCTCAGATGCAATTCTGCACGCGTTTCGCCTCTGCTCACTCGTTCCGGCCCCAGCTCTCGACGATCCCGTCGAGTGCTGCTACTACCACGACCACCAACATGGGCGCCAGCGGCCGCATGGCCAGACGTCGTCTGAGCTCCGACGATATGTCAGCGCTGGACCTCAACGACAGCGACGCCCTGCTAGACGCCGGCGACGGTGATACGGCTGCCGTGCAAGAACAGTCCTCAAAGCCACACGTCGCCAATAACAACAAAAAGTCTGGTCCAGAACGTACACCCATCCACATCCGCACGTCCTGGCCCACGGTCCCAGTTGCAGAGATTGGTGTGGCATTGAGCACGAATAACGCGTGTCGTGCTGCTGCTCCGCCAACAGAGCCTCAGGCGGCCGACGCGCGGAGGAATAAGAGCGATAGCGGGCAGTGGATTCGCGCATTTCTAAGTGATGACGATCCGCGTAAGGCTCGGGCATCGAATTTACAGGCAGCAGCGACGGCGGGAGGGGAGCCTACTGTCCCTATTCCTGCTCCTGCTCCTGCTCCTGTTGCTGCTGGTGCTGGTGCTGCTGGTAATGGTCCAGAGTACTACTATTCGGCGGATGAGGACGTGGAGGAAGAAGCTGGAGACAATGAGGGTGAGTCGTCCTTGTCGTCATCGTCGGATGAGCAGGTTGGCAGTGCGGAGATGGTGAGAGAAGACAAAGGGAAGGGCAGGTGCTATAGGCGTCGTCATGGCTGGGGTCGGACGCGTGAGTTGAAGGTCGTGAATGGGACCAGTGCTGATGCGCAACTGTCTGTCGATGGAGAAGAGGAGGAGATTGCTGTCCCAGGAGCATTTGGGAATGAATTGTGAAAGAAAAATTGTGATGGACCGGTAGGAGACGGTGGGTGGTGGTCTTTCCTCAATTTGGATTCCATATTGGCGAGACGCTATTTTTCACTTTTCTTTCAGTTAAGCCTGCGGGTCTAAGGTACTTACCAAGTTGCATGCAGCGGTGATGGCGAAGCGAATTCTTCTGCGAGAAGCATTTGAGAGCTACATCGTGGCAAAGGTATAGCGAGGAGAGTCCTTTGGGTTCATTGTGGTTAATAAGATTTCCTGCAAGCTTTATTAAGTTTGAGAAGCTACCTGCTTCGTGGAGCATGAGTTATTTCTTCCCTACTATCAGTACATTTATATATAATTGTTTATACACTTAAAACTTTTTCAGTCACTTGCCTCGACCGGGCACTGACTCGAGACTGATGGTATAATTAAGAGTGAAGATCAACCACCTACGCGAAGTAGCGTGGCTCATCGAAAACGTGGTATCTGTGTCCTCTGACACCGGCACCTCTGAACATCGTCGGGAAGCGCATGCCATATGGGACTTGCTCTTCGGGGATGATCGTGTCCGAACCTTCGGGCTGACCGACCTGGAACTTGCCAACCTGATGATCATCAGTACAAAGCTATATACACGCACTCCTCCAAGTTTGGAAGCGGAAGCGGTAACTTACCTGAATCTCTGTATCTGTGATGGTATCACGGCTCACGCGAGCATAGCCAGTACGCTTGAAGCCCTTGTACAAGATATACTCGCACCATCGGTCGCCGACATCGCTGGGGTCGATATCGCGCATGCTACTCTTCTCGCCGACATACGTGTTGTAGTTGCCTTCATGCGGCTTTGTGACAAGGTATGAGAGCAGGATTGCTGGGCGAGGCGTCTCACGCATGAGCTTCGCCAGGTATTCGGACTGTAGCCGTCTATCCTCCGGGTCTTCTTCCTGGCCGCTGTGGAACACGAAGACGTCGATCATCTCGCCATACATGTCGAGAGTGGCGTGGATCGCGGGCGCGAGTTCGCCGACTGGCGACGGAAGGAGATGGTGGGTGGAGTTGACGATGGGGAATTTTGATAGCAGCGCGGAGCCCCATGTGTGCTTGTTGGGACCGGGACCAAAGTCGACGTACATGCCAAGATCTTCGGCAAGGAACTGGGTGGTGTCTCGGTTGCCCATGATGATGCGCTGGAGATCAGACTCGAGCAGACCAACGACGTCCAATTCAAGCTCCTTGATAACGTCGCGCATACGGTACTCGGAGCTCCACATGTCATTGTCCAGAGAGAAATGAATGGTCCAGATGCCCGCAGTAACGAGCTTTTCGTCTTTATGATACGGTGTGTAGTCGTATGTTGGGAAACGCAGGTATGCAATGGAGACAGAAAGAAGCTCGAGGGCGAGAAGGACGTACAGGTAGTAGCTGCGTTGCTTGCGTGTTGCAGGATTGGGCGCCTTGCTGCGGGATTTGAGAGAGACTGAGTTTCCGGACGCGTTCGCGCTGAACACACCGCAACCGATCAACAGCATCATGGTCGTCATGACCCAGTCAGTACGCTCGCGAACAAGCGGTCCACCAGGGACGAAGGCATATGCCACAACCCAGACATGAAACAGAACCATGAAATTATAAACGAGGAAACCTAGACCGAACGTCGTAGCTGGGGAGTGCTTGACAGCGGACGAGATGAGTGCAGGTGCCAGGGCCATCGTGTAGGCAGCGAGAACAAGGGCACCATAGAAACCCAGCCAGTTGCTGTATGTGGTGAGAACAGCGGCACCAACAGAGCCGATGCCGTAGAACGTCCAGCTGCGGCTCAGATCTGGATAGAAAAGGCCTACGACGATGCCTACACCCATGGCGAAGAGGGTATAGCTTCCATGCGGAACGGCGATGGGTCCTTGAACAGGGAAACCCTCCCAAACCCAGAGAATCATTGTGCTAGAATCAGACAGGAGAGAGTGCATGGCGAAGAAGAGCCCAGCCAGGCCAAATGCAGATAGTACTGATGAGCCACTTTTTGGCCCTGGAGCGCTGACATCAGACCCTGCTGGTCGACCTGTCGACCTAAGAACTGCGAGCACGGCAACAAAGAGGCCAAACTTGTTCCATCCTCCATTTTCAGCATGCATGATGGGCCATAGGGGATTGTTCGTGTAGAATGCGAACTTGGCAACACTAGAAGCTAGGAGACCGAGGCTGAATGCGCTCACACGAGCCTCTAGGCGATGTGGTTGAGAGCGCTCACCATAGAATGTTGCAGCCCATGCCAGAGTGGACATCCAGACGCCGAAGCCAACCGTGAACAGACGATGGGTCGGTTTGGGAGTAAGAAACGCAACTAGTCCGGCGAGACCGAGAAGATGAGTGACACGAAGGTTCTTGACGATGAGCCTACGAAGTGGTGGGACTGAAAGAAGAAACGGTGAGATCGTGGTCATGACCAAAACCTCATAGCCGGAGATTCCCATGTACCATAGGGGGAAGTCTGGCTATTGTCAGAGATGGGCACTCGCAAGACTGTGGCGCACTCACACCAAACACAAACACCAAGCGAGGTCAAAGTGGTCCAATAGACATACTGCAAGTGTGAGCTTCGTCTATATAGATGTGGTGGCATTTCTTACGCCATTGTAGACATCGGCAGCAGCATCAATGGCAGCGGGCCACGAGAAGGCCTGACCAAAGACGACACCTACATCCTTGTTCTTCCTGAAACGAGATTAGTGGACATAGCAGGTCTTTTAGAGGCTGACATACTCTTTCTCAAGCACAGCATCGGCAACATATTTACCTTTCCTACTCGGGAGCATGAATATTAGATTGATTCATTGGCACATACATTTAGGATCCCAAGTATCACTTCGGAAGCCATGACACATACCCTCGGCCAAGTCCTTTAATATCCTTCACCACAATCTCAAGACCATCGAAATCAATGATTGTCACCGCATCGAAAGCTACATCAAGAAGGACCAACGCCCATTCGAAAAAGGCATAGATCGTGTACGCTGGATCGCTGTGAGCAAAGATATTGACAAAGACTGGTTTCAGACGTACCTCCAGCAACTTTGTGCACCTTGTGCTGGATGAAAAAGTAGATTAGTGGAACGAGTGTACCAAAAAATGAGTACCCAAAAATCTTGCGATATTTAATGGTGGTCGGATTTTGCGGACTGAGCAAGATGCACCCAATGGTCCATGGAAGGGTCGCAACTAGATACGAGATCATGAATATGTCATGCCAATCATGATCATCTGTAGAGGTCACGTAGGTCCATCCACCACAAGTCATAGTTCTAAAGATGCCAGTCCAGAAGACGAATCTGGGCAGGCTCGAGCCAGGCTTTTGTGTCATGAAGTACCACATGGCGCAAAGAGCGAATCTTGGACCTATTACCTCTATCAGCACAGCCCTCCCTTTCTATCATATCATCGTACCGGATGTCAAGGCGATGAAGAGCTGGAAAACAGAGCGTTCGGGGTATCGGTCGCCGATTGTCGCGGAGACGGAAGGGAACCATTCTTGGGGATATCCCTAAGACATATCATTAGAGACATTGATTAAAGGAGTATCGGCAGCGCATACGTAGTGCTCATTTTGCACAATCTTGTGGTAGTGAAGTTTGCTGGAGGTTGTCAGGCAGGCTTATTTGAGAAGAATGTTCTCCTCACATTCCGACAATGAGGGCTCCAAAGAATGCCGCTATCTGATATTAGCGCTGCGCATACTATACGATCGTGGGCTGCAGCATACTATATGCCATTATTGTGTGCGCCCATCCAATCCATTTTCCTGAGAACTGCCACATTGTCAGCTATATGCCGCAACATTCGAAAGCGTATCGCTACGCCAGACGTACAGATGCGATTACATCGCCCTCCTTGAATTTCGGAGCCATCTTGGAATGCTCTCAATCAGAACCCCATACAATTGAAACGAGAAAGACAAAGGAATGTCAAGAAATGTGGTGGAGAGAGTAGTTAAGAGGCAGATAATACTGAAGTCGCGTCTCTCCTGAGATCGCGCGGAGTCGGCGGGACATGTGGTCAGAAGTGCGGGCCGAGACGCAGCCGGATATGGATCTATCACCGGCATGCCGAAGAAACGGCTCGACTTTTTTCTCCCTAGTGAGTGAAGCGTACAATCCCCACCCTGCACATCAATACAACCACGACTTCTCAGACATGGCGTCAGCTTCAGACAAAGCGCGATTCTACCTGGAGCAGACGGTTCCGGAGCTGCGAAAGCTTGAACGAAAAGGCATATTCAGCAAGGCAAATATCCCCCAGGCTATGGCATTCAGTGGAGGTTTGCTGACTATGTAACAGGAAGAGATCACTTCGATCGTAAAAAAACGTTCCGACTTCGAGCATAAGCTGAATACGCGCGCTGTATCCTCACCTTCTGACTATGCACGATATGCGGAATACGAACTCAATCTCGAAGCCCTCACCCAAAAGCGCGCAAAGCGTATGGGCGCAAAGATATCTGGACACAAAGGGCAGCAACGGATATTTTTCATACTTGAGCGCGGGACGCGCAAGTTCTACGCAGACACCAGCTTATGGATGCAGTATATCGAATACACCAAAAAGCAAAAGGCATACAAGAAATTGGAACGAATCTTTACAGACGTGCTGCGATTGCATCCAACGAAGCCGCAACTATGGATTTCTGCCGCGCGATTCGCAATGGACGAGAATGCTGATATGCAAGCTGCTAGAGGACATATGCAGCGAGGTCTTAGATTCTGCAAGAAGTGCAAGAATATATGGTTGGAATACGCTAAACTGGAGATGATCTACATTGCGAAAATCGCAGCTCGACGGCATGTGCTTGGTCTCGGCGAGGACAGGAAGCAGGAGGCTGAAGTGGAAGATCAAGTCGCAACGGCGCCAGGGGATGATGTCAATCTAGACATGCCGCAAGAAACTGCACTTGACGAAAAGGCCTTACAAGACCTATCAAACACACCTGCCATGACGGGCGCCATACCCATGGCTATATTCGATGCAGCGATGATTGAATTCGAACAGGACATCGAGCTAGCGGAAAGCTTCTTCGACATGTTTGCTGAATTCGATCAGATCGCAAACCTCAAAAATATACTGCAACATGTACTGGACTACCTGGAAGCTTCCGCGCCACAGTCAGTTTCGCATGCTACTTCGGCTGCCAAGTTTGTGCTTGTAGGCTGCCAGCCTGACTCTCCTGACTTTCCCATTGCACTCGGGGAATGCTTGCGGCTGCTGAAACTGGCCTCAACATCGACCTCGTCACCTGGATCGGTGGCAAGGAGAGCGATCCTATGCCTCGTTCGACTACTGCGGCACGAGGACTTGGATGCTGCAGTCCGCAAAGTAATTACGGCGTCGATCCGACAGCAGTGTCAACTTCTGACGAGTGTAGACTCATCTAGTCCGCAGGCAATTACAGCTATTATCATGCAGCTTCGCGCAGACGGTCATCAAGGTGATGCGACCCAACTCGTACGGATCAGAGATCGCATATGGCCGAAGAAGCCTGATGGAACAGGAGTATGAGCCGCAATTGGGTCTTCTGAGCCAATACACAGCCATATCTAAAAATCTGAGTGGCTACCACGTCTGCTGCTTTTCTTGAGACTATGCAGCTTTTTGGTCTTCAGCCTGCTCGAGTTCTGCGCCTCTTCCCTAAGCCGACTCAGTATAACTCTGCGAGTTGTGAGTCGAATCTTACAGGCTCTTCATTCGCCGCCTCTGCTCTGCAGAAGTTTCACCAGGCACCGCGGGCTGACCAACTTCAGTGATCAACTGGTTCAGTTTTGTAAAGCACGCATGTGAATTATCGCTCTGTTTGCGACTATCATCGGCTTGCAAAACCAGCGAATCTGACTTTGCAGCGTAGAATCGGGAAGCGCGGATCGCTGGATGGAGTAGCAAAGGAATGCGTGGAAGAAGTGTATCCAAAGGCACGCGTAGAGTTGCTTTGGAATTGGTTCTATCTCGAGATTAGTCGCTTCGCGAACCTATGTACATGACATGACCAGTATATCACACACTTGTTCACATTCTGACCACCAGGGCCTGAAGCTCGACTGAAAGTGACCTCGCATATATTCTTCGGTATCGTGTCCGGATTGAACTGGTCAAGCCATTTCCGTGCAGCCCCAATGTTTTCTTCCTCGTCGCTCGTTGGTCGACTGGAGGCGTACCGTAGCTGCGCAACACCAAGGATTCTGCGATTGCACGACCACTTGGCAATAGATGATCGAACGCGTAGCATGACCGTGCAAGTGCTCGTCCAGGGTGGTTCTCAGCAGAAGTAATAGAGTAGAATTGAGGTAAGAAAGAAAAGACTCTATGATGTTCTTGATCCATGAATCCATGGCAGTTCTCCGGCTTTGGGCCAAACGGCGCTAAAATGCGCAAAAAGCTCAAACGCCTTTCAATGAATGGATGTCGCCGTCGCCATTCTCCTTCACATCCCACCTCTCCTCCCACACATCTTCATAACAAACACCATCCCAATCTTCTCTTTCCCTACTTATCACCCTCTCGCCCTGCCATACACTGGAACTGAAATTCTCTTGACATTCGTCCCATTCGCCCATCTACTTGCTCTGGAATTGTTGCCGACGCCTTGCTTGTCCTCAGCCATCGCAATCTTGCCTTGCTTCATTATCGCGTAAGACTGCTTCACCGCGCATTCATTCGCATCATCACGACACAGCGCAGCGCATTCAACTGAACGCCTCGCGCACCTTTGCCACCTGCTTTGACATAGACCTGAGCTACTAGTCCTTCAGCGCAGGCCCATTTGTCGATGAATTGAGGTTGATTTCGATTGCGGACCTCGCTGGTGCACTTGCGCCCCTCCCTCTAGATGATACCCAGTCCTCCGCAAGAAGCAGTTCAATTTCGCGGCGAGACCCTCGAACCTGTGTCTCCGAAACCAGTCCATTACCCTTCGCCTTCCAATATCCCGATCCTTGAGAGACAGACCGACCTGACAATGTTGAATGAAACATCTGCTCAGATAGGTAACCCCACACCTTTCAGTGCCATGCAGGACTATACCCCCTCGGACGCACCTGCGGCCAACTCTCTGTACGACACTCCAGATGGAAACACAATAGCTCAAGCTTTTGGTCAAAATGGCGGCGCAAACAGTGGTTCAGGGTCCTATGCTCAAGCATATGATTATGACGGCGAAGCAGTAACCTCAACTTCTCAAGGTACCAACTCAATTCAAGATTCCACGCAAAGACCTCAAAATCCCACCGCACCAGCCCCTAGTGACATATCTACTTCCCAAGCCTCTACTTTGTCCAGTCTCCTTGCGGGACACTTCTCTCCAAATGATTCTCAGGAGCCTCGTATTGAGGCTGATAACAACAAAGGCAGCAATGGTGGGGCCAACTACTTTGCCTCTCTCAACTTCCTCATACCAGCGAATTCTAACTCTCAATCACAAGAAGGTGAACCCAATGACAACCAAGCCTACATCCCATTCACCGACCCAGCCTCGAATGCCGCTGCTGCTCTTCTATCCCATCCCAATCTCCCTCCACGTCCACCTCCGCAAGAGAAACCGGCCACACATCCGAATTATACTCCACAAGACGACATTCGTTCGTACCATCCCCATAGCCAAACAACGGCAGGGGCGCCTTTCAGAGCCCAACCAGGCCTGACCCCTCTAATGACCGCTACCCCTACCTCTACTACATCTATGAATTACCAGAAGACTCCACTTTCTGCTACCCAACATTCTTACACGCCTTCAACGCCAGGCTATCTGCCCAAAGAGTCAGTCGACGTTCGCCATGAAAAAGACGTCGGAGATGACGACGAGGCACCGTGGCCTCCTGAGGTGCAACGACTTTATGATCAGTTCCTCGTCGACGAGAGAACGAATGTTACGGAAGGTCAATGGGACAAGTTTCCTCCTGGATCGCGTCTATTCATTGGTATGAAGCTCAAATGTAATTGGTCAAAGTCTTAATCTAACTTATACCTAGGCAATCTACCCACCGAAAAAGTCACGAAGAGAGACTTGTTCCACATATTCCACAGACACGGCAAGTTGGCGCAGATATCGCTCAAGCAGGCATACGGCTTTGTACAATTCATTGACACGAATGCTTGCCGCGCAGCTTTGTCAACGGAGCAGGGCCAGCCAGTTCGCGGCAGGAAGATGCGTGAGTTCATTGCTCCTCCTGACATGCGTAGGTCTAACCGGTTTTAGATCTCGAAATCTCTAAACCACAGCGTAATACAGGCAACGCAGCCAAGCAAGATAGGGATGGCAACCGTGGTAATAATAGACGTCGCTCACGGTCTCCAGACTACGGTCGTGGTAGTGGCCAGCGAGGCGTAGACCGGTACACTGGCGGACAAAGCTCGCCTCGGGATAGAGACAGACGCGGCGGAAGAGACGATTACCGTCCAGGCAGATCTCCGTCACCACCGCGAGGTAGTCGACGTCGTGATCGCAGTCACGATCGATACAGGCGAAGTCGATCAAGATCACCTTATAGCCGAGCAAGGCGCCGCAGTCCGAGTCCCCGGAGGACAAACGATGACGACGATCTTCCACTGCCTAGACGCGCCCCACAAGACGTTCCCGACATACAAATCATCGTACTCGATACATCTCTTGACATGAATTTCATTGCTTACGTGGAGAAGGCGTTCAAAGATCGGAGCGTGCGAGTTGACGTTCTCCTCCTCAGTCCACGCTTGTCGGAAGCCGCTGTTGTCCGCCGACAGATTGTTGAAGGCGTCCTGGCGGTGTCGAGGCTGACATTAGCATCGCAGCAGACTGGCAAGATCCCGTTACAAGTCTTCGATAGGAGTCGTGGCGCTTCCGATGTTCAGTTTGTTGAATATCAAGATCTCGACGGCGCGATTGCAGCAGAGCTTGTTGTACGAGCAAAGCAGAGTGCTGTGCCACAGGTGCAATACGGTCTTCCCCCTGCTCAATACGGATTGCCACAACAGCAAGCCACTCCGCAGTATGCACCACCTCAGGCAGCCCCAGGCCTCCCCTCGAACCTTTCCTCCGCCATATCCTCGCTAGATGGCCCTGCTCTCCAACAGCTACTCGGTGCTATGCAACAGCAGGCCCAGCCGAACTCGCGAGTTCCTCAACAGCCGCATCATTCTATCCCGACCAGTCTCACGCCTGACCTGTCAAAGCTGCTCAGTGGCCAAGCACCGCAGCAGAATATGTTTGCTCAATCTGGCCCTCCTCCAAATCAAAACAACCTATACGCCAACAACCCAGCTCTCGCAGCTCTACTCGCGGCCGCTCAACCTTCACAAGCCCAACAGCAGCAGCAGCAGCAGCAACAACAACAACAACAGCATCGACCGCAGCAGCACCAACAACAACACACACAGCAGCAGCAGCAACACGCTTCACCGCAATCACCAGCCCAGATACAGCCCGACATGGCTCAACTTATGGCCCAACTGAGTAACTACCGGCGTTAGGATCCATCCCATTACGATCAAAAAGCTCCGTGACCGTCTGGTGATCAGGTGGGGACCGGGGGTTTGGGGTTTGGGCGCTTTTCCTCCATAAGAAACGAAATCAAGAACAAAAACACTGTATTATATACATATACCTCGACCACAACAACAACAATGACGATGATCATGTGTCATGAGGCATTATTAGCTTAGCTTAGCATAGGTTTTTTTGTTGTTAATTTTGACTTGACATCATATATATATATATATATCTGTCGATTTCGACATTCCGAGCTCTGCACGCACTACCCCCCAACCTTCTTTTCTTCTGCGGTGCATCTTTTGTGGCGCATTATGTTGAAGCTTACGCGTAGCGTCTACTTGGAGAATTATGAGGCGCAAGCTGGGATTTGGCTGAATTGATGGGTGGATAAACGGGTGGGATGGATGGTCGTGGCGCCGGGTATTGATGTCATGTAGAGCGAAAGGGGGCGAAGGAGGGCGGACGCGGACGTGTATGCCTATGCACACGTTGTATAGGAAAATGGAATTCGCAACCTGTCCCTCATTTTGATATGCCTGGGCTCGTCTTTTGAAAGACTTGGAGCTAGGTGGTAGGGGATAGATGGAAGAGGGAGTGTGTAAGCGATGGTGGAGTTTGTTGCGATGGGTATGGTGTGGATACTGCCAGCTTATACTCCTGTAGCATCATTTCATAATCGTCAACTACGAGGAAGGATGGTGTGGCTTATTGTGCGAGTCGTACCGTGAGTGGTTTTGTTTCGTGTAATTTGGATTTGTGCCATTGGATGCATATATGGATACAGCCATATCATAAGCTTGACATTCGGGAAGTGATGGTGAGGATCGGCTGAACGTGCCTCTGCGTTCGGCGGAATGATTTATCGGAAGTACGGAGTGGGAATAGGGTAGGTTGAACTTGTTTATATGTGTTGTGCAGTGATGAGGACGCTTTGGGAGGGGAACCCAACGGGCTGCGTTCGGTTGGGTTAGTGGGTAGGTAGGCAGATAAGATTGTTTTGGAAGATTGCAGATGATTTTGAAGAGTTTGGCGAGCGTATGATGCGATAATAGTAAATAGGAACGAAGATTCTACATACATCATGAGTACGAGGGCTCATGAGGTAGGTTTATTTCGTGATGACCAAAGGGGTAAGTCTTTTGTGTTTGATGGGTGATTTGGTGGGGTAGTCTATATAGGGTTTTTATGCTTTCAGAGGAGACAAGACGGCGGATCTCGTATTGCGGAACGTATCACGGGAAGAGGAAGATATTTTATGCTGTATCATGAGTGATGCGTGGGAAACGTAAGTGATTTGAATCAGGTAGACGATTCAAGGGATCTCAATAAGGGTTGATTGGGTAAATAGCTTAAACAAGCGTAGAGAGTGTAGTAAGTGCAAAGGGGGATAAATCCAGATGTGCGGGGTGAAGACAAGAAGACAGATATATTATATGTCAGATATGGGATATAAGTGATTCGTTGAGGAAAAAATGAGTTTTTGGCGTTAGGTGCTGGTTTCGAGGGATTTCGAATGATTTAAATCGATCGGTAACATATGAAGATAGATATAGGTGTACTGAATGAAAGTAAGGAAGGACGCGCTAGCGAAGCTGTGAAGTTCATTCGTTTGATGAGTGTAGGTGTGCGTGGTTGTCGCATTCGATCTCTCCTCCTCCTCCTCCTCCTCCTCCTCTCGTTGGGATTTGTTAAAACGGCGCCAAACTCGCCAAGTCGGATCTCAATAGAACTGTGCGATGTGGTGCTTATCATGCATCAGTAGATTATGAGAAATTGTAAGTGCCAGTCGCTGCGTGTGGGGGCTCGTAGAATGTGAAGTAGAAGGCAATGCTTTGATCTTGGGTGGTAAGTGGAAAGTTGGAGCGTAGCAGGTTCAAAACCATGACTATGGCATACAGTAGATGGAGCAGTTGGGTCATTTAGTGGGAGTTGATACCAATGCAGTATGGTTCGGGTTGAGATATTTTAGGAGCCGTATACGTTGGATTTTTCAGACTAGGTTTATGGTCCGCAATGGGACACCGATCTTGCGGAGAAGATTTGGTGTGAACCCGGTCCCGTCCGGCTGTATAGAAGCCCTTTCTTCGGCGCTAAGTTCACTGTGGAGGATGTTTGGGAGTCTGGGGTCGGCAAACTGTGCATTGTTGGTAATTGAATCCATATAGGCCCTTTTCGGTCCTCTATTATCTGCGTCACGCCCCAGCATAGCCGGAAGCCAAGGTCGCAGGGGCCGCCCAAAAAGAGCCTCACCATACATGTATCCGTGAAGACAACACTCTCCAACTAATTGATAATCGCTTGAAGCTGACACCGGACGCAGGACAAAGAGGACCGATGCTCCAAGAAAACTGGCAACAATATCGCCTGAAAGGGTGTCGGCTGGGCCAATTCCATGTGAACCGTCTTCGGCCATAAATTCGACTCTCTTGGTGTTACATCTTTCTTCTAATAGGAGTTCAACAATTCTGAAGCTATTGCAACCCTTGCTTGGAGAGCCTACGAGCTTTCTTATCAACTTGTCTTTTTGAGCTCTGCCCATACCGGGAAGGTCAAAGCGTTCATCGGGGGGAACTATACTTGGAATGGAAAACGGATTGTATACTAGAGGCGTGGGAGATTGTGACGGCGTGTCTCGGCGTAAGTCGGGGCATTCTTGCGAGGCCAGATTCTTGGAATCGGTCGAACTTGGCCAAACATGTACAATACTTTGGAGGATCAGTCCTCTGCTGCTCAGCTTTCTTTTCAGCTTATCGTATTCTACCTCAGCTGCTGTGCCCGCCGAGGCCCAGTGTCCTGCCCAGGAGAATATGAGGCCTTCTTGTGGCGAAGCAACTCGCCAGTCTCGCACCCACGTGGGGAAACCATAAGGGCGCAAAGCCACCCCACAGTGAGATAACACATTCAGTGAACCACCTATATCTATCATGTGGAGCAATAAATCCGTATAGACACTAAGCACAGTACGGGAGTAATCTGGCTTGATCCTCAGACGAATTTCATGATTGAAGGAGATCATAGCAAAGACTCTGTCGCGGGGATCAACGCAGTGGCTGGTTGAAGCAGCCATCATTGCATTCATAAATCTGACTTCTTTCTTTGGTGTGGCCATCAAGTTCTTGAAGATACTGAACACGATCTCGTCCAGATCCTTAATCGGAGGGAGCCAACAAAGACGAAGATTTTGATAGAGAGGGGTAAAAGCGTTCCTGAGCCTTCCCCATAGGAGGTGATCCCAACCACACTGTACTATAGATTCATCTGAAGAGTGTACTATCTCTTGTCGAGTCCAAAGCCGTGAGAACCAGGTACGGGACGTGATAGATAAGATGGAGCGAAGGCCTCTCTCTGTCAACGGTCGTTCAGGGTCATGATCAGTTGACGAGGAATTGACATCGTCTTCAGCAACTGGTCGACCAAAATCATTCCCGCGTCTCCCAATGGTATCCAAGAGATGCATAGCGTGCGAACTGTCGTCTGCTTCTGGGCCTAGCCAAACGATACAACGCGTGGCTTTATGAAACACGTCGGCCATGCTGTAGACCTGATCGCTCTTCTCGAGATTGTCTTCCTGATTGATACAGATGGCATCAATCCACATGACCCGAGGTGCATCGATGTATCTGAGGTGTCGTAAGGCTGAACCGAGATTCGATGTCACTCCGAGAATGTCATAAGGAGTTGCTGGTACGCAGCATCCTGGCTTGCCATAGCCTGGATGATGCACGTCGTAATCGAAGCATGTCTTGTTTCGCAGGTAAATCGTTTCTGTCTTTTCAGGGCTTCCCCAAGCGTACGAGAGTGCTTCGTATTTCGGAAGATTTGCGCTTATTAACGGAGTAGTGCATATCTCAACTTCCAAAGGGTCATCTTCACGCCCAGGTAGTATATTGATGAGCCGGATCTCCAAGATTGAATCGATGAGCGGAGTATACGCGTATGCTTGCGAGTCTCGAGGGGACTCGGGCAATGGAGGCAGGTTTGCCAAATCATAGATTTCCTGAACTCCAATGGGCGCAGAGTGCTCAGAACTGGTCTGGGAAAGAGATTGGATGGCCATCGTGAACTTGATGCTTCAGTGTAGTGGTGGACGGAGTACTGAGCCGCCGGAAGACGCCTGAAGGTGGAATATGCATTTATTCTCTTACAAGGCTAAAATCCTGCGGTGGGGTATTGGTGGCACTGGTGCTACGAAATTGCATGTGAAGACAATGAAGACAAGGATTTGGAATAGGCAACACTTTTACATGTTAGCACTGAAGTCTGAGTCCCGTGTCTAGTTCGCTTTTCGTCCATCCTCAATTGCGGTGTGCATGCCATAGTGGTATCAGCCCAGCTACAATGTTTCTATCAGCCAGCAGAGGATGAAGGTAGTACATTACAGTGTAGCGTTACTAATGAACACACATATGATGAAGACGAACCCATTCAGAAGCTTCGTTTGGATACGGGATCCATGATTAACGAAAGCTTATCACTACTTCTATGTTTGAACTCTGAAATACTCTACGTAAGCTTATAGAGGTATATCTATATACTTATTGAAGTTATTGTGCTGCAACAGTCATAGAGAGTCACATAATTTACGCGTTGGGCATCAGACACTCAGTGTAGAGTCGCCTCATATATACACGATAGCCTCTTGTAACGGAGATAAGGAGGATCATCGTGGACATACAGATATATATATACACTGCTACGACGCAGACTTACATAGAAGAGACACGGATCGCCACAAAGCACACTCAGACTATGAATAATACCTGCCTATTACATCTACACCCACGAATTATTCCTATATTACACCAAAAACCGCCTTAAGGTACATGCTGAATCTATCTGCTCATCGACACACCGTCCGAGCTTCGGGTAGGACAATATCTACTTAACATATCTTTACATACTCATCTACAAGCTTAAGTACATATAAGCTCTTAATAGAGAATGGATGAAGATACGCTAGTGACAGGATTCCGGGAAGCACACGGATATGGACTTCAGTGCGAGCTGGTAGGATGTGTTTGGTCTACATGTTTTTATGCAACAGCGGAACTATATATACAGAATGAGAAGAGCAGTAGCTCCAAAACTTTTTGTCCGAGTGCGCCGTCCAATACACCTTAAGATGCCCAGCACCTACTCGTTCTCGCAGCTCCATCGAACCTATCTTCAATACACGAGCATGTAAGGTCTCATTTCGTCAACCCAAATCCAGTTGTGGAAGGTTTCGCCCGGATAGCCTTCCCTTGCGTGGTACACCTCATCCGAGATACATCCATATATCAGCCACAAATCATTGAACACCATCAAACCGAATGCCGCCCAATACACCCATATTAGCGGCGTCTTTGACTTGCGAATCCAATCAATATGCCACGTTCCAACACAGAGCGCCACGAACAGCAGCGGCGTGAAGCCCTCAAAGTACGGTTTGCGCGAGCTGATTGGCAATAGCAATGCCCACAGCAGCCCTCGGATCATCGCGAGCAAACGATGATGGAAGACATGAAAGAAATTGAAGAACAACGCGTTTGCAGGATAAGATATCATAAGCAATGTTGGAATGCCCAGGCCATTGGTGGGCTTCCGCGATACACGCAGTGCGGCTTCCGGTGGGTACGTCCACGTCTCTAGTGCCGGGCCGAACATCAAAATGAGAATGACATGGAAGGCTGCAATGCAGCCATTTAATGCTGCCAGTCCGTTCCAGAAATCGAGAAGCAGCCAGGAGTGTAATACGAGTACGATGCGGCGCACGACAAGAATGACAACGAATAGGCAGCCTACGAACGACGCCGCAGCGGCGAGGATTTGGCCTAGGCGTTCCAAGCGGACCTTTTGTGGCTGCTTGAAGGCGCGAACAGATTGCCGGATGATTTTACGTGAGTCGCAGGCGCGAAGAGACACGAGTTGGGAGGTTTGCCCGCCGGTCTCGCCGTCGATGCGGATGCGTACTCCAGCGAGCTGGAGCACTACAAATTGAATCGTTCGCCTGGTGCGATTCCATTTGAGCGAGGCGAAGAACTGGATGATTTGAGCTATATAGTCGGCTAATGCGGTCACAGGTAGGATCGTGTAAAGAGCGATTTGTTGTTGGAAACTGCGGCCCTGAGGGTGCTGACCTTGAAGAGCAAGGAGGGATGATTGGGTCAGGGCAACGACGATCCGGAGGGCGAAAGTCCGGAAGAGGATCTCGGAGACAGTACGTTCGTTGGATAGTTCAGACATAGTGACGCTTAGAGAAGGTCGAACACATGGTCTTGTGTGCCGGAATGTGGTGATGGACTTGTGGTGTTGAGACAGGTGTTTGGAACTTGAGAGAGTGAGGCTAGCGCGACACGTGTTTTGTATTCCCCCTGAATTAGTGCGAGGCTAAGTGTGGCTGAACAGACCACTGCGCCACAAGTTCCCTTCCACTCTGCTCCATTTCTAAGCGGTCCCAAACCTTTTTCTTGTAGATCCAGCAGACAGTGGAGTTATAAGCCTTATTACCCATCCTAAAGCTCATTATAGCTGATGGAGTAAAGAATCAAATAGCGGAATGGATGAAGTATATTCGAGTCTGCTCCACATAACATGTCCCACACGCCCTTTCTGCCTACACATGGATAGCAAACTTGAACATAAAGACAACTCGAAAGATGAGTAGAATTGAATCAATCGAATGATTGTAATGGAGCATGATGAGATAAAGAAGTCTTCTTAGTACTACTATATTCCAGTCAATTTTCCTCCCGTATCTCTGTAGTATCGGTTGCCGAGTACACTAAAAGAACCACAGAAGAAGAACTGATGCCTTGGCCTTCTATCCTAGAGTATACAAGTTTGTCGTAGCAGCGGTGCTTTCGGAGTGATTTGATGTATCAAAAGAGACATGCATGGTGTTGACTATAACCTGGGCGTCTAATACCACCGAGATCGGCAGGGACAACCCTGGAAGGCCCGAGCTCCTCCTACTAGTCAATCGAGCAGTCATAGGTTTTCTGATCTCAGTGAATGAAAAGTGCAGCGCAAGTGTTTGTTTCTCTTTCGAAGTGTTGTGTGAATTGAATGGCTCTTCAAATGCGGCAGGTGAGTTCGGAACGAAGACTGCCTCGCGGCTTCCATTCGCATCAATGATCAACAGGCAGTCTCCGACTCTCCGATGCGTGTCAGACATGTGGGCCCGAGCTCTGTAGCGCCCGGCGCGGGGCAGTGAGAGGTTCGCGGGTTGGAGAAAGTTTTCGGTGGCCGTGACTGTCTTGGCCAGGTTGGTATGATCATTATAGTCTCCCACTTCCCACGTACCCTCGTGTCTCGTCTCCTACTTGTCACTCCCTCCGACAATTCACTCTGACAATTCTCATATACACCATCCAAAAGCTCGTCTCTCATAAACCAAAATGTCTTACGCGCTTCCAAAGTCCCACCAGGACGTAAGCCATGCAACTACCTACCCATTGAAAGTTCGGAGTTGACTCATTCTGTAGCTCATGGAGAAGTCTTTGGTCGAGACTGATCCCGATGTTGCTGAGATCATGGTACGTCCATTCCGAACTGTTCCTTTGCACCCACTGACTCCGTGGTAGAAAAAAGAGATCCAGCGTCAGCGCGAATCTATCCTCCTCATTGCCTCCGAAAATGTCACTTCCCGCGCCGTCTTCGATGCACTCGGCTCGCCAATGTCCAACAAGTACTCTGAGGGATACCCAGGCGCCAGATACTACGGAGGGAATGAGCACATCGACGCTGTCGAGCTGCTGTGCCAGAAGAGAGCTCTCGAGACTTTTGGTCTTGACCCAGAGAAATGGGGTGTCAATGTTCAGTGCTTGAGTGGCAGCCCAGCCAACCTACAGACATACCAGGCCATAATGAGGCCTCATGATAGGCTCATGGGTCTGGATCTGCCCCATGGTGGTCATTTGAGCCACGGATACCAAACACCGCAGAGAAAGTGAGCGAAATGTTGACACCAAGCATACTCAATTGACTGACCTTACGCAGGATATCTGCTGTATCCACCTACTTCGAGACATTCCCATACCGTGTTGACCTCAAGACCGGCCTCATCGATTACGACCAGCTCGAGCAGAATGCACTGATGTACAGACCAAAGGTGCTAGTCGCAGGTACATCTGCCTACTGCCGTGAGATCGACTACGCCCGCATGCGTGAAATCGCCGACAAAGTTGGATGCTATCTCATGATGGATATGGCTCACATCTCTGGACTTGTCGCCGCCGGTGTCAACAAGTCTCCTTTCCCTCACTGCGATATCGTTACTACGACAACCCACAAGTCTCTTCGTGGCCCTCGTGGTGCTATGATCTTCTTCCGCAAGGGTGTGAGAAAGACTGACGCTAAGACTGGCAAGGAGACACTCTATGATCTTGAGGGACCAATCAACTTCTCTGTGTTCCCAGGTCACCAGGGTGGTCCTCACAACCACACCATCACTGCGCTTGCCGTTGCCTTGAAGCAAGCACAGACACCAGACTTCTTGGCCTACCAGCAACAGGTTATCAAGAACGCCAAGGCCCTTGAAGAGGAGTTCACCAAGCTTGGCTACACTCTTGTCACCGGTGGTACTGACAATCACATGGTGCTCCTTGATCTCAAGCCTCAAGCCCTCGATGGCGCTCGTGTCGAAGCCGTCTTGGAACAAGTCAACATCGCCTGTAACAAGAACACCACACCCGGTGATAAGTCTGCGTTGTCTCCCATGGGTATCCGTATTGGAGCTCCAGCCATGACCAGTCGTGGTCTTGGTGAAGCAGATTTCAAGAAGATCGCCAATTACATCGACACGTGTGTCAAGCTATGCAAGGAGATCCAAGCCGAGTTGCCTAAAGAAGCCAACAAGCTCAAGGACTTCAAGGCTAAGGTTGCTGCCGGTGACGTGGAAAAGATCAACGCCCTCAAGAAGGAGATTGCCGCGTGGGCAGTCACTTTCCCTCTCCCAGTGTAGGTTCACAAACCTTAGCATCTTTCGCGCATCTTCAAAGGCGCTTGGAATTGGGTTGGCGTTAGTGATCTGCTTCTTTCAACAGTAGACAAAAGGACTTTTGGGCCAAGTATTCAACCACAGTAGGGATCTTTGTATCGCCTTTACATAAAAGCGAAGAGTAAGATATTCAATACCTTTCCTCTGTAAGGTGGCTGATGGACGACGAGTTTGTCAACAACTCGTCCTGGGTGGGCCAAGGAAATAAGAATGGCCCAATATCTATGCATGAGGCTAAACGAGAGTGACGGATGGATACGACGATGAATATACTGAGCGCTCAACGCGCTCGTTAAGCAGGCAGATCTTCAATGCAACATGATCTCCACTCTATCTGTCCTTTGAACTTTCGATTTATCTCTGTCTACTCTGTTGTCTGTAAGGTGCATACGATCCTCTCTTCCCGGGAGCCGGACCTCTTCATTACCTACTAATTGCTACCGAATCCGGCAATCGCGCTCATGCAGGTGCTGTACCACTTGCCCCGCCTACCTAAAGTAAACACTAGGCTCCAGCTGTGAGGTTTGTGGCCCGAGCTTCTGCCAGGCATCAATGATCAATGATACTATCTATCTACGCACATCTGACAAGCTAGACCTCCACCCAGGACGGTACAAGCGACTTCAAAGCTCAACCGTCTTTGCCGGATCGAAGCCGTCTGACTGTGCGAAGTAGTAACCACGCTGATTCGTAACGAATCTGGTATGATGAGCTTCGTGTTCAAAATCACAGTTGAAATGAGTGTGTCCGAACGCCCACACCGCCACACGTTCCGAGGAGAAGCAAGCCTCTGAGGACAGATCAGTCATGAAACCAGATGAGATATTACTGCTCTTGTGCTTGGGATCAATAGCACGAGCATCAACAGTCGGCGAGTAGTGTGTCATGATAATGATCTTCCTGTCGCGTCCCGGTTCACCCATGATCCTCTGCGTTTCGGCGTTGAGCCAACGGAGCTCGGACTCGTGCCTCTGCACATGCGTCTCGACGGTCCAATCTGCAATATGATAGAAGTCATTGAGTCCGAAGCTGACATAGTCCTTTTGGGCTGCGGTGATGTTGGAGAAGAGCGTGCAGCCGAGGATGGACACGGTTGGCGAGAGATCGTAGCGTGTTTGGTCGAGCAGGACGAATTTCCCCGTGCTTTCTTGTTGTGCGGTCTCGGTCTGGAGGGCGAGAAGGTGTTGCTTGCAGGTCGCGTAGGACGAGTGGTATGGCTCGTGGTTGCCGAGCACGTAGAACGTGATTTTAAATTTGGCGAGGTGTTTTCGAAGGAATGTGATTAGGCTGGCGTCTTTGATGTAGCCAATGTCTCCGAGCAGCGCGAGGTATTCTGCCGTTGGTGTGATTTCAAAGACATCGTATGCCGCTGGAGCCTCCAGATGCAGGTCAGAGAGGATCTGTATCTTTACCATGTCTGTGGTTGTCAACTGAAGGGGATGGAAAAAGTAGCAGGATGCAGACGATGCAGTTTCTTTGTTTGGACAGCAATAAGGGAGTCTGTGGCTAAATTCTCAGCAAATGGAATGCATTGCACATGCTTTGCATGAATGGGTCCAAAATAAACAACCAAGGAAGTGTTGTGGAAGGCGAAACTGAGGCTTTGATTGATCTTTCAATGAAATCGATTTGTGAGCTAGAGCTAAGTGAATTTGTTATTACATGGTGTTGGTCTCACATTCGTTATCTGCCTAAACCTAACTCTCTTGGCACTCGTGCATGCGTGTTCAAACCCCAGTCTTTGTAAACAGAGCTTTTTTTACATTTACGTCTAAATTTAAAAGTATTAGAGTGATAAGAGTAGATGTAATAGATAATTAGATGTATCTTGATCCTTTTATAAGTTCATGTCTATCTTATGGAGTCTCTTATATAGAGGTAGAAAAGTAGAATAACTAAGACGCAAAACGCCAAGCTCATCAGGTTCTAGGAAAACAACGGATACAGTAGTTCCGCCACCTATTGAGGCGGTCCGTTACGAGCTTGACCGGGGCACGGCTGCTGCGTTGCCAGGCGCCATTCCTAACGACTTAGACAGTATCGCTGCTCACTGATCAGCTACTTCAAACACTCTCACGATGGCTGAAGACGTCAGTCAGGGGAAAGTTGATCTTGAATTGCCACCTCTCGACAACAGACTCGTTGCATCAGCAGCTGCAAGACTTGATGCTGCCAAGATTCCTCATGTCCTATGGGGCAATTACATGTTAACTATCTTTGGAATACCAACGATAGTCGATGTACGTACCTTGTATTCATCTGAGCCTATCAGTCTAACAACACATGTTCAAGGGTATCGACTTCGTTATTGACGATGATTTCATGGACGCCGCCTATCACACTCTCCAAGGCGAAGGGTTCAAAGAGTGCAAGTCAGAAGGTTGCATTAGTAAAAAGAACCTTGGCTATGCTCCAACCCCTCATAACCATCTACACATCACCGAATCTCTATCATTGGGCTTTTATAAAAAATCCGACATCCTGTGGCGACTTCCAAATCTATTAAACGTGGACGGCGAAACTATAATCCTAGCGTCTGATCTGAATCAACTACCCGGTCCAGACATCCTAGGGAGAGGAGGGCGATTCCAGCAGGATCTGCATCCAGTGCGCGTTCTGGCCGTCTATCAACTAGTTCCTGCGCTGCTTTTGCTAGCAAAGAAAGACATGAGCACCTACGGAAGATACTGGATGAATTGGATTAGTTACATACTGGAATATTGCACCGAAAACGGCGTCTTTGATCAAAACCGACTGACCGGAATTTACAAGACCTACATCAACGCTTTCCTTGAGGGCGATTACACAGCGAAACACCAGGCTTTTGCATGTATTGGCATTACAGAGTAGTAGAGATGTTGGTGATTGTAAGGAAAAGGAGGAGGGTCACTCCGGCCTCCGTCGTTCTTTTTGTACTCTTAAAGAAACTTCAGTTATTTGCCGCCGCCACATGTAGCTACGGACACCCTAAGAACGTGTCTGGTTATGCTGAAAATGTCACATCCTAGGAATTGTTGTTCCATACTCATAGTATGTACTAGGTCGAGGTTAAGCCAATAAATTGTCTACGAATACCGTGCTTTAACTTACTTCAAAAAGTTCCTACATGCGACTGAACGCGCGTGCATGGAACTTATAGTAGCTCACATCCATTGGATCATCAGGACGACAGCTATGGGAGGATGCAAAGGTGGATGTACAACTCAGCCCTTGGAGCATTCGAGCATATTGCCAGCTGCAGGTGGATATGGTAGGGCCCAGCGTTACCACCTATCTTCACTTTTTGCGATAACGGACCCGTCTCCCAGCTCCGAGCCTCGTCTGATCCTCGAGCCGTCGCCGGTCCTCTCGAAGGTCTTTCTTGAGATGATACTTTGGAGTACAGGAAGGCACGCGGCTAAGGTAGACGAAACTATCAGCGCTTTCTTGTCGGTCGACTGATCTGGAGTGTCCTCGTCCTTGCGATAGGCACGGCCAATATGTAAGATCCGTAAGGATGTTACATGCTCCAAAATAATCACTATCAACATAACGCTGTTGGAGCTACAGCCGGACTTGATACTAGCTGTTAGACCATCACGATAGGCGGATCGATAGCTTGATATGACCAAAAATGGTATAGTTATTACTGTGCATACTATAATACCGGTGTAGATAAGACTTTTAGGTTTGAACATCAACTCCGAAGAACCAACAAAAGAGGTTCAAGAGCGATATCTTCATGAGATAGATTGTCGGGGCATAAATGACATTCATGATGCTCAATACTGCACGATGACCTTGCTGGACACCTGCTCAACACATATTCGTGGGTCCTCTGAGCACACTAGAAGTCTTGTCTTTTATGATGCTTGACACGCGAAAGTCCTCACAAGTGTTTACCGTATCCGGGACTGTTAACGACTAACTACCCAGCTTGAAAGACATGATATTTCGTCGCAAATGTACAGTACTCTCTTGCGCTAATCGAAAACGCTCTCCTATTACTGACACGTGGTTAAGGCTGTTCTACGATTGTATAATCCTTTCTATTCTAGAATAGTTGTTATGGTACTGATTCTAGAGGACTAACTACAATACTGGTACAATTGCCTACTGTAGTAACTATAGGTCGACTGATCAGGTAAATACTAACATTAAGCATATAAACCAGTAAACTAAAGTTGTGGAGACCTTCGGCGCTAGTATTCATACGTAATCATAATCTTTTCTATAATTAATGGCAAACACAAAATAAGCAGCGCTGCTATTCAAGATAGTACCGTGAGGATTCACCATCTACTAGGATGTTTCCTCCCGTATGGTATTACAAAGTAGAGTAGCCAGGCCACTGATAGTCAAACTCCCAGCGAGCAGCTTTTGAAACACGACATCAACTCCAAACTCTCTAAAGATCCAATTGCGAAACTCAGCCCCGATCATGCTATCGAGTCCGTAGCTGGCTACCGATCGCGATCCAGCTCCATCTTTGACTTCATCAAGCTCCAGCATCAGAAGCCGCGACATGCGCTCGATAACGCTTTCTTCAGCGAGTTTTTGTGCATCGGCTCTAGTGTCGGTATTCTTGATAGAAAGTTGGATTCCGCGATTGGATTTGATGTTTCCACCTTTCGAAGAGCCATGAGCCTCAATCATGGAAGCCAGTCTCAATAGGCGAGAGTCTCTGAGCCAGTTTGTCGCCTCGGTGTCAGTTGTATTGGATTCCATTGCTGCGGCCAGACGCTTTGGCTGTAAACCGACGATAAGATGATCATTGCCCTGTGTATTAATGGTACCACTGGTCTGTAGAAGCATGGCGTCCTCGAAAGATTGCAGCATCTCCTGCTCTTCAATCCCGTAAGTACCTTTTCGTATAATAGTAGCCTCCAACTCCGGCCTATCAGCGACATAACCGATACCGAGTACCATCGGTAGAATGAGAGATACTCCAGGAAGTCCTAGGACCGATCGATGGCGCGCCAACCCATCCAGGAAGTTGTTGCCTATAATGGTGTGAGCGTCCTAACGACTACCAAGATGCTTGCTGTTCAAGGCTGAACTACTTACCTGATGCATAGTTACTCTGACCAGCAGATCCGAGTGTGGCCGATGCTGAGCCTGTCATCAAGAAGAAGTCGAGTTCACCCTTTGTAGTGAAAGCCTCATGTAGATTCAGGGAGCCCTTAACCTTCGCCTGGAGAGCCGCATGCCAGGCATCGATGGTCATATTGCGGAACATTGAGTCCTGTAACAGTCAGATCTGGGCGAGTGGATAAACTCTAAGGACGCCTCTACCTTGAAACTACCTGCTGCATTGACGACGCCACGAATAGGGCGAGCAGGGTCTACTTTTGTAAGAGCATCTGTAAGTGCTTTTTTCGAGGATACATCCGCCTGGATAACTGTGACATCAACACCTCTGGCTCGAACAGAGCGCACCAACTCAGCTGCCTCGCGATTGGTCGCTCCGGAGCGTGAGAGAAAAATAAGTGATGTCGCGCCTTGATTGACCATCCAGTTTGTCAAACTACGGCCCAGGCCTCCGAGACATCCGACAAGAAGGTACGATGCATCGTTCCGGAATCTCATTCTTTTCTTGGCGGGTATAGCCTAGAGATCGTCAGTCTGTTCTAGTAGTGCAGGATGATAGAACTCACATGGATTTCCGTTGCCTTGGAATACCTGATGACAGGTCTCGCTGCTGCGATATCGGTGGGAAATGAATGGAAGAGAGCATCAATTTCCCCGACGGTGACTTCGGAAATATTCCACGAACAATATATTTCGCCGTTCTCAAGAAGCTGCCATACCTTGTGCATGTTCCTACGATGCCCATTAGATTGATCTTGAGATTTTGGTTACAATGTGGGACTTGCCTTTCTAATGCCTTCAGTTTGCGAGATTCTGCTAGACTCTTGATATCGAAACAGTCAAAGTTGAGCCCGTTCGTGTTGTTTAAATCGGATGCCAGCTGACTCGCAATCGTTTGACCATATCTTATGAGCCGCCCATGCGTTCCGGCCGCGCGACTACATTCCATTAACAAGGATATATCCCCAAAACTCGGTGCAAGAATTATATCAACCCCCTTGCCATCCGAAACGTCAGCAAGTTGACAGACAATGTCTCTGTCACGCGCCATTAGTACATTTGCGTAAGGAAATTGTTTCCGCAATGCTTCTGCATTCTCGTTGGAATGGGTGATTACAGAAACTCGAGCTCCTGCGAGGCGACATAATTGCAAAGCCGCGTGTCCGCATGACCCAGAGCCATCCAGGATGACGACATTATCACCTGCCGATAATCGTCCAAGCTCGTGTAAGGCATAGTGTGCAGTGGTAAATGCGCAATATACGCTAGACGTCGTGGCACTATCCATACCCTCAGGAACGACCTTGACAAGCCTGGCAGGGGTAACTTGGATGGGACTCAATGTGCCGAAGCAGAAACCTGCAACTCTATCGCCAACAGTAACCGACTCGACTCTCGATCCAACTCGGAGGACTGTACCAGCTACTTCGTGGTTGAGCAATTCGGATGCCAGGGAGCCATTAGCGGCGAAGCTATCCTCTGGCCAAAGTCCGATCGTGCAAACGTCGATCTCGACCTGATCAGGACCCAGTTCTTGAGCCTTGTCTGGTTCTATTCTGAACATCACACGACCACCCCTTGCAAAGCCAGTGAGGCCACTCTTGTCATTTGTTGCAGCTAGAGTGATGAGACGCCCGCCTTCATTCTCGTGTTGAAACGGAGCAATTCTGCAGATATGTACGACTCCAGCGCGGATGGCGTATTCCGTTTCCAGTGTCGAGGAATAAACGAGCTGTCTCCTCGCAATCTGAACTACCTGCTCGAGGTTGGGGCTGGACGACTCGGCAAGATCAACAAGCACGAGTTTCAGAAGAGCAATTTCGTTTCTAACTACGCGAGACCAGCCCGACATCATGGAATGTTCGGGGAGTCTGGCTGCAGTCAAGTCGCCAAAGGTAAGCCAAAGAAGAGGTGGCGGATTCTCGAGTAGTCGTTGCAGCGTAGACAGCTCTTCTTTCTCCATATCTGCCAGCATAGGGCCTGCCGCATCCGTGAGCATGATGAGCTGCTCGTCTTCGGCAACGGTCAAGTCCTTGAAATTCGAAATGCGGACTTTGCGACCATGTCTCAAAAAAGCCTGCATGAGCTCGTTCAGGCAGCGTGGCTGTTGGTTTCGGTATACCTGCTGCAATCAGTTACTTCCCCTGTAATATTGCATCCTGATCTTACAAATACTGCAGTCTCTGATAGTGCGCGAGCTTGGATCTCTTTCGACGTAGCAGTGAATGCATGCATCTGCTTTATACAGTGGCCGCTTTCGTCTAGGTCCCAATCGGTGATACTCTTAAGTAATAGCTCACCTGAGTCTGACAATTCGTCTAGGTATTTTTTTATCTGCGGGTACTTGCCTTGGAAGATAATGATACATTCCGAACCATCTTCGATATGAAGCTGTGCAAAGACATGTTCGATATCACCACATACAAAGCTCTGGTCATTTAATTTGTTACTTTTTGAATGCCGCTAACATGGAATATAATGCGTGACTCACCGAGGGTATGACGACCAGATTCGCCGGATCCTTACTTGATGGGACCCAACTCGATACGTCAGGACTTGCAACGCGATCCAAGATAGCTGACGGATGCAGATGCTGTATCAGATCTGCAACTTCGGTATCAAATGAGACCACATTAAGCGAGCCGTATTTGTGTAACGTGTGCCTCATGATTGCTTCCAGATCAATCCGCCCGGTATCGAGGCTTGCAATACCCACTTGTGAGGTCACAATATCGGGCAGCCATTTCTGTTGCATGTAGGTCGGCTCGGGCTGGATCGAGCTTTGCGGAATTGCAGCTTCATAGTAAAGACATCGTATCTGTGAAAAATCCGCGATCAGCTCGCCGTCATGGGCGATCATTTGTGCGTCCACCAAGAAGGAGCGACTTCCTTTTGCGGAGACGGATACATGGGACATCGCCCCTGTCGTTTCCAGCTGAGCATCGCGTGGTGGCCAAATAGATACCTCGTCAAAGAAAGTCAATACCGTCCCCGCGGTCACCTCAGCGAGTCGACCGGCAACGATAGCTGCTGATGTAATCTGTAGGCAGCTGTCAAGAGAAACGGGATGAATGCAGTAACGAGACTCGTCTGTGATGGTTCCGCTCTCTTTCTTGATAGCAATGTCAGCAGTAGCACAATGTGTGATTCCATCTACATTCAAGAACATAGTGTTGCGGAATGATGGCCCGAAGTCAAATCCGAATGAGCGTAAACGCTCGTTCCAGGACTTGTACGTGGTCCGCATCGGCATTGCTGGGATCGGCCGCGGTTTTCTTCCTGTAAATCGCATTAACAAGAGTTCCGCTTTTCCAAAAGGTAGCATACCTCGTTTCCGGACATTGATGGCTATTTTGCCCTCCGCATGCCTCTTCCATGTATCAGTGAGTACCGAAGACATGGAGAACGAGTACCATTTGACTTTCCCCCGACCGTTGGTGACGTCTAAAACACTTTCTAGAGGACTCATTCTGAAGATAACCTCTACTCCGTCATCCTCCGCTGGTATTACTAATGCCGTCGATATGGAAACGTCACGTAGGGTGTAGCCTTGTATCTCTATGCCAGGCTCAGTTGCGTATATCTGCGTCAGGGCTTCGATAGCCATTGCAAAATAACCAGTAGCAGGGAAAATTGCATCGGCACCTAGCTAGATGAACTCATGAGCGCAAGTCGACCTTGACTTAAGATTCACCTACCGAATGATCCTTGAGCCAAGGCAGGTCCTTGTGCCGAAGAATGTTGCGCCACACTGGCTCGATAGCAGAGGAACCAGCAATGCGTCTGCCTAGAATATCGTGACGCGGGAATACTGCTTGACGGTGCTCACGACTTTGTCTTGCCTCAAACCAGAGCTTTTTGGAATAGGCCCATTGATAAGGTGGAAGATCTACGAGCAGTTGGCCTCGCTGCTTTGCGATCTGTCCCGTGCAGTCTACAGACTCTCCCTGAGTAACAGCATCGATGTCGATCTTGACATTCCTGGCCCAAAGAGTCCCGACCGCTTTCAATAGCTGGACTGCATCATCTTCGCCACGTCTTAGGGTAGCTATGTATTCGATTTGCGCGCCTTGAGCCATGATAAGCTGACGGATGGGACCGGATAATGCAGCATGAGGGCCAATTTCCAAGACACATCCAATATTGCCAGTTGATTCGACCATATGCTTGAATCCATCGGCGAATTGTACTGGACTAATCAAGTTTTTTACCCAATACTCTGGGTTAAGCTCACTCTCATCAACCATGCATCCAGAGACCGTTGAAAACATGGGACACGTTCCTTTCTTAGGCGCCGCGTCTACGAAAAGGTCGCTTATGTACGATTCGTAAATTCCAGTAACGGGTTTCATGAGGTGCGAATGGTATGCATTTCCAGAGGTTTTGAGTGCTCTAGCAAAGATACCCGCCTTGTCGAAAGTTTCCTTGAGTTCCTCGATCGCACAGCGTTCTCCGCTCAAGGTTACGTTGGAAGGCGAATTTATGCACGCAACAGCGACTCTGCCCTCAAATCGCTGGATTCTATGCTTGGCTTCGTCCAAAGTATTCGCAACGGCCAGCATGGCTCCGTCACTTTGCTTCTGAGCAACCGCCTTTCCGCGATAGTACGCGAGGAGAAGGGCTTGTTTAGATGATATGATCCCAGCTGCATATGCCGCTGCGATCTCTCCTGTTTGCACCATTAGGAAACAGACGGTACATATGATAGGTTGAGAATGTCTCTAACCTGACGAATGGCCTATCACAGCAGCTGGCTTTACTCCCCAAGAAAACAGCAGATCAACAAGGGCTATCTGAATAGCAGTGCACAGAGGCTGCGAATATGTAGGCTCATTAATCAGATTGTCTGCTTCAGTCCGTTCGAGAGTCCCTGTACCACTTGCATGAGTAAAAATGGAAGTAAGGTGCGATCTGGTCGACTTACCCAACAGGGTCCATGATGGAGGCGTTTCAGTGCCAGAGAGGATCGAGTCAAGATCTTGAATACTATGTCGGAATGAGGGGTAGCAGCGCATCAGGCAAAGGCCCATCTGTGTCCATTGAGCGCCCTGTCCTATTTGAAGTCATCATTATCTTCCTGCACGTATACAGTCTCGAAGGTTGAGTACCTGTGAAAGCAAAAGCGACCGACTCGTTCTCTTTTGCGTGCCATACATTGCGCTCGAGCGCAAGTAGCATGCCATTATCGAACTCATGCTTGTAACATACCGCAAAGGTACGGTAGCCTAAAGCAGTGCGACGACTGCTGAGGGTATAGCTCAAATCTAGCAAGTTAGGAATAGGTCTAAAGGCTGCGTAAGTCTTGATATTTTTTCGAAGGCTAATTTTATTGTGAGCAGAGAATGGTAGAAGGAAGGGCCTCTGTGCGTCCAGATTTTTGGAATCCATAGCGCTATGGCTCGGAAGTTTATGACCCCTGTAGTCTGGGACGAGATTCTCGACATTTTCTACTATTGCGTGGCCATTTGTGCCGCCATATCCAAAGGCGCTCACACCGACGCGCCGAACTGTTGGTTCCGTAGGGAATGGCGTAGGCTCCGTTACCACCTTTACCTTCCAGTTTTCCCAGTCGACTAGAGGAGGCTTAGTACATTTCCACAGTGCCCAATTCTAATGCAGATGAACCAGCACTTACTGTTTCGGGCGAGTCGTCGTACTCCAGCAGTTGGTGGAATGACTTTATTCTCCAACGCCATCACAACCTTCATGATGGTAGCAATGCTGCTGGAAGCCTCGCTGTGGCCCACGTTCGGCTTGACCTGTGATATCTCAGTTGAGTGCGTGAGATGATGTTAAGGACGTTGACCTACACTCCCAACCAATATTGGCTTGTCAGAAGTGCCCATAGGCCTCATAGCTTGTGAGACTGCGTGCAATTCGATAGAATCACCTATCTTTGTGCCTGTACCGTGAGTTTCTATGTATGTAGTAAGGTCGGGGCTTAGTCCTGCCAGCTCATAAGCTTTGAGGATTACGTCCCTTTGCCCTTGTATGCTTGGGTAGGTGATTCCATTGTCTGAATGTCGGCCATTGCTGTATCTCTTGTCAATACGCTGCGTGTCTGAGTCATATCAGACTTCAACATACGCATTAGTACACACGGATCGGATGACTCCCCTGATCGGATCTCCATCTCTCATAGCCGCTGCTAGTCCTTTGATATACAGGGCTCCAACGCCGTCAGCTCTTCCATAACCATCAGCAGATTCATCGAAAGTATGGCAAGCATTTGTTGGCGAGAGCACTCCAAGTTTAGCCGTATTGATCTGTTGATCAACCGTTACGACCAGATTAGCGCCTCCCACGATGGCACCTTCGCATTCTCCACGACGGACTGCATTACAAGCAGCATCAAGAGCATACATGGTGGACGAGCAAGCAGTGTTCATGAGTACACTATGAATTGTTAGTGATGGGGGCATATTAACCTTTTCTGAACTTTCCTGGGACCTCGCAGTCCGAACACATGGCTAATACGATTGCCAAGTATTCCCGGGTCCACTCCCGTTGCTGTATATGAATGACGGAAGTCTGGTTCTTTCATTATCATCTGCTGCCAGTCACTGACAAATGAAGCAGCGAAGCAACCCGTGACTTGACTTGCAACCTTGTGCATCGGAGTGCCACTATTTTCTATAGCTTCATAGACCACTTCTAGAAGTTTTCGTTGCTGTGGATCCATCCACGCTGCCTCAATGGGAGATAAGTTGAACATAGTTGGGTCAAAATATTCTAGGTCATCGTCTAGGAAATATCCCCCAGGGACATTAAAGCTGCCAGGACGCTCGGGATTCTCATGTAGAAAAGCAGCAATATTGAATCTAGAGGATGGAACCCTTGCCGAATTTGCTACCTGCTGACGCAGAAGCATATTCCACAGATCTGAAGGACACTTCACATCTCCGGGGAGTCGGCAGCCTGTGTCCGCTGTGAGTAAGCTACGAGGTCCAGTCGTGGGACCGACTCACCCATGCCTATAATCGCAATTGCATCACTGACATTGTCCACACGCTCACTTTGGAGTGTACAGGCCATAATGACCAAGCTTGTAGGACTCTGATACGTTATCAGCAAGGATGTTGTAGGGTGTCGGGGAGTAAATCTAGAACAATGTTTTCCTATAAGAATCCACTAAATGGAGATGCAGTCAGGAAACATGTACTTAAGTCAGCTGAGATCTGGCCTACTACTAATCGTTTACATTCGACAACTGCAGCCATTAAAGCCGAGGAATGACAGACTAACGGTTATCGTGGAAGTCCTGGGCGGCTGATTTTGCCTTATGGTTGAACGCAAGGGGTTCTGCATGCAACAGTACTAGGGTTCGACAACTGTTGGAGCTAACACCTGCAGTCATCATGCAAGCCTACCCGCCGATAGAGGGCGGAAATTTGGCTCACAACAATCTATGCGCGGCAACTCTAATTATAGTGTCTTCTTATAAGCACGCCGTGCGAATACTGGCGAAGAATGCTCCTGATACTGAACGCCAGCAGTCACCACATGAACATGAGTCAGTCAGTACTTTCGCCTGAATACGCCGCAGAGAACATTGGTCCCCGAGCCTATGGTACTGCTATAACCTTCGCTATATTGGATATCACATTCGTGAGCCTGCGGTTCATATCTCGAAAGGTTTCTCGACTGCAACTTGCCACGGATGACTTCCTTATTGTTTCTGCACTCATCATTTGCCTTGGGCTGAGCGCTTGTGCCATAGGTGAGAGATTCGCTGAATCCACGGTGCCATCACGTAGCTAATCCATACGCAGTGGAGGTTGAGATTGCCGGCGTGGGACGTCATTTGCCAGTAGTGTTGGTCACTGACCCAGAGGCTGTGAAGAACTGGGCCAAATGTGCCTATGCGGTTGAGCAGTTATACTGCGTCGCAGTCTCTCTACCCAAGCTATCCATTGCAGCCACATACCTTCGGATTTTCACAGAGATGCCTTACCGCATTGCGACTCTGCTGGTCTGCGGAGTCATGATAGCAAACGCGACTGCTGGTATCATCGCTTCGCTTGCTCAGTGCCAACCATTCAGCGCACGGTGGAATCTTCAAATTATGCTTCATAATCCCACTTCAGTGTGCATAGATTCAATCCAGTATTGGCGCTGGATCAGCTTCCCGAACATTGTTACGGATGTAGCACTTTTAATACTCCCACTCCCGGTTGTTTGGAGGCTTAAGATGTCCACCGCGCAGAAAATTGCGCTTTCTCTCGTTTTTGTCACTGGTAGTGTGTAAGTCATGATTTCGAAAATGACAGTTGAAGACATGCTAACTCATCTTCAGTGGAATCATTGCTGCTATTGTCCGCTTCTCCTATTTTTTCTCAATCGATGTCCTCACTGATGGCACCTACGTTACAGCAAACTTGCTTGTCTGGACCATAGTAGAGCCTGGAGTCTACTTGATGGCTGCCTGCCTGCCGGCCATTCGACCACTATTCTTGGCAACAGTATCGCAGCTAAACAGGATAACAGGTCTTAGAAGCTATGGTATCACTGCTAGCACGAGCAAGGCTCGAGACAACAAGTCTGATGAGGCTCATATTCATGTGAGCAACGAGATCCAGTTGGAATGGAGCCAAATAGATGCCGAAAGCCGCTGATACGTGTCCACCTTAACTGCCACGAGATTCAGCTTAAATCAGCACGTACAAAATCATCTCATTTCTTTCAATCCATTTCTTATAGCATTGTACAGCTTGCTGCGACGGCGGATGAGCGGCTCAAGCCTCATCCTGAAGGAGAGCACGAGCGCATGGTGGCGGACCACTGCGAGGCTGAGCCACATCAGACAGGTAGAATTACAATCATACGTTGGCACAGATCGAGTGAAGTGATCAGGTTGTGTAATGTGAATTTTCATGGTTCAGGTTATTTCAAGGTTTCGAAGTTTTGAGCTAAGGTTCCAACTGTTACACACGTTCACACTAACCTAAAGAAGTGCCCGGAGTACTGTCTTTGTAAGCGACTATTAGTGGAGTTAACTATTTCTTGTCCTACGATCATTCTCAGTAAAGATCATCGCAGAATGAAAAGATCATGTTGATGTTCGAAAATAACATACATGTTGATGAGTTCCCACCATGTCCTCGCGGTCTCTAACTAACCTAAACTGATTTCAAGTCGCAGGGAGATGGCTGACGCCAAGGCTTGGCGCAGAAGTACGAAAACCAACTATTCCGAGAGGCACAGCAAGAAGACCGGGATGGATGTTCGACGACAATCTAAACGATGAGGAGGCGGAGTTCAGCTCGGTCATTTTCGGTGAAGTTATATCGAACTCCCTTGCAAAATTACTGCATTTCAGCCGTAGCGACCAGCGATGACTGCGCCTTGTTCGCATGGAGTGAAGGTAAAACAATCACTCGATCTGGCTAGCATGAGTAGGCCCACGAAGGTTTCCAGGGCAGTAGGGCGATCACTTGCTGCGTGGCACAGGGGAACCCCAAGGAAGATCAAGAGTGAACCGGCGTCCTAAAGAATCCGACCTGTGCGCTTCTTACCCTCAAATCTCTTCGTCGTTTTCTCTACAGCCGCAGCCATATCAACAATGGTACGAAATCAGGCCCTCATTTTCAAGAGTCCTCCGCTCGAAACACCTGTCGAGGGCGAACATTTCGCTGTTGAGACTGGCGAGTTCGACTTGGAGACAGCCCCACCGCAAGGCTGTATCACGGTCAAAACTTACTATGCCTCCTTTGATCCTTATCAACGTGGTCTGATGCGAGATCCGGATAGCCAGACCTGGGCTATTCCTTTTGTCAGAGGCAAGCCTTTCATCAATGGAGCAGTCGCAAAGGTGCTCAAATCGAACAACCCAGGTTTCAAGCCTGGGGATGTTGTATGGGGAATGCTCGCAACCTCGGAGTACAGTGTAGTCCCCGAGTCCCATATGCCTACGGTACGACCTTTGTTTAATCCTGCTGGCCTTGACTGGAAATACTTTACTGGTATTCTTGGAACTGCCGGTATGAGCGCGTGGGTGTCTCTTTATGAGTATGGGAAACCAAAAAAGGGCGAGACCCTCTGGGTTTCTGCCGCTAGCGGTGCTGTAGGCACTTTGGTTGGTCAGCTCGCTCTTCTGGAAGGTCTGAAAGTGGTCGGAAGCGTAGGATCCCAGGAGAAGCTCGAATACATCCAGAAGTTGGGCTTTGTCGGTTTCAACTACAAGGAAACTAGTCCTGCGGTAGCATTGAAAGAACTCGCACCTGAGGGTATCGATATCTACATTGATAACGTTGGAGGAGAACACTTAGAGATCGCTATCGATAACATGAAAGATTTTGGCCGAATTGGTGAGTGTTGCGATGTTCAAGCTATATGAGATCTCACTAAATTACCTATAGTCAGCTGTGGAGCAATCTCTCAGTACAACTTGGAACCACAGAATCGCTATGGTGTTCGAAATCTCATGGAATTCATGCTCAAGAGGCTGACAATGAGCGGTTTCATCGTCTCAGACCCTCATCTCTTGCAGAAACATGCGGAGCAGTTTGGACAAACTATGTATGGATATCTGCTCCAGAAGACAGTGGCGCCGCCGAAACATGACGTGACGATAGGCATAGAGAATGCGCCAAAGGGCTTCCTAGCGATGTTCTCTGGAGCTAATTCGGGCAAATCACTTCTTCAATTCGACGAACTATCGACTGGTGGCGCACAGTGATTGATCTGCAAAGTTCCTGAGACTCTGCTTGTGAAGTAGAAAGATGGTTCGAGCGATTGATGTTAACCTAAAGAAGCTTACGTATTGAACAATGACTACGTTTGGAAAGCAAAGTGCAATTTCAAGTATCTTCCATGTCCTGTAACCCAAAGATTCGCCGCGAACCGGTATTTAGTGTCGGGAGTCTTTTAAGTATGTATCGAGCTGTACATTGCCGAGCTGATACCTACGCTTTCGATGCGTGTTACCAAGATCGCTGCATACGTATAGCAGTCACCGAAGCATTCAATTTCGATGTCCTCTGTTTGGAATTCGTTGCCGTGGCGCAATAAGGCAAGATGAATCCTCGGTCAGAGGTTACGGTATGTCGCTGGTGAGTCGGTCGAATGAACATGCGTCACCATTCGAGAGGCCCACTCTAACTCATGAAATGTGCAGGGTTTATATGCGGCATCGTCTTCTACATCCATCAGTCAAATCTTCGCGAGGCTGTCTGTCATGCTAAGAATATACTGGCCCACTGTTACACAGTAGATGCCCTCTTGCAAGCCTCAGGTGCAGAGCGGCTGGAGTGGCCGGGCAAATGCACCACACGGCTCATAAAACGCTCGGCCAGGATTATTTGGATGATCGTTGATTGCTATTGGCCGGTAAGATCACTTGTCTCATCAACTGCAGGATCGCCCTTGCAGGATGCCGTGGAATATCGCGCTTCCATGGATGCCGGCTCTTGGATGTCTGATCCATGCCCCGCCTCAGCTACGCCATTAACTTCGTTACATGATCTAAAGTCACTGGGATCTGCTACAGACTTATGTGAAAGGCTAGTTCAGTACAATGCTGATAGCTGATAGACCCAGAACTCTACTTAGTGGCAGTATCCTTCGTCCAAGCGGCAGCGCGGTACTCTAGGCGCCTATCTATGCACGCGGCACGCCCCCTAAGGGTTTAACTGGGAGATTTCTAGACCACGATGCACCATGCAGGATAAGCGCTGACCAGTACTGCAGCAGTTCGAGAGAGAGGTCCCTCGCACCGCCTAAAGAACAGCTTGCAGTCTTTCAGGCGGTGCATATGAAAGGTCTTGTATGATATGATGCGAGAGCTCTCGCACGTCGTCACTGATGTTGATCGTGTGTCCAAGTTGCCCGTGTTCATTGATGTAGGGCTTCATGAATACGAGGCTAGTGCAGCACTCACCTGCAAGGTACCTACGTAGGCCCCGAGTTTGATACGGCACGGCACGGAAAGCTTGGCAACGGTTCCCCACAGGTCTCGTTTAGTCTTAGATGGATGGATCTGGGGTTTTCGGCCCCCAAGTCTTGGACGTCACTCTCACTCTCGAGGAGGGCTTATTCTCACAGAACACAAGTTCGGTTCTGAGCTTTGGAATCTATCTGAGCCTTGCCATCCGTCTCACATGGATAACAATAGGATCATAGCTCTCTCTGTTTGCAAAACTGCGAGCGATCGGAGGCAACGTCAAGGTTGGGAAACACTACAATCCTCGCGCCAGACTATGTCTTCAATTCTAGCAGGTGCACTTCGCCCTGTCATCTCTCTATAGCGTAGCCGCTCAAAACCGATGGTTGTCCAACAAGAAGCCATCTCGCACGAGGTTAGCTCAATGATCCAAAGAGCCTTCGATAATCATCTCTTCCTACTGGGGGAACCCGAAATCAGAGCTGAACATCAATATCCACATCACAACACAGGCTAACTTTTGAATTATGCAGGCCCTGGGCCCCATTTGCCTTTTCTGGGTACCACAGTACCCTCTTGAGAGCTCCCAATTGTTGGTAGCTGACTATCGTGTTGGTAGATGCCAAGATGGCCAGATCGGTTGGAGAAAGCGTCTGGTATCGGTCCTTTTTTTGCCTTTTTGCCTTTTTCCTGGATCAAAAACTCCGCCCCCTGGCAATTACACTGCTTATCTCATCTCACACTGTCCTGGTCCCCTGACCCCTGCCCATTTTTTACCAAGTCATTTGCCTGGACATCGATGATGTACTGTTTTGAAAGTGGCAGCATGCATATTCTTGCCCGTGGGACTGGCACTACCCCGAATCTACAGCGCTTATATTCTATAATCTATATGCTCCAATGGCACAACGGCATATATTCTCTTTCCGCACTGTAAACTTCTAGTGTTGATCATAAGGTGGCACTAGAAAGTGGCAGGGGATACCCTCTAATTGATCATAGTGCTCGAAATGTTGTACAAGCAAGGGGATGCGCTCAAACCCGCGATACCGACATCTAGATGCTACTCACGACGAGGCTGGCCCCAGTTCTGACCGTGGCGTAGCCGCTGAATGACGATGATTGATGACTCTATCAGTTCAGTCGATCGGGCCTTTCGTTCTCGTATCCTTCTATCACTCCGCCAGTAGCGGGACTGGGAAGAAGCGCATTGGCTTCTTCCCCCGTTATACTGTTGCACTGTCGTGCAGAGACTTGCGACGGGCCGAGTATGCAGGCCATCGGTCCTACGAACGCAATGATACGATTACGAACAAGATTGATGGCTTATCTATCAGCGCGGAATGACCCTGTAGCAATATGCGAGAGGTTCTATTTGCGTCAGTGACGGAGATCGCAGAGCCGCCAGGACCATGCACGTTCCTCTTGATCTGTATCTACTTGATCATTCACCTCGTCAAGTCTGAGAGACTAATACTGTCGTTAGCACGATCTCCTGACAGCAAGTCCTCATGCATGTGAGTGCTTTGACACCTTCTCTCTAACATCGGTATCAGCGCAATGTCTTCAACCAGTAGTTTCCGCATGCTTGTCGTCGATGGTGGTCCGATCGGTCTTTTCGCGGCATATGTCCTTCACGACCTTCAAACTCGACTGTATTGTCCGCGAGGAATCCAGCGTCACAGGCAAGCGAGGTGGATCCTTGTTCCTTCGAGTCAATACGCTACGAGTATTCCAACAGTTTTGACTGTTGGATAATTTACAGCGTTGGGGTCTCTATGATCGAGAAGGTCCGATCCCCTGACCGACGGTCGTGTCCTGCGAAAAACGAACGGGATCCGGTCTTCCAGGGGAAGTACGTTACAACACTGTCTATCCGATTTGACGCTCTGTTCAAGAGTATGATTTAGTCATGGGTAGTTCAGTGTGGGTTTAGAGCGCGAGGCTCTCATAGACAAGCTTCTCAGCACTCTACCCATTACGAGAAGGTCCTACGGGTGTATAGCAAGGTGAACGACAGCGAAGTCTCCAAGAATGGCGTTCGCATCACCCTCGAGAACGGATCTATCGAAGAAGATCTAGCTGTTTAGTGTCTCATCGGGATATCCTCGAACGACGACACGAAACAGAGTACGCTCTATGAGCATCGTTCAAGCAGATTCGGAGACCATGTCGTTTCTGGACGCGGTGAAGTTGCACTGAGGACTTGCCAGGGCCTTACCAGCTGTCTATAAATGTCACAAAAACTGGTCGCGAGGCCTTCGCGCAGCCTTGATAGGTAAGTTCGTCTGCAAGAACATTAGAAGACGGTCAAGTGTCGACCCCCCTCAATCTGGAAATGGGCTTCTCGAAAGTCTGGTACTAGGACCGTATTGTCGTCGCAGAAGATGCTTTGTGCTATATGGAGCAGTTTGCAGGTATAGCGTTCAACTGCGGCGCCCAAAGGTTCGTCTCTCTAGTCAACGTTCTTCGCGAACTTCTTCATTGCGACGCCGAGCCGATAACGGCCGATCTCCTCTGCGTGTTTGAGACATACAGACTCGAATTCGAAGCGCTATGTACGAATGCTATCGACCTGGCTAGGAAAATTGCTCATGGTATCCCGTGGCCTTCCTGATTTATGTAGATCGTCTATCGAATTATATTTAAGGTCTACCGAAGGATAAGCTAAAGCATGTATCTATGTCATATCGTTATGACTGACTTGTGCGTGATTGAGGATCGAGTTTTTAGCATAGGAATGAGCCTAACCTCGCGCCAAATTTCATCTTCTATTGTAGACCTCCATCATATATAGAACGGCTGAGGGCGTAAGCAAGAACGGTGAGGAGATAAATAATAGATCTCGTTGATATTATACTTATACTTTTTCCTTCACGCACCTCTTCTAAATCCTATCACTCTACTAATACTACGTGCTCTGTCCTTCTTGCATCAAACTCTTTACACGAAAGACTATGCCTACTTATTGTATATCGCCTATCCCCTACCGAACATACAGTCTCCATACCAGAATACGAGGGATTGAAGCCATATTGAAAAATTCTATAAGTAAGAAAGTATTTCACATGCACATTCGACACGTAGTCCTCTCCCTTTCCTTTCCTTGCCTTCCCTTCCTTTCATATTGATATTATCCCTATCCACTTAAGGTACTACTTTACTGTATAACCCTCCGCCTCCTTTTACTTCTCCTCCTCCTTATTCTTATTACTATTTTCATTTCTATATGAACGTATGTACACCCAATACTAGACCAACCTATCTCCCACGATCGCTCTCATTATCTCCATCCTTACAATATCTAAAACCACTACCCTTGATTCTCTATGGAATTAGACGTACTAGGCCAATGAAAAAACAACACTAGAGTTATCCATTATATCAGAATTTAATATATTTGTATACATTCTCCATCCCGTCTTACCGTAGAGGTAAGAAGAAAAACGATGGGACTTTGTATTTACATCTGGAATCTTATCAGGCTGTTAAACTTATCGTGTAGTAGTGGATAGTGATGAAAGGGTATCAAAGACGATATTAAAGTTTCTGCCATGCTTTCCATCGATATAGATGTGGCTACCAATGTAAAATTTGAAATATGCTATGATGACGTAGAACTTGTATCAGCATTCCTTCGGCTATGTTTCAATCTCCTAGACAAACTATCTGTTGAAAGGTAACCCCAAGGCCGCTTCGTTATAAACGATGAGCCAGCCCCGGTCTCACGCTCATAGCCGATATATCCAACGAAGGAATCACGTTAGATACACATTCCTTGTCACGTTAGGTCATACCGCAGTAGGAGAATCCGGCTAAGGTCCGTCGGCAGCTTGCGTTTCGGCCGCAGAGTCAGGAGCAGACGGTGCTAGGGAGTCTTGCGTAGCAGTTAGAGTCGCGAAACAAGGCTTCATATTTGAGCTGGGTGCGGGAGCTCAGAAGGTTATGACTTTGCGCCCGCCATTGTTTTCTTCTCCTTAATCTGCTCCCTACCATGTCGTCCGCATGGTCGCCGAAGCATTCCTGGGTCGGTAATTTGTCACCGTTGGATTGCGAATCGTTTCTGAGGCCAATAAGACATGGGTATATACCACCGGATACAATCCGAAGGCCTAGATAGGAATTATATAATTAGTTACTCTAACAGTACAGGTTGAGCTTGCAATCTGAGCCAAGGGATTAGGTTGACTTTATATTAGATTAATTCAAGAGCAAATATGGCGAGGTAGTAATTAAGGTTCTTCAAATAGGTTAAAATATCTAAGAACCTAAGAAGCTTTAACATACGTAGATACGTCGTACATAGAATGGCCACCTAATTCTCCTCGAACCTGTCTATATTCGACTAGTATAGTCGTATATAAGGCCTTGAATTGTACGTCTCTAAGTAATAAACTCCCTTGTGTTATAGAGTTAGATATATTAAGAAACTCACTACTAGAACCCTACTAAAAATCGAGTAATTTAGCTACACATAGAAGCCTTACGTTATCCCCCCCCCCCCCGTGGGTAACAAAGTATCCGCTCTTTGTGGACTCATATGTTTAATCCAGTATGTAAACAACTGAATAGATAAGATTGGACCGTCTTGAGAATCGTTTTAAGGCGTAGATTAAGCTTATATTCTCTCTATATTTTTCTCGGCCCAGATTGAGCTTGAATAGATTTAGAGTGTACATGCCTTTGCCTTGGGCCAATCTTTGGAAGGTAAGAGACTTGGGGGGATTAGTGGTGCTTATGCCATCTTCGATAAGACTAGACGTAATTACCCAGCATGAAGCTTCGAATCAGCCTATGGATTCAATCGATAAGTCAACTTAGTCAAGTAGATAATACTCAAGATATTTTAGTAGATATAAGGTTATGAAGATAAGAACCACTGATACTTCATTATATGTATCTACGGCTATTCTATCTCCAAAGAGTATATATGGCTCTTAGGACTCTAAAGCTAATTAGATCCTCGATTAATTACTCGCTTAAATCGATGCTCTACTACTAGCTCTACCCAAGTAGGTAAAGAGTGAGATCTAAGCTCTAGCTGAAGATCCATGTGTGGCCCGAGCGTGCGCCAGGCACCAATGATGTTATCTACAGATCTGACAGATCTTCATCTCTTGCATCTTCATTGTTACAAGGCGGATAACATCAGAACAGCCCGGAAAATGTGATTTGAACCGAGGATTTCACTCAACACAATCGCACGCGCTTCTTGTCAAACTTGCATCGCTCTACTGGACTTACCGCTCCACTTAGACAAGCCGTCAAGTTCTGTCCTGGACCTATTATTGAGAACATCTTGAACAAGTCTCACCACAAAGATAACGGTGGCTAGACTTATATCGGGATGCCTAGGGTAGACCACGACAATGCTGGCCGGTCTTCTGACAAGAGCGGACCGCCGTCGAAAACCCGTAGCTGCGTGACTTGTTACACGCGAAAGGTCCGCTGCAACAAGGAGTCACCCTGCTCAAACTGCCGTCGCGCAGGCGTTCCTTGCATTTTCCCATCTACAGAACGGCCTGTTAGGTGGGCTCGCCGTTACGAGCGGGCTGGGACCGGATCTGCCTCAAAACACGCAGAATCAGAGATAGCTGACGCTGCGACTCCCCAAGTCCTGAAACGCTTGAAGGGTCTCGAAAGTCTCGTCAAAGACTTACGAGGACAGCTGGAGCGCGCGAATGTTGCCGCTGGGTCCTCTACCGGAAGCTCGCCAAATGAGAGTTCTCCCAGGGGTTCTGCGAATGATGGTGGCACCAATCGCGAGGCTGGGGTTTCTGGTTCTGACGCTGGGAATCTGAGCGATAAGTTTGGGAGAATGGTGGTCAAAGATGCACGTGGCGGTCGATATGTCAGCAGCGGGTTCTGGTCTCGAATATATGATGAGGTATGTTCGGCCGGGAGTCTGCATTTGGCGACGATGAGTTGATTGACAAATCATACCAGCTTGATGGCCTCGAGAACGATAGTCGTGGACTGCTTCCGGACAGATCCTCTGATTCAGAGGATGACGAACTGCCTGCCACTTCATTGACAAACGATGAAATTGATCGGACACCGTGGAACCGAAACGCATTTTTGTTCAAGCAGAACCTAAACATGACAGGGCCTGATTTGCGAGAGTTGCATCCACTACCGTCACAAATTCCGTATCTTCTTGACATCTTCCAGGAAAATGTCAACTCGATCAGCGGACTTATTCATTGTCCCACAGTGGCGAAGATGCTACGCGACTCCCAAAAGACTGGCTTGAGTCCTTCGGACGAATCTTTAGCATTTTCAATATACTACGCAGTAGTGGTATCTATGGAAGAGGAAGATGTGTTGTCCAACTTTGGCGTTCCAAAGATTGACCTCAGCCTGAAATATCGCATGGGGTTGGAAAATGCCCTTGCCAAGGCCGATTTCCTCAATGCGCCAGACTTGACGCTCGTACAGGCTCTCACCATATTCATAAGCCTGGCTCGCCGTCACGACAGTCCGAGGTTTGTATGGATGATGACCGGTATCGTCATTCGGATGGCACAAGCCATTGGACTGCAACGGGACGGATCTCGTTTTGAGCACATGACACCATTTGAAGTCGAGATGAGACGAAGAGTCTGGTGGGTCCTATACACGATGGATATCAGATCCTCAGAAGACCAGGGAATGGAGTATACAATCGTAAATGGCAGTTTTGACACCAAATTTCCTCTCAACATTAATGATACAGACATCAGCCCTGATACTAAGACCTCCCCAAAGGCTCGTGACGGTCTGACTGATATGACATACCCCCTTGTATGGTTAGAGATGAGCGAAGCAACGAAGCAGATGATGAACAAAAGCACTAGCGGAGCGCTAGACATGGCAGAGCAAGACCACATGATGGACGAGGCTTACCAGAAGCTGAACGGTGGATTACTGCGGTACATGGACGAATCCAGCGATGCTGTGTATCGTATCGGTGTTGTGATTGCGCGCATCGTCATGGCAAAGATGACGCTCCTCATACACATGCCGATCCTGTTTTCCGAGACAGACCAACGACTCACCGCAGAGCTCAGGAATCGTTTGTTCGTAGCAGGTCTGGAGATTGCCGAGTATAACCATGAGTTGAACGAGGAACCAGCTGGTCGTCGTTGGCGATGGGTCTATCAAGTATATTCCCATTTTTGGGCAATCATCTTCATCTTGTTGGAGGTGTCTCGACGGCCATGGTCACCTCTTGTTGAACGAGCCTGGCTTGCACTTCACAGCCCATGGCTCATTCCGGCTCAATCGAAAGCTGACAAAACATCTCAGATTTGGGTACCGCTGCGCAAGCTGCTAGCCAAGGCGAGAAAACACCGCGACTCCGAGCTAGGTCGGCTTAGAAGTGATGCCGAGGCAGCTTCTCTGCTGTTGAAAAGTGACGAAACGTTGCCCTGTCCATCGAGCCCTGGTCTTTTCACGGGAGTATTTGATGTTACTGAGGTCTATAGAGAACGCTGGCGCCGGGTCTTGGGAATCTCCACCCAAGCCAGGTCTGTTCAAGAGCCTGAGCCTATGACAGCACCAACTCCAACTGCCACAAATACGCCTTCAACGCAAGGCCTCCAAGGGTATCCACTCCAAGGCGATGTGTACGCTCATGGACCCATGCCACACGATCTTGACCTCTTGTACAACACTATGCCAATGGAAACGGGCAGTGAGAACATAATTCAATACCCCGTATGGCAGGAATCCGGCATAGTAGACCCCTCTAGCACAGCATGGCCTATTGATCCCAGTTTCCCTGCATGGTTGTGGCAAAACGAGGATCCGTCTCTTGGTGCTGCTAACCTTAACTTTGCAGCTGCTGATACGAACATGGACCTCGACGTTGACTGGTACGACTGGATCAAATCTACCGGAGGCATGGGTTGAGCTCACCTATTCGGACGACATGAACAGCTAGTCGTAATTTTTGATAAGGGAGTAAGAGCATTAGATGATCTATCTCACCGTGGATTTAAGGTCGGTCTATTCTGAAGCACACGGGCAAACCCGAGCTTCCAGCGCTTATGCGAAATCAAACTCAACATACTCAAAGATGCTTATCCATCCACTCCAGAGCCTGCTTCTCTGAATCCTCCAACGCCTTCCTCTCCTGTGGATCATCCGGATTTCCCCTGACAGCGAAGCCATGCCGTCCCGGCTCATAGACACGATGCTCCATCTCGGGCACCTTACTACCCTTTGCTCTCAACCCCGCATGCACATCCTCTACCTTGCCCTTCGTCGCAATACTCACACCCTCATCCTTCAAGCCCCACCCATAGCTCACAGGCACAACCAACCCCTCAACATCCCCCGGCACAGCCAGATGCGACGGATGCAGCGCCACCACCGCATCCACAAGCGGCACCTCTCCCCTCCCATCAACAGCCACCCGATTCGCCGCCAGCCCAGCCCGAATCGCATACTTGCCGCCCCAGCAGAACCCGACCATGCCAATCTTCGTGCTCGCAGGCGTCGCCGCCCGCAGCTTCCGCAGCCACGCCATACACACCTCGTTCGTCTTCTTCTCGCCATGCCGCGTCATCCACATGACGAAACTCGGCCCCTTGGCCAGCATCCCCGTGTACTTGCGCAGCGCACACTGCGCCCCGGCGTCCACGGGCAGCAGCACGTCTGCTATGTCGAGTGCCACCGGGTCGCCCTTGAAGAAATCGGGCATGTAGACCTGGTAGCCTGCTCGTGCGTACGCGTCTGCGATCAGCTTGTTGTTTGGCAGGGGCAGCCCAAAGACGTCGGTGTATATTACGATGATGGCCTTGGGCGTCGTGCCGCTCGGTGGGTTTGCGATGTAGACGTTTAGGTCGTGGAGGCTGGCTTCGCTGCCGGTGGGCTGACCTGTGTGGATGGTGCCCTGGATGCAGTGCTCGCAGGCTGGGTTGGATGCGTCCATTGTGGGATGTTGTGTTTACAGTATGTGCGTGTGTATATGGGTGTCGGTGTGTGTGGTTGTATATGTTTGAGAGTATGTATATACGTTGCTCGGGGCAGTCGATACTATACACGCGAAGCCGTATTCTAACGTCGCTCTCTGTTTGGTATCAAGATGTGAAAAAGTCTGATAGAATATCACAACAGACTCAACCAAACCACCAGGTACCTTTCCATCCCTTTATATACACCCCTCTCATCCCCTCCCACTCCCACACCGCTCCAAAACCCAAAATCATCTCAGCCCCCAAAAAACAACAACCCAGTCCCGTTGGGATCAGCATCCCCTTCCCTCTTTCTCTCTCCTTTCTTCTCTCGTCCGCGCTCGAAACTCGCTTCGAGCTCGCTCGCTCGTCGGTCGTTCGGCCGCGTACTTCCCCATTCGGTCTAGCTCGCTCTAGTATGGTCTAGCGCAATCCAGCCTAGTGGCTATCTAGTATATCAGTCTAGCGCGTCATTTGATCAAAAGCATTTCCGGCACGCACTGGGACCGAAAACTAGAAAGGAAAATCCCCAACAACAGGGTCCTTGCGTAGAGTGGAACTTGAAATTAACTTGGTTTGGACTGTGGTGGGTTGGAGTGTATCAGGGTTGGATTGGATTGGTAAGAGGACTACGAACATGGGTGGGCGCTGACTGGACATCATACATGTATGGGATGGGCATGGGAATGGGACATGGAACGGGAATTGTGGTGCGAGTATGCGTATGCAATGAGGATTACGGTAATCAGGAGGAAGAGGATGCTGGCTGGTATCATGAGCGTGCTATAGTAAGCGAGATGGGCAGGCTTGCAAGCGATATGATGAAGTCTGGCGCGTTGTTGCAGGCGCTCGTATTTGGTATTGCTACTCTACTCTATCGGGGTTTGTCGTGAAGGTTCATCAATACATATGCGTGTGTGCATGCTTCCTCGCCACAATCCGTCCCAGTTTCAAGCAAATGCAGTGATCCCGCGCGCGCGCCATATTCCCCGTTCCATGCGATGCAATGCAAGTGATATATACCCCAAAAGTCCAACCGTTTCGTATGCAGAGGGAATCACGACTCCCTACCCAACTCCCCAGAGTCCCACATTCTCAGCATTTCCTCTCTGACAACCTCATAGATCAAGGCGTACTGGACCTCGTTCTGCACCATCATTACGCGTTGCTTCCTCATCTGCTCCACGGCATTGTATATAGGATCCTGCTTCTCGTCGACTGTGCTCTTTTTCAGTCTCTCTTCGCGCATCAGTCTGAAGAGAAAGTCCAGGGCAATAAAAGTCCCGCTTCGACCGACACCCGCACTGCAGTGTACGACGCGTGGACTGTCAGGATTCTCAGCGGTGACACGGCGAACTTCATTGACGAGAGCAGCGAGTTGTTTCTTGGCGTTAGCGTCGGGAACAGAAAAGTCTGGCCATGATTCGAATGCGTAGTGCATGATGCGCCGCGTTTCTTGGGTTGCTTCGTGGCGGAGAGTCAGGTCGCGATGGTAGCAGCCCGTTGTAGCGTCAAGATCTGACGTTCCTGGTATTACGGTATAGTCTGGCTCTTCAAGGTGCTCGTTGGAGTAAATGGAGGCAGGTTCGTGTGAGGGCAGATAGTCGGCACACTTCTCGCGTCCGCCCTCGGCAACTTTTGTGAGCATAACTATGATTGCTGTAGAGGTGGACTCGGTGAAAATCATGTGCCAGAAATGGCCCACGGTGATGTCTTTCGGACCTTGTGTGGCGATGCAGCGGCTCGGTTGTTCATCGCCGTCGAAGCGTTCGAGGGTGATTGGGGAGGCGTTGATATAGTCGCAGGCATCTTCGTCGACCTGCAGTAGGACGCGGTTGTAGGGATAGGCGTCAACATTGACGTATCGGTTCCTAGAATTGATAATCTTCTTCAAGTTCTCGTCGTAGGGTTCCTCTGATAGGGCGTTGTCATGTGGCAGCTGGCGTTGTGTCCATTCCAGTGACTCGAAACGCTTCTTGATTTCTAGACTTGCAGTCAGCTCCTAAACGTCATTTATGTAGACAGCCTTCCTACCTGATTTCGACTGTAGGAGGAAGTGTGGATATGGGTCGTTTGGATTTGTACGTGGTCTCGAGGGACTTCGTGAATCACTCCTTCTGGCTGGTATGCGCAGACGTCCTGGCGAAGGAGGTCTACTGCTCGGTTGTGAGATAGCCCCGTCCGGATCCCTATCTTCAGCCTGGTCTTGTATCTCCGGGGCGGTGACAACGCTAGCGGCAGTAGATGACATGGTACTTTCTGGAGAGGAGGGAAGGGGACTCTGAGGGGAAGACTGGTCGGCCATCGAGGCGTTATTAGAGAAGGGCAACGGAGTCTTCAGCTTCGCCAGACGGTTACGGCTGTTGCGAGCAGCCTTCTCGCGGAGGCTGCGAAGTTGGTTCAGTTTGGCGGTATTTGGTGGAGACGACACGGCGCGTGTAGCGATAGGCGACAGGCTGGCGGTAATTGCAAATCGGAATTTGATTGGAGTATGCAGCATGCAGGCCTGAGGTAGTCTCGGACTCGCGTGAGGCCTCAGGGCTCAAGGATTGTCGGCGTGGGGGAGAAGGGCCGGATTAACAGAAGCGAGGCGCAGGATGCAGATGCGGGGGTCCGAAGGAGATATATAAGATATACATATGCTGGCTGTGATGTACAGTGTATAGTAGCTGCTGTTGTAGCTGTGAATGATGCCAAACGTTGTGGGCGTGTGTAGCAAAAGAGATGTGGCAAGAGGGCCAGGGGAAGTGAATGTTATTGTGATGAAGATGAGCAGCGGGATGATGACGATGCGCGCGTGGTGGGGCTAGTACTCGCCAGCGACGCAGCTAATTCATCGCGATCTGTGCCCAATGCACAGGCCGGAAATAGGTACAACAGGCAGCAAAGTAGATATATATATATACGTATATATATAGTCACTGTTGAAGGATACTTGACGCTTCCATTTGACCACGTGTAATTGTTAAGTCATTCAATCATCTCTACTCATCCATGTAATGAATTCGTCCCGTTGGGGCACTATTGCTGCCTCAGGCTGACACTAGCTCTACCGACTCAGCCACAGTGTTCCGATACATAATTTACGCTAAAATATATAACGCCACGATTCACAACCACTCATAGAAGTCTTACATAAGCCTATCATGACTTTTCAAATCTTTCAAGATAGGTCATTCTAATAGGTATGAGTGTGTCTATGTACTAGCTTTATGTCATGACTTATTCGTTCTGTCTTGTCCGCGTGATTTATGGCGTAGGCCTATAATTAGTATATAGTATGATTAGATACTAATACCATGGTTCCTTTTGAGGAGAGGAAAGAGAGATAGTAAGAAGACATATCGAGAAGTGGACCTCACTCAGTACAGGTAGACCTCAGTGTCGGTAAGCTAAGATACCCTGAATACAGATGTTGCATTGTAAGCTCCACACTTCTTAAGATTCGACACATCCATCTCTTCAACGTCTAGAAATCCACGAAATCATTGCCCCTGAAAGCATCCATCCATACATCGTCAACCCCCACCACTCACATCACATCCTATATCACCACCCTCTAAATCATCTCACCATCAAACACAACCTCCAACAACCCATCTCCATCCTCCCCAACCCACACCCCAGCAACCCTCAAGCCCGCCTCCTCCACCAACTCCCTCCACAACCTCTCCTCCCTCTCCGTGCCCGCAAAGCCCGACATCATGACAACATCCAGCCCCGCTGCCGGAAGCCCCACACGACCCTGCGGCATGACAAGATCCAAAATAAACAACTTGCTATACCCAGGCGTCATCGCGCCCCGGATATTTCGCAGAATCTGCACGGCCATCTCATGCGGCCAGTCGTGGCAGATATGCTTCAGCACATACGCGCGTGCGCCGTGGATCGGCTGCGGCGTGAAGAAGTCGTGTGTCATAAACTCGACGCGTGGCGCTTGGTCACGCAGTGCGGCTGGCACTGATCCTACTACGGAGGCTTGGTCTTGACAGATCAGTCGCCCTGGCTTGCGCGCGCAGTGCTCAGCGAGGATGTGAAGGTCATGCCCGAAACCGCCGCCGACGTCGACGACTGTGACGTCTGCGTGGTTGGCATCCGGTAATCCTTGAAACAGCAAGTCTTCGACGGGGAAGAGGGCCGCCCACGCGGGTTTGGCGGCGCGGTAGCCGGTCATGAAGGCATTGAAGTTGGCGGCGGCGCGTGGGCGTATGGCAAGCCATTCAAACCACGAGTCGAAGGTGTTGAAGGCGAATTGATAGGGGCCGGTGCGTGGATTGGAGGGGTTGTGGTATCCGTGAGCAGCGATATACTCGGGGAGTCGTGAGGCGGCGCGGAAGGCTTGCTCGTGGACGACGGAGATTCCGGCGGCGAGAGGGGGTGCTGTAAAGGTTTGGGAGAGTGGAGTGTGCGTGTATGTACGGGGACTGGTGATGGTAGTGATGTGGAGAGAGGCGAGGACGCGCATTATGCGGACTGCGGGTAGTGGTCAGGGGGGAGGATGAGTGGGAGAGAGAGGAGGTGTACTTACCGACGAATTCTTCTTCGGCGCCGGAGAAACGGGCGATTTGGGAGGCGGTTAGCTCCGAGTGGGTAGCGAGAAGCTGGAAGATGTCCATGTCGACGGCGATCTTGAGGATGGGAACTATGGAGAAGGACATGAGGAGCTCCATTGCTCTCTCACCGGGGTTTTCGAGTTGGCGAACGATCTCCCTCGCACTATCAAGGATCAAGGCTTTGTCAAGAGTGTTGTAGGGGTCTTTGTCGCTCATGGATTGGATCAGGGACGTCAGGCTTGGTGGCTCGAGAGGTAAGAAGCCGGAAGAGGGCGGGTGCATCTTCTTATGCTCTGGAGAAACTGGTCCATCGTGGAGGTTTGATAACACGGTTTGGGGCTTCTCACACACGACTGGACTTTCTGGCGGTGTATCCATGACCAGTGGCGGAAGGAATGTAGTGCCATTGAGAGCATCTTTACATGGAGTCTTTAGTAATGGATTATCTTCAACAGGTGTTGGCAGGGCATGGAACTGAGCCATGATTTTGGAAGCAACCTCGCTGTTTTCGTCTGTCTTGATGGTTGCTAGACGCTGTGGAGCTTCCATAGGCGGCTCCTCCAGAGTAACAGTAGACATTTTCGATACTTGGACTGGTTATAATTCCTTGTATGTGCTTGAAAAAGGTGAGTGATATACGTTTCGGACCGGCAGAAGCGTGTCTCTCGATGGATAAATCTTACACCACTAGTATAACAAGGAAAAAGTAGTCCCTTAGGTATGGGAATTCAGTAGAGCTTTATTGAAAGTAGACGTAGAATTGCTAGATGGATGGCTTCTTTTTCTGTCGCTGAAGAGTAGTACAGCGTGAGAGCACTCTTTTATATTGCAAAACCTACATTTTGAGTTTCGTCAAGGTCTCCTGTCACATCCGAGTCGCGTCCACCAGATTGGGTTTCAAGCTCGAGAGCAGGAGTGATCCATTTCCCATTTACGGAATCCATAGCTCTTCTCGCCAATCGCCACTATCCACTAATGGGATCCCAGCGCAGTTTACTTTCCTACTAGCTGAGAACATGGGCCGAGATACGATCACAAAATAGTGATGAAGGTACCCATTGGTTGTCGCCGCTTCATGCCAAAGAAAGGTGACTTTTAGTCAGTATGAGGAGTCGTAGTTCTGACACTAGGGCATCCAATCTTCTCTCTTCACGCTCTCTACTATTACGACTCAGAAAGCATATGAGTAAGTCGAATCCTGGTATCTTGTCTGTATTGGCCTATCTTTGACCTAGCCAAGCTCGTATGACATGTCTGAGCTAGTCAGTCGGAGGCATCCCCTGAATCTTTATCATAGAACGTGCTTAGGCCTCTGGAATGATTCATGGAGCGAGCGAGTCAGGCTATGAGACCGTATCATTATTTACGTTCAGCTGCTCTGTTCAAAATTCGTCCGCCATCTCCCCGCCTCCAACGCTAGGAATTACCGCTTAGCGCCTTGCGCCAGATACCGCGCGGCAGGAGAAGTTGGGAAACCGCACATCCTGTGCGGCGGCAGGGATTGCCTTTGTTCGGAGAGATGGGTTCATCATTGCGACAGGAGACGGAAACCGTAGCGTTGTAAGGGAACCCTGATCGCGTGTCGTATAATGCTAAACCGCGGAAATAGCGCCTCCGTGCAATCATAAACTTGAGAGTCATGATAGAGTGAAGATGATAGAGGAGCTCGTGACTGGGGAAGATCGAGTTGACAGACGTGGATTTAAGGCTGAAGAGCTAGTCTATAACCGGTTAGTAGATCCCGCTCATCACTTTCTTGGACGGAGATGATGGAGGTCTAAATCGCATGGACTATTCTTCCCGCCCTACCATGCCACCACCAGGTATTTTGCTTTTTTCATCAGCACTCCACTCTCACTCACTCACTCACTCACTCACTCACTCACTCACGCACATACCACTGACCATACATCCATCAGCAACGCGTCCGCCATCTCACCTAAGTATAAGCCGTGTGGCCTTATCACGGCCCTACTCCAACACACCGGGCTGAATTCTTCCTTCTGTACGTGGCTCATGTCGGCAAACCCGTATTTACCAACAGCCAACATGTTTCCGTTACCCTCTTCGGCGCTCTCTCCGAGCTCTTTCTTTCCAATCATGTGTATGCATATCGATAACGTCGGCCGACTTGCCCCACTCTTCGCGTCTTCTGTGGGTGTCGGCGGTCCAGAAATGCAAGACAGAAGCGATCGTGCATAAGAGTTCCAGCTAGGATAGCAAGCAAGATCGTATCCTAGAGCAGCCCCTGCCCCGATACAGCGGATCCTGGTGTTGGGTCCGTATAGGAACAGCCCGATGACGTGACTTCAGACCGTCAGCCGGTTAGTACCTATAGCGACTACTACATCCCTATTTCATTCATACAATCCCGGTATACATGCCGACGAACGAAAGGAGCTACGCATCGAGTGATGTTATCATAGTCCAATCGCCTCGGACTTTTTCGACCGAACTAATCGCTTTCTCTTCGTATCTCCTGCCGTTTGCCAAGCATAAATGAGTGGCGTGATTTCCGCAGAGATAGACCCTAATACCAAATAGTATGCAAACAGTACAACACCTATCTAGTCGCGAGATACTATGAGAAATATCACACAGCGAACCATTTGGGGCACAGTTTATAGTGCAACTGTAGCGCTTCATTGGTAATCTCGTCACGATCCAACACCTTCCGATAATTGCGATTGGCTGATATACTCGAAAAGTGAATGTAGAACAGGATGGCTTGGACACTTTCGAAGCCAGACAACCTGGCAATGAGATCGTCAAATACCGAGACTCCGCCTATCATTGTGGAGATAGTGGCGATCATAGGGAACCAACAGTACATTCTGAAACCATAGAGGCCTCAATCACATGAACTCATCGCCATTGCGTCACACAATGCACATATGGTTGGCTCGCAGCTTGCCTATTGCCGTCAGCTTCGCACTGTAGTCACGAAACCTCCCTTGCATTCCAGAGTCAACCTTGACTATCATAGCCATGATGGATATCGCCGCTGTCAGCAGCCCACAAAACATAAAGTTGAACTGATAACGGAACAGACGGGACGGATTTGATATGACACGGCCCATATGTGAAGAGACTACCGAGCAGCTTCCCGTGTTTGGTATTCCTTGGTCTTTCCAAAAATTTACCTCAGCACTTGGGTAGTCAGCACTGGGGATAGTCAGCACTTGGAATACTCAACTCTCCAGATAATCAGTACTCAGGATAATCAGCACTCAATATAATCAGTATTTAGTACAATAGTACTCAGAATAGTCAGCAGTTGGAATAATCAACACTTGACATAACAAGCACTCGAAATATCTAGACAATCCCGCCCCAGTGAACTCACATGCAAGACATGAAACCAAAATACATACATACATACATACATACATACATACATACATACATACATACATACATACATACATACATACATACCTACCTCCCTACCTCCCTACCTCCCTACCTCCCTACCTCCCTACCTCCCTACCCACCCATAAGCCCCCTCCACCCCATCCCCCCATCTCACAGCCCAAAGCCCCCCAAAAACCCACCCCAATCAACCAAAAAACAGCACATCCTCGTAACCCCAATGTCAACATTCTTCTACCCCAATACCAACCCCAAGATCCACGACCCCATCATCCACGCCCTACTACGCACAACACCCCGACAAACACGCCGCACCCCAGCCACGCCCAATAGTCCCATCTCGGATACCTCCGACAACGCACGCACGCACGCCCCAGGTACGACTGACAGGCGGGTGAGCGACTGCACTACACTACACTACACTACACTGCATGCATACCCCTGAGCGGGTCGGGGACGGGGGGAAAGAGGCAGCGGTAGCGAGTATGGACAGCCCTACCTACGCCTTTGAGATAGCGGGTTTGGCGATGCCGCGCGGTGTGAGGTGCGAGGGCAGGTTGCTGGGGATCGGAAGGGTGTTTCGTGGGTTTAGTATGGTCGGGTTTTTCTGATGCGGGTAGCGGGTTGTTTGTTGAGCTTGTCTGGTGCTGTTTGGTGATTTGTTCGTCGTACTTGCTAGGGTGACGTTGCGCGGTAGGTATGTGATGGTGGTGGAGAAGAAGAAGGATTCAGGGGTCGGGGGTCGCTAAGGAGGGAAGCATCTGGTTGATTAGCTGAGTTTTGCAGTGCCGAGCTGTGTACGTGCATGGCTGGAGTATGAAATGCGTGCGTGTTTTGCGAATTGGGCGGCTGCTGGAGAATTTTCTATACTGTGCGAGTCGGGAGCTAGGTTATTGAGTGAATGTGATACTTTCACCACGAGCGAGAAGACACTGAGTTCTGATTCACTATTCTTCCAGAATCTTGAGGTCAAATGTGTCATCGTCTTGCAGGCAATCAAGGAATGCCTGTTCGGGAGTTGTTCTACCAATACGGAAGCCTATATAAATCAGTCATGCAGAACCCATATACAAGACCTCAACGCCAGCTACACGTCGCACAATTTCCACGGCCAAAAAAATATGCCGAGGGTAGTCGTTTCGACAAACCCCCGAGTGCGTCTATATTCAAAAAGAAAAGGGCGGCTGGTCTAGCATGCATTCGTCCCCCAAACTTATGCGCCCAACATCGTGCTTTCTTCCAAATCGTATGTGCCTTCATGTAATCCCTTCATGACTTTCTCGCCCTCCGGTGTGAGCTCTGGCTTCCCGGCAGGTGTAACAGCCCCTGTAAAAAATCTCGGTGTCCACTCGATATTTGCAGTCTTGCGCTCTGCCGCTTTCTCCCGTTGCTTTTCCTCGATTTCGACCTTTAGCGTTGTGGCTTGGGAGAATTGCTTTGAGACAATGGCATCGGTGACCGCTTGCCAGAAGCGACGTGATTCATTGGTGAGCTGTTTTTCTTGGGGAGGGAGGAGTTTCGGAGCGGGGAAAAGAGGGTTTACGTCGAGTAGAAGAATCTTCTCCTGATGGGTAGAAACGCAATTAGCATAAGATGGCTGTATAAAAGGGACGTAGGTCGTGTGGTCTACCTTTGATTTGGCGAAGGGCTGGCTCCCCAAGGAGTAGTAAACCTTGTCTTGCCAGCAGCCTTCTATCCGTGCAAGGACGTCTTTATCGGGCACGTCCTTTACTTTGGTGCAGTTGTCGTTCTCAGGATCGTATTTGAAAACCACACCCTCAACTTTATTTTGGGCCTTTCCCAGCCACCCCTCTTCCAGATATGTCAATATGGTTTTTATTTTGGTTTTGGCGCACGTAATGGTACACGTATCAGCGACTGATATGCTGAGTGATCCTAGGATATGGTCAATCACGCCCAACAAGCGATTGGACACAAACTCACCTCGAATGAGTCCACCAAGGAAAGCAGCTGGATGTGTGAGTTTGTATTGCTCATTGTCCCGCTTCGTAAGATTGATGAAAATTCCCTCATTGTGATTTCCTGGTATGACCTTTATGCTGGTTCCAGTAAACTTGGCGCTTAATTGGTCATAGCCCCTAGCAATAATGCCTTTCTCTTCACAATCAACCCACCAAGCGGAAACGGGAGGATGGTGCGATGTTTGTTCGGTCAGAAAGGAAACCTTTACGGTCTTGCCACTGGGGCCTCCAGATGGCGCTTCGTCTTTGTACTTTAGAGCTGGAAGATTGTCCTCGACCTCCCAATTGCACTGCGGGCCAGTCAATTCCGCCACATGAGCATATTATCATGATCATACCCTGAAGAATTCTCCAAGTGTAGAGTTGTACGGCTTACACGGCTTCCCCTTGACGTATTTCTGCGCGCCCGTTCAGTAAGAGAGCCACTCCGCTCCCTCAAGGAACACAATCATACCAAGTCTTTTGTGAACCAGAACCGCAGACATCCCAGCATTCTCCCTAGCGGATCTTCCGAATCGCCAATGCTGCGTTGCTACATTAATTATGTGTCTTTGAGTCTGGAAGGCGGTAATAACCTTGCAAAAGCCTCCGGTCGGTCCATGTAGTTCCAATATTCTAGTTGTCCTTGTCAGTCGTCGCTCTTGTATTCGAGGTCTTGGTGTTGAGGCTAGGGTTTATGTACCTAGATTAGGAATAGGCTCCATGAGTTGAGCGGGGAGCGAAAAGCGCACTGCTGAGATGTCGGCAACGCCCAAGAACCTGCAGTGCTCTGTTTAGTATATGATCTAACATGGTGTCTGCGCTCAAGCGGTGTGAGAGGTGTGGTATTTCCACCTGGCAGTGCTGAGGAGGTGTAGCAGAGGGGCTCTGCGCGACTCTACTTACTTCCTCAAGATTCCCAACAGAAGCCTGAGCTTTCCCTGTTCATCTGGCGGTTTCTCGCCGCCAGCAGGCACTGGCGTAGTCTCTCTCGACGGCTGCTTTGAACTTGATGCCGACGCTGGCGCGCTGTTGGTCGGGTGGTCTGGAGCACCCACGCTGGGAGTGGGCTCAGACATGATGGCGGGCGAACAAGGGAATATGGAAAAATACAGAAACAAACAAAGAAGCCCGCGACCGAGAGGCTTGAGATATCTTATGCGAACTGTAATGCGCGGAGAGAGGAGCCTGAGAAGAGGCGAGTCGCGGTCAAGCAACAAAGAAGAAGCTGGAGTCTGGAGAAATGCCTTATCGTTATCGAGCGTATCCTAGCGCCAAGGATGGAGGGATGGGTTCAGGCGGGCGGAGGTCCCTTATGACGCAGCCCAATGAATAGACCGATCCAGATTCGGGATCAGCTATTAGATCAGCTGTAAGCCAGTTCACCAGTTCCAGCAACAAAGTTACCTGGTGTTGCTTTCACGCCACGACGAGCCTGGTCACAGGGGCTACAACATGTTGTTCATCAATAGTTAAACACTCCTAATCATCTATACAAAGCATAGCCATCAAACTAATGCGACTAGGACTCGTCCATGGATCTTCTGCAGCTCCAACTACCGCGGCAATACATATTCTCCGTCTACAGCCTCAAAACACCCCCATCCAATCATCCCGTCACGCTTGCGCATCTCGAGCTGTCAGGTTCTCAGAGAGCTTTCAGACGCGCATGCGCTCTCGCTGATCCACAGCACCATCTCCCTGGCAGCTGGGCTTTGGCAGACTGACCTTCTTATCCTTACAACTGTCCGGCAACAGCTGCGTGCTCTCTAGACAGATATATGCACCGTGTTCGCAGCCACTATTAATCATTATGCGACACCATTCGTTGACTCGAACAGGAAATGAACGGCCTTTCCTTGGGCTAATACGAATACATCGTCGATCGACAAATCGAGCATGCTAGAGAAGATATGTCGTCTGTCCGGAATACACTTGTAAGATCATCTGATGTCTCACTCCTGGGAAACATAGTTCGTTCTGAACTGCACGTATACTTTCAGTCATCCCATCCACGCCAGTTGCCAAGCTGGACGCCATTGGGAACGTCCATAAATAGCTGTACTTCATAAAGCTCTTCGAATCCAGGATCTGGTCCGGCGAGCCTCTCCATGACCAGCCATAAGTCGCCGTGTGCCAGGAGTCGAGGGTAGAGATCAACCGTGTCGGTCCGTACGACCTGTGCATCACTAAAAGCACCTTCGTTGCTGGCAAGTATCGTCTTCTTATCAGGACCTCGACCAACATCGATGGTGATTCTGAGAGGACTGCGACCACAGTCCGTGCTGTCCATGCCAGGCCGAACGCGAACTTTGATGAAGCTTGCGACAATGTTGAATTTAACTTGTCTCTTTGGAATAAGGTTTGCTGCCATCTTGCTGTTCTCTGTGCCGAAGCAAAGCTGGTTTAATTTGTAAGCGAATTTTCCAGCTCCTTCTGTGGGTATCTTTCTAAGCAGGCACCGACACGTTGCGTTGGCCGTCAGTGTAAACTCGGCGTGCTGGCCAGCTTCGAACGTGGAGCAGATGACTGTATAAGTGCCACTGTCGAGATCGGAGACATTGGCGAGGACGACGCCCGGGCGATACGTCTCAGCTTGCACGATGATATCCTGACTGCGAAGTTTGAAGACCCTCTCACCTCGTCCATGAACGATGGCGACATGTATTGGGATATCATCTGCAGGCGATTCTAGAATCATAGAGAGTGACGTTCGAGCTGGTACTGTCAGAGCGAACTGCGGATTCTCATAATACCTCGAAGAAGACTGGCTACCACCAGAGCTTCCACTTTTCCATACCCCTGTGATGTCGACCTTGCAGATCTGTTCTTCATTCACGTGTGACAGCTCCACATCAACGTTCGAGAATGCGGAGAGACTGAAACCGAATGTGATAGGAGGTAGCTCTTGTTGTGCAACAACGATAGTGTTGGCCATATGTGCTTTCATATCCAAGCGAAGGAGTGCCTGTGGCGTGCTGACAAAAGGTGATCTCTCAATACAACCTTCGTCAAGATGGACCCGCTCTCCTCTGCTGTCATAAGCGGTCAGACTAATATAGCCTGTTGGAAGTTCTCCGACGGCAGAGCTTCCCTCGCTCCCCAGTCTCTCATTCTGAAAATGACGGTTCAGCAGGAGGAACACAAAGCCATCCGCTTTCGTAACGAGAGAGAATTGCGGATTACCTCCGAGTGAAGCAGGACTCTTAACCTTTATGTTCCACTGAAAATGGAGATCTTGTCGGAAGGAGAAGAGACCTGGGTTCCAATTTAAGAAGATGCTTTCAAATCTTGACATGACCTGCTCAAAGGTAAACCAGTCTGAACCAGCAGGAAGTGCTGAGTCGGTCGTAGATGCTATGCCAAGACGGTTCTCGTCCTTTTTAGAATCCAAGGACATGTCGGTACTGGAGGCACCCTTCTGGAGGTTACTGTTCCATTGCGTACCTGTTAACCATGGGTTTTTGAGTAGGAGCATGCGATCGCCAGCGGATCCTTTCATGTCAATGACAGCGTAATTGTGACGGCTGACTAGACCATAGTTGTTTTCCTCTTTACGAGCCAAATGTCCAGTTCCAACAGTCACAAACACGTCACCGAAGCGAAACGCGCGAATGATCCGGTTCCACAGGGCGTCAGGGAGGATATCATCGCTAGCTTGGATCAGCCGAGCTCCACTAACACGGAAGAACACTCACGCCTGTAGAAAGATCTGTTCAGGTATCCATCCTGTGAAAGCCCAGAGGTCGCTACATGAGCTACTACCAGGGAAATCATAACCACCGCGGACTTTCAGATATGCTTTTTCTACTAGCGCTGGCCATATTAGCGCTGGGTGTTTACGATCGACTACATGTAGAAGACGGGTATTCTTCGATACCGGAAGACGATCGTCGATGACGACTTTTCTCCAGCACCCATTGAAGTTGAGCTTTAAAATGTATTTTCCATTTGGAGATGCAATAGGATGTGATCGATCTAGCGAGCGTGGCCAAATAGAGTCTGAGATGATCTAGAAAGAGGGCAAAGTCAGTACTTAGAAGCGTCCGAAGTATAACACAGTTCGAGCATCGCCACTAACCCAAGGAAAATTGCGCTGTGCCCGAGCTGCTGCACTGCAGAGACTTGCAACGACTGAACAGTCTGAAGCAGCATCCTGTACGAGATCTACACTTGAGGTGAGCTCATACGCCGACGCTGTCGGTATGTCATTCGCCAGTCGCCATGCTGGGGGAGGTAATGCATCTTTGACCCGCTTCCAGCCTTCGAAAAGCTCCCTCTGTTGTTCAGAGAGCTTCAATTCACGATCTCTGCTGTAGTTTAGTTTCTTTACAAACTTTCTGACCTTACCGCTAACTTACACGAAAGGGGTTTGGAATTCAGCATCATCAGGTGGATCGGTCCAGGGAGGAAAGTTCGAGTCATTCAACTTCGACGCTTTCCACAGAATGAGCTTCTCGCCCGCGGATAGCTCACGAGTAGTTTTGGGACCTTCTAACTTTCGAATCTTAGCTACAGGTACTTCCGTGGAAGCTGATGGCTTTGGTTCCACGTGCGTGAGAGTCGTACTCTTGATCGCACTGGTGATTTCCGCGACAGTCGGTGAAGGTCTCCAGGCCTTTTCGTGTTTGATGGACTCAGCTTGACCTATCAACGAGTTCGCTTTGCCGCGCAGCTCTTCTCTTTTCGGCTCTGTTTTCGCGACTTTGATGGCTTCGATACAAAGGTCAGCAGATCTAAGCGCAAGCTTAAGAGCTTGGCTTTGTGTTGGAGCTTGTGTGATCTTTTCCTGCAAATCCTGTGACAGTCAGTACTCAGCTATTGGGCTGAGGAGAGACACGCACAGCGATCTGGGCCTCTAAAGCTTCCATTGTGCAAATCAGAGGAGGTCACGCATTAACGTGGAGAAGATTCCTTTCTTTCTATCGTCTAGTGCCACAAATATACGACTCAACCAGTCGATCAAGCGATCGAAGCTGACAGTGTTCAATTGTGCCGCATAAGCACATTAGTGACGGAAGAGTTGTAAGTTCGATGCGGAAGAGGTGACGACTAATTGACCTAGATAGAATCTCGAAAATTACAGTAACCAGATTTACTGAGCGACGATATCTATGGTGGACTGGCAATTGCAGTCAGAAGTGTGCACTCATGGATGTTGTCAAGTGAAACAGCTCCAGGTGGAATGATCCACTTCCGTCTAGCGCAAGCAGGAGCTCAGGCCAAGCGGGAGGACGCTGCTTATGGATAATAGCAGATCTAGCCACAGTCTCCATGCCAACATGATGAGACATTACAAAGTCCTTCGCAGAAAAGAGGCAGACCATTGCATATAATATTAGTCAACATCCTTATAACTAGCTGCAGAACTAGCTGCGCACCGTTTCGGGGAGTATTGGTTCTTCCGAAAGTCTTCCGAGATAAGATAAGATAAGATATAAAGGAGCCTTGTTCTCACAGGGAAACGGAGGCGAGGCGCGACCCGCACTCTCGCAACCTCGGCTGAACTGATACACTTGTCGGCTCAAGGCTCTACCGTCATGAGGATCTGGACTAGAAGTACAACTTGCAGCAATACGTTTCATGCTGCTAATTCTCTATTATCTCTAAAACGCCTCATCCTTCCTTAAACCAGGACCTCGACGATTATCTTCCGGCTACACCTTAACCCTCATGCTGCGCTGAGCATTGTAGTACTACTCTCCCAAGTCCCCACTCGCAGCTGTTCTCCCTCGGCATTGGCTGTCTACAGCCTGTATAATTCTTCCCAGGTTTCGAATTGCTGTTGACGCGAAATGGCTGCACAATCAAAGGTGGCTCCGCTGCCTCCTTGGGGCTACGCGATTGCTGGCTCTGCCGGCGCCGTCTGGGCAAACGCTCTCGTTTATCCTCTGGACATGTAAGCTGAGCCAAAAGTCATGCACTTTACCCCAAGAATCATGCTAAATTGCGCGCAGTGTAAAAACGAAACTCCAAGTTCAGGTAAAGAGGAAGCCTGGCGACACAACCTCGGACGAGGACCACTACAAGGATACCGGCGATGCCATTGCCAAGATCATGAAGCAAGAGGGGGTTGCAGGTCTCTATCAGGGCATGGCCAGTTCCTTGGCTGGTGTTGGCTCTACTAATTTTGCCTTCTTTTACTGGTTCACGATGGTCCGCACACTGTATGCTAGCTACCAGAAGACTCCCGGTCCTCCAGGAACTGCGGCTGAGCTTTCCATGGGAGCTGTGGCTGGCGCTTTGGCTCAACTGTTCACTCTACCCGTCGCCGTGATTACCACAAGGCAGCAAACCCAGAGCAAAGGAGAGCGGAAGGGATTCTTCGACACCGGAAGGGAAGTCATAGCCAGCGAGGATGGCTGGACCGGTCTATGGAGGGGTCTGAAGGCCAGCTTGGTGCTGGTCGTCAATCCATCCATCACTTACGGCGCGTATGAGAGACTTCGAACCTTACTTTTCCCAAATGTTGTTGTCCTGAAGCCATGGCAAGCATTTCTACTCGGTGCGATGTCGAAATCGCTCGCAACGATCGCAACACAGCCTCTCATTGTAGCAAAGGTCGGTCTTCAGTCGAAGCCACCGCCAGCCCGTAACGGCAAACCCTTCAAATCTTTCCTCGAAGTTATGGCGTTTATCATTGAGCATGAAGGTGTTCTGGGTTTGTTCAAGGGCATCGTACCGCAGATTAGCAAAGGAATCTTGGTCCAGGGTATTCTCATGATGACCAAAGAGAGGTATGCGCGAGCCATTCACAGATTTGAATATACCATGAAGCTAACACATATAGGGTGGAACTTGCGTTCATTCTGCTCTTCCGATACGTTCGAAAACTCCGCGACGAGCAACTTAAGAAGGCCGCCGCGTTCGCAGCAGAGAAGGCAAAAGAGGCAGCTCCAGCACTGTTGAAGGCGTAACCTCGTTTCCGAACCCATACGTGATGATCTAGACGGGCAGGGAAAGTGATACATACATTTACATATTCTAGATCTGGTGCATGAAATGGTGGACATAGTCTGCATCGGCGTTGATGGAGTAATTACTGCATTACGTGTACATAGTTCGAGCCAGGCCACAAGCTCATCCGTCGCGTCGTGAACAACGTAGAATGGTCACTGTGACACTCGAGCAAATCGTAGTTTGACAAGCCAGCAAAACACAGCAATCAGAGAGAATGCCTGCCATTGGGTGCACGTAGTGGACCACCCTTGACTTGGACAGGCGCAACGACATCATACATCATCGTGCCAGCGATACAGAAAAGCGCAACATACATACCGTAAAAATGCCGTCTGGGCTGCAACTCGCGTCGTGAAATCTGATCCCTCCACTCCTCTGGAAACATTAGCATTAGCTTTGTACTTCCCGAGACTCTCTCGCAACACAGAATAAGAAATGCCTGTTGAAGATCCCATTGCCCGCATACTGCAGTCCAAGGCGTTTGTGGTCCTGGACGGCGCGCTTGCGACCGAACTAGAAACGCGAGGCTGCGACCTCAACCACCCACTCTGGTCCGCAAAAATCCTCCATGAAGACCCAAAGGCCATCTTTGACGTGCACCTGGATTACTTCAAGGCGGGCGCCGACGTGGCCATCACAGCAAGCTACCAGGCCTCCATCCCGGGCCTGAAGGACTATCTGCAGCACAACTACTCGGCCGGCCACGCCAACGACCTCATCGCGCAAAGCGTGCATCTGGCCCAGGAAGCGCGAGACAAGTACTTCTCGGGCTCTAGCTATGGCGATTGCAGAAGGACGCTTCTGATCGCTGGCAGCGTCGGCCCGTATGGAGCCTACCTGGCCGACGGCTCCGAGTATCGCGGCGACTACAAGCTAGCTACGCGGGCGATGAAGGATTTCCACCGCGGGCGCATACGCGTGCTTGTGGACGAGCACGTCGACCTGTTGGCCTGTGAGACCATGCCTTCGTACGCCGAGCTCAGCGCGCTGGTCAGTCTGCTACGCGACGAGTTTCCAGACACGCCGGCCTGGGTGTCGTGCACGTTGCGCGACTCCACACATATCAGCGACGGGACGCCCATAGCAGACGTCGTTGCTCTGCTGAACAAGGCAGACAACGTCATTGCGATTGGGGTTAATTGCGTTGAACAGCAGATGGTGCACGATGCCCTTGTAGAGCTCCACAGGCTCACCACGAAGCCCCTGGTCGCGTATCCGAATTCCGGCGAGCGGTACGATGCCAGCTCGAAGACGTGGTGTGATAACTGCGCCGGACGCGAGGAGTTGGGTGAGGTCGTTCCGAAATGGTATGCCGGTGGAGCACGTTTGATTGGAGGCTGTTGTCGGACGACTCCGAAAGATACACTGACCGTGCGGCTTATTGCTGACAGGCTCACAAAGCCACCTGGAGCCCTGGAGAGCGTGGAAGAAGACGCAGATGACGAGTCTCTAGATGATACATAGGCATAGTATTGTGGCATGATTTGACAGTAATTAGTAGTGTAGCGCTCTCCCGGATTCTGGATAGTCCCACCGGAACCGCATGGTCGACCGTGATTGGGACTATACGTGTTCTTACTATCTATATGAAATTTAATGACACCACTTACGCACAACACTCAAGAGTCAAGTACGTGATGAAACACGCGACAATATCCACTCGTTCACAGCTGAGATTTGCCTGTCCATGTTCATCGGAAAAATCTAAACAAAAACAAAGCAGATTCCACCAAACAAAAACTACGGCACTGCTTCCCGCCCGCCCCGCTACAGCCATCATATGGCTCGATCATGCACTTATCCTTCATGAAGTTTCATAACTTCCACTTTAATCCACTGTGATCCACTTCAGAACTTCCCCACGTTCTCGCCAAGGCTCCGCTACCAAGTCTTACGGTAAGCTGTAGACTGGGGGTTGAGCGGGGGCTTATTTACGGGTGCAGGGGAGAGTTCTCGTTTGATGCATATTACCCAGTATACGGCCCTTGTATATGACCCTGTACATGTCATGACCGGTCCCGGGGATCCGCTATTCTGGATTCTTCTTTTCCCACGACGGATATAAATATATTTCTTGTTTACGCCAGATATTTCGATCTTGGACATCCAGCCATCTCCCTTTCATACTGCCATAACTATCGCGAGAGATAGAAGCACAAGGCCTGGCACTCGAAGCGAAGCGAGAGAACAGCCCATTCATTCCAAGAAAGAAAATGAAACTCCTCGCAGCCCTCTCAGCGCTGCTCACGCTCACCCATGCTGCGTCCCGCACCGAGCCTCCAGCCGGCGCCCTCGTCGTCGGCGGCTCAGGCTCCTACTCCAAGATCCAGGACGCAGTGAATGCCCTCAGCACAACCTCCACGACGGCGCAGTCCATCTTCATAAACCCAGGCACGTACAAGGAGCAAGTGTACATTCCGGCACGCAAAGCGGCGCTCACCATCTACGGCTACACGAGCAACACGGCGGCCTACTCCTCCAACCAGGTCACCATCACGCAGGGCAAGAGCCAGGATGACTCTGCGAACAACGACCTGACGGCAACGGTCCGCGCGTGGAGTACGAATTTCAAGATGTACAATATCAACATGGTCAATACCAGGGGCAAGGGCAGCCAAGCACTTGCTATCTCCGCACAGGCGGACAAACAGGGGTACTATGCGTGCCAGTTCAAGGGATTCCAGGATACGGTGTTGAGTCAGACGGGCGCGCAAGTCTTTGCAAAGAGCTACATCGAGGGCGCGACGGACTTCATCTTCGGGCAACACGCCAGCACATGGTTCGACGGCGTCACGATCGGTGTGTTGTCTGCTTCAGTTGGGTACATCACTGCCTCTGGACGTTCGAGCTCCTCGGATGCCAACTACTACGTCATCAATAAGAGCACGGTGCAGGCGGCGAGTGGAAACACTGTGACGGCGGGTGCGTACTATCTCGGCCGGCCGTGGGGCAATTACGCGCGGGTGGTCTTCCAAAACACAGCGCTGAGTGCGGTTATCAATAGCGCTGGGTGGAAGATTTGGAATACTGGCGACGAGAGAACGGATCATGTTACGTTTGCGGAGTATGGTAATACGGGCGCCGGAGCGTCTGGAACAAGAGCGAGTTTCTCGAGTAAACTCAGTGCTCCGGTAGCGATTACAACGATCTTGGGAAGTGGTTACACGAGCTGGGTTGATACAAGCTATCTGTCCTAAGCGCCTGGAGAGTACGGAAGTTATCAGTCAGATTGAGGAAGGGTTTCGATTCTGTTGCCTGTCAGGGGTGAATTCTGTATATATCATGCTATCTCGGCTCCTTGAGCATGGCATTGTTCATATCGAGGAGAAATCCTTTCGTGTTCGTGGGGGTATATACAGAGCCTATGTAGGCTAGAACATTGTATGAGTAGAATTATGTCAGGATTACTGACAAAAGTCCGTGTTAAGCCTGCGAAATCGGGGACACGTTCGTGGACGTGATTCTTAAGACCTGGCCAGGAGATATGGCTGTTACTCATGCCATCCACATATGATACTAAGGTTCGAGGAGAACTTTTCGAGTGAGTATCCTATTTTTTCTGCACCTTGTCCTCAATGCTCTTGACGTATCCTTCCAGGCGCTGGACTGCGGATTGGAGAGCCTATGTATCTCAAAGTTAGCAGCCCATTACTTTGTTCCAGACCCCCCCGGTGCGATAGAAGGAGCTTTCGGCAAGCGCCTGGGCCTTGATTTCATCTCTGGAATCGACATACGTAGATATCTTCCGTCAATAGCGAATTGGAAACGCGGTATTCGTTGAATACATAGTAGTACATGCCAGCGCCGGACGCAACGGCACCTGTGAGGAATCCGAAAAGTCTATAAGTCGCGCATCAGTGATTGTTCCAGGGTCTGAAAGCGAGATCGTTCATATACCCTCCCCGAAAAGCACCAACGGGCTTCCGCGCTGGTGCAGCAGCAACGTCACGGAGTGTTTGTGATGACTGGAAACCGCGGGCCTGGGTGCGGGATACGTTGACGGTCGTGAAAGCCCGGCGAGCAGCGAATTTAACTATTTGAGAAGACATTGAGTCGGTATGGAGATCGATTGGGGTCCGGACGAGAGAAAGAGAGAGAGAGAGAGAGAGATGAGAGAGGCTTGGGCAAGCAATGGATGTCAAACGTCAGAGAGGAGGAGCTTGTGCACGGGCCCCACCACGCGTCAATCACATCCATCTGTACCCAAGTCCTCTTTCTTCCTTTCACAGCATAAACGCTCTGTGTTCACTGTCTCCTAACAACTATTCAAATGCTTGATGCGAGTACGGAGGAAGGGCAAGGACGTGCCTTGTGACCCTGACTCTGAAATAACACCTATCCTTCAGTAATGGACTAGGCACCAGTGATCAAAAATAGGTGTCTATCATCAGTCAAAGAATCTTTAAAGCCAACGTGCCTTCTCCCGAATCTGACCCTGTATACCACAAGGTAATTCACACCAGACTTCGCTGCCGTGCAGCTCCTCGTTTCTGTCCTTTGTAACCATGTCTAAACTCCATACCGACTTCAAGGCTGAACTGCGCACAAGGGCCAATGAGAGTTTAAAGCGTCATTTTGAACGAGAGGAGCATGCAACTCGAAATGTCAACATCCCACCTCCTTCGGAAGAGATGATCAAGTCTTTTACAGAGCATCTGATTCGGTCGAAGAGGATATTGGCGCTCATCGGTGCAGGTCTTTCCGCAGCATCAGGAATCCCCACATATCGCGGAGCAGGTGGTTTCTGGAGAAGCTACTCTGACATACAACTGGCCACGAAGACAGCCTTTGACGAGGACCCGAGCCTCGTGTGGCAGTTCTACAATTACAGGCGACACCAAGCTCTCACGGCAGATCCCAATTCTGCGCATCACGCTTTAGCAGAGTTGGCAAAGAGAAAGCCAGGCTTTTTGGCCGTAAACCAGAATATAGACGGTGTGTGCTTTCTAGTGCTATATCAGCTGTAACATAGATCATGGTCTGACAATAAATAGGTCTCTGTAGACGAGTTGGACATCCGCCTACTCAGATAATTGACTTACATGGATCACTGTTTCGCGTCAAATGTTCAAACGAAGCATGTGGCTACAATGCTGAGGATTACAACGATCCTATCACACCAGCCCTCAGTCTGACCAAGGACTACGATAACGATGTTACGAAGGCTGACATCCCGCTTGCTAAGATCGACCATACCGATCTTCCTATTTGTCCATTGTGCACCGATGCGCTCTTACGACCCGCAGTCGTGTGGTTTGGAGAGTCCATTCCAGCAGACAAAGCCTCAGGGATCGACAAATGGTTAGCTGGCGATACCTTCAACCAAGCTACAGCAGGATTAGATTCCGTTGGTGGCCAAGTTGACCTCATGCTGGTAGTTAGAACATCAGCAGTTGTTTACCCAGCGGCTGCTTACATTCAGCAGTGTAGGAAGCGCGGTGCACGTGTAGCATTCTTCAACATGGAGGTAGCGGCGGCAGGTGCAGCGCGACCGGAACCTGGCGATTGGTCTTTTCAAGGTGATGCCTCGAAACTCATTCCTCAGGCTCTAAGAACTTATCTAGAGCTGTCGGATTTGTAGAGGCCATAGCCCTATCTTTAACGCTGCCAGGTTCTCGAATTGTACCAGTCACAGCTTTGCACTACATGGAAATTCGGAAACCGTCGCCTACATGTTACCATAAAGACAGGTAGTGCCCCCGAGTCTTACTCAAGCAAACCGTGAGGCTTGGTACTGCTGACTGCTGCTGACTGCTTCTGAGCATCCTCCTGGTTCTGGAACCAGGGACTAACGCGGATGGCGCTTCTTCCGTCAAAGCATTGATGCCTAGTGCTGTGGCAAACCATGAGCGTGGAATGCATGTACTAGGTTGATGTGTTTGCTGCGTTGATGAGTACTGTTGGTGTTGGGCACGCTTTTGCAAGTGCCACTGGATCTGGTCCGGTGAACCCCTTGCAATGTAGGCATTCCCGCAGCAGAGATATTTGCCACGTTTGTATCCCTGTGAATACCTCAGCTATGCTGGTCTTGGCCCTGACTGCCCTTCCTCTATTGCTCATGTTGAAAAACAGGCTATTTTGCCCTTTCCTTGGCAGTTTGAATTCCTGTGTGACGATGAGGGTGTGAAAAAGACTTGGGTATGTAGTAGTAGCATCATTTTTCAAGTGGAAAACTACGTCCGAGTAGATCTCTTGGCTAAACCACGCACGGAAACCCACTCGATGGTACAAGGAGGAGCACCACAGCAGGTATCCATCACTACGCTGACACGTTCCACATTCCGGGGCAAAACATTGTAAAATATGTGGCAACGACATTATTAATCGTTTAGGCGAACAGTTATGGTAATGGAATGTGATGCAGATATTATATATTGTCTCGATATCAACGAACACTCTTGCGCTTGCGACCATGTCAAATTTCCTTACGTTCAAGTCGTAACACAGCCCAAGATTATCATCATGGATAGCCAGAACACCCAGGCCGGTGATCATAACTATGGCGGCAGTAACAATCAAGCTAATAACCTGTCTGTCCAGCAATATCAAAGCCTCCGATTTGAAGGGCTTCCACCACCAAGCAATAAGAAAGACCCTGCTCCACCAGGTGCATCGCACTATAGGCCTCCCAGCCCGAAAAATATTCCCCAGTACAATATTCCTCGCAACGACTCCGCTGCCACAGGAAAGCCCTACCTCGCCCACTTCGCCAAGTACATAGCAACCTTGGAGAAATTCTGTTCCCCAAGGGCCACGGAGATCGCCGATCAGATTGATACTAACATCCTTTTGCTCCAGGGCGAAAGTATGATGAAAGAATTCGATAAGCATTGCGCTGAAAAAATACGTGGAGCACAGAGTAGGCTTCTAGGGCTTATGGAGGAGGCAGCTTCTTACGAAGGCTGTGTTATTCCGGTGCAGGCATATTATGATACATTAAATTATTTATCGATGGAAGATCTGGCCATTGAGGAGAAGCCATGATATATCCTATATGAGACGAGGAGAAAATCTTAACTCCTATGGTGAGAGCCTCGGACTTTGGGTCTATCAAGATGGGAAGTATAGAGACGAGTGAGAGGATGGGCAACTACTGGCGTAGTTGAGATTGACAACAATGCGAATTCCCGGGCTCGATAGCTTTGTCCAAACAGAAAGCTAGCATTGTTAGTAACAAGACTGGATCTAGTACGTCTCACGGATGTATCAGAATCATGCAAGATTCTTCATAGACCGAGTATATCATGTTTTAATCTTCGTTTTGCCTACCATCTCTTCTACAACACGAGTCATGACTACACTTTTGAGCATATATATATAGGGAGGCATTTGTATCACCGCCATGGAAGGGCATCTCCGAGGCATAGAGATTTCGTGACTTACGGACGACCATGCATTCATAACTTTTGCCGCACTAGCCCCCCAGGCGAGAATGAGAACCATGTCTATGCCCAGAGCATGAACAGGAGTCGATTTCGTTCGGGGCGCGAGTGAGCCGGAGGATCTGAGTGGATGTTTGGACTCCTCATTCTTTGCATTCGAATAAAGAGAGAAGATTTAACGATGATGATGATGGGATAAACGATATCGAAAAAGTACCTGACCGCCAGCTAGGCGATCGCTACTATGACACGATTCGTCATGTCTCACGGACTCGGATTCTGTTGAGAACTTGGGAACCGTATAGCTTGTGATTCACAATACGGTCCCTCACAATCCTGGGGACTTGCCTCATACTACTATATAGAGTTCTTCAATAGAAAAACTTCCGTGCATCGTTCGGTGCTTTGAATGTGGAGTCGGTCCTACGGCACTAGTGAGACGCTAGCCCGTGCACGGTCCACTCGCACCTTTATATCATGTTAGATCGAAAACACAGACATTTGCGTACCAAAAAAAAGAGCACCAGCACCCCCAATCACGGGAAATCACTCAATCAGAAGCAAAAGAGCATAGAATTGGGCTTAACCGGGAGTCGAACCCGGGACCTCGCGCAATCAACCCAGGGTTTACCCTAAGCGCGAATCATACCACTAGACCATCAAGCCACGTGACATAAAACCGACAGTAAGGTTATAATCTTCTGATTTTAGGTTTGGAAGAAGTTTTGAGACCATGGAGAGACAGGAGGCATCTTGAATTCGGCAATGATAGTTATTCAACGGTAAGGGAAGACCCAAATGTGCGATGGATCCATTCGGTTAAGCGAGGTCTAATTAACTAATCAGTCCTACGATCCGGATTCTCAGATTCGTACATCTAGAAGTGCACCGCCACAGCGTCGACTCACACACATGACAACATGGAATTACAAGCATGTATACCTCTCGTATACTCTCCAGATCTAGAAATATCAATTACAGCATCCAATCAACGAATACCCTCCGTTCCACAAAAACATACCTTCATAGCCCCTCAATTCTCCACGCACCTACGAAGTCCTTCCCAATAGAAGCCATGAAACCTCCCGAAGAACACAAAACCCCTAGCCTCCCACGTCCACAGAATACCCACCTCGTGCCCAAGGATAAACACGACATCGCCGCTATCAAAAACCTCACCACACTCCCCGCTGCAACATGGACGCCCCTGATTCTCTTTCCGCCAACACACTACTCCGCTCAGAGCAGCGCACCCGAAATAGACAGTCGAGATGGCCTCCTTGCCTGGCTCCAAGATCCAAATTGGCCCGTGGCGTATCCTACTAGTCAGTTGCTGTTGGGGCTGTTGAATGGCGGTGCGCCGGTTTGCGCCTCTCGTGTCGACGACGGGAGTGTTGGAGTAGGAAAGGATGAGGATGTGGTCAGGCTTGCGCATGCACCGACTGATGAGGATGCGCGGGTCTTGGTGAGTGTGCTGCAATGGATGTTTAGAGAAAGTGAGGATTGGGAGTGGGTGTATAGTCTTATAGTTGCTATTGTTGCGAAGATCGAGAATAGAGAGAGGAGAGAGGAGTGGTTTGGCGACGCATTAAGAGCTTTTTTAAGGCGGGTGCCAGATCAGGAGGAGAAAGAGTGGGGTTTCAGAGAGGAGGTTGAGAGTATTGTCAGGTTGGAGAACGGGATTACGGAAGCAGAAGGCAAGGAGAGTCTAGAGGCGAGAATGCTGGATCTTTGATGCTCAAAGAAAAATATTAATTATTGTATTCTTCTCTATCAGAGATTCAGGCAACAAAATTTGAACAAGAATCATAGCCCGGAGTCAGGCTGGTCAACGACATTCGTCATGCGCCACAAGTTCCACTCCTCACACACGTCCGTGATGGCCGCCGGGACCTTATATGTCTCGATCGTACTCTTCCCATACGCAACTTCGAGCATCATTCCACCGGTCAGATGTCTGCATCAAATTTTTAGCACAGTTTCACTTCTTCAGTTTCGTGTCTTTCGATGGGTCAGAACGTACTGTGAGACATGGCAGTGTAACGGCCAGATTCCCGGATTGTCCAACACCATCTCGATGACGGTATACCCTGGCGTTACACCGCCATCAGGGCTGGGGAGCAACTGATGTGTGTCCCTCCGAATGGGATTCGCTGCGTTCGTCACGGTGCCATCCCAGACGCCAGCACCGTCCGCAAGAACGTAGAAATCGTGACCGTGCAAATGCATAGGATGCGGGGCCGCGAAGATGTTGTAGAGCAGAATGCGCGCCGTCTTATTCGACCCGAGATTATAGATGTTAGCTAAGGGGTCAATGTCGGAGAATTTGAATGTAGGCGCAGTAGACTGAGCGAGAGATGCGGAGTTCATGTTAGCTCGGAAAGTGTGATTATTGAGAGACCATATGAAGACGCCAGATGCATTGGCCATGATTGTCATGTCGACAGTGACTTCGGTTTCAGGCGTGGTGGGAGGGGCTTCAGGAATTAGTGGAACTGTCTTATCGAGCGGAAAAGTACCGCAGCGCGCTGTTGTTGTGTATTTGGTCGCTTGCGTTGTAGGATACTTCTTGCAGTCTGCTTTCTCATAGTAGACGATAGCCTTTGCGTGCGGCTGACGTGAACCTACGCCACATACGGACGCTGTGGGATCCGAATTTTGTGGATTAGAAGGGTCGATATCGGAGCGCAGCCAGTAGCTATCACTTGGTTTTCCGACAGCTTTGACGAGGACTTCAGTTCTTTGACCAGGGGCAAGAGACACTACATCAGTTTCAAACGGCTCGATCGGCGTGTAGTCGACTGATACAACAGTGAGCTTGTGGTCGTCTATGGTGAAGTGTTGAAGTCCATCGGCTCCTGGATTGATAAGGCGCAGTAGATGCGTCTTGCCTGACTTGAATCTAAACTTTGAGAATCCAGCATCCGGGAAGCACGCAGCGCCATCAGTTACCAGTGAACAGTTGTAGTCCCTGGTTGCGTCAGCAATGTTGATTAGCTCATACGTGTAATAGATAGAAACGTTACATCTTGCCGTTGATGAGATTACTGTCACTCTGGACAGGATTTGCTTTGAGAGTTTCGTCATTGAGGTCTTCGTAATCAATGTGCCATCGATCGTGCTACATCTCGTTAGAACCCCATTTAGGCATGAAAAAGACAGGTTAAGGACTGACTAGCATCACAGGACCAACATCAATGTCGTATCTGAATAGCGGCGGCCTGATTCTTTAGTGAAACATTACGTGACGATATTATAACTTGCACATACCCATGGATGATCATTGGACCAAAAAGGCCAGCAACAGTCTGTCCTTGATAATGCGAATGCCACCAGCTGGTGCCTACTCGATCCGCTTTGAATCGATAGGTAAAGGAAGCGCCAGGAGGGATAGGACACTGTCCAATAGAGGGTACGCCGTCCATGAAGGGCGTCTGCTTCTGGAACAGTCCGTGCCAGTGGATAGATGTTGGAACGTTTGCATTGTTGTTAACCTCGATCACGAATGTGTCACCCTCATTGGCCTCAATCGTTGGACCTGGAAAGCCTCCATTGACCATGATGACGCTGCTGTTGACTCCATCGGGCGAGAGGAATCCCCTCGTGATATCGAATGTGTAATGACGTTCTTTGCTTGGCTTGACCTCGTGCAGCAGATCGTCCCATCTGTCTGGAGCCCAGTCCAGTAGCTGATTACATACCGAATTCGGCTGTTGATAGGGTTATCACAGGTATTCGGCCCATTTCGTGTGTGATGTGTTACATACATTGTCTCCTACGCAAGGTCGCCAGGTCAGGTCCAAAGTACCAAGATCAGATTCTCCATTAGTCTCGGACTGCGGAGCAATGGCAATCGCAGCCGATGTGAACAGAACGAACGGTGACCACTTCATCTTGCGCGATATAGATGCGCGTGCGATGAGGTCGATTGAGCTAAATCCAAGAGGTCAACAACGCTAAGACTAGAAGCCATGCGGGCAGTCTCTAGTTTTGAGCTGCTACAGTATGGGTGGTGTCACTAGCCAAGTGACTGGCAGACCGTATTCGCGGTACGAAACTGCGTAACAAGTCAGGCAAGCTGACCGTTGATCAGGGTATATCAATTGCCAGGTTTACGGTCCCGTCATCGGCCTTGAGGAATGTCTCCCGTGCGGCGCATATCATTAATTTACCAAAAATGGGCGAAAATCCTACTAGCATTCCGCGAAGTCAAGGTCGAAGCTTATATCGAACGGGAAAAGGCTAAAATTGCATCCATAGCCAGTGTAGACGTCTCATTTTGCGCTAACACACAAGTGAACTTGGTGTCTGGGCAACATGTAATCTGTCACAAAGTTTTGTAGTTACACCCATAGATACAGTCCGCAGGGGATGCAATTTGCGAGTAGTGATTCCTGGATGGTCACCTGCGCAGCCTGGGAATCTGGTCTACACGGCACATGGCAAATAAGCCGATTCCGAAGGTATGGACCACCGGGTTGATAAGACACTGTACAGGCAGGCCGCTATCATTCTACGCGTAAGCAGGTCCGGCATTCAAGCTTTGATGTTGTAATGGACTTCCTTGTTGCGGGAATGTGGCGTATTCAAGGGGATGCTGCTGGGTTGCCGCTTTCTCGCTTCTGCACATCATCCAGGGAATAGAAAGATGCGACTCCACTCGTGGATGCAGAATCTGCGGAAGTTCCAGCTCGATGCGGTCTTTGGAATAACATTTCGGTCGTGGTCAACGTATTCTATACCCCGTCCTTATTTCGCATGAACAGTTGCGTCTTGCATGCGGTTCGGTCCGATGACAACCCTTGGATCGAGGGGAAATGGAGGGACAACATCACGTGTCTTCCCAATTTCCTGATTGGGACAAGATCGTACAGCATTAATTATTCTCAAGCCGAGATTGGCTAGCTTCAACATCATCTGTTCACCTTCTACCGATTTGATGTTGCCATTCATCATAAAGAGCACAGTGCAAATATACACTGTGATGCTGGAATATATGCAACGAGAGTCAAAGTAAATGTTCCACCTCTTTTGACGCTGTTTGTTTAATATTTTCTCAGCCTCTCACTTGACATCTTTCTACACAGGACCTGGTTGCTAGTCTACACTGCAGAACATAATGCTTTGCTGACCAGCACACCACAGCATAGCCAAACCTCGTCTTGAACATGAGAATCCAGATCTCTATCAGATTTTAGTGCAACATTGTCCCAACTCTCAGCTGACGATCTAACACAGATGTGGCGTCTCGTATTTCTCTAGCAAGCCTCTCATACTGACGGCCTTTCGGTGCTAAAATGTACAGTTCGGACTATACATATCCATCAATTAAACATTTTGGATTACCCGCATGCATGCTACCACGTGTCATAAGAGGAATCTGCCGGGAAGAAGCCGATCTGCAAGTCGATCAGGTATGTGTACTAGCTCGTTGTGATATATAAAGAACTACCGATAAACAATGTCGGACCCTGGGACTGAGTTCTTTGCTCTTATGCATTAGATTTCACCTCACTACGGTCCGAAAGCTGTCTCAGCAACAATATATATGGCCCCTGTTTCATAAAGCGATTCACATGTAGCTGTTACCAAAATGGCACTTGGTCTGCATCCATGCTTCTATACATGTCTCGTAGTCATGTTACAGGACTGAATTCTTGAATTTCGGACAAGTGTCAGAGTGGCGCAAGTTCGAGATTCTTTGCATCAGAGAGACTTGCTGAGTCTCTTGTTGGGCTTATTACAACTTGTGTTTGCAAAGACGTCTGAATAATCTCTCGAGGGTGTTGGCAGCACTTTTCATCAGTGAAAAGTGCGATTCACGCGCAACTTTGTGAAGCATAAGATGGGTAGACATGACAAAGAAGAGAAGAGTTCTCATCCTTACCGCATGCTCCACGACACCAAGTTAACACCCTACATGATATGGGTACGAAAGGAAACCGCCATAACTTATTATACTAGCCGAATCAACCACAGCACGTATTCTTTGTCGCCAACATGAGCTGCACACACGTTTTCTCCGAGCTTGAATGTCTCAAGCGTCACATTCTAGGTGAGGATCTATTGCAGTTTGTCTCATCCTCATACTAACCAATGTAGAAACCGCCTACGCACTATGGGCTATTCCCCATGCTGCCATCATCGTCAGCGAAAGTGCTTCTCGCAATAAGCACGTTAGTTGTGCCGCTTCTATAATCTCGCATGACGGTCCAGCCGCATCATCGTTGAGCTACAAGATCCTTCTCACTGCTTATGGCTTGAACTTCGATCGCGCTTTACAGGAGCTCTTGAAGATCGTTCAGACCGCGCTGAATACCAAAATGGCAGATCTATCCAAAGAGGACCTGAATAGAACTATAATTCGCAAGATAGACTATCGCACCACGACACAGGAGTCAAAGTAGCGTATACTCTGACCATATTAAACCAGGCTCTGGACGTGGAGGTGAGGAATATTGGAGGTTCTCTAGCTTGACAGATACGGAGATTTCCCACGTGCAATATCCTTTAACGCGAGAATGGCATATGTTCTACCATAACCAGTTCCACCAAGTCTTGACGTTAGCATGCGATCCATACACATCCGTAATGCAGCAATCTATGCGCCCAACCCAAGGACTGCGGTGCAACGTTCGTCAGGAGCTGGTACAGAATTTCAACTTTACTTCTTCTCCTATTTTGTCCATTCATGGTCGTGGCCTCATATCTCTCAGTGAACTAGAGCCGACCTAGCATATTACAGTGTACCTGTTGTCTCTTCCTGGACTTCACGTCCATCGGCTGCTAGAGAGAATTAGATGATGATGATGCCCTGATTGATCCAACAAGGTATATGAGTTGTATCGATATATAATAGTCCAAAAGAGCGAAGTCACCACGACGATCACGTTGTGAAGTAGTCATAAGATGTGAGAATTTGCCTACTGCCACTATTGACTGCGCGTGCGATCTCTGGTACTTTGCCAACTTAAGATATACACCTAACATGAATGGAAGCATTTTGCTAGGACACTGTTACTCATTACCATAATGTAACTGTTCACTCGGTTAGTCAATCTTGTTCAAGCTGAGCTTTTCTGATGAGGTTTGGCCTGATTCAAAAGTGAATCATGCCTGCTATTTCGGTGTTCTGTGACTCTTTGCTTCTGTTAGTACGCTTGCTTGAACCTCATGTCTACCTCACCTCATGTACAATCTCGAGACAAGAGTTTTGGGCAACTCTGCTACTTCTGCTAATATCTCTCAGCTACTTTACGCCTTGCACTTCTCGAGGATACTAAGACGACAATCATATCGATGTGAGTGTGAGCTACGAGCCATGACAAGAAATAGTGACTTGATACCGGTATCTAGACCATCAACGACAGGTCGGAATCCCGGTCCGGTAACATGACCATGACAGAACTCGAGGAGCTGCAGATGCAAAAGCTTCTGAAGGACAAGATTCTTGGTAAGCTGTTTAGCCACTACCATCGATCGGACTATCCAGTGCTGACCCATATAGATCAGGCGTCTGCCATCCTGATAATTCTTAACCCTGCCATCGTAGTTGGGCGTAGTAAAAAGGGAGAACCACTGTTCAGCGCTTACCTGACTGGTCATGACAATCCACGATCGCAGTCTACCTACATGTTCATTCTCCCACCCAGTATGGCCGCCAGTGAAGAAGCCGCTCTGGCCTCTCTGCTCGAGCAAATTCAGCATGCAGTAGACACCATCTACGACAACATGATAGGCGAGGATATCAGATACCACGAGAGAGGCGACAAGAACGACAGTCATGCTGATGCAATTGCCATGCTGTGGGGGTCATATAGAGTCCCAACTTCCCTATCCCAGTCGGGAGACCAGTCTTCTTAATCTGGAACCCGCAAAGTATTACAGAAGACTTGGTAGCTGCTTTATACTCAGCCAATGCCACTTCACTCACGGTTGACCACTTCCTCGATAGCTCGTTGAACATTAGGATTAAAGTGAATATGGATGTGGTAATATAGCCTACGATCACCACGTGGAATCACCTTGTAGCGTCCGGGATAATGCCTGTACAGCAGACCAGCACACATGCCAATCACCAACCCTGTCCGGCCCACAAAACCTCAGACGAACCGTCCGTGACACAAACACACGAACCTCAAAATGGCTCTGCCGACAAAGAGACTCTCCAACAGCAGCACATCATCTCCAGTTCTCCCCGTCAAGCCACCGACAGCATGAGCCCACAGGCCACACCCGACCCATCCACCCCTCAACCGTACACGATCATCGCCCACCACGTAAGTATCGCGAACCCACCACCTCTTCTTCTTGTTCTTCTTCCGACTAGTATGAGGCTTGCTGCTACATACTGCCTAGCTAGCTACCCGATTGACATTAAGAGCCCCAGCCCATGTCCGATCCACACACGGCCAATTCGCCGCCTCCGCCGGCGGGCGCGTATGGCCCACCGCGCACATTGATCTACCCATTCGACCGCACGCCATTCTTCGCCCAGCGCAACCTCGACTACGAAGCGTCGCTCAAACGCAACATCATCGGTACCTACGCTATTTGCCCCCCCGCCCCCCCTCCAGAACGGCCCCCTCCCTATCCCTAGCTCAGCACCCGAGCTGGTCCCTGCTAGCCTGCCGCTAACGAAGTGTCCTCCTTCTCTAGAGAACGCCCATGCGGTGTGGACGTTGGTGAATCCAGAGGTGATGCTGACGTGCCATGGCCCTAGCCAGCACTGCGCACACCTGATCTCCCACGACGACACGCCGGAGAAAAGTACGAGCTACAAGGTGATCACGGGGGCGACCGGATGCTGGCACTTTCAGGGTGCGTTGGAGGTACTGGCAGAGCATATGCAGGGCTTCATCAACGGTCATGTCGGCGCCTTGTCCAGTGATGGGAAGGTCAAGGACCAGGTGATTATGAAGATCGATTTGAGGGGCGTACAAGGTAGTTGAGATGCAAAGTCCTTGAGATGGGAACACAGGTGTGCGGGCGGTTTCGGTTTCAGCTGTATCAAAATAATGAGTGCGACGAGAATGAGAATGAGGACGAGACTGGAAATGAAGATGAGCTTAAGAATGAGAACGAGAACGAGAATGGAAATGAGAATGAGAATGAGAATGAGAATGAGTTTGAGAATGAGAATAAGATTAAGATTGAGATTGAAAACATTCATCTGATAATAGCTGGCAATCGTTGGTACATCAGCTTGTTGACTAGTGTTATATCGAGAACCAAAGCGACGGACGGACCGACGACGTATTAACATAGGAACTGGTGAGTTTCCAGACCGACGCACTATCGGTGTATACACTTCTGGGACAGTTTTGCAGCTTCGAAGGTAGATTTAGTCGACAACGCCCAGCCCCGTATTTTTGAAATCCAGTCAGTAGTATGCTGCTGACACGCAAAGCCAGAAGAATACGGTTGAAACGGAAGCAATCTTGCCTGTATGTACGCATTGTACTGTTGAACGTCTACAGATCGAGTGCCTGCATTGCGGAACGTCCAGATTGAACTATCGTCAGACACTCAAACCGTACGAAGCTGCTCGAACAACTATATCACCAGCGCGAACGAGCGTTAGTGGCAAGGCCAAACTGATAAATGGAACGATAGTCAAGCATGGGAAAATATCCATAGTCTAGGTATACGGGGGCCGTTGCCAAGGAACACGTAGGCACTATAACTCCACGAGTCCTCCGCCCGAATTATGCCCAAAAGAGGCAACGCTTGCGGAACAAATTGACTTCAATACGAGCCAACAGAGGCTTCAACCCATTCAGATGATCCTGTAGGCTGTACATATTATACCCGACCCTCCAAAAAAAACCTCCGACATCTCGCTTATATCACGTGTCCATGAACGAAACAACCAACTTGAGCACCATAGAAGTCCTAGGATCAGGAGCAGCAGCACCAGCCCCAAAACTCAGCCTTGCATCAATGGCGGCCCACGATCCGAATCTCAAGCTCCGTGTCCGGCAGATTAAGCTTCCATTCATTCCACTGGGTACATTCAACCATTGCTGCACACGCGTCAAAGGATCGAAGGGCTTGCCAAGAAGTATCGTGCCGCCAACCACCAGGGCATATCGTGAGCACGCTAGGCCTTCAAGCAGCGCAATATGCGAGAGAGGATTCTAAAAATGACACCGATGATCCTTGTGGCTTGCTGCCTGAAGCAAGGAGAGACGACGAGGGCCCGGTATGTGGTATGTGACAAGAGTCCGGGCCGGCGCAACTCCCACCCCGGCCGTTATAAAGTGAGAAGTGATGATACCGATCGAGAAGTATACCGCGCCCGTGTCCGACTAGTGAGGCAGTGCATCGTTGATTTTTCGCTTACTACACGTGACGTCGTGAACGGAGATGTGCTCTGATGGGGGAGCTAGGCTGTTTACGAGCAGTTGTGAAAGTGTACAGCCAATCAGCGTGTATATATGTCCGACCCGATACGGCTTGACCGGTTCGGTGAGAGGACAATGGCTAGTGGGCGCAGTCTCACTCTGTTGGAATATTACGCATTGCAACAATAGTGCTAGGCGCGTTTTGGGATGTTATGGGGTCGGAGGTCTGGTTTGCCCGTACCTCAGCTTAACGGCTGAGAATGTGTGTTCGTATAAGAGAATGGACGTGGGACTTCGAGATTCGAATCAGCATCTCATCTTACCATCTCACCACGTCATTGACTCTTCGCCTCTTCGACTAGATATATACTTCAGGAGCCATTGGGTATTCATTCCGATATTTTGTTTGCGAATTTTGAGCTCCAGCACCGGCGATAATGTCAGACTCCATCACTCTACCCTCCGGGCAGGTCATCACCGACCTCGACCAATGCACACTCGACATCTGCCCAATCGACATCGCCCGCTTCCACTATCTCCCAAACGTAGCCGGAAATGTCTTCTTCTGTATCGTATTCGGTGTCTGTCTACTGCTGCAATTATTCTTCGGCATCAAGCATAAAACATGGGGCTACATGGTCGCCATGGTCTTCGGACTGGTACTCGAGTTGCTCGGATACGTAGGGCGACTCTTGCTACACAACAATCCGTTCTTGTTCGATAACTTTCTACTGTGAGTCGCCTCATCCGCCCTTGTGTCACAGCGGATTCGTGCTGACAAGTCCACAGATACCTCATTTGCCTCACCATTGGCCCTGCATTCCTCTCCGCTGCAATCTACCTCTGCCTCGGCCGTATCATTGTCATCTATTCGCCCGCTCTCTCTCGCCTCAAGCCGCGTACCTACACCGTTCTTTTCGTCTCCTGTGACCTCCTATCTCTCGTCCTGCAAGCTCTCGGCGGTGCTCTTGCTTCGACTGCTGATGACGAGAAGTCAAATGATCTGGGCATCAACATCATGATTGCTGGTCTCGTTGCGCAAGTCGTCTCCCTCCTGGTCTTCATGCTGTTGTGTGCCGACTTCGCGTGGTCTGCGCATAAGCGCCGCAGCGAACGGGATCCGGCATTTGCTGTGCTGAGGTCTAGTTTTATCTGGAAAGCCTTCTTGATCGGTCTCGGTGTGGCTACACTTACAATCTTCGTCCGAAGCGTGTATCGTGTAGCCGAGCTTTTCGAGGGCTTTGACAGCGAGTTGGCGAACAATGAACCATTGTTCATGGCGCTTGAGGGCACAATGATCAGTATCGCTGTCATATGTCTCACAGGCCTGCACCCTGGAGTCGCCTTCAAGGGCAATTATGCTGCTGGTGACTTCAAGTTCCGCACCAAGAAAGGAAAGAAGGATGTCGAGAGTGACGCCAACAGCGATGCACAGTCTCAGAATGTCGAGTTGCGATGAATAGTGCAAGATGAGCGTGGTATCCATAGAAACGCAAGAGATGAAGCGTTCGAGCCGCTCAGTGGCACTATTCGCTGCCCGGTACATCCGTGACGAAGTCTTGCGGCAGTCAATTGGAAGTGTCGAGCGCGTGTGTCTAGGTAAAAACGCATCTCGACACTGTCGTACTATGTAACAACGAGGATAGACGTTTCAAAGGATAGATAAATGGTGGATATACCTTGGATAGAAATGCTTTTAGCTAGGAGCTCCGGCGTACATAGACGATTAACAACGATTTTTATTTGTGTGAACCAGAAATGTTCGATAGATCTGGGCGTGAAACAATTCATATGTCCAACATACTTCGATATTCCCTCTTAGGTTGAGCATCGTTATCAAGAGTCTGTCCAGTCATCCCTGTGGTCTCCGAGATAGAGGTACTAGCGCTATCCATCGTTTCTATTGACGCCACACCTCGAGGTCTCGATGATGATCGCATCATATGCGTCGCCTCATGCGATGGTGTGACACTACCAGTGAGGCTCGGATCTCTGAACGGGTCCGGATGGTCAGCAGATTGCGACCCATTCTCCGAAGGCGGATCAAAGGCATGCATTTCAACATCCTCAAACAGATCTGAATGAGTCTGTCTATCAACTGGTGCTTCACGAGTGATAGCTTTTAGTCTATCATCGTGATTCAGATGCATGGACGCAGCAGCTTTGTTCCACCAAGAAGGTTTCGCTTTGTATCCAAGCTCAGCATCTACGGCACGTCCCATTTCTCGGCGCAATTGTATGATCACTTTGTCCTCGTTTTCGTCTCTGAGCCCAGCTATCTCGAGGATGACAAGCAGTAAGAGAGAGCTGCCATAGCCTAGCGCGAATGGCCATGCCGGATCGCCATCGAACTTGGAGATACCGATGTCCCATACGTAGGCCGAAGCAGTCGAATATGCTATCCTGATGGCCAGTACGACAAGGGCAGCAACAAGCTTGAGTGGGATGCGGTTCTGTGAACGCGTACTGTAGTGTCGCGCTGAATGAAAGAGCGAATAGACAATCACAGACCAAGCGACAGCTGCTATTATGCCACCGATCTTGAGCCTGATGTTTGTTGCATTTGGCGCAGCTATTTCGGCTTGCTGTTCAGGCGATCGTTGTTGCTGCAGCTTGCCCCAACTCCGTGGAATTACCAGGAAGAAGCTTAGCCAAGCAAAGACATAGAACACCAAGGGAAAGTAGAACTCAGTCTTAGCTCGTCTATCATCGTCTATGAGGAGATATGGGTCCCGCTCGCTCACTCGTCTTTCCGAGAACGAGCCCCAGTGCCTGACTGCCTCCCATACAGCTGCCAGCATCCCAGGAAGCATCAATGCGAAAAAGAAGCTTTGGAGCACGATTGGTAAACTTTGAAGGTAGAAGCGCTCAACATCAATGCCTGTGAAGCAGCTGACGAGTCCGCATACCGCGACAAAGATCATCCAATACCACTGCCAACGTCTTCCTATAATCTTAAATCTCTTGTCTTCCCGAAGATACATGCGTCCATGTTTGCGAAGGTTTACCAACGTGAACACCAGTGTTATTCCAAACGCAGTTCCGAATGCGATGCTCAATGATCCTCTTGTCCTTATGCCATAGTATGGGGTGTAACATGATGTTCCATTTATCCATGAGCCGTTTGGCAGCAACGAAGGGTGGTAAATGTCGAAGACAAGGAAGCAGTTGGAACCGTTCGAGATCGTATCGTTCGAATACAGCTGGTAGCTGAACAAGTCAAGGGTTGTTCGATTGTAATGCACGCCATTAATGAATGTGTCGGTTGAGTTATCGCCTGCGGGAAATTGGAGAAGGCTTCGCGTATGAACACTCATAGTGAGCACAATAGAGAAGACGTGCGAAGTCAGTGCTTCCTTGCGATGTCATTAGTCTCACGACACGTCTTTCAAGTTGCCTCGTTGTTCAGTGGTTGATAGGTATAATGTGAAGGAAAGCTTGTCAACATTCCGTGCAGATCCGCTGTAGCATGATTAGCTACGGTGGAAGGACAGCTCAAGAGCACTCCGCTGTGGAAGACGTTCTTGGATGCGGCCGATGGCAATGCAGAATATAGCGATCACACGCTGACATCGAGGGCGCTGGCGCCGCGGTCACTACTTCGAGGCTTGAACGTGAGGGTGAAATGGCGTCTGTCCCCGGGTTAAGCCTTACTAAGTAAGGCCGCAGGGCGACGCCTGCGCCTCAACACCATGCCAAGCATCTCGTTCGAACCAGGTTCAAGGGCTGTCGCAAACGACAATTCGAGTAAAAAACATCAAGCTACTAGAAAATCCAACAACTTTTAGTATCAAACTATGGTAACCACTACCAAAGCGCCAGTTTCCTGTTATGCTCGCTCTACGCCATGCTTTACTGCATTCATCATTCGTACAACGCGACTCTCAATGGATGCGGTGCCAGTTGGTGGTTGATAGGGGCCCAAACTGCAGATGACAATATTAAACGGCTTGACATAAACACGGGGTTGGCAACAGTTAGGGAATCAAGCTCAAGGTCACCCGTGATACTTGCTCACTGGCACCACGAATCTGCGGGCGCTATCTGCTTGGACTAAAGCATTATTTCACAACACCAGAATCGATTATATGCAACTGAACACGCCAAATAAGCCATCACATTCGTCATTCATGCTTGCGACGTAGTATCCGAGACAGCCAAAACCATGTCAGGGAAAGAGTCCGGAATCACATGAACCGTAGTACCATCATTCCAGAAGAAAGGAGCCGTTTTCTTCATCACCGCAACTCCAACGGCGCCTCCCTTCATTGACTTGTTCAACGCCTCCTGCAGCACGGTCCGCAGACTCTCAAGCGCCCTCCAGACATTGCCCCCTGCTCCACGCGCCAGGGGCAGCATGAGGTTGGTATCGGGAGGCGCGGCTGTGGTCACAAGCCATGCTATCCACTGTGCGTCTGGACCTTCGGTCTGGGCGAGAATGACTGCGTGGTTAGGTTGGTAGAAGACGTGCGAAGCAAGGTCTACGTTCGTTAGTCGACTGACAAAAGGCACAGGAGATGGGGATTGTACCGAGGAGATCCTGCTTCCTTGCCGTTATGTTCTGCAGATCGAGAGTTGAGCTTGGATATGGTGTCATGTTTTGGGATTGATACTTGTTTTCTTTCGGTAATCGGGAAGTGGTAGAAGAAGTGGTGAGTGGCTTCCATGCATCCTTGCTCTTCTCTATTCTTTTGTACTTGTAGATGCCTATCGAGTTCCAGGGAGAAGTGATCTCTCTACCTTGGGATAGTCACGTTGATTCATCGACGTGTGATTTGAGAAACTAGGTCGCTACTCGGATTCACCGATATTTGTGGCAAGTCACATCTTGATGGGATGCGTGATTCTAACGAGCCAACTAAGTATTCTACGTCTGCACGAACTACTACACAGGCTCAAGTTCAGTGACTGTTGCGACTGCATAACGGCGATTGTCATGCCAGTCTTGTTACCTGCAAGGATTTTGGTGATTCAGATTCACAATGGCATGAACAGAATGTTGTGTAGATATCAAAAACATCGCCTGAAGTGAATTGGGCTCTTTCACGTCCTGGACGTGGTGCATGCATTGCACTGTTCACAGTGGGTCTTGATCTGTATCATTTCCCGTCTGGTCGTAAATCTCGAACGAAGAATGGTCATGTGCCACAGCTGCAATGATCTTCATAGGCTATGGAGAGGAATATGGCTCCTTCAAGTAGAGTCATATCATGAGGAGGGGATTACTGCGGGTGGTTCATTCTGACCGCAGACACCAGAGTAAATCCACGCAGGACCAAAGTGCTACGATCGGTATAGAATAGTTGCGCCGAGTACGATGAAGGGATACCAATGACGAGATACCTACAATGAACACCATCTTTAATATCGCGGTGCAGAATGAGGGACTATATTAGGTAAAGTAACGATGAAGGCGTGGAGGATGAGTGACTATATTAGGTAAAATAACGATAAAGGCGTGGAGGATGATGGACTAATCGGCGTTGGACAAGGATTGACTTATAAGATTTTACTGTCTGTGGCGTGCACTAAAATTTATAGCTATCACGAAGCCAGTATATGGATGGACGTTTCAGATTAATTCTATTTTCGGGATTTCTTTAAAAAATGCCTCATTAATGACCTTGTTAATGAGACATTATGCTACTCCTATAATACCTGCGCGAATCATGGAAAGATAGAATGAAACTAGTAATTTCGCGACCATGGGTGAGATTTATAAATTATCTTCGAGTTCCCGTAAACTCCATTTATAAGTGCATCTACCTACAACACTCTACTATGCATTTCTCAAAAACCCTCATTACGATAGTAGCAGCTACTACTAGCCTAGTCATCGCCGATCGAAGACGCCCGTTTCCGGAAACCGACCCAGACATGATACGAGAAACTATCACTCTACCAGTTATAAAGGAGATTAAAACTCTACTCGAAGACCCAGAACGCAAAAGTCCAGTCCAATGGAGAAAAATATACTATCAAGCCGGATATTACAACGTCTGGGACCAGATTTGGGCTGAAGTCATACATGGGTTTGACCGTATTAAACTACCGACGTATCTGGAAACTATAAAACCTACATGTACAGACGAGAAGTTAGCTCAAGAAGACTATGAGAAGGCTCTCGCAGGGGCTTTCACTGAGGTTATAAATACCACAAATGGTGAGCTGTCCTTCGACAGGTTTATGAAATCAGATAATGGCTCTGTCATGGCCTATGGATGCAATAGCGGCTACAGGCAGACTGTACACCTCAGCGATCTCATAGCCATTCACGCCGCAATCAAGGAGTCATGTGGTGACAAAGCCGGTTCTTTCGATATTGGTAAATGGCGCGTAAAGTATGGTGTTTCAGAAGCTAAATGGTATCCATGTTAGATAAGTAGTCATAATTACTAGATTAGGACTAGTGGTTGAGACATTAAATAGCTCACTTGAGACTCTCTCTCTCTCTCTTAGTCTTACAATGATCAATTCAACACAATCAAGTCTATAATCTTATCTTCTACATTAAGTACCTAATCATGAGTGACCATCCACGGGACAAGTCAGTCGCCATCGTTACAGTATAAGCAATGAAATTAGCAAGAAACCACATTGCTGGACTCGATAGAGGTTTGGGGGGGAGTCAGTGAATCAGCTGTCTTCCGACGCCATGAACCTCCTGCAGCTCATGGTATACTGTCTTTTTTCTGGTTCTCACGGAAGAGTTCGGACGGCTAACTACTGGCCTCCCAGCCTTTTTGTTGTCACTATGGGAATGGTGCGCACTGTATGCCCGCGCGGTTAGTGGCTCCCTACTATTACTAACTACCCTACACCTAAAGTCTCACTCGCACACTCCAAAATTCTCTCTCTCTCTCTCTCTCTCTCTCTCTCGCGCGCGCAAAGAAATCACCTGTGCTGTGAGACGTACATTCCCAAAGATGCCCATCTTTCTATCACAGGCTGCACTGAGGACCATCTTTCCAGACGTAGATATTGACCGGCAAGTCCAGAGCACCTCCGACTCCGATGCCGCCCCTGCATCATCAGCCCTATCAGCGGAAGCAAAAGTCCGAGGCACGTCCGACTGCAGTCGGAACGCTGATACTGCTGCTCCGAGTCTGCCTCCGATGGCAGACGGGGATGGTAAAGACGGTGTAAGTACAGACACCACGCTGGGAGACGATTTGCCCCATCTTTCACGCTCAGCTCGCGTGCATTATTGCATCGCATTCACTTACACATTTATTGCATTTACAACCCCCCTCCCCCCCCTTTTACCCAGTCACTCTAGCCCCCCCCCTTTCTTAGCCCCGCTAACCCCGCAACGAGGGTAATACGTTCCAGACCACCGCTCCTTCACTTCATGCTTCCTCCACTCCACAACAACACCTAAACTCCACCATAATGCCAAATGATAATAACGAGCAGTCGGCTCTGTTGACCCTGCCCTCGGAGATCCTGATCCACATCTTCGATCTCATCGACGAGAGAAACACTCTACTCAATGCCAGCAACACGTGCACCCGCCTGCGCAAGTTCGCCCAAGAACACATCTATCGCGACGTCCTGATCCGCACCGGCCAGGCCGCGCGCCGCATGAACAGAGACCTAGCCAACAACCCGATCCGGACTCGAAACATCCGCCGTCTAGCCATCCGCTACCTGGCCGAAGACCAGGACGGAATCGAAGACATCAATCCCAGGATCCGAGAAATGAAGCATCTCCGCCATCTCTTCATCGAGACGCCCTGCTGCAACGACATCCAGTGGCGGCCCCATCTCGAGGGCCAGCGCGAGTGGGCCGAGAAGGGCCGCATCGACGTCACGGATCTCTTCCGCAATGCCACTCTTCTCCGCGATCCCGCACATCGAAGCCTCGCATTCCTCAAGTCCTGTAAGCAAAAGCAAAGTGAATCCCAAGTACCACAGCCCTAACATACCATTCCCCCCAACAGTCACATACCACTCCCACGGCCTCGGCAACGCCAAATACGCCTTCCCAGACCACTCCGTCTTCCACCACCCCACCCTCGAAACCATCAAACTCTCCTGCCTCGACTTCACCCCAGACCCATCAACAACCACCACAACAACCCCCAACCACACCACCTCCCTCCGCACCCTCATCTTCGACGAATGCAACATCTCGGCCCCAGCCCTCCTCACCACCCTCCGCCTCCCCCGCGCCCTCCAAACCCTCACCCTCGGCGAACGCAAACACCACTTCCACGACTCCCCGATCCCCCTCCTCGCAAGCTCCCTCTCCACCCTCCTCGCCGCCCTCGCCCTCCAATCCCACGCCCTCACCTCCCTCTCCCACGACGGCGGCAGCCCCCACATCTTCGACTCCGCCGCCACCCCCTCCTCCTTCCGCAATGCCCTCCCGTCCCTCCACACCCTCGTCATCGGCCCCGCATCCTTCCTCCACCGCTACCTCCAGGCCGAAGCCCACCCGCCCCGTCTCCGCGCCCTCGCCCTCTCCGGCATCCAGACGCACCACCTCGAATACCTAGAGCAGATCCTCGAGCGCTACCTCGCGACCTGGCTTCCTGCGCCCCGTTTCGGCTCCGATACGGCCATGCCCACCCCCATGCCCTACGCCCTAGACATCCACATGCGGCCCACCAAGGATGTGGACACCATCGAGGATGCCGTGGCCTTGCTCTGGCGCTCGCCCAGTCGCTGTCTCGGCACGCGCTCGTTTGGCGAGAGTATGGCGCGGCGCGGGTGCAGGGTGCGCGTGTGGGCGAGCTTGTGGGGGAATTTCATTCCGCCGTATATGTATGGTGAGCAGGAGCCTGTGGAGGTGGTGGCGTATGATAGTATGGCGGCGAGTGCGCGGTCGGGCGTGGGCGTGGGGGAGGAGGACGTAGTGGAGATGGAGGAGAGGGAGAGGGAGAGGGAGAGTAATGGTAGTAATGGTAGTGGTGGTGGTGGTGGGGAGGAAGGTCGCTGGCGGATGTAAACGTGCGCGTCCGCCTGTATATCATTCATGACGGGGTCGTGTAATATAAAGTTTATCTTTCTTCTTCTAGAGGCAGGGTCAGGCGCGGGAGTTATTCAATCAGGCGTTATCTGGTGGGACAATTCAGGTCTTGAGACTGCGAAGGGAATATATTTTGTGCAATATAGATAAGGGGGAAGGGGCAGACAACTAGCAACATAGAATATCTCAAACGGTAATATAATCTTCTAAGCTCAATCGCCACGACGAAAAAGCATATGGATATTTTATATATGTATATATATACAGGTCCGCGGGCAAGATAGTATGCTATCCATCTATCAAGTGACATACCGAAAAATTCAGGCAGGCAAAAAGATATCTTCAGCTCCAAACGTCCGCTCCCCCAACCCCAAAACCAGAACTGCGCGCGCTTCTTCCGCGCTCTAAAAGTTCTCCTTTCCATACACAAACTGAAACGCATCATCACTGTACATATTACACTTCACGTGCAACAAGCTCCCCAATGGCTTCGGCCCACAGAAGAACACGCCAGCCTCCGCCGGGGCATGGATCCTGCGGATGCTGCGGAAGATAATGTCCCAGTTCGGTCTGCCGAAGGATGTGGGCGAGCGAAGGCCGGTGATGGCGTCTTGCTCGGCGTTGGCGTCGTTGATCATGATATTCGTGGCGTCGTCAATCTTGATCTTGGCCGTGAGATACTAAGTTTTTATCAAGTCAGTATGCATCCAGAGGAAAAAGGGGGGCAGGCGACAACATACAGTATGAATCTCAATCCGATCCTCCAGATCCTGCTGTTCAATCGCCAGCAGCAAACTTCGGAACCACTCCAGACTGCCAAAATCCCGACATATCCAGAAGAAATACACCTTGCGTAGCCGCGTGCGCCCTTGGGGGTAGTTCATGCGGTACCAGATACTCTTCAGTATACTTGCAAACGGCGTCACACCTATGCCCGCGCCGACGAGGACTGCGACTTCAAACTTGAATACGTCTTCGGAGGCTGATCCAAAGGGCCCGTCAATGTACACCCGTGGCAAGATGCGCCGTAGTGTCGGATCCGCGTGCCTGTCATCCGCGGCAGCAGCCTTGACCTTCGGTATGTCTGCGCCCGCACCACCGCGTCTCTCGGGCTCACAACCCAGCACGGCGTGTAGTCTACGTGTAAAGTCGCCGGCGGCACGCACGTGCACGCTGATATAATCCTCCTCCGGGGCGCTGGTCAGCGTGAAAGGATGGTACTGCCAGATACTGATTTCCGGACAGCACAGGAAGATGTACTGGCCCGCACGCGTTTTCGTATTCTCCTTCTTGATCTGGATCTCGCACACGTTGCTGGGATGCTGGATGACCTTGCTCACGTACGTCTTGTGTTTCCCCCGTACCTCGCGCGCAATGCGCTCCGCGAGGTAGATGAAGCCGCCGTACATCCAGTACTGCCAGAAGACGCCGGTACCGGAGCACACGGGCGCAAAGTCCTGCGGGATCAGACAGAAGGCGCCATGTACGGACCAGAAGACGAAGAAAATGATGAACAAGTGGTGCGTGTACCAGAAGCGTTCAAAATTGGCGCGGCGCTGCTTCTCCATGGCTGTCCAGACCATCGCCATCAGGGCGACGAGCATCACGTAGCCCGACCAACCCGGACCGGTGGCAAAGTTGGCGAGGAGAAAGCCCACAAATCCAAGCTTGTTTTGGGCAGAGAAGCGCGCGAGGTTGACCCAGTGGCAGATGGTGTGTACCCAGGTGAAGAAGACGATGGACCAGGCGGTGAGTTTGTGGAAGGTGATGTTCTTATCAAACTGGATGATGCCGTTCAGGGGAGTTCGACGAAGAAGTGAGATTAGATTGCGGCACACGGCTGGGAGACCTTGTTAGCCATAATCCGACGATAGTCTCGGAAGCCTTACGAAGAAGGATAAACGCTACATCTAGATGTAGGACCAACGCAGACGCACGCGCTATAATAAATGTAAAGCCAAATCGCTGCCGCGAGTTGTTGAGGTTATCCTACAGGTGTCAGTCATAATACCTCCACGGAGTATGTAGTCCTACTTTCAGACCGTAATGCAGACATCCAAATGTGAACACCAGTAGGTGCACCAGCATAAAAACACCAACGAACAGCCTCCGGTAGCCCTCGTTCACCATCCATCTGTCAAGCATTTCCCGCCAGTTCAACTCTCTAGGAGCCTGATCGCTCATCTCTCCCGACATCAACATCCGTGTCAACGGTGGCCATCTCGATCTTTCTCGCCCCGGCAGTCTGTATGATTCTCCTTGCGACATGGTAGATGTGCGTGCGCTGATCTAGCTATTAAAACCTGAACTTGGGCAGGCAAGCTTCGGAAGGAATGCGCAGTGTAATGGAGAGCCGATCGCCTGCTGGAAGGTAAGGATAACGTATTATGATCTGCGCCCAATGTCAGCCAACTCCTTCATCCATCGACAAGTCTCGACATACCAAAAGTGCCAGCACTGTACGAAGAGAATCTAGAAAGAAGGGAAAGCGAGGAGGCTGCAGATCCAGCAAGCCGGCCGCCGAACGAGACCTATGAGAGAAGGGCAGAAAGAAGGTATTCAGAAGACAGACATGAACAAGCTGTTACCAAGGGTCGGGAACAAGGCTTAAGGTCCAGGGAAGACGCAAGCCGCAAACCGCAAACCGGGGTGATGAGTACTGGATCATACGATTCTCGTCGGCGGCGGCACGCTGCTGTTGAGAATGAGAGACAATGGGACTTTGTAACGCGAAGGATCTCGAGTACCAGGGGAGCGAATCAAGATGAAGGGCGAGTGTCTTTGTTGATGCTATGGACGTCTATGAAAGGGCAAGCCGACGAATCAGAGAGACGCCACAGCGGGGTTTTGCGGGCAGCGAAGACGACAGTGGACGAGCCATTGAAACTGTAAGTGATTGACTAGGAGACCGAGTCTAGGCGGATAGTGTATAAGAAGCAACAGAAGAGCGATGTGAGTGGTTGAAGATGATGTGGGCGCTTAGAGTCAGCACGTTTGAGGCGCGTATCAAGCCGTCTCAGCACGTTTCAGGGTCTTGGTTGGGTTGGTTGTTGCCTCAGGCATACATACCTACACATACCGCCGGCCATCAAACACCAAAACAAGCACTTGTATCCGCTGACTTGATACGCTGCCTGGTTACATATATTGTTAAACCAGGTCGCTATAGCCACGACGACTTGGCCGCTCTACCCGTTGATAAAGCAATAGTTCGGCTGCCATTGCTTGTATTCATTCTGCGCCACCAAAGGAACGTTTCCAAACATGCTTGACACGAAAGAGTGGGTTTATGTCTTCAAATGCCCAGATAGTGTCTGGAACACGTATTCTGTAGACTGTCCAGTTTATGCAAAGCTTGCCTGTACGTACTCTGGTGGACTGGCCCATGAAGCTCTCTCTAGATATGACAGCATGACCCGAAGAATAGCAATGACCGCAGACTCGCTCAACATAAGGCGATATACACATGAAAAGGAACGACATCTCAATGACTCCATGTATCGTCCACAAAGAGACAGCCAATCACAGCCCTATCATGGGAGAGAAAAAAGGGCACAACTAACTAAAATAATGGCCGCACAGCGACGTACTACATAGCATAAATCGTGATAGGAGCCCGAGCCAAGGGATATATATAGTGTGTGCTCGCCGAGGAAATCTCGCGGCACAGAACGCTTCAGGGAACTCCGAGAAAAATGACCAGTCGGTCGCTCTGATTCCAGTCCAGGACGTATCTCATCATTGTAACGAAGAAATTTGGGTTTCATCGCCCCCAGAGAGCTCAAAAGACGCCCATGGCCTCTGAGACCCGCCCCCCCCCCATGCAATATTTGCTCCTCCCTGTATTCCCCCCGATAACGCCACATTGCAGTAGTAAAGTCGAATTATATCTCTAGAGCTTCCCATGCCTAGCCTTGAAAATGGCCACCTTGTCGTCGTAGAACAAGATCTCGCGAAGTCGCACCTTCGGCCCTCTGCGATCGTCGTCGTGCATGTAAGAGTCCTCGCCGTCGGTGTCCGTCCGGCCATCGTCTGAAGGCTCTGACTCGGTCTCGTCCAGCTCACCATTCATGCCATCGTCATCGTCATCATCGTCGTCGTCCTCAGTATCATCTCCCTCGTCGTCCGAGTTCATAGGAGCCTGACCAACTGCATTGTAACCAATTCCAGTAGCGTTGGAGCTGCTATGCTGAGGGTTGGCGTCGCTATGTGAATCGTTGCCCGACGGCTTGTTCTCCAAGATTTCGAAACACTTGTTCATGATACCCATATAACATAGCTCAACCTCAGGCTTCAAATGTACTATGTCGATGACCTGCATTGCGAACACCTTGGGGTCAATATTATGGCCGTGGCCATGCTCAGCCAAGACAGGAATATAGAGCGATCGCAGATGGGGAATTTGAGGAAGCCGTTGAAGGAAATAATGCTGTGAACAGTTAGCTTCATTATACCTGGATCGAGATCTGCAAATCATACCCAATCTCGGAAGTCCATTGTAATGGCAAGCTCCCGTAGATTACGCATCCGCCCGCTGGTGATGAAACCGAGGAATTCGCGGTTGACCATCCACCTCCTCCATCGTGCGGGACCGGTGGCGTGTCCATCCACACACTTGTCGCTGCTATCGATCATGACTTTCTTGAGACTCTCCCGGTGGCGCTTTATAGGACCTTTATATATAGCATCCACTGTGACGTTTGAGTTGTAAGACCGATGTTCTTGCAGGAAGAGGACCTCCAGACTATTGGGTGCCAAAGTCTCTTTGAGGAACGAGATGAGCGGTGCCGAAACTGTGTTTGTGTGAATCTTCCTGAGATTGAGCCTATAGTCGTAGCTCGTCGGTCTTGGAGGGTTAGAGACTGCCTTGGATGCGCTGTGTCCACTATATCTGGGCGAAAAGCTGCGTCTCAAGAACTTCCAAAGTGCGTCATGGCCATGACAATTAAGCAGCGTGAGCGTGGTTAGCATCGACCAGTCGAAAGCTTTGAGTAGAATCGGGACGGATATGGGGACCCTTTCAAGCTCTAGCGTGTGCAGTTGGAGCCTATCCTTCAACGCAGGTCCATAAGCCTGGTCTCTTATTTCAGCCCGGTTCAGTTGAGCCACATCGCAAAGCATCTCCAATGCCTCCGTACCTTTGAAGGCACTCGCAGAAGAAGACCGGGAATGCACGTTTTGCTCTCCTGTCGGAGTATCGTGCTTGAGACCAAGTGCTGATGTGACGGGGTCCTCAGGAGTGTCGCTCGGTTCGTCGAGGCTTTCATCACTTTGTGCAGTCGGCGAGTGTTCGACTGGTGATGTGACGGGTGTTGTCGAATCCATGGTAGGGGTCTCCGTCTTGGTAGAAGCTGGAAACAGATCTCCGGCGGCTTCGACTGAGATCGGAGGCTTTGCATCGTATGCATTCCGCCGCATGTTATAAACCCGGCCTACCAAGATACCGAGCACGCCCCCGAGGCGCTTGTCTTGGATCCGGGGGGTAGTGGAGGTCCATTTCCAGTTGTAATCAACCTGTTGCAGCCCGTCACCCTCCCAAGCGTTGACCCAATCTCGCTGTTGCGAGTGTCTCGCTATTCCAACTCTCAGCTCCCTGAGTTTGTGTTGCGACCGTGCTATCAAGATGCTCATCTCATCCAAGTAAGGTAGCTCATCGATGTCAAGAACACTCAAACTCTTAAGAGCTGGGAGCACAGAAAAGGTCGGCCGCTCGACTCGATCGATGGCTGAATTCGTTTGTATAGCGTGTGCGGATACTGCTACTGGGGCAGAAGTGACGTTAGCACCACTGGTATGAGGCGCATGTGGTGCGGGCATAACGTGTGCTAGTGGTATAGGAGGTGATGGAGCCGAAGTGTGCGAATCGATGTCCGAGTTGTTGTGCCACCGAATCCATATTCGCTCTAGTCGACAACTTTCTGGATCATTCCTGTCCGCCAAGGATGATAGTGACAGCCAGACATCTCTCAGCACACCTGTGGGCATGTCCCAGACGAAGGTTTCCAGATTTTCCATTCTTGCTACAGCTAGCGCGACCTGAGTCCCGAGCATCTTTCCGGGCTCTTTCGTGATCAGGTATTCTTGCACCCAGTCTGTTGGCCCATTGCCAAGCGAGAACTTCTTCGTGTATTTGGCGTAGTAGTTACCCCGCCGGATAGGGGGCAGGGCATATTGCTGGTAACCCTTGGGCAGCGCCGTCTTGGGTTTTGATGGCCGTGAATCTTCGCGAAACATTGGTTTGGCCATGACCAACGTAGACAGGCCGTAGGTGAGGGCATCAACACCAACCCGTGGCTCATTGCTAGTGCTTGCGTCCGGCCAAACAATGTCGAACCGGGAGTAGATGTAGGGAATCGCGAGGCTATGGAGAGCGGAGTGACAGAGTGCGAGTGATGTGAGGTCGTTCGTATGTGGAAGCTGTTGCCATGGTATATCAGCAAGACGGTTCTTGTGCTCATGACGCAGCTGAGCAGGGCATTCTTACCTGGTGCACGATCTCTTTCAGGATGTCGACGGGTAGATCAAGGAGAGTCAAGGGCCCACGCTTCTCAGCAACCTCATTCCACTCTTTCTCCTTGCCTTTCAGAAGTCGCGAGATGGATCCTTTCGGTCTCTGGTCTTCGGAGGGCGGCATGCCTTTCGAATCATACTGGACTGGGGGACGCGGGCTGGATGGTAGAGATGCGGGCTGCTTGCTCAGGGAACGTTCGACATCACTGTAGACGATGTCGTCATCATCGAACGCGACAGGCGTACTGGATCCGCTTGTGGGGGTAGAGAGGCTGGTCGTATATTCCATGCTGTGAGAGCTACGCCTTGCGGTCGGAAGACGATCTGGCGACCGTCATGGGGAACGATAAGGTTTGTGTATCCAGTATAGCACGCGACCTGAGAGCCTTATGGTAGATGTCAGATTCACAGCTATTCAAGTCGAGTGCAGAGAGGTGTGCGAATGTGTCAGCGATGGATATATGGAAAGGTGGCTGGGTGAACTATGGATGGACCTTATATTAATAGTTAGCAGCACGGCCGGACACTTCTTTAGGCTCCTCATTCGCCAAGAGATCCGCCCAGCAACCATGGACAGGTACCCACGATAGTAATTAATGCCTAGTAGCACACCGGAGAGACAGCTAGTGTCCAACAAAGAAGTGGGACAAACCTTGCGGGGTGTTTTCTACGTGTTTATTTTTATTGTTGGTTACTATTCCGAGAGTCTTTTCACTGGTTTCGTAGATTTGTGAATGTTATAAACCCCAACAGAGAACAACACAACCGGTATGACGAAATGAAAGCACATGTTCATTCATAAACGGCTAACCTGCTTCAGATCTCGTTGCATTGAGCTATTGGGGGGGTATCACAAAAAAATCGGGCCTCCGCCCTATCGCTATGCATAACTAACTCTATCTTGAGAGTCCTTGCGTCACGATACGCTGAAAGGCAAGGTCTGCTGTCCACGCTCTGGATCTGGCATCCTAAACACATTAATATCCTTCTCCGTATGCCCATCACTCACACCATGCGGCGTGATCAGAATGAACTGGCGACTGACAGACTGCCGCGCGGCTTGGATCATCATCTTCGTGCTTTCGGATCGTATCTTGTTGTCCATGAACACGTCATACTCATCTAGACATCGAAGAGGGGAGCCCATGGCATCCCAGAGAGCCAACAACAGGCAGATGGTCGAGAATGACTTCTCCCCACCGGACAATGTCTTCGACTGTCTCCCTGTTTCGCCCTCTTTGGTTGCATCGGGCTCGACGGAGATGTCGAGTTGTTTTTTGTGCGGGTCGATCTTCAGGTGACCCCTAAAACGGCGCTGTTGGAGCAGGTATGTGAACATGATGCGAGCCCTTGATGATATGTATCTTCGGAACTTCTGCCAACGGGCCAGTCTATCGGCCATGGAGTGTTTCAGGGCGTCGGCCTGTTTCTTAATAACATTCACATTACGGGCAATTTCATTGCGATCTGCCGTAGCCTCAGCCGCAAGCTGGCAAAGTTCCTGGTGAGTAGCACCCGTTCTATGTCTGTTAGTAGAGGACTTGAAAGCATTGATAGAGAGGTACATACGAAGCTATATTCGTTTGGAGCTCGCGCTGGAGTCGCAAATAACGGCTTTCGAGTTGCTTTGATGTATCGTTCAAGTCGACCTGTACACGGGGACCAGCTGCATCCGTAGCCAACTCCTCAGCTTCGGCGATTCTGGCTTCCTGGGACTTGACGTCTCGTTCGGCTCTACCTTGCTCAGCTACGGCATTCTGGACGGCGGCAACGGCCTGGCTCTTCTCATACAGCATCGTCTGCCGAGCCTTTTCTATTTCATCCCGTGTGGATTTTGCCCTTGCCGCCTGGCGCTCGTACTTTTTGAGTCTTTGTTTGATCTCCTCCCATGCTGTCTTCAATGCAGTCTGAGCCTGATGACTATTCGTTCTCTCCTGTCTGGACGCCCTGAGTGAGTCTTCAGCAACAGACAAAGCTGTCTGAGCCAGGCTGATCTGCCTGTCGAAAACTGCAAGTTCGCCAGCGGCCTGAGGGGTGGCATCTTCAAGCTGTTCCTTCAATATCTCAATGTCGTCTGCAGCCTTTTCCTTGGCAACACGAAGGTTTCGGGTCTCTTTGTTGAAACTGACCAGGACGTCTCTTCTCTGGCGCAACACTGCCTCTAATTCTTTCACTTTCCGTTGCATGACTTGATATTCATGTTTGGTGTGCTCAAGGTTGTCACGGTAGATGCTAACAAGTTTGTTAGTGAAGAAATTTGAACACACGTCTAGAACCCACGTGAGTTGAGTGCCGGCATCCGATTGCATTCGTGGGTGACCTGGGTATGCTTGAATGTTATTCATGGCCCGGCCTCCGGTCGCGGATGCGATGAGCCTGTGTCCGGAGCCCTTTTTTGTCTCATGCATTGCGAGACATGCCTTGACGTTTCTAGGATGGGAATTCACAAAGTCAGAGGCCACGGCACGGCTTGGGATGAGCGCTATCTGGTCTATAGACTGCACGATAATGCAAACGTTGCGGACTTTTTCGTTAGTAATCTGAAAATCGTTAGCCTAGCAAGCAAAGATCAAACAAGACTTGAGATACTTTTAGAGCGCGGAGCCAGGTGAGCTGTTGCGGATCGGGCTCTTGGTCAACGTTTATCCGTTCACCATTGTTTATGTAAATTGGAGCATGACTACACAGCTTGGTCAAATTCCCTCATCACATCCAAGTCCAGGGGGCGACTTACTAGCGTGCTTTCTTGAATATCTGGTGTAGGAGGCTTTGATCATTCTTGTCTGACACTACGAACGCATTCAGGAGCATCCCAAAGGACGACTCAAGCACGGAAGACCATTCAGGTTTCAGCAGTTGTATATGTCTTCCCATGGGCCCAATGGGAGCAGTCTTGAAGCGACGTTCGGCTTCGATGGCACGGAGTACACTGGATAATTCTCTGCGATACCCGCCCATCCAGTTGCTTTGTTTGTTAGTGTGCTCGTCCAGCATTTGTTGCGCTCGCTGCATGTCCGCCCTGCTAGCGTCCAGCTTAGACTTTGAGTCATCAAGTTGATGTTGTGCTTCTTTTTGTTCTCGCTCGACTACTGGAAATCTCGCGGTGTGCACATCTAGTCTCTGGGTGGCTTCTTCGAGCCTACTCTTGGCTTCGCTAATTTCGTCGTGTATTCGAGCCAATGAACCATCATCGGCGGCTGACTGCCGTTTCAATGCCTCATCCTTCTTATTCTGGTTCTGGGAGATTTCATTCCTCTTCGACTGAATCTCTCCCTGCATGTTGCGCTCATCTTCCTACGAAGCGATTAGCAGTACTCTTAGGCGTTGTGGACATTTCGTACCAAGGCACTTTGCATGTCGGCGGCAAGGGAGTCGATTTCACTCTTCTTCGTGTCAAGGTCGGCTTTGATCGGCCCAACTGCTGCCTCTGCTTCATTGGCATGTTCGCATGCCTTTTCGAGTTGGACTTGTAACTCTGAATACCTTGTCTCGACGTCAGCTAGGGTAGCCTGTTGTTGCTGGACCATGCTCTCGGCCAGGGTTAACTCCTGTACCAGTCTATCTCGGCTCTACGTCACGTAAGCAGCGGACCGGGGATGAGCAATTACTATGGCATACTTCTTCTTCATCGGTGACCAGTCTCCATGCTGTTTGTTTCCGAACCTTTTCGATCTGTTCCCTGAGAACCTCCTGTGAGGCAGAAGCATCCAATCTCTTCTTAGCGGCAGTCTTCCGCGATTCCGCGGCACGAAGACTAGCTTCGCTCTTCGTCTTCTGAGCTTCGAGCGCGTCCAGAGTGTCTTCCAGCAGTCTGTAGTCCTTGGCCAATTGCTCCAGCTGAGTTCCTTTGAGGAAGAATTGGTATTTCTCGAAGGGCGTAGAGGTGACGAGGAACGACTTCGCCGCGTCTTGGGACAAGATGGTAATGGGGTTGTCAATCTGCATAGCAAAGGAGTCCATGATATCCGCCAAATCCGACGCCCTGGTAGTAACGATTTTCCCCATGGCGTTTTTGATCTTGTAGCTACTGCCACTCGACTTGGAAATGTGTCGCTCGACGATTATGGAGTCGCCGTATTGCTCAGGCTGGTATGCAGATGACCCTTGGTTCTTGAGCTTGACGCTGACCATGCCAGATCTTGCACATTTGTCAGTCCATGGTCGGAGCGCGACTGAGAACGAACTTACTCTTCGCCCTGCTTGATGTAACCCCGTATACTTGAGGCGCGCTCTTTTGACTTGCCACCCAGGCATAGACTTATGGCGGCCAACACTGCGCTCTTCCCACTGCCATTGCGCCCAACGATGAAGTTGATGAAAGGACCGAGTGTGATCTTGAGTCGGGCGTGGTTCATGAAATTCTCCACTATGACTTGCTCGATGATGGCGTTGTCGGCTGCAGGACGTTCGATTGATGGTTCCGGGCGTGCTTGACGTATCTTTTCGGCTCTGCTATCGTCCTGTTCCTGAACCTCATGAATCTTCTGAATGGTTTCGACATCGTCTAGCGCGTCGATATCGATGTGGATGAGATTATCACCATCATTGCGCAATGGTTCGGGTTGCGGACTCTCTGTTGGCCTGACTTCATCGGTGGACATGCGCGGCCGTTTGCTCTGTATCCTCTGGGAGGCGGTCGTGAAAGAGACGACGGACTCTTCATCGTCAGCAAGCTGCCTCGGACGTTTGTGGGGAATTGATGCCATTGCAGGCTTTGTAGCAGGCGAATCTCATTCAGATGGTGCGCTGCTCATCGACGTGAGGGCATGTTGACATGGTGATCTAGAAATGTTACATTCTGCTAGGGACACACGCGTTCCTGATCGCGTCGAACGTGTTGCGGTGGACGCGATCCACTAGCGGCCTGGGCACGGCGTGCATTGCTAACCTCATATATAAGGCATTCACAGCAATACTCAGCCTGCTCAGGAGTCCAGGTGCCCTCTTGTCTCTTGACACTCAACAATCCTTCAGATTGTCTGCAGCAGAGACAAGGACTGCCAGTGATGCTCTGTCAGGTGTCTATATCATGCGATGTAGATGACTAGACTTGCGCCGGACTCTGTCTACATAACATACATGGATCCATATCTTAAGTCTTGACAATCTCTCCACAGCTCTCAACCTCCAACGCAACGTATATCTACCAGCGATGTATGTTACAATACAACTTCCATGTCCGAATAAGACATGGTCGAACCCAGAGCCTTCTTAGGTAGCTTGTACCCCTCTCTCTGCCTTCGCACCCGATTCGGCCGTCCATGTTCGGTAAATGGTCGCGTGCACACGTCACTTCCAGTCGAAACTCGTGACCAATACAAAGCACTGCATGTTCGAATATCATTCTATACTGAAGGAACTGAATACTTGTACTGCACTCCTCTCATCATGTCAACTTCATTCTCGTCACTTCCTTTCGTCGATCTCTCCGCACTTTCTTCGTCAACCAATCCTGAGGAAAACCACAAACTCGGCAAGCAATTGTATGATGTCTTCTCGACCACTGGCTTTGCGTATCTTGTAAACACTCCGTTGAGCTTTAGCCATGGCGAAGTCCTGGACCTTGCACGGGAGTTCTTCTCTCTGCCAATGGCGACCAAGATGGAGGTGGCCAAGCATGCTTTCAAGAAAGACAACACGAATACATACCATGGGTAATCAGGCCACCAGCAAAGAGGATCAGACATTGACATGTCGATTGACACGGCCAGGTACTTCCCACCTCAGCCGGGCAGCCCCGACAACCTCAAAGAAGGGTTTGAGATTGGCCCTTCCGAGCCACCGTCCGACCCGGCGGCTGTACTTCACCGCGACATCAATCTGAATGAAGCAAACGTGTGGCCGGCAGAATCAGCGTACAAGTCACGGCACAAGCTCGAAAAGCTTCATGGCGAGCTGCAAGCATTGTCCTACCAACTCCTCTCGCTCCTCGCAGTATCACTCGGAAAACCAGCGGAGCACTTTGCGCACTACCTACAGCACTCAATCAGTACACTCCGACTGCTTCACTATCCGCCACAAGAGATCAAGACAGCGAATACTGCACGGGATGAGCAAGAAGCGCGATTGTGCTGTACGCCTCACACAGACTCCGGTATACTGACCTTGCTGCACCAGGACGCAACAGGGGGGCTAGAGGTTCTCAATGCGGCAGGAGCGTGGATCCAGGCTCCGTATGTTGCTGACTCGATTGTGGTCAACATTGGAGACCTCATGGCTCGGGTTTCAGGGGGACGGTTTGTTGCGACGATGCATCGAGTGAAGGCTTCAATTAGGGGACAGGGTGTCGGTCGCATGGGCAGGTTCAGCGTGCCTTTCTTCTTTGAGCCAGGTGAGAATTGCGTGATCAAGAGCGTGGACGGCGATGATGAGGGCGTACTGTATGGACATCACGTGCGGGCGAAGATGAGCTCGTGGGTCGAGTTTCAGGGGCATGAAGATGGAGAGGAGAGATTGCCGGGGCGATACTGACTGTTGGAGCGTTAATGCCTTAATGCCTTAATGCCTTACTGCCTTGTTATGTGACCACCTCAACGTCGTATTGCCTTGGTGGTAATTAATTAGTAGGTACCTGAGTGACCTTGCTGTCTTGCTGCCTTGCTGCCTGGGTATTGCTGCCTTAGTGCCTTAGTGCCTGGCATATTACTGCCTTAGCATCTTATCGCCTTGGGCCTAAGTAGTCGGAGAGCATAAATCTCATGCCCACATATACGCATCCCATGCCATATAGTACCGTGGCCGAAGTCGGAAGCCAGGCCAAAATACCCCTCACTGCCGACTGCCGACTGCCGACTGCCGACTGCCGCCTGCACCCCGCGTCTCGTAATTCGTGATGATGCGTCAGTCACTGCATACACAGTACAGTACGTACATACAACACATACATTAGTACATCGTACCACTCACCAAGTGGGTATCTAGGTACATGATAAGTGTAGTTGCGTGATATTAATATTGTCCAGTGGGCAGGGGTGTTTGCCATGTCGTGATTTTGGACGCTGGCAGACCTGCTGTGCGAGAAGAGGCGGTCAGGACACACAATATGGGGTTTGTTGGATAGAGGCGCGTGTGGGAGTATAGGGACTCGTCTCTCGTCTCTCTATGTCTTACCGTCTCGGACACCGACAGAATGATATGTTTTCTTTGTCCCAGACACGGAGCAAATAAAAAGATATAAGAAAGTTTGAAACCGTCACGACCCTTGAATCCTTTAGACGCCGAGGACATGTCTCGCTGGAGATTGTGATTGGCTGCGTGGTGCCGAGTCGTGACATTCCCTCTCGGTCCGGTCAGCAAGAGTCAGAAATCGTCAAAACCCACTTTTCACACTATCACCACCACAATCACCACAACCACACACACAATTCATTCACTCTCTCTCTCTCTCTCCCTTCTCCGACTCGGATCCTCCGTATATTAAAAACCCTCCGTCTTCTCCGCCTTTTACAATCTATTTTCTCTCTATTACGCCCCCATCATCGTCGTCTCTCCAGAATTCCCATCCATCGGTTTCCGTAAGTCAAGACGCACACCTTGCACTGATTGCCCGCAGAGTCTACTGTCTCTCTCTATTACTCGCCAATCCGCCCCCAGTCCCATCTCCGCAACATGGCTGTCGCCCCGGAACTTCTTCGTAAAAGCAGCAGAGAGTCTCCTCAACGTAAGAGAGCAAGTCAGTACTGCTGTACCTTCCTCCTCCTCCTCCTCCTCCTCCTCCGTCCTTGTCCTCTTTCTCTGCTTCTTTCCACCCCTCCCCTAATGCTCTCCATCAAAAACACTTGCGCCAACACCACTACATCGATATATATTTCCAACAAATATTGTCAACATGACTAACTTTGCTTCAACGCAAGGAACCCAATCTCTCCCTCCTCCAGAGTTGCCCAGGCTGGTCGCTGAGCAACACCATCCCATTCCGTCCAGCGACAAGGACAGCCAGCGCCTCGTTGTCGTCCTCTGCAACGCCACCCTCGAGACATACCGGGCTGCCCACTCTGCGAGCCGACATGGCGGGCCTGTCCAGCCAGACAAGTTTACGCTGCTCAACAGCGACGACCATATCGGCGTGATGAGGAAGATGGGTCGGGACATCAGCGAGGCGCGTCCCGACATTACACATCAGGCAAGCAGGACGCTCTTGTTGTCCATGTCCAGCTGGATTGTCTGCTGACACTTGTAGCGCAGTGTCTGCTGACTCTGCTCGATTCGCCCATCAACAAGGCCGGGAAGCTCCAAATCTACATCCACACGAACAAGAACGTGCTGATCGAGGTGAATCCCACCGTGCGCATCCCGCGTACGTTTAAGCGATTTGCCGGCCTGATGGTGCAGCTACTCCATCGGCTCTCCATTCGCTCGACGAACTCGCAGGAGAAGCTGATCAGCGTGATCAAGAATCCCATCACCGATCACCTGCCGCCCAATTGCCGGAAGGTGACGCTGAGTTTCGACTCGACGGTGGTGCGGTGCCGCGACTACATCTCTGCGCTAGGGCCAAAGGAGAGTATCTGCGTCTTCATCGGCGCCATGGCCAAGGGCAACGACGACTTTGCCGACGCGTTCAAGGACGACTCGATTGCCATCAGCAACTTCAATCTCAGCGCCAGTGTAGCGTGCAGCAAGTTTTGCCACGCTGCAGAAGACGTCTGGGGCATTATATAAGTCCGTTGGCACGTAGCCCAATCGCCCCGCCCGTCCTTGCGCGCGCGCGCGCTGCACAATCACAACCTAAAATGTCCCGGACCGCTTGGAATCTGGATTTTCGTTTGTGTCATAGTGTCATCGTGTCATCGTGTCATCGTGTCATCGTGTCATCGTGTCATAGTGCGGGAGGCCATTGGAGCTGCGATCTCAACATCAAAGGTTCTGGTGTGTCATTTCGCTCGTGTTGAGGGTCTTGTCGCGAGGTCCGCTGTCTTTACAACCAAGGCCTTGGCTCCCCCCGACAGCCTCAACACGTAGCGTTCATTCTACGGGGCACTTCAACTTGCTCCCGTAGCTTTTCATATCAGCGTGCGTGCCATTGACTGTGTTGGTTGGAGTCTGGAGGCGGTGGTAGTCGTTGTTGTTGTTGTTGCTGTTGTCAATCAGGAGGAGATGTATAAAGTCTCCGTTCATGTATGCGTGGAATCGTGTGGATCGCAGATAGCATAAGGCGCAGGAGGCATATTCACATGTGTATGTGTGTATGTGTGTATGTGTGTGTGTGAGCCACACACGACTGTGGATCACACTAAACAAAAGCCAAAGGTCTGACGAGATACGAGTAAGAAATGGACATCTGGAACACACACACACATAGCGTACTGATGATAGTGTGTGTGTACTATTGAAACGCAGAGACGTGCATGAATCAGCCGCACGTGAGCATGCATCCCCAAGAATCCGTGTCCGTGGCACCTTGCAGCAACCCCCAACTGGGATCCTCCACGTCACACAGAGTGAGTGGTAAGAAGTAGTAGAGTCAATAACAACAACAACAGGCGAGTGCATCGACAGTGACTGTGAGGGAGTTCTAGCCGTGGCTATTACGGCGGGGCCCATGATAATCTCGCATATCATGATCACTGACTCCTATACCGTGACCGTATACCGTACTCTCCATGATTAACATACCATACTCGGGCCTCTCCTGTCCTGTCCTGTCCTGTGCTGGAGAACCTCTGAGTCAGCAGTGTAGGTAGTCGGGTTCTAGGTAATTAGTACTTGGCGGTCAAAGTAAAGTCGAGTCCACAGCCGCTGATCAACACACTGTGCCGGTGATCCTCTTTCATCCATGTAGTGATCCCCACCGCTCGCACAAACCCTCAACTCAAAGCCTCAAACCCCCCGTAAGTTAGTACAAGGACCCCACAGCGAGACACTACTACAGTAATACACACTGCCCACTGCCCTAGTGCCAGCTACAAACACGCGGTCGTCGGGGATGTTCGATGGAAGTGAGGCGGTAATCATTTCCCTCTTCTCTCACGTGCCCCCCAATTGCCCCCCCGGTCGGCTTGGACGGTCCGTTAGTGGCCAGTCGGCTATTCGCGCAACGGGCCGCAACGAGTAGTATTGTGTTTATCTAGAGGCTGTTGTTTATCGTCCATTCATTCATCATCCATCCGCGTCTGAGTGTCTTGCTGCGTTGGCAACCTGGGACTCGTGAGACTTTCTCACCCTGCCCCCTCTTGGGTCCCCCTTGGGTCCTCTTGAGTCCCCACTTGTCTTCCGTCCTCCCCCAACACCCGCTTGCAACGTTCTCTCTCGCCTACCGATGTGAGGGAGGGAGAGAGAGGGAGCCTACATCTGCCTGCCTGCCTGCATGCATGCACGTCGGCTCCTTTTCTGAAAGATGCGTCTAAAGTTGGCGAAACAGAGGAACGCTCCCCCTTCCTTCTCTGGCTGGCGAGCGAGTCAAACGAGGGGCTCCACCCCTCGACCGACTGGGAGGCGCTGGCGCTCTCTACTGAACTGTGTGTATGTATGTATGTGTGTGTGTGTCTGTGTGTGTGTGAGCCGCCCGCCCCGCCGGGCTCGTCCTATTACCTCGTTGGGAAAGCCTCAGAGAGAGAGAGAGAGAGACGTACGTACATGCAGGAGAAGACTCCACGATGGTTGTATATCTGGGGGTGTGTGTGAGAGAGGGAGAGAAGAACACTTTATTTGTCGCCTCTCTTTTCCGCTTCGTTTTTTCGGCGGCCTGGCTTCGTTTCTCTTCTTCTATCCTCCGACCGACTCGTCTATTTAATCGTAGGTAGAGGTACCTTTCTCATTCTTCCGTCTCTAGTTACATACTCCTCGACACAGTTCTTCGATCTTGTCTGTCTGGTTCAAAGAAGTCTCCGTCTTTGGATCGTTTTTAGTTCTTCTTCTTCGTCGTCGTCGTTTATTCTCCTGTACACACCGCTTCTCTTCTTCACCCCCCTCGATCTGTGTCCACACCTACCTGCCCGTGTGTTGTTGCACCCGCTATGCCCGTTTCCCACATCGGTCTCACTGTCTCTCATCTGCCAACCTCGAGCTCGTTCTTCCTGTCGGCGCTGCAGTCGCTGGGCTACCGCTACATCGGCCAGCAGGGCAACCAGGTGGGCTTTGGCATCGACGACGCCGACTTCTTCCTGTGCCAGGAAACTCCGGGGTAAGTCAAAAAAGTCCTTGTTTTATGTGTCCGGCGTAACCCAAGCCCATACTTCATGCCATGCACGTTGCTGATCCGTCCTACCTACGTCAGTGTCAAGGCCGGCGCCGCCCACATTGCCTTTTCCGCGCCCAGTCGCACCGCCGTCAGAGAGTTTTATACCGCTGCCCTGACCGCCGGTGGTCGTCCCCATGGTCCTCCTGCCTGCCGCAACGCCGACACGGGCTACTTCAACGCCGCCGTCCTCGACTTTGACGGCAACAGCATCGAGGCCGTGTACCGCCCCGACGAGGAGTCTGCCTCTGACCAGTCTGCTGGCCGGAGCCGCGTGCTCGACTGGCGCGACGACGTGGCCGACACGCTGACCGAGGCGGAGAGTATCGAGAGACGCACCTCGACCGCATCGTCGATATCGTCCATGACGTCTGTGGCCAAGAAGGCCCTCACCGTCGTCTCCGCGTCTGCTGGCTCCGCGGCGAGCAAAGCGACGACATCTACACCCTCACCCTCACCACCACCACCAGCATCACCCCCAGTAGAAACCGCCCTTACAACTACTCCTCCCCCAGCCCTGCTCATCCGCACCACAAGCACCGACAGCAGCGCCTCCAAGACCCTCATCGGCACCCTCCTCGGCGCCGCCGCCGGAGCCGCAGTCGCATACGCAATGTGCAGAGGCGAAGAAGACGGCGCCCGCGCCGAAGCCCTCGCCTACGCCGCTTCCCAGTCCTCCTCCCAGCGCAAGCCCTCCCTCGTCGCCCCGGACTCCTCGCCCTCGCCCGCGCGCCGCAACTTCAGCGTCACAGAATCAGCATACAGTTCGCCCGCACACAGACACGAGCTCGACGTCCGCGCCATCGAGGCTCCTCCTCCGCCGCCGCATTCCCACGCTCAGAGCCGCTTCTACCATAACCACAGCCCTCATCCGCCTCCGTATGAGACCTCGACAGATGCCCGGCTCGCGCAGTTTAGCTCGTACATGTATGTTGCGCCCACGCGCGCCTCGTTTCGCCATTCTGCCGGTGCGTCGACGTCTGGGTCGTCGACTGTTAGACCGGCGGCCACGGCAGCGTCACAGCGGCCGGAGAGTCGTGCGCCGACGCTGATATCGAGCTTTGTGCCTGAGCAATCCTCTCGCTCGGCGCTGCTGCTTGCTGTGCCTGGGGGTGGGGATGGAGACGATGATGCAAGGAGTCGTGCGTCGTCGCATCGGTCGAGTAGGTCGAGGCGTGAGGGCGAGGGCGCGAGTAAAGCGCCGTCTGCTGCTCCATCTAAGGCCCCCTCGAAGACACCCTCGAAAACACCCTCGAAAACCCCCTCCCACCACTCCACGCCCGCAAAATCCTACCTCGAAGTCGAAGTCATAACCGACCCCGTCATATCCACAACATCCACCTCCACCCCTCCCCCGGCCGCCAACACGACCATAACAGCAACAACCCCCATCCCCACCCTCATCGGCCCCCAAGACCTCGAGCTCTCAGACCTCGACATCGACGACGCCACCGTCGTCCCCTCAGACTCCATCTCCCAGGCCGGCTCGTCCTCGCGACACTCCCGCCATTCGCGCTCAAGCCGGCGGTCAAAGTCCAGCTCGAAACACGGCTCGAAACACAGCACTCACAAAACCGAAACCGCCACCGAAACCGCAAAAAGCTCCCACCCAACCCTCCACGCCCGCGCCGAAACCCTCCTCGACGACGTAAAAACAATCTTCTCGCGCCACCACTCCGTCGCGCTGCGCCCTCGCCGCGACTCGCACCATCAGGATCCTCCCCCCGAAACCGCGAGTACACATTCACACCATTCCCACCGCTCGCGCCACAGCCATGGCAGCACACACTCGCACCGCTCGTCCAAATCCTCGAAATCGAAATCCTCCTCTTCTTCCTCCCATAAATCTAAACACAAAGACGCAGATGCAGACGCAGAAATAGCGGAAATAGTGGATGCGGTTGAGCAGATACCGGTTATTCGCCGTGCGGAACATGGCTCGAAGGCGGGGAGTGAGGCGGGGAGTACGGGGACGGTGCGGAGGTTGGTTGCTGTGAAGGATGATGCTGGGGCGGGGATGCTGCCTGTGAGGGGGATTACGAGGAGTATGGTTGATGGTGGGGATGGGGGGAGTAAGGGGAGTAAGGGGAGTAGGGCGGGGAGTAGTAAAGGGGGGAGTAGGGCGGGGAGGAGTGTTGCTACTGTTGTTGTTTGATTTTGATTTTGCTTAGAGGGGGTGGGGGATGGGGGATGGGGGGATAGGGGAAGGGTATTCTCTTCTCAATCTTTGTGTGTTTTGTCCGTCTTTGGTGTCGGCTGTCAACAGGAATGTGGTTTCAACTCTTCGTCTGCATTCATGTCATGTCATTTCGTTCATTTCATGTCATTCCGTTCGTTTCTTGTCTTGTCCTGTCTTTGTCTTGTCTATCCTTTGTCCCCATCAAGCATGTGCATCTGCATCTCCATTCCTATCTTCCTTCATTCTCCTCACCTCATCAGAATGCATCATTTCCTCTCATTTTTTTTACCATCACTTTGGCATCACCATCTCGGGAGCGGGCGTAACGTAATGACGAAAGAAATGAAAGAAATGAAAGAAATGAAAGAAATGAAAGAATGCAAAGCACACCTCTCCTATCTTTTATCTTTTTCCCAATCGAATCCCCCTTTTTATTTTTATTTTACAAATCTAGAATTAGGATTAGAAGATAGAATAATCACAATTCGGGCGGTTTTTTCTCCCTTGATTTTCTGTTGTTTTGTTGTTTTGAAATTTGTGATTTGTGATTTGTGCTGGAGACTTTGCAAAAGAGATGAATGGTCGGATGAATGGATGGATGAATGCATGGACGGATGGACGATCTGTGTAGTAGTAGTTCTTCCACGTTTCCCAGTCCCCACGTTCCACGGCGACACGCTATCTACTGCAGTACAGTACGTTGTCCTATTGCACTGCACCGTCGCCCCGTATCTATCCATCCCCTTTCGATCCAGTCCCCCTTCCATTCCGGACCTTCGACGAGACTGCCGTCAGTTGTGAATAAGTGGCCAGGCTTGGATTCACGCAAGAGACACCCAGACATCACGTATGACATCGGCACAGTTCACTCAGACAGATATAACAAGCCCTTTATTCATCGTCTATGCACTCTACCAAGCCGTAACCTTGCCGTCCACCGCTCTCGTAAACGCCTCGCTATGCATGCCAACGCCAAGACACTCCACCCCTCACGATGCCGTGGGATCTGCGTCCGCATCCTCTACCGATGCCGCGTGCGGATTCCTCTGCTGCGCTGTATTCGTCGACGACTCCCCAGTCTGTGGTGTCTGAGCCGTGGGACTCGTGGTCGTACTGGTCGGTTGGGGGCTGTTGTGCTTGAAGCTCCAGGTTCGAGGCTGTGATGTCCGCAGCACACCTTGTCCACTCCCCCTTGGCTGCATTGATGTTGGCGGCCTTTGCTGCATTGACGTTGGAGGAACTTGCGGCATAGCCGTTTGTGGTATATGCTGCTGTACTGGCGTTGGTGGTAAAGGCTGCTGCATGAACGTTGGTGGCATTTGTTGCATACCCGTTAGAGGCATTTGCTGCATGGCCGTTGGTGGCATGTGCTGCATGGCCGTTGGGGGCATTTGCTGCATCCAGGTCGGTGCCATTTGCTGCATAGCCGCTGGTGGCATCTGCTGTTGCTGCTGCATAGTCGTCGTGGGCGTTTGCTGCATCCAAGTCGGTGCCATTTGCTGCTGTTGCTGCTGTTGCTGCTGCTGCTGCTGCTGCCATGACGCTGGTTGCATTTGCTGCATCGACGTTGGCGGCTGTGATCCTGATGGGCTGGATGCTTGTGCAGGCGCCGGAAATGCCCTGGCGCTCTCCTGGTTCTGGATGCTGGGAGACGGTAGAACCTGTCCGTCAGTCCGGATACTGGTAGATGGGATCTGCAAGCTCGGAACCTGGGGCGGCTGTTGGACCGGAAACAATCTTTGCGCTGTATAGCCTGGCGGAAGCACCATGCCAGCCGGTAGATTCGGATGCTGTCCTGCCATAGGGGGATTGCCTGGCTGAGGTCCGTACTGTTCTAATGGTGGTACCTGAGGCCCCCTGGGCCGATCATCAATCCTTCTCAACTCCCTCGCCATATGCTGCATTATATTCAGTTCGCTGTGTTGAGCTTGCATACGCCTAATCGTTTCAAGTAGCTGGGCACGAAGCGCCTGTGACTGTTGTATCAGCCCTTCAATGTTGTCAGCTTCGGCAGGTTCCTGGGCTGGTTGCTGCTGGTTGTCCGGTTCAGCCCGGGCCATGTTGTTTAGTAGCTCGTTGGCTTGGTTCAACGGGCCTGCCCCTATAGCAAGCCGGAATGGTCCAAAGTTAAAGACTCTCATGTTTGCTGGTCTTTGCGGGATTTGGTTCTGGTTCCGATCTTGGTTTGCGTTCTGCTGGCCCATACCCCGATTTCCAGCCGGTTGAGCGGGCGGCGGCACACCATTCCTGTTACGTGGTGGAGCATTGGCTCCTCCCGCACCGGGCTGTCGATTGTTGTTTTGTTGAAATCGTCCTTGTTGATCTCGTCCGCCTTGAGGTCCACCACGGTTGGCAGTACGGCTGTCTGCTAGAACTGGACGCCTACAGGTAGGGCACACGCGCTGCCGCTCCAACCAACTCCGGAGGCAATTGAAATGGAGTATATGACCGCATGGCAGCTTCTTAGCTCTCTGCCTCTCATCCATGGCACGAGCGCCTCGTCCATCACCTTGCTGTGGAGCCCAAGCCGACATCTCTTCCCTGCAGATAATGCAGGTGTTGTCGCTCTGGAGATCCGCGACAGTTGCGTCTGCGTATTGCTCATTCATGTTCTTGGTTGCTTGTCGGTATTGCACGAAATCCATTATACGTTTGCAAAACGACCGCACGGTGATGTATAGGTCTCTCATGATATGGATGGGAAGACCATGGAAGACGAGGAGAATGACAAAGAAGCTGCAGTATACGAGCGATTTGATAAAATCTAGTCAATCATCAGCACCTGCGCAGTCATCCACAGATCGTCAGGCATCTTACCAGTCACCAAATCAAGATAGAATACCCATCGCCCTTTCTCTTCCCAACCAGGCACATCGATATCGTGCTCATCAATCTCAACCGGGTCATCTGCTGATCCTCCCACTTGCACTGTTCCGCCACGCGCAATGTGTGCTGCCCGAGATTCCGCACGAGCTGCCTCTGCTTCAGCTCGTGCCACCTCAATAGCCACAGCTGTCTGCCTCTTGGTAATAACTATCTGCGCTACATTCAGAGCATACCTCAGAAGAAGCGAGAGGGACTGTATGCTCAGAAGGGTGAATTCAAAGCCGTACATAACCATCATTCCCGGACGTGCTTGTCGCAGAACGACCTGCAGACACCAGCCTAGCATAAAGCAATCGAAGAACACCGAAAGGACCAGGGAGCCAGTCAGTCTCGCGTGGAACAGGAGAGGGTTTGCCGGAGGTTGCTGTTCCAGAAACTCGACTCGACCCTCTCCGATCCAACACCAGATCTTTCCCGCCATCAGAGCCAGGAACATTGCGAAGAATTGGGATCCTATGTCTTCTCGGAATATGGTCAAGGAAAGCAGCGTCTCCGTAACAGCCATCCATCCTCTTTCCCATAGCTGCTCCACCTCGATCGGTCGTAAAGGTCCGTACAGGAGTCTCTGGAGCGTATAGACGATGCCGCCGGTCAGAATGAGAGCGACATTGGTAAGGACGATAAGGGAGCCATTGCTTGATGCCAGCAATATGGTTGCTGACCAGAAATTTGGCCTTGCTATAAAGGCTCGACCGATGACGCCGATCGCGGCTGCAATAGAGGTCTAAACAGGCGCATTAGATACACACTGAACAGATCTTTGACAACAGTCTTACCAGAATGTATACTTGGAACTTCGTCATCTTGAAGCTAGATCGAAAGCCGTGAGAGATTGATTCTCAGGAGGTTCAGGACATTGGAATAGAGAATGGGATGTCCCTCAGCTGCACCTGAATGGAATGGTATAAGTGAAAAGGATAGCGACAGGTTGTGATGCCGAGCTCAGATGCATTCAAGACTCGTCTGCATAAAGTGAACTTGATGGTACTGAACACGGTTGCCGGATCTGGTTTGACGCGTCGAAAGCTTACCGAGCGCCGTTCTTTCCCCACATGGGATGCGGGTAGCTCCTTCCTGCGTCATTGCAAGCATGCAACATCTTACAAGGCTACAATCAGGCACATATCCCGGACAACTTGGTATATCACTCCAACTGGCTCTGCACGCATCATGGCATGCTCAACATCCTGTCTAGTCGTAGACTACCCTGTCTTTGCACACGACACTCACAGTACATGGCCGTGCGGACTAGCAAACGAACACGATGCCTATGAGGCAACCTCAACCAGCAGCTAATGGGCCTCTTAACGCCGGAACTACTCAACGTAACACGGTCAAAGTACCAGACTCCGGGGTCAAGCTTTCTGATACGGCATCCTCGCCATCTGTACCAGCTCAAAATCTGTCTCAGACTGCCACAAAACCACGACGGAAGCCGCGCAAATTGAATCGTGACGCGGCCACAAAAGCAACCCCAAACGATCTGTCCAATGTCCTTAACGACGAGATCTTGACTCTGAAGGCACGCGTGCGTGAGCTGGAAGCTCAAGTCGAAGCCCTGTACTCTCGCCCGTCTGAGTCCAGTATTCCTGCCAAACTCCCGCGTCGACGTGGTCGCGGCCGGCCAATACCAGGCTCAGAAGAAGCAGTAAAGAAGCTCGAGGCAGAATTGGAGGCTGTTCGGACAGAACTGGTTGAGCTAAAGCATAGAGCAGATGAAGACCCTGGCAAGTCATCGGCTGCTGGTATAGATGACGCAGAAGACGTGCCTTGTGCGAGTGAACCAGTAGTAGAAGAGCTTATCGCCGGCCCAGGTAAGGCTGTGACGCTGACAGGCAACTATCGAATCCCATTACCAGCCAATATTAGCTTGGACGATGTGCGGACAATTCAGAGCGGCATCAACTCGGCGAACAAGATTGCCAGGGGCATCGTTGATTCGAGGAGAGAGCAGCGGTCCCGATCAAACCAAAACACGGAGTCATCAGGAGGCATGAATGGTATGTCGATCTGTGCCATGTCACACGTCCTGTCATCTAATTGGACCTCAGAACACACTGAGAACAAGAGCTGGGGCGAGTGGATTGGAGGATACAGCATGTCAATCGCGAAATTCGTGAAGAACATTGAAGCAGATGCGGCAGTGGAGCAGGATCCAACGAAAAGACCCGTGACCGGAGCAAGGCGACGCACAGTGCCGGTCATCGAGCAGGAACTCAGCACAGCACCGAAGCAGGCCGAACGCCCAAAGAGACCACCAGCCAGGCCGCAATTTTCAGGAGGGTCAAGTGGCCGGTTGAGTCAGCAGCAAGTCGAGACGCTGCTGGCCTGAACAATTCATACAATCCCTATCATCCGTCCTAGATGGATTACTCTAGTAGGTAGTGGCACTCCAAACTCATTGACCGTGTTGTCCGCACCTGATTGTGAGAGCAAAACATATGTGTTGCCCCTAACGTGATCGACAGTCTTATGCTCCATAAGACTGTCCAGCTGCACAACCTGTTAAAACCACTCTTTCAATAAAGTCATCTTGAGCAATCAGCACACACCGAGACTAGAGATCTCCGTAGACACTGTTAATCTGGATAGAAGGTACCAGGCGGCTCAGTATCTATGCATCTATAGACTTTCATACACACAAATGGTAGGCCTATGATAGGTGGTTGAATATGTGAATAGAACCTGTTTCAATGGGTGCCCAAGCATGTCTCGCCTGCGATCGGTACCTACAGTAAAGCCCATCCCACTGTGTCTGTGATGTGTTCACCATATCGAGAAAGTCTCGGTTCTCCTTAATATAGCGATCTATGTAACTAACCACAGATTCCGACGCTTATATACCGAAAATCCACGCGAGGAACAAAAAAACACCATGCTCCATATTCACATCGCAATGATCAAGGCTTAAAGGATTCCTCGTACAAGCCCACTAGATCCCTCCGCCAAATCGTAATTGCTCCACGTTGGAATGCAGCGCCAATATCTCAGGCGCTTACTTATTATGCTCGCGCCCAATCCCCTGTCGTAACGCATCTACCTCCGCCTGCAACCGCGCCATCTCAGCCAAGATGTCCACGCTCTCAGACCTCCCATCTACAGCTGCATCCTCGTCAATCGAGCTTCGACTGAACCGCTTGCTGTCGCTGCTCACACGCCTTGCATCTGCCAAGGCCTCGACGCTCGGACGCACCACGTCCATGCTGCTTCTACTGGAGCCGCGCCGCGGTGGGGGAGCGGGTGGAAGAGACCCAGAGGCCTGTATCGAATGTATGGACGAGCGCGACGAGCGGGGGATGTCTGAAGATGTGCTTGCGCCTGCGCCGGGACGGCGCGTGGGTGGAGGCGGAGGTGGAGCTGTCTTGTGTGTCATGGATGTGGAGGGTGTGTCGGAGTGTTGAGAGGAGATTGTGAGGTTTGAGTTGGAGCGGGAGCGGGTTTCTGGTTGCTTGGACGCGGTGCGGAGCTGGGAATGACGACGGGTTATTGGAGGGGCAGGAGGAGCCTTCTTCTGCGATGTGGGTTCTGTGGTTATTGTAGGTAAGGCGGAGGTGCTTGTTTGCGGACTTTGGTCCAAGGAATCGGTGGTTTCGCGAGAGGAGGAGGTTCTGGTGGATGCGGCTGGAACAGGTGGAAGCGGAAGCGGTTTGTTGAGATCTGTGGAGGGACCGCTGGTGAAGGTCACGGGTTCATGTTCGGTGGTCATGGATAATGTGAAGTCCGAGAAGGAGACTGTCTGCGGAGCGCGTGGCCCGACAGGCTTGCCATGGCGATGCTTTGGTGGAGGAGGCTTCTTTTTTTCTGGCTTCTTGCTCTCGTTGACGGAGTCTGCACGATCCTTGCTCTCCGAGACTAGATCATCTTGGTGGGCTGTTGAAGGAGACTCCTCCCGCACGAGGTCATAGTGCAAGCTGGCTGTCGATTGTCTCGACAGCGATTGGTCCTCCGAGGTGTCGCCCGCTTCTGCGACGGTTCCAAGTTGGGATTGTGTACGAGGTGGTGTACCAGACGATGTTGGTACAGCACTACCTGTCATTAGGAGTCTCTTGAACGCATCAACATCTAGCGATGCTCTCATCCTCTCTGTGGGCTTCCTATCGACCTGAGTCTCTTTCTGGGTGGAGTTCAATCCGACCGGTTCTATGTTGGCCAAAGTCTTGGAGAATGGATTGAGTGGAGCTCCAGCTGTTGGCTCGGCTGGGTGCGATATTGGTGAAGAGCTCCTTCTTGCATACAATGTCGTCTCATCATTCTCCTGCGCCAACTCAGAGTCGGAGAGATCGCGCTCAAACGGATCGACCGCTTCGCCTCGTTGTGGATCGGATCTAGCGAGAAACGGCTGCGGAGGAGGCGACCCTTCGTGTGAGCTTCGTGGAATCCGATCCGATAACGCATCTTGGTATGCTTGTGTGGCCGTGGGCGGCGATTGCGGGGGTGAGTTGATGCGGACTGTCTTCTTCTTATCAGACGGTAATGATGTTCTTCCAGCTTATAACAGTTAGCTCAGTTGCTCTGAATGGATCTCCGTCATACCATCTAGAGACCCATCTACTTCCGGAGATCCGGTTCTGAATGTTACTGGAGGCGCACTGGTCACAGATGGGAGCTGGGAGCGGCGGAACGGATTGGAGGACATGGTGAATGCGTTCAGAAGCTGTCCATGACGCTGCTATGGAAGAGGAGATACCGTAGCAGCATTCCCAGGGATTTGCGACACGAATCTAGGCTTCCAAGGTAGTTGTCGAGGTGTTCCTAAGCTGATGCAGGATCGACGACGACGCCGAAGCTTGGGCGATCTCAACCCTGGCTAGCGGTGATTCGCGTGAACTATCTTTGGAACCATTTCTTTGATAAGTAATACAAGAACAAGCCTAGGCAGCCAATTTTGACTGTTGTTGACATATACATTCACAATGCTATTGTTACTTATTGATAGCATAACATACTTCCACACCCGTGCACAAGGTGTCGCAAACACTGAGACCGGCCGGCATCAACCGTATCGACCCCTCAGTTGACGTATACATGCCAGCCGGAGTCTTGTCCAAACCATTTTCGCGCAAGATTAAATCCGCTATCAGTCGGCTGACTGAATGCTACGAGACTCTTTGGAACCTTTAGTCCATACAGGAAATTGTCGACTGCGCAGTCCAACAGGTTCCTCGCTACATTGGCCTTTCGATGAGCTCCTGACGTCCATATACGAGATATACCCATCATTGCTTTCTCTGGCTTTGTACTGACTATCATGGACGATGTAGACGCAGGAGAGCTCAAAGGTTGGTTAATACCGCTTGCGGCATCCTCTGGAGCAAGCACAGTACATGCTTTCGATAACGACTCTGCAAGACACATGCCCACGCATTTCTGGCCCTTGATGTAGAGAAACGCCTTGAAGCGATCCAATGTTCCTAGAGGTTTCGTGCTCGTGCCAGCAGGCTGTTGCTGCTGCTGCTGCTCTACATCTGACGCCCGTGAAACCTCACTCCATAGATCCTCATCTGATATTGCCACGGCATGCAGCTCTGCGTTTACCACAGTCAGAACCTTTATCGCGCGTTTCCTTGATGCCAGGCTGCTTTTCCGTCCTATGGCCAGGATAAAGTCGCCTTGATCGTTGCTCCAGATAGCATTCGCCCTCCTCTGATCTAAATATGCCTTATCCATATCTACCCCTCCCAGGTTCGTGGTGTGGAACTTTTTATGCACCGCGGCGTCTTCAGTGTCGGAAGGTATGTACTCCATGCCGCAATCTTTGCACAGCTTTCTTGTTTGCCATCCGAGGTCTATCTTTAGTTGCACGAGGCTCTTGCGCTTGGACTTGTTGAGTAACGTCTGACTTCGTTCAAGGAGGGGTATCCGCTGCGTTTTATCGTATATAGTATCGGTTGTCTTCGGAGATGTGGTTTGAGAGCTTGGAGGTGATGAAGGTGGACTCTCTGGGACATTTGCGTCTGAGAATATTCGTGGGCTAGATGAACGATGGCTCGACGAAGATTGAGGCTCTTCGATTTGCTGCAGACTGATTCCGCTCTGTATACATCTACGTTTTAGAGGTGGTTCGTCATCTGGAGTACGCCGCTTGCGCTGTCGGGAGTAGGTCTTGAGAATAGGCCTGGACGCCATATCAGATAGAGGCAATCGGTGAGTTATATCTGCACTGACTTTGTTGTTGAGTCCATTGTTGTTGCTGTAATTACAAGTTTGGAGTTGTTGAGACGCGCCTCCAAACGCGTTTCCTAGCGTGGTTTCTGGTTAGTTCAACATCGATTCATCCTTCCATCGTTTGTCTCGTTTTGGCTTAGTCTTTGCCAAGACTAAGAGCTCGATAGCAGCAACAACCTATTCACAACCTCACTCAGGCTCTATAATCATTGCTTTGTCAATTGGGTTACGCACACCCACTCAAATGAATGCGCTCTATCGCCGCTGGTAGAGGCAAAGCTGTAACTGGCCTCCGACCACAAGTCTCATCAGACCACATCTGGATCAGTGACGAGCTTCTTGCAGACACTTTCGCTCACTTTACACTTCGAAATCGGCCGACGAAACGCTACGGTAGCAATGTGCCAGGTCCGCTTGAAGCTCGAAGACGACTAGACAAACGACGACATACAAGCGTAGCGTCCTACGGACCAAGTGCTCCACCTCCGCCTTCACCAGGACTACTCAGCTGGCTTCTGACTCCTCCCAAGCGAAGTCACACCTGGTCATATGAGCCGCCTAATTTAAGCCGGCCATCCGGCCAAGCTCCAAGTGAGTCGCAAACTCTTTAGTACAGGCAGTATCTTATGTATATCGTAGTTTGTGAGGTGTCACATTCTCATATAGGAGATGGACATCGTGACAGCGTTACCTGCGGAGATATATTCAGCAAATATACAGATAACAAGTATGCACACACCTTCGATATTACATGTCCCCATGCACATAGCGAAGATGTACGCCGCCCGGACATACAGAGCGAGAATATACCAAGCAACGACAAATTTAGCAACAAGTTACTCCATGACGATACGAAGAGTGTTGATGTACACAAGCACGATACACGGAGTGATGGTAGCTACAAGGATGATACACAGAGCGAAGATATACAGAGCCCAATCTCAACTGTTGATTCGTCATGCCTCCTCCATCCTCCTATAGCATTAGAACGAAAGAGGCCTGGCGTCCAAGCTGCTACATCCAGGCCCGTGACACCACCCAGTACGAATACATGGAAAACTCCAGATGAACTAGCAGACAGGTGTATCGCTGAAGCTGTCGAGGAAATGAAAGAAGTGGATCCGAGTTTGCCCCTTCTCATACCACGTCTCTTGAAGCCAACTTTCATAATGCTTCAGAACATACATGAAATATCGATGTCCCGGTTCGATAGAAGAAGTTCAAAATCAAGAACGGAAGGAGTATTGTATCAAAAGGAACAGCGCACTCTGACCGTAGAGTATCGAAAGCTGTATTCCCGCGCATGGCAACGGATCTGCTCGGAGATGAGTGCCAAAGATTCTTCCCTATCACGTCACAGTGTTGCGTGCGTGAAGCTCGTCATGGACATCATGCATGAGGAAAGTTGGTATCTACACTCGAAAGAGCAGCTAGAACGGGAATTTGCGACACACCATGCGACTAGCGAGGCACTCATTGTACGGGCACTACGACCAATCAAATCGAAATATTTCCATTTTGAGAGACGAGTCGACTTGATAAGCCAGTTATTACTCGACTGTCCGCAAGGCACTGCGTTAGCGGAACAAGTCACACTTCGGCTTGCACGAGCATACGAGCAAGAAGAGTCTCGTACTGAGAAACGATACCTTCGGCAGAATTTGCTAAATTTTGAAAAGATGCTTCGAACCAGTGCTGAAAATCAAGACACACATACAATTGACCCTAGGGATACGCCAGATACTCAAGAGACAATGCGTGCCGTAAGCGCTACTCGGAAGATGATGCTCTCGGAACTACAAGCCGTGGACTCAAGTGTCCTGAAAGAGATGCTTGAGGGTGAACTTCTTGTCGCGGGCACCACCACCAAGAAGGGAACCTTGCTACGATGGCTCACCTTATTACATCGCTATGACCGGACCCTCCGGAGGCTTCGGAGTAATACGAAGACGCAAGATCTACAGAGAAGAGTTGATTGGGACCATTTGATCCCATTCTTGAGCAACGTTCCTCACGAGCACATGCTCAAGATATTCCGCATGCGGGGTAACACATCGTGTGTTAATAGGTACCTCCGAACTCGCTACATCTTGCCGCACTCGGGGGGTCACCAGGACTTGGGCAAATCCCGCGATCAGGATCTTGACCCATTCAAGGAGTCGAACATCAATGCCACTGGTGTTGCCCAGCAATCTCATGCTATGAGACGACCTCTTGTAATAGACATGTCAACACTATCAACTTTCATGCTTGACTTGCTCCAACGTCGAGCCGACTCAGATGTCGTCCAGGATGCATGGATCGCATGTCTTGATATCATATACCGCATGTGGGGCTCAACTGCTTTGATACAATTCGTACGAGACGTCAGATCGTGCGCTCATCCGTTTCCTCGTCTTCTCTTTTCGCAAGGAGTTATGGAACGTATCATGCAATTGCTAAAGCACCAGGCCACGAGAGCCAGGAAATCCCAAGATCCCACAGAAGCACTCAGGATCAAGAAACTCACCAACCTTTATATGTTCCCAGACCTCTTCGACAAGCGACTACAACCTGTTTCGTCGCGCATCATCGAGGACGGCTCGATGCCTGCCACTAGGCTCGTTCGCAATATGGGCCACGGCCGCAAATCTGACAGCAAGTGGATCTCTGACCCTCAGGTTGCTAATTACCTTACCCTCTCGCCCGCTTTCATCGAACACATGAATAATATGGCATATGCCATCGCCACATCGCCTGCCTACAGGCCAACCCAAGCTTGGCGCGGCGTGAAATGCATCTACTTCTTCCTACACATTCGCCGGGCCCCGATCCGCCCCAAGTTCACCCGCGCTCTCGTCATGGCTGGCGTTACACGCTTCTTTCTGGATAACCGCTGGGTCAATCGCGCGCAATTTGCCTGGATCCGCCACATCGTGGCCAAGGTGGAGGGTGAGGATGTCGCCATGGACTTGGAAGATTTGTGGTACGAATGGCGCGGCAGGCTTATTGCTATGGCAGCGCAGGCGTACAAAAGCCACGGGATCGAAGGGATGGCAAATGTTACGATTGCGCGACAACTGGGGCTCACGGATCCGAAAAGGAGGTGGAATGGGGCTATCTACCACAAGCCGGAAGCTACGGCATTAGTTGTCAAGACGCCGGACTCGGAATTCGATGTTCGCAAGAGGGGCTTTGAGGATGTGTAGTAGTTGCACCTAGCTCGTGGACAGCGGGGGGATTGATGTAGTAGAAACAGATATACAGCATCTTTGGAATAATCTTCATAAATCCAGGAATCGTGTCAGATGAGATTAGAACATTCGGACCAGGACCTTTGTCGAAAAGTTTCCACCAGTCCCGATGCCGTCTTTATAGGGTTTTTCCAGTGGTCCATTGCTTCGTGAGCATGTTGAAGTAGGCCGCCGCAAGCGCGTACTTTAGACATTGGCTTCTCGCTCCCCTTTGGGATACTCCAAAAGCAGAACATTGATAATGATACATCTGAGTCATGCAGTTTGGTGTATGCTACAAACTTTTGTATGTCCGTAGCTCCTCGGGTCGTGTAGCGCAGCAGTGTGATCTGTCATTATCTTGTTCTTCCGGCCATCTTACCAGAGTGTTCCTTTATTTAAGGAAAGGAGATATTCCTAGGCGGACTGGTAGTCATATCGTGATGTACTTATGTCCGGACTGGCATGTAGCGTGACCATACCACCAGCTCGTCTAACGTACTGGAAATCATCGTACCCCGTGCTGTGCGCCATTGATGACCCCAAAAAAGCCTCAGAACCGCCTCTGCGTACAAAGTCAGGTCATACCAGCAGCGGCCTTCAGTCTGTCTTTCCGGCCCTCTTTCCACGCCGTGTAAAGGTCGTCTATCTTGCCACCCAAAAAAGTCACAGTCGCTGGTTCCAGCATCACCACGCCTCTCGCAACGGTAGCATTCTGCAGCACCAGCTTCGCGCCGATATGCATGTCCAGCCCAATCTTGTCCACCTTGACCAGCTCGATGCCATACACAACCGCACCTCGCGCGTCCTGCAAGAGCAACTTGTGCGGACCCCAGCTTTTCTGCTCGCCGGGCTGCTGTTGCTGCTGCTGCTGCCGATTCCGTGCATTCGCAGCCTGGGTGGCCCCCTGTTGAGCCTGATCCGCCTCGTCCGTAACGCGGATGATTTCTCGTCCGCGGGTGAATTCGCCGCGTTCCTGGGCTTCGATGGCTTCAACTTGGCTCCAGCGGCTTGTGCCTATGTCTTCGACGTCGAGAACCTGGACTAGCAGCGGACCCGGGAGGTTTCTGTCTTTGATGGTGCCGTCCTGGATGTCGGGTGGGAAGACGGATGAGGGGGTGAAGGTTGTTGTTTCTTTGATGTCCGATGCGAGGATGCGGAATAGAGCGGTCTGCTTGAGAGCGGCGATGGGGGTGTTTGGGCGGACGGTGGTGAGGAATGTGGTGAGCCAGGTAGGGGTTGGTGAGAGGCCTTTGGTTGAGAGGTGGGCTAGGAGGTCGGATGCTAGGTTTGGTTGTGATTGTGCCATGGTCGGGAGTTGGTTTACGGTATTGATGTGTGTTATAGGGTTTGTGATTCTTTTGGGAACGGGATGTCAGGATATCCTGTTGTTGCTACGCCCTTTGCAGGCTTGCTATGTGGCTATCACGGCACAGCTCAGTCTTCTCGACACGCTCTTGGTCCCTTAGTCTTTCACCGCTAGAGTTGTGGCTGTAGACAAGGACTTCTCCACGCAAGGAGAACTCCCACATCCGATGATCCACCTTGATATATGGTGTACCTTTCGCTATAGGTAACTAAACACAGTTGATCTACCAACAATCACCATCTGACCCCAAACCTCTCATCACCATTGGCCCTTAGACCACTATCAAGGCAGGCAATTCAGCACATCCATTGAAGTGCGTGGTGATTTTGAGTTTTTGCGAACCAGGCCTTGCGACGATATAATGCCTTTCTAAGGTCGTTGAGCCGCTCCGAGGACACACAGTTGACTAGTGATTGGCTGGATAGACGGGGTCGCACAATAAGCGACTGACAGGTGTCAAGCTAACGTTTATCGATTGATCTGATGCGATGGTGGTTGGTTGGAGGCTGGTCGCATGCAGAATTTGGAGAATGAGATGGTTGAAGTTTATTTTGGAAACTTTAGTTCAGCCCTACGAATCATGGCAAAGTCGTGGGAGCGTCTGCCGTGCTCTATTGTACGCATGACCTGATCATGGCTTGGCAAACGCGAGGGAGCTACCTAGACTGTCTAGACTAAATTGTTTATTGATGGAATATACATTCACTTTAGGTTTTTGACGTCGTTTGCTCAGAGAACACTCGGTTGGATATATTACGCTTACAGGCTCTCCACAATGTCGACCATCAGCTCTCCTCGCGCTTCCTCCGCTGTTCGCAGCCCTGCTGGCTCTGTTCGCACGTCGATGGAAGCTCCGCGTCCTGGCACAACCAGACGTAACAGAGCAGCACTCCGCGACTACTACAACATCAAGGTTGCGGAGACTACAGGCGAGGATAAATCAAGCGAAGAAACCGTTATCCGAGAAGAGAATGTGAGCGAGCTTGATCGCGACGGATTTGATCCGGAGGCATACGTCAAGGACATACTTGCAAACCAAGGGCTCGAGGAGGTACTGAAGGTTGAGGCAGGACTCATGAGTGGTATGGCAGCCTTGGTCGCTATGAAGCTCTAGATTGCTTGCTGATTGCGGGCCAATACAGAGATCAGGGGTTTAGACGGCGAGAAGAAAGCACTCGTATACGACAACTACTCGAAGCTTATAACTGCCACCGACACCATCCGCAAGGTATACAATTGACCCATCGGACTACACAGGACTCTCGGCTCACATAGGGACAGATGCGCACAAATATGGACCCCATGACTCCCTCCACATCGACGCTCGCCCCCGCCGTGTCCCACATTGCTGAGACAGCCGCAACGCTATCAACGCTGCTCAACGACCGCACACCGCCCGCCCCAGAGCTAACGCCTAATACAACGGACACGAAGTCATCAAATGCAAAGCAGACTGTCCGATGGGTGCTCGATGCGCCCCGTCGGCTGGCGCATTACTTGGAAGAGAACGATAGAAAGACGGCAGAGGAAGAATGGGTCGCTGTACAGGGACTTCTCAACAAGTGGAAAGGTACCGAAGGAGTTGAAGAAATTCGTGCGAGGTGTGAGGAGGCATTGAGTGCGGATTGAGCGCCTCAAAGAGATTGCCAGACGCCTGGACATGATCGTCAGAGCTGGCCGATTTCCAACACTACATCCAATGAGCTTCGCAGCGACCTAGTGTGTTCCCGTGTCTAAACGGTCCAATCGGAAGTGTAGGAACCCCTGAATGCTCTTAACAAGGCAAGAATTCTTGTGTAGATCGTCAAACATCTCACCGGTACGCGGGTCCGCCCAGAGACGAGTCTACCTGGGACTGCCATATTTCCAACCTGATACTCGGAAATTGCTAGAACCGACGGAACCGCCAGGTAGTCGTGAATTTCGTAGAGCATACGCAGGTCTTTCAAAAAAGTGGATTTGGAAGACCAGAAAATCAAGAGTGTAATGCGATGCCTCAGATGAGAATGGACAATCTACCGGCTAGAAACAAACATTTCAGGGCTATCAAGGCCCGCCTAAGGCGATACATAGAGCCATATCTTTCGCAGTACTCTCCAACGAAAGAGCCCCAGAGCAATATGAGAGAAGACTGGAGATTTGAATTCGACAGGCCTGCTTACGATTTTGCATATTTATGTAAGCTCCAACCAGACAAGTCCAATCATGACGATCAGTCGAAAAGGGCAGTCCTCCAAAGTCGATCATGGAACATCGTACTCGGCTCTCCGCAGAAGCCGGCATGTTTGAGCTCACGGCTCTGCTCCAATGAGACGATTGAATGTGTTCCAGTACGACAAAAAAGGCAGAAACCTAGTGAAGATCGTTGAATCTCGTACTCGGGTCTCCTCGGACGTGGAGGTTCTGATCGTCCATCGAAGCGTCCAGTTGGAAGCCTGCTGTCTTCTTTGAGGGACCTGAAGAGGCAGTGGAGTGCCTCGTCGATCGTTGGACTTCGTACTCGGGTCCTTGTTCTGACGCTGGTGGGCTTAACCTTCAGCCTAGGACTTTCCGCCTACCAGATGCTCTGGATTTCCCTAAATGAGGCAGGAAGGTGTCGTGTCGATCGTGGGATATCTCATAGTACTCGGGTCTGCGCAGGGTCTGGGCTAGACCGGTTTTGGTGTGGAATGAAGTCGTCGGCGTCCACATATCTATTATTGAGGGGACTAGACAACCACTGCGGATTTCATACTTGTTTGTATTATACGTCTAGCTGCGTAGGCAGAGGAGTCGCCAGGCTCTCAAGCACAAGTCACGCTCGTGCCGGTCCTATATGAGGAAACATAGCCGAGAGGCGTATTGACAGATATTCCATACTTTCCAGACCATAGAATCAAACAAACAAATAAGTGATTAACAAGTACCCCGTATCTCCCAAGACCCAAGCGATCCTCAAGATCAACCCCAGCTCCCCTAATCAGCAGAGCAACATACCTCTCCCACCAACCCCAGCCGCTCCCCACCACATGCTATCTATCTGACGGACTGACTGGCTGGCTCGGGACACACTTAGTGTTCATGACGCATACACAAACGCGGGGTTCTTGTCGCCCAGCTCTGCAATCTCACTGGCGTTCAGATGCGCCCACGTGCCGTCCTCCTCGCCACGAGCCCGCCGCGCGTTCATGCGCGAAAAGTGCAACGACAGGCCTGCCAGCACGATGCACGCAAAGGCAACCATGCCGAGTGTGACGGCGTGGCCACGCACGTAGCGCGGCCCTTCAGCAGACGGGTAGAGCTATTTGTCGAAGTCAGTTAATTAGTCAAAGCGTCGACGACGACGACGACAAAAGAACATCCAAACCGGCACAGCAGTGCCCGCGCAAAAGGGACAAGAGAAAAGAGAAAACAAAACATACAAAACTCGCCATGATGCCCGCGCAATTCCCAATCGTCAGCTGCAGCCCCGTGGCAGTAGTCCTCTTCCCATACCGCGGGCAATTCGACGGCAGCCAGGCGAGCGGCAGACCCACAGCGACATACAGCCCCATAGCAACCAAGAAGCAGCCTGCGTAGTGCACGCCCGCGCTACTATTGCTGATCAGCAGCGCGTAGCCGACGATGCTGACGAGGCCAAAGGACACCGCGTAGACGCCGCGGCGCTGCGTGCGGTCGCTGACGCGCGCAACGAGCAGGTATGTTGCCGCGCCGAGCGCGTACACGGGGATCGTCAGGGCCTGGACCAGCGCGGCGCCATGCCCCGGATACAGGGCGCGGATGATGGTGGGCAGAAAGGTGCTGAAGCCGTACAGCATGGTGTCGGTGCCGAACTGCGCGGCGCAGAAGGCCCAGACGGTCCAGTCGGAGACGCAGGCGCGCACGTCTGCCCAGTGGAAGTGCTGTGCGGAGGCGGTCTGGCCGGTTTGTCGGGCGCGGCGGACGTGCATGAGGGCGCGGTCGGCGGGGGAGAGGTAGTATGCTGTGTTGGCGTCGTCGGCGAGGAGCCACCAGGTTGCGATGCCGAGGATGATTGTGGGGAGGCCCTCGAGGATCATGATCCAGCGCCAGCCGCGGAGGCCGGCGAGGCCGTCCATGTGGCCGATTGCGAAGGCGAGGAGGCCGCCACAGGCGCCGGCGAGGGCGCTGCTGACGAAGAGGTATCCGATGCGGAGGGCGAGTTCGCGCTTTGTGTAGAAGAGGGTTAGGTAGACGGCCATGCCGGGGAAGAGGCCGCCCTCGACGGCGCCGAGGAAGAGGCGGCAGACGAGGAGGCCGGCGTAGGAGTGGGTGATGCCGGTGAGGGTGGCGATGATGCCCCAGGAGGTGGTGATGAAGGCGATCCATCGGGAGGGGCGGAACTTTTTGAGGACGAGATTCGAGGGGACTTCGGAGAGGATGTAGGTGACGAAGAGGATGGAGATGGCGACTTGGAACTGTTTCGGGGACAGCTTGAGATCCGATTCGAGGCCGTAGAGGCGGGCGTTGCCGATGTTTACTCTGGGGCTTTATTAGCATTGAGGACGTTATATTTGAGGTGGCCGATGAGGTACGGTACGCTCTCGAGACGACTCTTGGAATGGAACACAATTGGAGAGGTACATCAAAGAACAATCTTGTCAAGTTGATATGAGCCCATATCATGCCATTGCAATGTGATTTTGTGTGAAGAGGTTGACGAGCGGTATAAAAAGAGGTATATTGACCTGTCTAGGAAGCTAAGAAGATAGAGAAGCATGACGACAGGGACAATATACAGATCAAGCTTTCTAACAAGCCTCTTCTCTGCCTGGATATCGATCTCTGGAGGCTCGGTGTCGCCCGCGTCGATGCGCTCTGGTGATGATCCATTGATAGACTCTGGAGTCTTGTTGTCGGTCATGATGAATAGCGCTATTACTGGAGTTCGTGTGCTGTTTCTGGCCACTACTCGGTAAAGACGTACGCGTCCCGAGTTCGTTCACTCTTGAGGTCGATGAACCATCTGCATAGGAGGACAAGGGTTCTTTGTGGAGTAGCAAATGAGGGTCATCGGCGAAAAAAGCGATAAGATTGAGAGCGGCCGTTAATCGAGAACAAGCTGGGATTCCCGGCTCAGTCTTGTAACTCTTGTGCGCCTCTCAACATGTAGGACATGAAATTGGTGTTTCGCAAGGCTGAAAGCCCGGTGGTACCGAGAGAAACATTTAGCTGTGCGGAGGGTGAAAGAGTCCTGAATGCAGATATATCAATGCGCTAATTTCTACGTCGGCCATGGTGGTGAACGGGTCATAGCTTGGCATATGCATCTTTCAATGAGTTGGGTGGACTGAGATGTGTGCATAGCTTCAAGTCTTTTTGTCTGCGAGGATTAGATGATGTTTATATTGCTGTGAATTCTGGTGATTTTGATAGAGAAAGGGATGAGAGAGTGGGCGGCGCGGTTGTTTAGACGTTCATCGACATCACGTGCCTCATTCCCAGTACATTCGATCGCAGCCTCATCATTATCATCAGCCTCGTCGTTATCCTTTACTTCCTCAAGTTTCACGTCTATAATCTACGGCATCTTCTTCTCGAATGTACTTGTACTTTTATCTTTCCGACCGCTCAATGGGCCAATCTTCCCTCTTCTTTACAAGTCACGTGCTATATCTCAGCTTCGTAAGCCTCACTCGGAGTGGGTCAAGAATGTTCGAAACAAGTCCAGATGTTATGAGCGTCAATTTACAACAATTGTGTCCTTCTGCGTCCCTCACGACGTCGAGTTATATACAAGGGCTGTGGCAGCGGTTTGGCGGCGATGATACATGCAAACTCTCAACAGACGCCCTCGTCTCGTCCAGCTCGTCGACGGAATCCCCGCGCCATCAATTCATGTCTCGAGTGTCGTGAGCGAAAGTCGAAATGTAGTAAGACTTATCCTTGCGAAAGCTGCGTGGCATACGGACGAGACTGTGTCTTCATCAAGGACACCGTCGAGACCGAGCACCGCAAGAGGACACACTCGCATGCCACGAGCCCCATCTCCCATGGCTCGAATGGCAACCATGGCAAGAACAGAGATTCCGACCAAGAAGCCACTCCTCCACGAGACTTCGAATGGGAATCCTACCAGCAAGATGTCGTGCCGGATCGAGACCTGTACGAAAGTCTCGATACACACACACGTGAGGACACGCCGCAGGATGAGCGCGACGACGGAGAATCCATGCTAGATATGGTCTTCAAGTATGGCAAGCTGGTAGTCACGCAGAGGATAGATGGCGTATCACTCGCCCATTACGCAAAAGATGTAACGTCTGCCCTCCTCAGTTCTGAATCAATTGGATTGCCTGACTCTTGGATGGGTAGCTTGGGAGAGTGTTGGACTATAGAGACCCTTCTGTACCGAACACTGTGACTCCTGCCTCACATGTCCCCTTTTATGCCAGCCTGGACTCGTCCAATGGATCGCGATTGCTGGACGGTTCGAGCTATGGTGCCATGTCTTCGCGGCCAACGAAAGGTCTGAACCTGTCCAGAGCTCATGCCCAAGTTCTGTATGACCAGTATGTGCAGGCCGTGAATCCTGTTGCACATGTGCTTCATATGCCGAGCTTCAAACGCATGTTTGACGAGTTTTGGTCAAACCAATCCACAGGAAGGCATAATTCAGAATCCAGCTCTGCGTTGATATGGGCCGTGTGTATGTCCGCAGGCATGAGCATGCCTTCGATGCAAGTCATGCTCCACTTCCAAACATCACTCGATGACCTAGTAAGGTCTCTACAAGACGCCACGGAAAACGCTCTTAGACAGGCGAATTGCCTTGCTACCTCTAGCATCACGACTCTACAAGCACTCACTATATATCTGGTAAGCATACCAAGCTACATTCGCAATCCCTACCTAACATCCACATCCACAGATCGCACAATGCCGTTCCGAAGTCCTCCGCTCTCACTCCGCTCTTGTCGGCGCTCTCATCCGCCTTGCCCAGGGCATCGGCATCCATCACAACGCCTCTGCATCATCCCTGAACCAGCTGCACCGACACACGCGGTCGCTCCTATGGTACAACATCTGCATACTCGACGTCAAAACGGCCGAAGCAATGGGCGTGCAACCTCTCATCCGCGCCGACGACTTCGACGTCCCCCTCCCCCTCAACACCGACGACACATTCCTCGACGTGCCCTCCTCCTTCACAGCCCTCTCGGTCCGCGCATGGACCGACACCACCTTCGCCCTCATCCGCTTCGAATGCAACGAGCTCCACCGCCTCATCTTCCGCGGCTCCATCGACGTCTCCCACAACGCCCTCACCCTCCACCAACTCAAATCAAACGTCGAAGCCCACAAGGCCCGCATCTCAAGCACCTACATCCCCCTCCTCGACCCCCTTATCCCCACCCACCGCTACGCCAGCCTCGTCCTCAAACTCCTCATGGCCCGCTGCGACACTATGCTCCTCTCCCGCCTCCTCCCCAAAACCGCCCGCTCCCCCTCCGAATCCCGCCTCCGCGACATCCTCATCCCCCCCGCCCTCACCACCCTCGAAATCGCCGCCACCCTCGAAACCCACCCGGACTACGCCCCCTTCGCCTGGTTCGCAGGCGCCTTCCAGCAATACTCCGACATCATCTTCCTCCTCTGCGAAACCTACCGCAGCGGCTCGCCCCCTCTCCCATCCACATCCTCATCCACACCCTCATCCGCACCCTCATCCACATCCCAATCCGCAATCCCCCCGCAAGACCTCAAACGCATCAGCACCCTCATCTCCCACGTCTTCGGCCACTGCTACGCCCTCCCCCTCCACCAACGCAGCGGCATCATCCTACACGCCCTCAAATCCGCCCTCGAGCGCTTCTCCGCCCTCCGCCGCGTCTCCTCCTCCTCCTCCACCTCCTCCCACCCGCACACCCCCACGCCCCTCCTCCAACAACAACAACCCCACAGCACCCCTCTCGCAACCCGTCTCGGCGGCAGTAGCGGGGAGAATCTCTCCGTCCTCGACGACGGCCGTGCAGATAGGGATATTATGATTCAGTGGGATGACGCGGCGAGGCCGGGTGGTGGTGAGCTCGAGACGCTGCTTCGTGCGTATCCTGATGCGGGGTATCGGCATGGTGGTGTGGATTTGATGGGTGGTGGTGGTGCTGGTGGTGCTGGTGCTGGGGAGCCGATGGATGGGATTTATATGCCTGGGACGGATGGGACGGCGGCGGGGGAGTTTGGGGGTCAGACGCCGGGGGTGGAGTGGATGGGGACGGGGACGCAGGGGATGTGGCCTGGGCAGGGGGGGTTTGGGTATGGGTCTTAGGGTTGTTGGGTTGGGGTTTGTGTGTACGGGGTAGTTGGTGTGCGTGTAAGGGAATATATGTGATTGGATACGTTTTAGATATGCGTGGAGAGAAGCATGTGTTCGTATGATGCAAGTGAGAAAAAAGGACAGGAATGTGTACAGCAAACCCATCACCGCCGATTCGATGGGTATGGCGCATAGTGCAATTGAAGTCATGGCTCGTCAAGAAGATAGATTTTTAGGACGTTAGGCCGTCTAGGTAGACATGAAGCTCGTTCCATTCATCCAGCGTGATCTCATTATCCACCCAACATGCGCAGACAAGCCACATGTTATTTCGGTGTCATAAGTGCCTTGTTTTAGACAGTAGCTTGAACCTAGATGCCCCGCCCATTCAGTCATCTGGATACTCGTCCCGCACATTGCTGACAAACACGTTGTGCTCGTCGCTCCAGCGCTTGAACCACCGCCCAGCAAGGCTCAACATGCGCTCCGATGGAGGCCCTTCCGACGGGTTGATGTTCTCTTCGGCGACATATCGGATACTTCCATCGCGCACGCTACCACGAGGTCAGCTCATGTATCTCATATGTGACTGACGTACTTACGCGACATGGTAGAAACTCTGGTGTCGTCCTCTCGACAACGTAGTGTCGACCTTCATCCTCTGGATCCAGTCCTCTCCCGCCTCGCATACCGGATCCCATCCGATAACGGCGCCCTCGTACGCATACTTTCTGTGCGAGAACAGTTGTCCGACTTTGTAAGTGACGACCTTGCTGGCTGTACGTCGAATAGGTCTTTTCGGCATGCTGTCCACATCGTTGGTGACGCGGATGAAATCTTCTAGTTCCTCTTCGCCGGGGAGATCTTTAAACAGGGGGAGAAGGTGCATTTCCATCAGACTGAGGTCCCAGGGTTGGTCCGGCTGGAAGCGCGAAGTGAAGAGGGATACAGTCTGGCGTAAGTGTAGCTCGTTTGTGGCGAACGCCTCGCCATCGCTGAGCCCGGTGGTGAGAGTGACATTTGCCCATATCACGCTGTACCACGCTTGCAGTTGGTTTGGTATTCCCGGTACAGGGACAGCGTCGAATGCGGGCATCTCAGCTTCCTGCACAGCGCGTTGCAGATTGCGTGTTGAGCGGAGGACCATCTCCGTCACGCTTGCTGGGCTGAGGTACTCGTCGTGGTTCCAGCTTCGGACACCCATTGAGTCTAAGGTACGCCTGAGTTGGTGCTCGGATATCTCAACGTCCGATCGGAAGGGGTCCAGGTATATTCTCGGGCGGATCGGCTTGGCGTCTGAACGATTCGTTTGTTTGCCATCCAGGTCTTGTTCGTCTGGCGCGCTGACTATGGCGTATATATGAAATGGGTAGCCACAACAGGATGCATCGAGGCCAAGACGTCTAGCAACAGCACAAAAGATCGCAACGGTGATCAGTGGAAGAGCCTCGTGCTGTGGATCGCGCAGGGCGAGACCGATAAAGTTGTTCTCCATGTTCTTGTAAGATTCATCATTGACCCCACAGAAACTCTGCAAACGAAGAAAGTTCGCCAGGGTGACTGCTCGCTGTCGTGTGCTCAACTCGCCATGATCCGGGTGTATGGTGCGAAACTCAGCGGCGAGGCTGTCGAGCGTTTGCGCGACTTCCTGGATATCGGCGCTCTCATTGCCTAGGACGAACATGTCGAATGCAGCCAGAGCATTTTCCAAAGGGACGTCGCACGCGTTGCGTAGCTTGAGCCATTCCTGGATTGCAACAGAGCGATGTATGCAATTTAGAGCCGCCGAGCTATAGTACTTCCTCGCTAAAAAATCCTCTGAATCAATGGGCGGCTTACACTGGCGAAGAAGTTCCTCTTTCGCGTCATAGCCAAGTTCAACGATCTTCTTAGTATTCAGACTTCTAGCCTGCTGCGATGCGAGTATGCTGCTCAGAGTCTGGGAAATGAAGCGATCGGTTTCCTTTCGCCGCCGGAACAAGGCCCTCCAGTCTACGGTGTCTACTGGGGCTCGTAGCAACGAGACAATGTCATGCTTTGGATGCCAATAGCGCCAGCCTTCTTCACAATGACGTTTCCATAGACTTGGCTCGTTGCCTATTGACGCTATTCGTTTGCAGGTATACTGGAATGCCAAAATTGACTCTGGAGGCAAGTAAGAAAAGATGCTCTCGAGCAATTCAGTCGGTAGAGTTTCCAGCCGCACAATGCTCGTCATGCTAGCCCGAATGTTAAATTAAAGCAACCCGGACGGTGTGTGGATGTGTATGCTTCAACAATGTGGGGACTGTGGCGGATGAGTTGGTATCGTTCCAGACTCGATTACTGTGACGGATGGTTTGAGCCAGCAGATTGGTTGGCGAGAGAAGACTGGTAGAGATCAAATCTGAATCACCTGCCTACCTCAAGTGATGGAGCGTCTGTGAGAGAGCGACGATGAAGATGATGTTGGTGATAATGGTGACGATGATGATGATAGCTCGATGCCAGACTGGGCAGTCTAACGATACTGGTGAATAGATTACCTGTTCTGATCACGTAAGGTTAGATTACGCTTTGCTACGTAAGCAAGATCGCACAGAAGACAGGTCAATGGAAATCCCAATGAAGCTTCTCAGCAAAGTCCAACTTGACATCCTCATTGAACTTCACTCTCCGTTTGGAATTGACTACATCATGCTTCAGGCTCGTCTGTTCCCACGAATATGCACAGCGGCCGCGTCTCCATCATCTGCCACGACGCCGCTCCACACGCGGTACGGTACAAGACTGAGCAGCTCGGGCTTACAGCACAGCGCCATCCTCGGTTGTGCCTGTCCCACGGCCCACAACTTGGACTCATGAACGACGATTGTTCTGGGAAACAAGGGGCGACACAAACCTCCTATAAGACGAGTTAGGAAAATGCTGCCGCGAAAGCAGAGTGGGAGAGAGAGGGTGTTTAGCTCGTCGCCGGTGTCTGGGAGGCGGCGAGGCCCCAACGCCCCCAGTTTTCTGCCGCTGGCTGTGTTGGCTTTTCCCTTTTTCGGTCCATGTGTCTGTCCCTCACATCGCTCAAAACGGAAAATGTTCTCTCGCGACACTCAACGATGGAGGAGAATAGATTTCCTGTTCTTCTTGTTTGCAACGAATCGCACGCGTTCGCCCACTGCTTCAGCGTCAAATTGCCTCTGCCCTGGGTCGGTGGCAATTGCTGAGGGAATGTTTGCCGATTTCGGTCAGCCGCTCCGTGCTTATTACTGTCCGGGAAACCTACTGCGCTGTTCCTGTCGCTTCGTGAAGACCTCTAGTCACAATGGCACGACGACAAATTACAACCTTTTTGACATAAGAGAGGCTGCTGCACTGCTCATGACTGGAGCTCGTGAGTTCTTTATGATGACATCATGCCTTCAAAAGCTCCGAAATCGTCACAGTGTGGCGTCGGTTGGACGGAATGCACCCTATACCACCAGCCACACTCCTGTATGCAGAATGGATATAATACTGGCTGTCCAGACGGCGTAATAACACCATGGATACCTTTGTTTTCTCCATGGCACCGTCATCTGCAATCATTGATTCGTTCATGGCTGCATATGTTTGGAAACGCGACGACATTGTGGAGGTATGGCACAGTGACCATTAAGCCTTGCCTAATTTGAGACAAAAGTAAACGTACCATAATTAGTTGAGAACAAGAGCAGGTTCAAGTGGTTATCAAGGTAAGTCCGTGCAGATTGCTTTTACATTTAGTACATATCTTCGTCCTGTTGCCAAGGCGCCTATGGCACGCGTCACTGGAGTCACTATGACGAAATCATTGGATTGGACTCATATCACCGTCTTGATCATATCACCGGCAGCTCCAGCTTCGGGATTTCGGCCTGCTCTGAAACTGCTTTGAAAGGTCAAACATGGAGATAAGCTATCGCCGCCACGATATTATACCAGTCCTACATTGGCAAAAGCCAGGGGCAGCTTTCATTGCTTTTGAGCAATGTTCCAGAACATATGGTACTGATTGACGTGTCCTAGGTCACAAAGATTGGGCAGGATTCAAATACATGTTGGGTAGCGCTCACGTTGCAGCAAAAGCAACAACACGGTCCATGCATGAGTACTCTCCTGCTCGTCATTGGCCTGGAGGTGTGTGCAAGCTGGAGTGTACTATATGATGGTGTATGGGCACGGCGCACGGCTGCCCGGCTGCCTGTCCGCTGCCAAGGGGTAAACATTTGTGAGCAGCGCCAAGGTACTCGCGGCACTGGTCATCGACACACATCGGCGGAAGTCAGAGGAGCCGAATCTCACTCAGTCTCCAGCCCGATTGCGTAGCTCAAACAGCATAGCCGCCTTGGCCGATGTTGTGAAACACGTTCTATCAGAGCGCCCCCAACGTGATGAGATCCCGCTGCGCAGATTCGGCCGCCAGCGCAATGTCTAGACCCAGAGTCGGACATAGCACTTCCTGGAGAAACGACTGGGGTGACGAGCAGCTACTATGGATGTAGTGACCAAGCGACATTCGGTACTCCTGCTGTCAAGGTCTCCGCGACGAGGCCACGGCTCATGACCACAGAGACTTGCCAGGTAGCCCAAAGCATCGTCTTGTGGTTTCAACCCGGGGTGCGGGAAAGATAAGTCGGGCTTACGTGCGACCCGTCGGTAGGCGTGTAAATCGTCTTCCACCCTCTGCGGCACATTCATGCATGTTCATCTGCTGCTGTAAGCGGGGAGCTGACCGAGTCAGATCAGACTCCAGAGTGGAGCGTTGCCAAGTCTGTCCGCTCCACTGCCCAAAATGAATTTGAAGACCTCAACACCAAACCCCGCGTCTTCGTGCAGCACACTACTCCAGGTATACAAACATCATTCGGCCGAATGCTGCAACTGCTATATTATAGCCTGCTCTTGGTACGGAGCACTATGGCTCTTCGGTCCATACTCCCTCGAAGATGGCCTAGCCAGGTGCGCTGGGGTTGCTTAAACTTCGGCTCGACTGTCGACGCCGCCAGGGCTTGAAGGCTTGAAGGCTTGTGCAACAACAAGGCTTGTGCAACAACAAGGCTTGCGGCTTGATGGGCGTGGGCGGGAGGTCCCTCTTCCGTCCGGACGGATCTGTCTGCTCCCTGCTTATCAGGATTCGAGAGTCTTCGTCAGTCCGTCCCGCCTGAAATGGATATCTAAGCCTCTTGATATGCTGAGTGATGGACAATCCAAATCCCGAGCTTATGCTTCTTCGGTACTGCTCACCGTGGGTCCTGTTGTGCCTCTTTCTCAGCGTGGACCTGAATGTCCCGAAACTCAGCGAGAACTGCTTGGCACATCTTGGCGCTGTAGATCGCTTTGCCTCCTTGCTGCCTTGGCCCTAATGTCAACAATCGGCGACGAGTCCTGGATCTCTGGGCGCACGGTGAAAAGCACCGCTGACGCAGAGCTTGTCGCACCCCACACGTCAGTATCTTCGCTGTCTAATTGGCCATGTTGAACAGGGCAAATGCTGGGCTAGTTAATGGTGGTATTGAGGCCAGCAAAGACTACTCATTCCTTTGGTGTCCCAAGATCTGGCTCTTCATAAATAAAGGAGGTCACTTTTCCCTTTCCGTGGACTAACCTTCGACCCACGTTCTCCATACCCACTTCTTCCCCGTCGTCTCTATATCGACTCCCGAATTTGTCACATACTACGCGTCGCTTGACATTATACCACGCTCTTTGCTGCACAAAAGTCGCCATCGATCATGTCTCGAGGGGACAATGAGAAGCAAAGCACACCGAGGGGTGATGTTGCTATCGAAGACCAGCCAAAGATCCCTAGAGAATGGCGAGCCTGGGCTTGTCTCGCCGGGTGTTTTTTCCTCATGTTCAACAGCTGGGGCAATGTCAATGCCACCGGAACCTACCTCTCATACTACAAGCAACATCTACTAGCAGATTCGAATGACATACTTCAAAATCTCATCGGTGCAACACAGTGCTTTTGTGTGCTTGGTCTATCCGGAATCGTTGGCCGACTCTTGGATGCAGGATACAGCCGACAACTTCTCGGCGTTGGCGGACTGCTCACTTTCGTTGGCATGCTCACTCTCGGCTTCGTAGGCGGGGACGGATACAACGAGGGTAACTACGGTCTCGTATGGCTCACCCAAGGCTTCATCGCCGGGTGTGGGATGGGCTGTCTATTTGTCTCAAGCTCACAGAGTAAGTTCCTTCTTCCCGACCACGGGTCTGACTGGATGCTGATACACTTCGCTCTACAGTTTGCTCAACGTGGTTCCCGCGCATGAAGGGTCTTGCTATCTGTATTGTGGCGTCAGGAGCCAGTATCTGTAAGTCCTAGCCTCATCTTCTTTCCTTCCTGGCATCCCCAAGAAAAAAAGTCTGTGATGTACGCCAAGCAATGGCTGCATTCTTTATCATTTGCCAAGCTCAGGGCTGACCGCCACATGCAGCTGGTCTTATCTACCCTGTTATGATCAAAGAACTCCTGATCCAGGTCGGCTTCAACAATGCTGTGCGCTATGTCGCCGCCGTGTTTGCGGCGACGCTGCTCTTCTCGTTCATCTTCGCTCGACCCAATCCTGCTTGGCACTTGCGCAAGCCCGAGCGCTGGACTGACAGCAAGGTCTGGGTGGACAAGAATGCATTCAAGAACAGGTCGTACGTGTTCTTTACGGCGTCGATCTCTATGCTATTTCTGGGATTTTATCCAGTATTCTTCAATCTCGAGGAGGTGAGTTTTCTGCAACTGTCAAGTACTGTTACAGTCTAACGTACTGTGTAGTGGGCCGCTTCAGAAGGACTTGGTGTCAAGGACAGAGTTCCAGGTGGATTTCAAAATATCGACCTGGGTGAAGAAGAGGTTGCTGGCGATGCCATCCGAACTTTCTATCTTCTGGCAGTCATGAATGCCTCTAGCACGATCGGACGTCTTGGAGCTGCATTCCTGAGTGATTGGTATGTCTCTAACTCTGCGTGCTTTATGATGTTATACTAACACACATGCAGGATGGGCGCTCTGAACCTGCACATCGTCGCTACATCTGTCATCGCCATCTTGGTCCTCTGCTTCTGGACCTTGATCAACAACACAGCCGGCGCCATCGGCTTCGTCGTCATATTCGGCATCTTCTCAGGCACAGTCATCGGCCTGCCCCCAGCTTCCACAGCCTACATCCTCGAGCAGTCCGGCGCCCAGCAATCCCGTCTCGGGCAATGGGTCGGCATGATGTATACCGCTGCGGCAATCCCGTCACTCATCGGGCCCATTGCCGCCGGCGCTCTCGTCCAATCCTTCAACGACTACCTAACTGTTCAGCTTTGGGCCGGCGTCTGTTTCGTGCTTTCCGCACTGCTGATGGGCCTGTCCCGCTGGTTCCTTAACGGCGAAATTCGCAAGAGGAAGCTGAGCGAGGGAGCCATCGTCGGCGACGATGTCGAGGGCCATCCGAATGTTCTCAGGAGCATGACCATGACCAGCGGCACGCTCACTGCTGTGCAGACTCCACGCCGATCGGTCGACGAGGAGAACAAGGACGACGAGGATGAGACGACGGAGAACACGAACCACAACCGACGACACCTTGAAGCCGCTGCATGACGGCATTTCGGTCACCATCACCATCATCATCATCATCATCATCATTACGACAAACGGCCGCGCATTGGATACTGGGTTTCTACGTTGCATTCCGAGCATTTGTAACTCTGGATGTATGGGCGTTTGAGGGAAAGGGATACACGAATTTACCGAAGCCGTTGGATCGGCAGGGATGCATTATACGACTGGAACTAGGAAGTGTTCTCAAGGTTCTCAGGTCAGGTCTGGAATGGAGTTATTTCTTTGGGAGATTTCTGTGTTTGCTCTGGCTCTAGCAGATATATGGAGAGAGTCAGCTATCTGGTCTAGTTGACTGGTGGTAATGAGGGCAGTAGCAGGTCTAGACATTGCATCACGAATCGAGCTTCATTATAGAGAGATGGATCTCGGATTAGTTAGTATACATACATAGCATAGACGCATTTCAATCGCGCGTTATTTTGGACAAACTCTTCACTTCCCTTCTCCGTTTCGAACGATGATTATCTTTAATTTCGTATTATCATCTACCGCCCCACGTGCGACATCCATCCGTCCCCCAACCCAACAATTTGCACGTGCGACATTGCCGACTACTACTTACACATGTAATATATTCTCAGATCAAAGCCGCTACATACCTAGATTTTGCCCAGCGCCACGTCATGATCCATTATAATCTTAGCAAACCGACTAATTTATCGTCGCGGGGGGTCCCCGTCGTGCAGCGTCCCCAAAGCCAGCCCAAACCAAGACCAGGACCGAGCTGTTTGATACTCGTACTGTGCTGGAATAATATGCGTTGGGCTGTGAGGGCTGGCTCGCATGTATGCATATACACATACATACATTCATACACAGATACATACATACATGCACACATGCACATATCCATCTATCCATACCTAGTACAACAGAGTGACCTGGCTGTTCTAGACCCGAGTCCGTTACACGAGGCGACAGACCGCGACGACTACAGCTACAGCTACAGCGGCAGCTAATCATGCGCTCGCACCAGGGCTGTCTGTCTCTGTACATACAGTATTGCTTGCTCCTCACCAAGAAATCGATACGTCACCATAAGCAGCGCCGGCTAATAGGAAGATTAATATTGCCAACTTGCAACTCGGAAATTCCACCAGCCGAAAGGGGCCTTGGGGGGGAGGAATCTTCCTTTGTCTTGGCGCGGAGCAAGCCGGGTCCGCATCGCGCTCCCTGATTCTCATCCATCACCCGATAAGACATTTAATTACAGTAGATGCGTGGTGGGACGCAGTATATAGTCGACTAGGATGGATGCATCATAATCACAGCGAAACAATGTGCAAGGGTAGGAAAGGGAGCCTTGGCGTGGTTTAGGGCATCCTTTGGAAGACGACCTGACGGTTGTAATACATATGGATATAGATGTGGCAGACAATTGCAAGGGGGGAGGGAAAAAGAGGAAGGGGAAACTTTCAAAGTTGTTTGGCGGGATCGACGACGCCCTCCCGGCCGGGATCCCAAGAGGCGCCTTGTTCCAGACGGAAAAGGCGCCTCTTCCACCATAGACCCCAGCAGCGATCAAGAAAGGGAATGAGATGAGGCTGCCAAGACGGTTGGCGCTTACGAGGCAGGGAAGATCCTGGCTTTCTGACCGAGCGGGATGCCCAGACTTGGCGTTATGCTGGGCGCGGAGAGGAGGAAGGCCCAACTGGCGGAACGCGAGGAATCCATAGTGGTGGGTCTCGCTCGGCACGTAAGCTGTTTTTGTGCCGTGGTGATGCTGCTACTGCCAGTCGATTGGTTTCAGCTATGCAAGATAAGCTGATGCGAACGTGCAGCGAACATCGTGGGAGAGGCGTTTTTCGCTTGGTTAAGTGGCGGGCGGGCGGGCAGTCAGGATGGTCTTGCGGAGATGTCGGGTCTGATAAGATCAGATTCGGCGCTTCGGAGGGCCTGAAAATTGCGATTTCGATCGTGACATTTAATTCTCCTGCACCGATCCATGTCGTCGACAGTGTGTACTGCTCTGCAATCTGGATGATGCATGACCTGTTTCCTTTCAGCCCAACGATGCACCATGCATTCAACCTCCTGCGGGCTGGCAGCGATCCAGACCACGATGGTATCATGCAGCAGTCGGGCAGCTGCAGTACAATTATCTTCCGTTCATCGCGTGTAATAGCAATCTCGGCCTTTACACCGCTCCCAGACCAGATGTATGTCACATTACAGCTTTGTACGCACCTGTTCGATGCGCCGGCCATGGCAGTCCCACAATGCCGTTACGAGGCTCACTTAGCGGTTCTAGTACAAACTGGCGGAGATGCTTGGCGGTGGCTATGCTCGCCGACTCGGTGATTAGAGTCCCATGGTTAAGTTACGTCCATGCCCCACAACATGCTTGGAAATGTGCGGAGTAGAAATGTGACTCCAAACTCATCACAGCCGGCCGAGGTTTGTGAGCCAAGTGGAAGCACATCACCACATGTTGGCAATTCAGTTGGACTCCTGTGGGGCTAGCCAGCCAGCCAGCCGTGCACGCGTGAGACACGGGATGTATTGGTAAGAACCCTGATACGACACCAGTGAGCGTCACAATCTTCCTAGTCTTCAGCCGTGTTGGCGGCAGGACAGAAGAAAAGAAAGACGTCTTTAGCAGTAGCTTTTTGGGCGACTTGCAGATGATGTACAGATTAGAAATCAGGCATGTCTCTGAATATCCGGATGTCTGTGCTGTCTCTCTTCCAGCCGCTCCGTGAGATAGAACTTGTATCAGCCGCAGATAAGTCGTCGTAATGCTGTGAGATGCATTTTGCGAATCTCGAGAAGTAGACTCTTGGCTGAAGATCTATCATAACGCTCGTCGGAGGCCGAGTTCTAATCATCTTCCGCTCTGCCCCCGCCAATTTTTCACACAAGTCTAAAGATTATCTTACCTCAAGGGGTGTTCTACTGCATCTTTCAAGCCCGATTGACTGACTCCAGGATCTTTCAGCACTGTTGCTGTCAGCTCCACCCTCGCTTTGCGGCACACGATGTATGACTATGGGGAGGGTGTATGAGCTGCGGCGCGAGATTTGGCATGATGTCAGAGCTTGAGTTGATCAAGAAGATGTCCGTCTCTGCGTGGTCTGTAGAGGGGGTAGTAAAGACCACTGGGGACGTGTTCGAGCTGTGAGAGCCGTCCGTCAACTTGTCAGCGTCTAGCGAGTGAAGTGATCAGCGACATGCTCTGTGGACTCATCGTTGACGCTGATACGTCCTGACCTTGGCATGGTCGTTGACGAGCATACCGGCGTGTGTTCAAGTGTTGTTGACGCGTGGGCAGACGAGGTAATATGGGTGGGTGAAGCGAATTGTAGACTGGGAGCTTGGTGTGCGGCTGACTAATCATTTAGTACTGGTGTCTTGATGCCTTAGTGTATTAGTGCCTTAGTGCCATGATGCCTTGATGCCTGGCTACCTTAGTGCCTGGGTGCCTTGGTGCCTGAGGTTTCAATACGATCTTCCATCTTCCACCCGAAGTCCCTGTGCCATATAAAACAACAACAACACGACATCACTTACCAACAATATCACTCTACACTCGTCCGCCTCCTCGCCATATCCTCTATAAATCTCATCGTGCGTCGAGTCAGAGCTGGAAAATGACATCCATTCCGTGTGTCATGTGGGCAGACAAGGGTTTTCATCGTGACCGCCCGGGGCCAGAAATTTTCTGTGGCGATTTCGGCCGGTCCAGCTCTTTCGCGATCAAAGTCTACAAAAACACTCCCTCCGCCCGCTTCACACTCTCCTTCTGGCGCGCTATGCCCTCTCCACTTCTCTCGGGCTTTCTGTTTCGTCCTTTGCGCATATACCCCAGGTTTTCATTTCCTTGATCGCACAGTTTTCCGCCAAATCTATTTTTGTCCCTGATCTCTACCCCTCCACGTGGGCGAACTAGGCAGCCCCCTACATATCTCCGACTCAGCCCTACGCGTGCACAGACAGGTGGTGGTGGTGGTGCGCCTATCATCATCATGAAGTTCGGTCGGGTCTATCAGGACCACCTTGAGAATGATGGCTATCCCCAACACTGGATCGACACCTCCATATCCTACCGGCAGCTCAAGAAAGTCATCAAGCGTGTCGAGAAGGAACTAGCAGAGATCGGCCTGGACATTGAGACGCTGAAACGGCTACTACAGAGTGCAGAGAAGACTCGGAGTGTGCAGCAGAAGGACAGACAGGTCCAATACTCTCTCAACGACGGGCATGACGACAATATCTCTAGCAGGCCTCCAGAGACACCGTTTCATCCAAAACTCCTCATAGCCGTCGACGATGCGACGGGCGAGCCATTAGACTTTGGATTCACTCCCGAAACACTCCAATACCTTCACGAGCAGGCTGTCCTTCAGAAGTTGACCGAGGTCAAGATTGTAGATACAGCACCGGATGGTGCTGTTCAGCCTCCCTCGATTTACGATCGCGGTGAAGCTCAGCCGCATCGCATGGTGGAGATAGCACTGACGTCGGACTCGGAGTTTTTCAACATCCTTCATAAAGAGCTGAATGCTCTCGAATCACTGCAGACTGAGCAAGAAACCTCGTTGCAGTCTGAAGTACATGACCTGAGCAAAGCTGTGTCCAAAGTCGCCAGACCCAGTCGCAAGATCGCAAAATCCGACATCAATCAGTGGCGACAAATCTTCCAGCTCTACCTCGAGAGCCAGATCTTCTTTGCGACGCATGAACAAGACCACGGTGCGCACTCTTATGCACAGGCCAGTAAAAACTATCAGCTCTTCGTAAAGCAAGTTAAAGATGCCGGTCTTGCGTCGCAATTCCGCAAAAAGGAAAGCGTCCAGGCACTCGAGCGCTTCTTCGCCATCAACTCTGAAATCTTAAAGACTCTCAGTTTCCAGGAGCTGAATCACATGGCACTCATGAAAATCCTCAAGAAGTTTGACAAGCGCACCTCCTTCAATGTCAACGGGACGTTTGCACTCGCACCGCCTGCGAAGACACTATCCCGCGATATCGCCCAAGCCGTGTGTTTTCAGGTCACAACAGATCTTCTGGCGATTGTGCCGCAGCTTGATGACTATCTGTGTCCAGTGTGCTGCGATATTACTTGGCGGCCTGTGAGGCTAGCTTGCTCGCATGTCTTTTGCATTCGCTGCCTAGTCGTCATGCAAAACGAAAAGAAGACCATGTGCCCCTTGTGCAGGGAGAAGGTGTTGCTGCAAGCCAACACGGACAACATCGATCCAGCACTGAGCAACTTTCTAAAGGAATACTTTCCGAATGAGGTCAAGGCCAAGCAGAAGAGCAATGAGTATCAAGCTGGTGTGGACGAATACGGGGAGCATTTTGATGAAGGATGCATGATCATGTGAATGGAGCAACGGGGTCAAACGACCTTCATTAGTGTCGCAGTCGTGCTCAGCATTCTAACTTTACACGTTGCAGATCGCGACTTTGTCGCAGATCGACGACAGCAGGTGCTTAAGAAGTACAGAAGACAACACACCTAACGCCGTTTGCCACACCATGCGCAGCGTTGTATTCTACCAACAGCTAATTCTTATCCGCCAACAGCACCTCTGCACTATCGCCTCGTTCCAGCCCCCTTTTCGTCTCCCTCCTCCGTACAACCAGCACCAACACCACAATCGTCAAGATGGCCAACAACGCCTGTACTATTCCCGCATACCAACTGAAACTCTGGATATTACATTGCTGCTCAAACTTGACCTCATTCTCAAACACCTTCTGGATCGCCTGCGCGGCCGAGCTGCAAGTCCAGCCCCACAGGTCATCGTTCTTCTTCTGCTGGCGATACAGACTCGCAGCCACGGCCCATACGACCGCATTGCCGACCATTACGACCCAACTGAATGTGGTGGCGACATAGGCTGTTCGGTTTGCAGTGCGCACGTCGGTGCGGAGATATGCGATCATGATGAAGAGGTTGAGAAGCAGGGACACGGCGGCGGTGCCAAAGTACATGTACGTCGGCCACGTGGTACTGTTCTGCGCCCACGCAGTGCGGGAGACGGTCTGAGGCGCGGTGCCGGGGCTGGCGATGGTGACGACGCGGCTGATGTCGTTGGTGCGCAGGAAGGTGACGAGGGTTATGGTGATGGGCACAAACACGAGAACGGACACCACGAAGGCGAGGATGCGTGATACGAAGCGTAGGACGCGGATGTGCCGTTTGAGACGCTAGGATATGGTGGTTAGGACCTTTCGTCGGTTGGTATCTGGGAGATGCTGGGAAGGCCGTACCTGATCTCGTCCATTCAACGCCCGCATCTGTTCCTCGCTCTCCACACTTTGCGCATATACCGGCGGTCGCTCTTCCATACCGTTCCCACTCGCATACCTATCCACACATGGCTCGTCATACCGATACTGTTGTACCAAATGCATCGTCTTGATGCCACCGCCGAAAGTGTCCTGTTTGTCAAATCCCAGATCTCTGCTCGGGACGCGATAGTTGTAGCTCGGACTCGCCGCTCTCGTCATATTGCTTCCTAGGTTCATGACTGGGGCTGCGAATACAGGCGCCGGCTGTGAGGGTGTCGCGTATGGGGGTATGCGACGGGAACCTGTGGGGTAGAGATGCAGTGGTTGTGCCATGGCTGGCTGGCTGGCTGGCTGGTTGATATATGGGTAGTGGGAACAATGATTGGGGATGCGCTGTGGCACAGGGGCGTATAGTAAGACTGACGATCCGCTCACGCGCGCGCGGCTGTGTATGGCGGGTAAATAATGAGTGAGCGAGCGAGCGGCGGTGTCTTGCGGCGCGAACAAAGACCAGGATAATTCTGGGTTTCGTAGGATGTAAACGAGCGACTCGATCCAGCGTTCAGTGATGCTCAGCCTGCGTTAAAGCCCGTGTGAGATATTATCGGAGGGGAGGTCCTTCTCTTTCACTTCAGCTTCTAGTCGTCAATACAAGCAAGCCTGTAAGCCGAGAGCGCGCGCCCAGAACGCCCTTCAGAATATGGATGGATATAATATTAGTAGTAGACAATACAAGAATAGTCACACCAGGAAAAAAAATCGTGAAGAAAAATTCACCAAAGAAGAAAATATCACCAAACCCGCGCGTCGCACACATATATACATTTTTATCACTCCCCTCTTTCCGGTGTTTTTTCCGCCGCCCTCATATTTTTGCCTTTTTCTCCCCAATCATCATCATCATCAAACTTCCCGCCTTCAACCTGACACACGCCAAGACCGTATAAGAACTGTCGCATCCTCCTCCACCGCGTCGCAAGGCTTCTTGGGGCCGCGCGCATCCAAAACTCGATGCTCTGACTACTGTTTGATGTTGATCCAGGCAGAAGGGGGGTGTGGTGTGTGTGTGTGCATTCACTCGGCGTGCCATGCCATGCCACGCATACCATCACACATCCGCCTTTATGCTCTCTTTTCAAGTTTTGACGGTCTCTTTATTGTTGACGGGCTGATCCTATCCTATCTAACAAGGCGTCTAACTAATACTTCTACCCCAGACAGACAGACAGACAGACCCTTGGACGAATCACCACCGCGTCGCATGCTGAGCGCCGCAAATTACACCGCATCACAATCCGCACCGCACCGCATGGCTACATATTCGCTCTCACTAAACCGGTCAACCTGAGAATGCGAGGGCTATTTATAGTGTCTTACTGGTGTGCAGATCCAGGGGGGTAAAGCAAGCCGGCAAGGCAGGGTGAGGAGAGGAGAGAGAGGGGGGCGCAGATCAGGCACAAGGCGTGGCGGGTGAGGGCGAGGGGACTTGTTTGATCTGCGACGTCGTGTCGGGGATTGTATCATGGATTCAATCTTTTGTCCATCCAGGAATTCATTCATCCATTCATTCATTCATTCTTTGTGCTTCGGCCCCGATGCTTCATCAGCGGCTGTGGTTATCCATTCATCGAGTCATTCCGTCCGCTCTTTGACTGATTCATCATCGACGACAATGCTCGTCCCCACACGCTGCTGTCTCGCGCGAAGCCATCTCGCTGCTCGTGCTCGTGGACATCATGCGCGTATATCTATATTGACGCGACGATGGACGTCTACTCATTCCTATGAGGGCCAACATCAGCAACAACAGGAACAGGAACAGGAACAACACGCCCAATTCCTCACGCTGCGCCAGGGAACCCCAGTGCGCACAGGCGTAGACGTCTTCATGGGCGATCCGCATCAGGCCCTCGCCATCGTCCCGTCAGACATCGGGTTCGCATTTCGGAATGCCGTTTTCCCGCTTGCTGGGGGCCAGGCGGATGGTTTGGATACTGATGTTGATGTTGATGTTGATGTTGGTGTTCTGCCCCTGGTGTTCTACCATGATACGCGGCATTTTGCGCATGGTATGTACGGATTTTTCCTTTTTTTTCTTGTACTTCTTTTGGGGGGACACGGCATACGGGTTGTATGATCTCGCGAAGCATCTCTTCATATATGGACAGTTTCTGAGATTTCAGAAATAGCTTCGTCGGCGCTGCCACAACTTATCCTGCCGCGCGACTTGCCGCGACAGAGGAATGCGAATGCGACGAGCACGAGTCCGGCGGCGTTGTATATGTATGGGCGATCGCATACCTTTGTGCTCACGGGGACGGAAGACGGTGCGTATTTACTGAGGGGAGAATGAATGCTTTATACGAGAGATTCGCTAATAGTTTGTACAGAGACCTTCACACGCCATCTCCGCGACTCCATCCGCGAACTCGGACCATGCCTCGAGCAGCTCAAGGATATGTAGCACGCGCGACCGAAAGAGCATCTGTATGCCCACTTCACTCCACTCCACTCAACACTTCACGACGTGTCTTCTACTAACTCCTCCTACTCCTCCTTCTCCTCCCCCTCCTTCTCCCCGCCAACAGGCCTCGCAATCCCCCCATAATACCGCGCCAAATCATCCACCCCCCACCGCCTCGTCGTAACATCCACCTGCGCCCTACTCAACCCATACACCCCCTCCCCATCCCTATCCACACCTAACCCCAACCTCACCCCATTCACCCGCAGAAACATATCCGCCGCCAGCAGCGCCGTGCGCTTATTCCCGTCCTGAAACGCATGGTTCAACATCAGCTTCTCCGCCAGCACGGCAGCTAGCTGGAAGACGGTCTTGTCGCGCTCGTAGTGGTGCACGTTGACGGGCGACGCGACGGCGGATGCCAGCATTGTGGGCTGGGTGGGCTTGGTGCTGCGCGGGTGCAGGGCCACGCGGTGGAGCTGGTTTACCTGCGCTGTGGTGAGGAAGCGGTAGGTTTGGGGTGCTGCTTTTGTTGCCATTGGGGATTTTTGGGGGTGTTTGTAGGAGTGATTGGATAGTAGGTATGATTGACGCCGATGTAAATCACGTTAGCAGCTGTGAGGTAGGGTTAGTTGGTGTTGGACTTATGGCAGTGGTGGTAGGCATACGGTGAGATGGTTCGCTTTGTACGGATACGGTGTCAGTAGGCTGGGTTTGCATGTATGTGTGTGTGTATATTGGATGCCTTCTGTTAGAGAGGTGAATAAGGCTAATCATGCGCGTTGGGATTTTTGCTATGCCTTAGTCGTAAGAGACGCTAAACAGAGCACATGACGGCTATATACTCGTCAGTGATATAACTTTGAAGATATCATTCACATATATTGTCATTATAGTTGATGGGATGTGATGGAGAGATTCATCGAATCGACAACTGCAATGGATACCAACATATACCCAATCCATCCGAAGTAACGCCATATCTCGTCTAGAACACATCCGGTTAGCTTGCGCAGCTCCACCATTTAAGGCTTAAGGCTGGGGAATGATTTATATGATTCCACGAAAATACGCGCTGCCCTGGGAATAGATATCTAGACAATAGTCACCCAAACTCTCGAACGAACTCCGTCTGGCTCGTCCACCTCATCGCAGCTCTGCTCTATACAGGGCACTTGACATGGAAGCAGACCAGTGAACGGCAACAGCGCTGTGTCTTAGCATACGTATTGCCCTACCTACTCAACGCCAGCAAAGGTCTTCTGCTGCTCTATCTTACTAACCATATCCCCACCCAGCCTTGCCATCTCACTCAATATAGCCTCCACGTTGACAGACGAACTCATCCCATTCTCGTCATCCCTCGGTATCTTCGGGATGGTAGAGTAGAGCATCATGGCTCGCCAGTGTTTTCTGCCCACCACAGCCGGGTTCCAGAGACCCGCAATGACCCTCCCACCATTGCTGTTGTCGTGGAAGAAAACGGCACAGCTCCCGTAGAGGGATTTGAGATCTTCCACATACGCGGCGACAGGGTCGTAGCCAATGTTCTTGGTGTTTTGCAGACTGGCGGCCTGCAGCTGGAGATTCTTGAATTGGCCGTTGGCGAGAGTCACGCTCTTTTCCCGGCCTGCGCGCGTGTATTTGGCGTGTAGGTGGATGACAAAGTCGTAGTCCTTGAGAGACGAGGTGAAGAGAGACTTCACGTTGAGCTTCACGAGTGGGTCTAGAACGGCTTGCGTGGCTGCTTTCGCAAGAGCTGTCATGCGTGACGCTGCCACTCGGGGAGGGCTCCCTTGATCGGTCCACGTGGTGCCAGCTCGATCCACACTCGAAGCAGCAAACAACACTACCTTATTCATCGATGGGTCCTTGGCTCTAAGCGATTTGAAGTCTGCTTCGATTGCCTCGAATTCATCGCTGGTCATGTCTCCAGAGAGGTCTACGATGAGTGGATCTTCGCGCCAGTCCCAGCGGGAAAGGAAGTACAGCGTTCGCACGAAGCCAGTGGATACACTCGAAGGCGTGTCCCATGGAAACGGCTGGAGAAATGCTCGCACAACAAGCAGCTCTATCACAGTCTCAGGAATGTGAGATGTGAGCAAGTGGGCCGCAAACCACCGCTTGACGAGTCTGATGGATGGCGACAGGGCTGGATAACGTGTGCTTAGAGTCTGGAGTGCCTGCACGTGCGACGGACTGACCAACGAATGGCGCTTGTATACTGCTAATGCTTGAGAGTATATCTCACGTTGTTTTGCGTCCGTCAGTTTGTTGGCCTTGACTCGTTCCAGGGTGGCTTGTTCTCGATCGAGACGGATACGGAGGCGGAATGCAGCAGACGTCGAGTAGATTATGTCCAGATATGCTTGGTTTAGCATGTTGTTCTCTTGATTATCCAGTCCAAGACGTGTCGTCGTCCCATCGGCTTTCTGCTCAAACAGCTCACCAATTTTCAGAAGAAAGGCAATCTTCGTCTTCTGGATGGCTGGAATTTCGTCAGGCCACCTTCCAGACCCTTCAAACTCTATAATCACATCCAGTGGCTGCGCGGCTACGTCGTGCTCTTTAGACAGCGGTGCCATCACGGAACTATAGCTGAGACCCGACGACGCCGCGAGCACATGTCTGAATTGCAGGGGGAGCTCATCTAGGCCTCGCAGATCACGTTCTAGTGTCGAAAAGGCTGTCATGATGGGCTTGAATGGAGCAATACTGGGGTGCGGCGCACTACCTGGCAGAAGCTTACCAAAATTCTCCCCAGAGAACTTCACTTCCGTTGCCACAGTCTTGCCAACATGTCTCTCAAGGATGTGCAACACGATTTGCTCAAGAATCGTACCACTTTCAGGCTTGGCTGACCATTCGAGTGTCTCAACGATGCTACCATCTTTGAATCTTCTAAGCTCGGCCTTTTCGCCCCAGAATTTTCGAAACGCTGCAGCATCTTGCTTGTCTTCAGCGGATGGCCCACGATCTATTGTCCTTGCAATGTGCACTGGATGTACAGAGAACCCAACATCAAGTGTCGTGTTCACATATTGTTGGACTCGCGCGGAGTCGATCGTCCATGGTGAAGGGTGGGGCGGATATATCGCAATAGATGACACACGGTCACCCAATCCCCTTACAAGCAGACTATAGACTTTGTGGATGAATAGATGAGGGAGAGGATCTAGACTGCTGCTATTGACAGCCTTTGACAGGGCACCGACAGGTACATTCATGACTATGTCGTGCTTCAGTAGTAGCGGGTCGACCTTGATTTTGAAAGTTGCTTCGAAATTGTCGTGAATGTTGTCTCCAAGCATTTTCACTGTGAGCGCCGCTTCGTCCCGTAATGTCTTATAAGACCACGGTGACATCTGGAACAATAGGTTGATGCCAGCTTGGCTGTCAAAGAAAACGGGAGTTCCATTTTTCGGGAACTTACATTCCAGTCTCGATGTCAGAAATGGGTTTCGGCTGATGTCTCGTGACGACAGAAATTGAAGCGTTGCCTTGAATAACTGGTAACTGCTATACCCTGGGGACAGTGACACGCCACTTGGGGACTTCTCTGTCAGCAATAGCGTAGCCACAATAGCAGCCCATTCAAAGTTGCCAAAGCCAATGCTGTGTATATCGGAGCTCAAATTGCGTTGCTGTAACCACAATCTCCCAAGGCTACAGGCATCCCTGAATCCATCGCAAATCGTGGACGCTCGGTGAATCAGCTTGAGATAATGTGTCATCGAGCTATCTATGCGAAGAGATGCATTATAGAATGGTGTAGGTTCAAGCTTATGCTTCTCTGAATCAAGACCAGGCTGCGGTCGAACACAATTCCTGTCGGGCTGCGTCTTCTCCGCCGAGAAAACGGATTCCGCAATCGATGGGAGTATTCGAATGCAAAACCCAGCGGGTGCAGATGTCTCATTGGTGTGTACTATTACAACTGGCAGCAACTGATTGCCATGGAGCATCTCATAAGATACTTGTAGCTTATGAGTCTTGTCGCCCTTCAGGATCGCTGCGACGCAAGCAAGGTAGTACGCTCTCTTGTAGAAATAGCGATAGTTCAGAAAGTCCTTGTCTTGAAAGAGCGCAGTTGGCATCGATATCATGAGATCGACTGAGATCTGCCCATTCTTCTGGGTGGCCAGTTGAGCGGGATAGCTACCGATAACGTTGATGTGAGAAGGCTTCCTGAATTCCAACTTATATTTTGCGTCCTTGGGCGGCCGAGGACTGGGAAATGGTATGGCGACTCCATGGCTCCTCTTCAATTCCTTTTCTGCATCGATGATAGAGACCGGCGGAGTATCCGAAGCGTTCTCGATAATCTGTTTTACCATACGCAGTGCCTTGTCTATCGATTCCACCCTTGCGCTTGACTTCTGCCTGGAATCTCGTAGCAGTCGGTCCAATTGCAGTTTGAAGATGTTTGATTTGTATATCTCGCCATTGTAGACTCCTCCATCCAACAACGGGTTATGCATAAGCTTCCTCTTCCCCTCACGACTCTTTTGCGCTTTGGAGGCTTGGTCTTTGTGTCCGTCTGTTCGCGTCGCAGATGTCTGAGCATCGTCTTCAAGATCGGTGTTGTCTGTCTCGTCTGCAGACTTCTCTTCACTGCTTTCTTCCTCGCTCATGCCAAAGTCATCACGCGCGTTGTCTGGACTCTCTTCGTCATCAAAGTCGCTGTCCTGCGAGCTCCCAGACGCATGAGCATTTGGCGGCGATGCTGGCGAGAATGATACATCTTCGCTCTCTGGAGTAGGGCTGTGGCTCAATTTCCGTCGTTTTGTAGTAGGAACAGCCATCACGAATTCGCTCGTGGTGTTGTAGCGACTTGCAACTGACACGAAATTTTGTCGCGGGCGCGCCACAACAAGCCGGAAAAGAAGTCGGCTGTGGCGCAGGCCCCCGCCGAGCTCGGAGCAAAGCTCTGAGTTGACGAAATATCTCGGCGTTTGAAAATCGAATCCGGACAGCATGATTGACTCACAACTTCTATAGACCTGTACCTTATATTCTTATACCCTACCTTAACGAAAGAAACTTCTTCTTATTTCACTGCTCCTCAATTGCATACATAAACATGGCAGTCGCTATTGAAGTGGGCGAGACCATCCCGCCGCTAACTGCACATGTGAGTGTCTATGCTTGACAGAGGTTATCGGGACATGAACTTGACGTTCGGATAGGCTGTTAGTGTTTCGCTTCCTACATGGCGTGCGAATGTAGGCTATGAAGAAGGCGAGCGATGGGTTGTAGACGCCATGAAAACAGGATATCCCAGGTACCTGGCTATCCAGCAGTTACGCGCGAGACCTTCTAACAATCTGAGTAGATTCTTTATTCATAAGTCAATTGCTCGTCTCGCAGAAACAATAGTAGCAGACCATGCACTCCCGCAGCAGACCGCGATGCTCTTTCCCTCTCATACCAACGCTCTACAATGTCAAGAATTTCTATTTCGGAAAGCTCAAGATCTCAGTCTGCATGATGTGCAAGTAATTGACTTTGTTCTGTGTCCGGACTATGAACACAAGCTAGCGGATCGCAAAATGCCCCCGAAATTCAGCGCCGTACTCTACCCACAAGAAAAGTTCAGCGTGGCTAAGCAATTCTGGCAGCACACGGGGTGTGGACTCTCGAGCCGACGGGCAGAGTACTGTCATCAACTGTATGATGAGAAAGTCATGGTCAATAAGGCTAAAGCTGAGGGGATGTGTCGGTCTATCAAGGGTCCCAAACGTTACCAGAAAAAAATGTCGATAGACCAGTCCTCTGACACGAATGGACATGATGTGAATGAGACCAGTGATCCAGCAGATACCCAAGACTCAACGCAGTTTGTAGAAGAGCGGTTTGGACGTCACTTGGGGATGTCACTTGCCCCGAATGCAAAACTGGCTGTCAAACGCCGAATTGCTGGTAATCTTACCGCAGATGTCGAACTCTCTGAGGCCATAATACTAGCCAAGAACGATGAGACGACAAGACTGATGACTGGATTCTCTGAGGACGACGTGTACCTCTTTCCAAATGGCATGAATGCGATATATAATACACATCGAAACATGAGAATTGCCAGAGGAGAGATCAAAAGTATAAGCTTCGGGTGAGGCCTACATAGCGGTTACTAGAAGACTCTGACTGACACTGAGACAGCTTTCCCTATGTGGATTCGCTGAAGATTCTGGAGAAATTCGGTCCTGGCTGCTTATTCTACGGATTTGGCGAATCAGAGGATCTCGACAATCTGGAAAAGCGGCTTGCAGACGGCGAACGATATCTAGCTTTATTCTGTGAATTTCCAGGCAATCCGCTTCTAAAGTGCCCTGATCTAGAAAGAATCCACCGACTAGCAGACCAGTACGATTTCATGGTGGTAGTCGACGAAACCATTGGCAATTTTTTGAACGTCGATGTACTACAGTTCGCGGATGTTGTGGTCAGCAGTCTTACAAAGATATTTAGTGGTGACTGTAATGTCATGGGAGGCAGGTGAGTGTATTCGCCAGCCCAGTCTTCAAGTCGCGCGCTGACAAAGTCAGCGCTATCCTGAATCCTAAAGGCAAAAATTACGACCTGCTCAAGAAGACGTGGGACACTGAATATGAGGATAATGTTTGGTCTGAAGACGCCATTGTCTTGGAGAGAAATAGTCGTGATTTTGTATCCCGTATCGAGAGAATTAACGGCAATGCCGAAGCTGTCTGCGACTTGCTTCGTGAGCATCCCAAAAGTATACAAGAACCTAACAATGCCGTCTGCCTCCAATACTAAAGATTGTCTAGTCAAGCAAGTCAACTACCCCAAGTACAGCAAAACTCGACAGTACTATGATCGCTGCCGTCTACCCAAGGGTGGCTATGGTGGGCTTTTATCAGCAACATTCTATGCGACAGAGGATGCGATCGCTTTCTACGACCATCTAGACACAGCAAAAGGACCAAGTCTCGGAACTAATTTTACTTTGAGGTATGTCAATATGTTCCATGGGTCTCAATGCTAGTATTGCTGGAATTAGATATGCAAACATGCTCTGGGTGACGATCCAGTCCTAAGCTCTACTTTACTAACGACACATCAGTTCCCCGTATGTCATCCTGGCGCACTATGGTGAGTTGGATTGGGTAAGTCTTCGTCCTCATCATGCATGTGTGTAACAGATTGCTGACGAGTCCAGGCCGCTTCACTTGGGGTAGACTCAAATCTTGTGCGATTCAGCATCGGACTTGAAGAGAAAGCCGAGCTTGTTGAAACCTTCCGGCGTGCTTTGGCTGCAATCGCCGCATAAGTCAACAAAAGAGCCATGTAACAAATAAGTTTTCTACTCGTCTATCTAAATTAAGAGACATGACAAGATGCGGTTAAAGTTCTCAAGGCTGTAGTCAGGAATACTGCGGATCGTGAAGGATCATATCATGAATGCCACAATTGTACCCGGCCACATGCTTTTGTTCCAACATTGCCTTCATCGCATTCTAACAATAATTCCTCCCAGTCATGCACCCTGCACTGCCTTGTGACTTTGACGGAAGCTGGTTCAAATGCGAATTTCACGTGCGAACATTTAAATTTGTCCATGCTTACGAGAACCTTTCAAGTAGTGACCCAATACACACAGTGAAGGCAACACCTGTCCTTGGGTCAATGTGCACACCAACGCCCCTACTATCTTTAGATGATCCTAAATATACACATGATACACTCTGCAAACGGCCCTAATTCGAGTTAGAGAAGAAGCAACCTTGGTCTATTAGCCTGACTGTTATCCCACAAATCACGTCCATCGTCAGATCAGCAACGCGATTGACGATGTTATAGATCATGCTATTTACTGGGTAGACTATGGGGGCGCAAACGTCCCCGAAGGATCCGGCGGGACTGAACCATTGGACAGCTCGGCGCATAAAGTCCAACCCCCAACTAAACCCTCGCAGAACGTAGAAACCTACTGGAAATAGTCATTGGGATGATTCCCGAAGTCTACGGAACTCTCCCTGCCGTCAAAGCTATGATTGAGATTGGGGGCAGTTGATCATAGTACGTCTCGGCCGAAATCTTTTTTTGGTTCATGAACGATATCTTTTTGGTTGATCTTTCGTTATTACGATTTCGTGCTTCGCAAATATTACCGAAGTCCTGTATACTGTGGCTTTTCTACAGCAAGCCCCGGAAGGAACAAGCTATATTGCTAGTACTTTCACGGAGTACTGAACACGATGCAGACCAAATGGTATACCGCTTCAAGGCTTCGAATTGGTAATCTGCCACCTCTGTTTCCTTGTACTGAGGCTTCGTTTGATCAACCTTCTAGATAGGCGCTCACTTACCAATCCAACGGTGCCAAAGCCGCTAAAGCGTCGCCCACGACTCAGTCACCGACGATTGGAAACCTACCCCTACATGGTTGGTGTATGCAGAGTGATCACGTGGCAGTGAACGAGGGCAAATGACTCCCAGCCTTGGTCTCACTATCTATAGGTCTTACTGGCGCCATGGGGTTGTCCTTTGGTTTGGAAATGCCACAAAAGGGTGTCTATTATTGAGTGCAGAGGCTGAAGCTCATAGCCCCTATACATCGCGAGGAGTCAGTGGCATCGAGTGCAGCTATAAGTCCTCCGTCAACAGTAGTATGTGACGAAAGTTTAGTTAATGCCTGCTCGAAGATAGCCACCTAGCACTCTTTGCCTGCGTGCTATAGTTACGAACCTGGCTGCTGTAGTGGACAATATGTAAATAAACTACTCATTCATTGTCTTGCACAACTAGTAGAACGATTATCTTCCGAACGAGCTGGTAGAGTTGGGTCAGCTCGCAAGTATCTCGCATCACCAGGCAGGGTATGAGCTGACAGACCCCTAGAGCTGTCATGTCTTTGGGTACCAGCACAAGGGCGAGGGAATCAACAGAACACACAGACGAGCAAATGGGGACTGAATTACACTAACAACACGCCTTAGAGATAGATACCTAGCCATCGATATAGAAAATGTCGTTCAGGCAAGGCAGACACATAATACTATGGCTGTTACGAGGCAGATGACCGTTGACTATCCTACGGGCTGCAACCCCAACAGGCTTCACGACTCATTCACTTGGCTTATTCACTTGGCTTATTCTGGCGTCACAAAAGCCAAAGCCATGACTATCATAACACTCGGCTAGCTCTATGCATGGTAATACCCTGAGTCCAACTGTGATCTGAACGGCTGTGACGCGGCAGCTAAGTTCTTTAACGGCCCCCAATCCAGTTATTAGTAACTTCGCTGGAAGGGCGAAGCATTCAATGGCCCGTCATATTGGCATAGACTGTGGGCGGCCAGGTGAGCTTCCATTGATGTACGCCCCCAGTGGAGGATTGAATGCGCAGCCGCGACGGCAAACACCCCCTTACTGTAACAATGTGAGGATTCAAACGCCCTCGAAAGGTCAGTATTCTACAGACTTACCAAGCAGTAGGTGCAGCGATACAATGCTTACCATAATGCTTATTTGGAGGCGTCGTACGAGCGAATTTCTGACGTGGCAGCTTGTCAAACATGTCAGGGGACTCCCTCAATTTGAATCTGGTTACACAAACTGACAACGACAGTCAGATATAAGGCATGACTGGGTCAGGGTAAGGTTACAGACACCAGACAATGGTGGTGGATCAGTATACTATGAAGCTCCTAACGAGTACAACGGCGGCATGAGAACTCAGCCTCGTTGCAGGCTTAAGCATAGAGAATTATGTCCTTCCAGCCCTATCTATATTACATACTGTCAAAACATATGAGCACAGGCAAGGATTGAAGCTTCGAGAAGGGACGGCAAATCGGTGTAATCGCATATCCGACCACAGCCCTTGTCTTCACTGTTTAAGCAGCCCAAGATAGATATCCATTCGGGATTGCAAGATGCATAATACCGAGGGTGGCTACGCGGCTCGTATCTGATGATCGTTGCGCAGGCGAGAGACTCAAAACGGGGAATCGGGATTGCACATCAAACACTGCGATCTGGTCAAGAGAGGGAAAGGTCTACGATGGCATGTAAGTGTGCATATTCATGGCGGTAGCAGTGATTCATACATTCGATGCCATGCACAGGGACGTGGGACTAAACGTGGTGGCCCCGAGATCTTTAAGCACAGACCAGCTCTTCTCTTAGCCGCCGTGGCCGTTCTGGTGTGTCCCGAAGCAAACTTCGCCCGAGGTCTTTCTCATACGGCCCAATCGCTTACAAATGCCCGATGCAGCCATTCACATCCTCGCTTTCTCTTCTTCAAAAGCCCCCAGCCGCACTCGACAACAGCCACATCATGAGCACGAGAACATGTTGCCCTGCGACCACATCGCTATCATCAGCCGCCTTCGCAAGGCCCGCCGTCTTGTATGGCTCATGACAGGGCCAAGAACACTCTATAATCACCCCCCGCGCCACCAACAGTCTCCATGACTTATGCTCTATACTTGGTTTGTTGGTTCTTGAAGCCACTGAGCAGCCGCTTGTGGTGTTGTATACCACTATCCCTCTTTCGATTCTTGCAATCAGCGTTCTCTCGCCCCTCAGTTAGAGGGGGGTTTAGCATGCGGCCATGCCGTCAAAGTGGCCCCCAATTTCTGAGGCTCATCGTTTTGGTCAGAATGACTGCGACCGCTCACGCGCTAATCTAGCTGTCCTCGTCCTGACGGACGAACACCAGAATAGCCAGAACGCGAGACGAGCAATAACAGCAGAGTGTAGAAGGCAAATGTGTTTACTCTTGCGGCTACATGTTTCGAGAACGATCCTCATCCTCCAGGGAATGTGGCCATAGCAAACGAAGTACCGTCCTGGGCACTACTGAGAGCGGTATAGCTCGCGTGGCCCCGATATTTACCAAAAGTTCCAGTCTATCCCTCCGAGGAAAGGGACCGAGCCATCTTGGCAACATGTCCCATGGCTGCCAAAATAACGGTCCGCCCGTGCTCTGCTCCAGGGCCGCTTACAGGGGTATCATCCTTCAAGGCACCGACCTCCCCATACAAGGTCCCGGGAGGGGGTGAAAATCAGTTGGTATGTTCATCCGCAGTAAACTGCTATTAGGTTTGCTATATGACCTCTTAGTTCCCCTGGGCAAGGCGCAGATAATCGCCAGACTTCTCAATCTATCTTAGTTTCGAGCAAGCATAACCGCCCACAACACTGCAGTTGCATATTACTATTAGACCACCACCCTTCCCGCTCGCACGAGGTGGGCGTTCACAAAAGACACCAAATTTTTCCTTTTTGAGTTATCCCACTGTAAGAGTCTCCCGACACTGAGGTTCCCAATGGTGTCGATTCTGCCTTTTGTTGAATCATGACCCATCGTCCCTCTCGCACTTCTTCAGTCTCACGCCGGAATAGATCTCGAACTCAAACACATCCTCAAATCGCCGTTCAGCCTACAATACAAACTCGTGTGAAGCGAGTATCTCGCTTTCGTCCACCACGCGGCGTTTCCCAACAACAGCAGCGCGAGGATTTAACCTGGCCATTTCCCGAAGAGTCCACTGAGGCCTTTACACAACATCGACAGCCAAAAGCAGACTCGGGTCTTAGCACTATCGTCGAGGACCCTTCAGCCATTGTGCAAAGGCCTTTAGACTCCCAATCCTTTGAACTGGTACCTCACAATACAGCTCAAACACATAACGAGGACCCAGCTTCTCAGCCTGTTGGTTCTACCCCAACCCCGACTCACTTTGGTCTCCGTGCGAATTCGGAGCCAAGTCCCTATCTTACTCTTCAGGCCCCATCCTCGACCGAAGACCAGTTTAACTGGACACACTCCCCCGGGCCTAGGTTCGAGGTTGAGGCTTCACAACCAACAGCCGACTTTCCACAAAATATGAGGTGAGCACTGTACCCTTGTGTCATCAACTCATTCTCTAACATAGTCTAAGCACACTTGGATACATGAGTGGCGTTGCGCACCACTTCGCCCCATTGGAGCCGGCTTACGGCTCGCACTTGGACTCCTCCCGTAAGCCTGAGCCGCTCGTATAAAGCTACCGTTGTTGTACCCAACTGACCCCACCCACAGCCTTCATGATGAATAACCACCACCACTCTAGCAATCAACCTGTGCTACCTACTCCTTCGTCTGGTCCTTCACCTGGTTACCTTCCATCCTTCCCGAGTCCTGGCATGTTGACAAGTCCGCAAAGCCTCGACCGTCGGGCTTCAGGCGGTCGCGAAGTGCTCGCACCTTATCAACGAAGCCCGTACCAACCTCATCACAGTTCGAGTCTACGAACGAGTCCTCCCTTGAAATCAGAGAACCCTAACATCAACCCGTCGTCAATGCCTAGCTACTCACAAGTGCACCCTCTTCCTTCGCAACCAGTGAGCCAGCTCAGCTACTCCACCTACCCGCCGTAAGTCATTAGGTCTCTCCCCCTACAATTCACTGCTGACAACCATTAGACCACACCAATCATACACCACCAGCGGTGACTATTCCAGCACATACGGCATCGCACCCTCATCCTCCGCCCAACAACACAGTATGTACGCATCTTCAGCCTCCGCATCCGCCTACTCGCCGCAATATGCGCAAAGCAGCATGCCCGAATCCTCGATGCCCAACATGGACGCCTCACGCAACGTCCGCGTTATCAACTCTCGCCCCAAGCCGCAATGCTGGGAGCATGGCTGTAACGGGCGGCAATTCAGCACCTTCAGCAATCTATTACGACACCAACGCGAGAAGAGCGGCACTGCGGGCAAGAGCTACTGCCCCCGATGCGGTGCCGAATTCACGCGCACCACGGCCATGAAGGGCCATATGAACAACGACAAGTGCAAGCCGCGCAGGACGTCGGATGCCAGTTGATGTTGTTGTTGTGGATGATGATGCTGATGACGCGAAACTGAGTCTTTACGAGGGTTGCGAGTACGACGAACGTGATTGGGGCGAGTGGTGGATTCTGAATAAGCACGACACTAAAATACGGACGCTGACGTGGAGGGAAGGGGGTTGCACCCGACCTTCATCAGCCGCGTCTCATCTCACGAAACTCACCACACACTCTATCAAAATCGGGAATAAGCGCGACTTGTGCATCAAGGGAACTGCATACGGGCCGGCGTTCATCACCATTTTCTGCTTTCGTCGAACAAGGGAAAAATCGTGCCTGGTACTCGTGGCATTGAGCTCACCAAGAGGAGCCACTGCTGAGTACAGGAGGAAGTGAAAGCGCAGTCACCCTTTGTCATTTTCATTCTAGCATCATTGTTTTTTTGCTGTACTTGAGCGCCCATTTGTCCTCCTGCATATCTCTGTTTTTCGAGGTTACTTGCGAGCGCGGATGCATACCACATATGTATTCTATGGGTCGAGCACACCGTCTCCCCTCTGTATGTTGAACGAGAATGAAAACACTCATACTAGATCATACCCGTCCATCTACTTCATCATGCAAATTTGAGACTCTTTTACCGTTAAGCAGTACCACGAGCAGCTCGGTAAATAGTCCCTTTCATCAATGCAAGCAACATACCAGCCGCACCATCACCCCTCCCTGGTCTGACACTCGCACGCACCAGCACCGCGCATCTCCCCCCTGTCACGATAGGTACAGCTCAGCAGCCAGCCAGACAGCCAAGCAGGGCAGGGCAGCACTCAGCATCACGCTAGGGCCATGTGCAAGGAGCTTTGTCCATCTACTCAAAACGGACTCGCGCGACGTCGATCAAGCAGCCTACACACACACAGACAAAAGGGCTTTTACGCAGCGCACAAGCCTCTCGGTAGGGGGGAGGGGGAGGGGAGATCCATCAGCCACCCCCGGCCGAGACAATAGATAGATGGGATGCCCACGTTTTTGCCCAGTCCCGAAGCTGCAGGCCGATCTCTCGCTACCAGTCCAGTGAGAAATGCAATGACGGAAGATGGACTAATTAACTAGCTAAGCTAGAAGAAGGGGGGGGGGCTGAATTCGGCCGTGGTTGGTGGTTATAGGAATTTGGGGTCTTCGTTTTTGCTGTGATATTTCGGCCTTTTTGACGATTCTATCTATAACCAATAATTGATAGGAGGGAAATAGGGATATCATGTCGCACGCCTACTTGCAACACCTCATAGGTACAGGGCGGTCATAGCGTGTGGGGATGAGGCGAGATAGATTGATTATCTTGAGCGCACACCGCACATGGGCAAACGTGCAACGCCAAGCCTCTTTCTGCACATTATGTGTAGCTAAGAATAGTGGCGGCCTGGTAAAAAAAAATTATGAAACGAGATATACTGAGATGGTCAACAGTTGGGTGGCCGGTGCTCAAAGCTGGTTGGGTGAGAATGCGACGCATGTTTCGCTTGGCTTGCATGCATGCAATGCCATGCAAGCATTTTTTTTTGACTTGTTGATTCGCCTTCAGGGAAAGAGTTGACCACGTCCACGTATCTCCTGGCTTTGCTTCCCTGACTCCCTAGTCTGCTGAGCGCGCACTGGGGAAGGATGCAGGTTGGCACGTGGAGAGATGGCGCAGAAATGCAGGGGTAAATGATGGTTAAATGAGCTGCATTGAGAATCCCTCGTGTGGGGATCGGGGTACTTTTCGCCTAATGAGTATATACGTAGTGCTTGGGGTCTGCGATTGGTGGTGCAATGGTGATGTTGGTGTGTTGTGAGCGAATGGTGAGGTTTCAACTGTCCAGCAGATGAAGCTGATGTTGTGACTTTGCTCTCGGAGAAGTGGTTGCATGGATGTTTTGTGATGTTTCAGCAGCTTTCATCTTCCGAGGTTGTCCTTTGCGCTTTTGACTCATAATTCGTCAGGACGACTCTGTTTCGATGAGAATGATACTGCGCAAGCACGGCCTAGAGATACAAGTTGAGCGTTGATTTGAGGCTCTTGGAGTCTTGGTGTGTATATTGCTGCCAGAGCCCGTCTGAAGTCGCAGCGTTAATACTGAATATAGCAGCGACCGCACAAACACTTAATTGAGTCTCGGGGTACCGCTAATGGCATTCCGTCTAAGTCTTGGCCCCCTTCACTTCGCATAAACTACCCTTTGCAAAGGCGCCAGCCAAGCCACGCAAGGACCCGTCAGGGTCTCACACGGGAAGTTGCTGATCAATCCAATCGACGTCTGGAATGCATGTTGCTTATGTGTATGCCGCCCACAGCCGCACTTCCAGGCCAGGCTACGTATTCACATCTTCAGTCTACGCAAGCGCCATTGTTACCAATTTCCCGATGCGATGCGCGGAAGCGAAGCGAAGGTACATACGTACTCTGCACCTCCATCATCATGCTAATGCGTAGATGAATCTTGGCGTGGCCGCACTTATCGAAAGGCGTAAAATCAGATAAGCTGAAATTTAGCATAATTAAACAAATGAGGCTGGGTGCTGGGGCGGGCAGACAGGCGAGAAGGATCTTACAACGCACGTGGAACACTGGATCCTCCCGTTCGACAGGGGGGCCGCCTGTCTCGTCCTCAATCTATTCTTGCCAACTATTATCTGTCCTTTAGGCAATGTTATGAGCAACAGCTCGATGTTGAAAGCTGCATAAATCTACAGTTTCAAAGATCAAAAGGCTTCAGAAATGCTGGATGCTGTGAGAAGCCTCGAGTAGCGAGGTTTTCTCATACTTTAGTGCGACTGATTTCGTCAAAACAATGCAACATTGATTGGCTGGCTACCACCACTTTGATGTGGTTGGTAGATGCTCGTGCCCAAATGCTTGCGGCGCAAGAATCTGTTGAAAGAGGCTTGGTTTCTACGCTTATGATCCCAACGTGCTTCGCCTAAGACAGGAAATGATGACGATACACCAACCGCTTGACAATTGGGAAGTTGAAACCAACTGTTATCATACTCCGCCACGCGGTGTGGCCTGAAGCCACTGTGGCAGATGGTAAAGCTAGCTCCAGCTTCGCCTCTCGATGATTCTTGTAGAGGATCAAAGGCTATGTTGTGAACGAACGCTCACGGGAAGGATGGAGGAGCGGCGTGTGGGGGAAACGTTGTAGGAATAAGGAGCGAGGGAAGGACCCGTAGGTTTGGCGGCGGCGGCTGTCACCATCGCCTCGCCCTTGGCACAGACTGACTAATGAAAGTCCGAATGTATCAATATAAGTACTGTAACGAGTAGAAGCACGGTATGGAGTGATGATAAGAAATCTGAGCGTGCACTTTGATGCCAGGTATTCCTTGGACTGAAACTTGGCAGCTTTTCTTCGTACCAAGCAACACCTACTTCTGATTATTCATCACGCCGGGACTGTGCCGCACGGCCACCGGAGGACTCTCACGGAGACATGTCAAAGAGATCGGATTCGACTGGTTAGCTTGCCGGTCGCGGTTGCCGATGCCGGTGTTCGCGACGCAGGCCTGTGCCTGTCATGGTACAGGCAGGGCCTGTTGACGTTTCGGAGCATCAACACGGCACATGGCCAGGCGGGAAGGACTCGCGGCTCAAGCGTGCCCCGTGCGTAAAGACGGAGGACCTACCATTTTACCATTCATTCGGATTTCAAGATGGTCGAGAATCACGGTCCGAGCAGGGAATCTGCGTGGCACTTTTGCCCCGTTCGATTAGAGCGACAGACTGTGTCGCGCCCAATGCATCGCTACGTGTACGTCACCAGCGGAGCCGGTCATCAACTTCGAAACCAACCTCTGTTAACCAGATGGCATGCTGATGGTAGCAAAGAATGACCGCCGAGCGCGGCGAGCAGTAAGAGTCTCAGACCACCCGACTTCGCTATGAAGGAGGTTACCAGGAGAGAGAAGGTATGACAACGATATCGTCTGCGCGCAATGCGTAAGACTCACACAAGACAAGATATCACTTTCTACGTTATAAGACTCTCTTTCCCTCTCCCAAAGATACGACATGACGTGTATTGTGTGTGATTCGGCCCTACCAAGGTCGAAGCACAGTTGTATATGACTCCCTTTCTCGCTCAAGCCGACAACTCCCCTTTCTAATATCCTCCACAGTATGTTGTGCAGAAGCCCGAACACACTGCAGAGGGTCATAGAGAGAGCTTTGCTGCTGCGATATATATGTACAGTCCGTGAAACACGTTACACAACCGTATTATCTAACGCCTGGCTCCAGAACCGGTTGTTAGAATCGGCAGTGCAGATTCACTCTCAATGTTTGCAGGACAAGCTACAGCAAGCATACAACAAGCGCGTAGATCAGGGGCGCTTCCATGCAGCAATTTTTGCCTATTCTGGAACGGCCTGAAGCCGCTGAGGCTTGTTGTTGGTCTGATCAGTGGTAGATGCTTTCTTGGCGCATGCGTTTGACCACTCTACGCACAGTCGGCATAATTACGTGCTGTCTAGAGGAGAAGGGAAAGCTGTATGCGTCAAATTGTCGCCGAGTGGGCGCGAATTTATGCAGTGCAATGAATCGCGTGCACGGGAGGGAGGCTCCCTCGCCATGACCCAGGAAACCCTTCTCATGCGCGCCCGTTATGGATCGCGACCGGTCCTGCTGAATAAATTGCAAGGGACGGTAAACGGTCCGAAAATGCTGGCCTACATTTCTATATCCCAGATCAATGTTTCAAGATAGCTCCGGGCAGCAAGCATTGCCCTTGAGCACAATAGAGCTTGGTGAGGCTGGGAGCAAAAGGGTTACTAGTAACCACACAACTCAGAGGACAGGTTTGCAAAGTACTAGCCGCAAATCGGTGACCATGCCCACGGGTCATGGCTCACGATCGCAAATCTTGGAGAGCCGTGGTTCCAGATGAGATGTGCACTCTTCGGCCGAGCATTTCTTATTCATTTGGTTGTCCACGTAGCCGTAGGGAAGCGACTTGACTATTACAAGCCCTGTGGCAACGGTAACAAACATCCGAGACACCTTAACGACTTACTCATTTATCTTCCAACCATACTTGTATGGTTGCACAGACAAGTTTGATGACGCCAATCTGGGTAAAACGGGGCCATTTAAACAATCACCGAGGCTTGTCTGCCTCGTTGCATCTGCCATTAGCATGGCCTGATTCTGGATAATATGGGGTTGTGTTCCGTCGAATTTTACCTTTTCGACCCCGGGCTTATAGATTCCCATACACAGTGGGCCAAGTACAATTGCTTGAAGAGGTCAAGTCATATACCGAATCAGCATGACTGTGGGGGCGACGAGCCGACATATCGGGTCACCATGTGCTCAACTCCAGCTGCTTGGGAGAATCGCTTGCGCGGGCTCGATAAAAGCTAGTAGAGCAGCCACTGGCTGCTTTGAAGATAGCTCCAGTGATAGCGAGCCGATTTGTACTGATCAACAGCAGGCGAGATGATGCTGCCGTGGGGTAAGCTTTAGTTAGCTCATTCCGAAGACTTAGTTATGATGCCTGATAAAGCTATTCCATTTATAGATAAACAGCCGCCACGCCAAAATACTTGTGCGTGTGTCGAGGGCATGCGAGTGTGTCCTAGTGTCAACCTCGTGTGTCCTGGATAGCATTCTGCTCTTCAAGGTGCACAGCCCCTAAGAAACCCTCAGCCTCAAGTTACCGCACTAGGCGCCTGACAAGAAGTCAGTATTTATCTACAGAGTAGATTGTGCCACGATTTCTCCTACATTTGATAGCGCTTTCGAAGGCAGAAATCTAAGGTCAGTAGTCTGCTTGCGGTTGTCAGCTGATATCTTGACGTTATAGCTCTCGCAGGAACAATCCTCTTCAAGAAGGTATCGAAGTATATATTGAATGTCGTTACCTCTCAAATGCGATTTCTGAATGTGACGACAACAGCACTCTTGGCGCATAGTTTCTAGGATGTGGTAGGCTAGGCATCGTACGTGACTATATATTGAGAACGTTTGCGACTGGAGTAATGACACAACTTAAAGGGGTCGTGAAGGAGTAGTAACGAGTCAGAAAGTCTCCCAGTCAAGTGACGCGTGACTCAGACGTCTTGGCAAAGGCATTACTTCCAGACCAGCGACCCTCGCCGCCGTCATCTCTCTGCATCATCGACAAACTTCGCATGTCCTGGGAATACACATTGATCTACAGCGGGCAATCTATTCACATAGGATCAATGTCTTTGGCTGCGACATAATACTCTATTCAGCATCTTCTTATACCGGCTCACGATGTCAACTACTCTGTAATTGACCTCCGACTTTCTGGGATATCATTCCTAAGATCAATCTCTTGAACGTACAGCGATAGAAACGCACCCCTCACTACCGACAAGATGCTACGTCCACTATCTCAACTATTCCGGCTCCACTACCTCCATACCAATACACGATCGATGCGAGCAAAATCACATTCCACATTCGTAATACGGTGAATTGGGTATCACACGAACGCATTGCTGAGTCGAACACAAGGGGTTACAGTCAGACCTAATTCGGGGGTGCCTATCACGACATGGCGTCCATTTTTACGTACGACCCAGATCCGCCAAGGATCTCCTCCCCATGGTCTACACCCCGCGCATCGACACCGCGAGACCCAGCATCAAATATATTCTTGCTAGCAAGCCAAGGCTCCTCAGCTATAGTGGGAGAATCAGGATCCGGGGAATTCGCAGAGCGAACAGAAATAGATCCAAGTGTTACAAAGCTCGAAGCTGAGCCGCAAGAGGGACCAACCGAATACAAGTTACATCTACTATTGCGCCCGAGACGTTCGTTCGTACGAAACACCAGTCAGCATGTTCCGGGGACCTACCGCGAACGGGCTGAAAGCTTGACACCCCCGGCGTTGGCAGCTCGCAGAGCGTCTGATTCTGCGCTGACAGGTGAACATATGGTAGCGTCGCCTGCCTCGGTCGCAGCGTCCGTACAAGCCCGCCAACATCGCCTAGAACAGCTGACAACCCAATTATTATGGCGACTGCAACAGTCTTCCCCTTATCACTCTTCGGCGGCAAACAACTTGGTCATTCCTCAACTTCCTGAATCGTCTTCGTCCCAGCTCGTCCCAGCTGCCACTCCCGGCAGTCTTGTACCGGGCTTAGAAGAAAGTAAAGGGGCACTTTACGAGATCGGCGTCTCAGATGATGGCACGATTGTGGGTCTTGCAGAGGACGAGCTTGAGGAAAGTCTCATGAATCTTCGAGCTATGGCTGCTAGTCTTGGCTGCGTCGTACAATTGTTGCGCAAAGCGACAGTTGGTGAATGCATGTGGTATGAGACTGTGCGCAATGGAGATGAGGTACGCAGCGACCTGAGATCTGGAAAATTATGGGTGGCCGAAGCGTTTGTCAAGCCGGCTGGTGTTCAGATCACCACCATTGAAGCCTCATCTGCTACATCTGCTTCAGCTCTCAGCATCGCTGTGGACTCAAGCCTGACTAATGGTCATTCTCTGACCGAGCAACTTCGAGTCTCACTTACAGGGGCAACTATGTCAGGCAAGTCAAGTCTACTGGGAAGTTTATCGACTGCTACTTTAGACAATGGCAGAGGAAAAAGTCGGCTTAGCCTGCTCAAACACAGGCATGAGATTGCCTCTGGGATGACCAGTTCCATAACCCAGGAGCTCGTAGGCTATACAACCGATGGTTTTGAGGAGGTTGCATTCATCGGGCCTGTGCAGGTCGTCAACTACGCCTCAGACAACGTTTCAGCGTGGACGGACATACACGAGCGATCGGCAAATGGCCGACTGGCATTTCTATCTGATTCTGCTGGACATCCTCGGTATCATCGAACCACCTTGCGTGGTCTTGTTGGCTGGGCGCCTCACTGGACATTCTTATGTGTACCTGCAGACAACGTCGAAGATACTTCTGGAAAGAGCGGAAGCACTCCTCCGCCTCAGGAGGTGCTGGGCACAAGCACGGTGGATGTAGATCTCTCTCAGGCCCATTTAGAACTTTGCTTAAGACTTGGTCTACCTTTGGTGATAGTAATAACGAAGTTAGACTTGGCGTCGAAGCAAGGTCTCAGACAAACTCTGTCCAAGCTTTTGTCTACACTGAAAGCAGCCGGAAAGCGACCAAGCATCGTTCCAGACACAGCCTCGGTGACTGCCGTGGCACATCTCAAGAGCATTCCCATAAAAGACATTGATGCTGTCAGAAAAGTCATATTAGCTTGTGAGGACGACCCTTTAGCTACTGTTCCCATTATTATGACTAGTGCGGTCAAAGGCACTGGTATTGGGAAACTTCACGCTCTTCTACGTAAGCTTCCCATTAGACCCGCTGATCAAGTCCAACATGATCGAAGCTCAACAAGCAGAGGTCCAATCCCCTTGTTCAATATAGAAGATGTGTACAATAAGGCAGTATCGAACACTCCCGGCTCCGTGACCTCGGTCACCCGGAGTTTTATAGTAAGCGGCTACCTTCGTACCGGTACGTTCCGTTTAGGCGACGAGCTATACCTTGGGCCATTCGCGACGGAGCAGATTGAAGAACATAGTCCAGATAAAACTGACAGCCTGAGTTCGCCTCGCCAGCCGCACAATGGAGGCCTCAGCGACGTCCAGAGCTCGCGATCATTTCCCGGGGCGCTCCGTAAGTCGGCCACACTCCGTGCTCGCTGCGGGTCATGTGTTCCTTGGCTTCGTGTCCGCATTGTATCGCTCCGTAATCTCCGACTTCCAGTCCGGATTTTACATCAAGACCAAGTTGGCACTATTGGTATCGAGCCTGTGTTTCCGGAAGAGCCCATCAGCGCCTCGGAAATGTCGAGGGTCAGGAAAGGAATGGTCTTGACTGGCGCTGGCGAAGGCGGTGCACCCACACCAACGAGAGTATTTGATGTGTTCTTCAGGCATCAGGTCAGTGGAATGAGTATAGGAACAGTCGTCGTGGTCTACATTGCAAGTGTACGGGCTAGCGCCAAAGTCGTCGCCGTCTCCAAGTCTGCAGGATTGCGCGAAGACATCTCTAGACGGGGACTCGACGAAGAGGACAGTTTCGGCTTCGGCTTTGACCATGATGAGTCAGTGAGCGATGAAGCCAAAACTCAATCTACTATGATCTCGTTTCAGTTTCTAGCTTCGAGAGAATTCGTTGAACCTGGCGCGCAGGTGCTCGTTATGCCTGGCGGTGGTCCTGGTTTGACTAGCGGCACTGAGCGCGGAGAGAAAGGAGTTGCTGGACTCGAGGGGTTTGTGGGTAGAATATGCTAGTTACACGATTGACTGTAGGTTCGATGAGTTAGTTTTCGGATTCTCAACTGCTTAATATGAACGACCCTTGCAAGCTCTGCGGAGATAATCTCCGATCATACATAAAGTTCACCTAGAGCGCAGCACACACTTTCCAGCATGAGCTCAATTCGATGTTCTTGGCGAACCATGTCCAGGGTAGGCATTATGAGAGTTGCCACGTGTGTGGGATTCGGGATGAAAATAGCTCCATTTGTGTCACCTTTATACGCCGCAGTATGCCAGCCGGCACGAATCCAGAAGTTGCAGTGTGAGGATCCATCCCGAGGGGCGGAGAACCTGGCGCCCAGCCAATCAAGACCCAGCCCGGGACCCGGGATGTTGGGAGACCACCCGGCGGGATGTTACCCCTTACGGATCGGTCCGTGTATATATATACAAATATATATTTACTTCCCGGCCACAGCATTTCCAAGCACCTGCATCTGCACTCCCTAACTTCCCCCAAATATCCGCAGACGTGCCTGAAAACAAATCTCACCAGCTCACAATGACAGTCACAACCCGCGGCAGCGGCGACGGCGGCGCCTCGCGCACATACTCGACTCCGGACGAAGTGACCAGCAAGCTCGCGACGCTGCGGCGCACCTTCGCCAGCGGCCGCACCAAGAACCTCAAGTACCGCAAGTGGCAGCTCAAGCAGCTCTACTGGCTGATCGAAGACCACGAATTCGACATCACAAAGGCCCTCGCGGCAGACCTGGGCAAGCACGAGTTTGAGACGCTAGCGGGCGATATCGCGGGCTGCAAGTCGGACATCCTGCTGCATATTGCTAATCTTGAGGCCTGGACGGCGGACGAACGGCCTGCGGATGCGGGCTTTGTGTTCAGGCATGTGGGCAGCGCGGTGGTGCGCAAGGAGCCGCGAGGTGTGGTGCTTGTGATTGGGGCGTGGAATTTTCCGCTGCTGCTGGTTGTGCAGCCTCTTGTTGCGGCCGTGGCGGCCGGGTGTACGGTGCTGGTGAAGCCGTCGGAGATGGCGGCGCGGACAGAGGCGCTGCTGGCGGAGCTGCTGCCCAAGTATCTAGACCCGGAGGCGTATGCGGTTGTGACGGGGGGGCCGGCGGAGACAGGTTTTGTCCTTGCACAGCGGTTCGACCATATCTTCTTTACGGGCTCGGCCGGGGTAGCGAGGCATGTTGCGCTTGCGGCGGCGAAGAATCTGACGCCGACGGTGCTGGAGCTCGGAGGTCAGGGCCCGGCGATTGTGACGGCGAAGGCGGACGTGGATCTGGCGGCGAAACGGATTCTGGCGGCCAAGTTTATGAATGCCGGGCAGATCTGTCTGAGCGTGAACCATGTGTTTGTGGACCCGACGGTGCATACTGAGTTTGTGCGGCGGCTGAACTTCTGGGTGGGGGAGTTTAATGGTCAGGGCGACAAGCATTATGAGGAGATGACGAATATCATCAATGAGCGGAATTATGACCGGCTGAAGGGGGCGTATGATAAGTCGGCGGGCAAAAAGTTGACGAATGGGCGTGAGTTTGTGCGCGAGAATCTGCGCATTCCGCTTACCATTGTCGACGATGTCACGACTGACGACTCGCTCATGAAGGAGGAGCTTTTCGGGCCAATACTGCCTGTCATAAGGGCGACCTACCATGAAGCAGTCCGCGAGATGGCGAGACTACCACATGCACTCAGTCTGTACATCTTCAGCGAGTCGAGGCCGGAGATTGATTACAGTATGTGGCAACCCTCTTTTCCTCTACCCCGATCTGCCGTTTCGCTAATTACTTTATAGTCTTATCTCACACCCTCACTGGTGGTGTAACGATAAACGATTGCATGGTCCACGCTGGCACACCGGGCGTCCCCTTTGGCGGCGTCGGCGACTCCGGATCCGGCTCGTATCATGGCAAGTACGGCGTGGAAGCCTTCACGCACAAGCGTGCCGTTGTGCAGCTGCCCAACTGGCTAGACAAAGTCATGGGTTTCAGATACCCGCCGTACGATATGGAGAAGAATCGGAAGAGGGTGGAGAAGAAGAACACGCTGGGGTTCAAGAGAGGGGAGGGAATCGAAGACCAGGTTATCAAGATGCCAGGAGAAGGAGGGGGTTGGAAGAAGTATACGCTGGTATTGGCATTGTTCGCAATTGCCGTGGGCTCTTGGAGGAGTGGAATTGGGCCGGTGTGGCTGCAGGAGCTGGCTGGAAGAATTGTAGGAACAATGTCTGGAGTATTAGCGTCGAAGTGAAGAGCAAGGATAAGATAATGCAGTGTAGGATACCCGGACTGGATTTCCCTTGTTGTGACCTGCGTACAATACGAATAGCGTACTGAGATGGTAGCCGTTCACCCATTTCATTGAGTATACCTCCATAATCAACTACAAGAACGTGGTCTAACTTGTCTTTACCATTTCGTTTCCTTTCAGAAGATTCAGTGTTCTCGAATTGGTATACCAGTTTGTTCTCAGAGCCGTGATAGCCTAGGTCTAGAGTGGCCTCATACTCGTCGGGACCTAGACTGGCATCCATCTGATATCATAAGTCTACAGCTCATAGCATAGTAGTAGAAAGGGACACGCCTTCATAAGTGAATGAGCCCGTACCCCAGTCGAATTCATCTCACCTCGATACACTTCGAAACCTCAAGTCCATCCTCCTCGCCGGTCGGTTCCCAGCTCTCCTCCAATCTGCTCTCATAAACATGCTTCCTAATGCCCTCACCCTTTGCCGTTCCACGCACATACTCCAGATAGCCCGGCGCCCCAGGCAACACCACATTATCCGCCACAACCCACGTGCCCTTACGTACCAAGCCCAAATCCTCCGCACGTTGTAGATCACCCACATACGCCGGCTTGTAGTGATCGATAAAGAACATATCTGCCGTCTCGAGCTTGAAGTCCTCCCTCAACTCGCGAAGCCCATCCTCCGCCTTGCCCGTGACCACAGTGACAACATGGTCCAGCCCGGCCAGCTTGACCAACTCTCTGATGATGCCCGCGAACTTCTCACTCATCTCGAGACTGTAGTACCGTGGCTTGGCACCCTCCACTCCGTTCCAAGCATCTCTCAACGCACTCCCAAACAGCAGCGCAGAATACCCCGTGTACCCACCCATCTCCACAATCGTTTGCGGGCGCTCCTTTGCGATGAGATCGGTGACGACGGCGCCCTTGTACTGGCCAACAGTCATCATGAAGTCCTTGGTGCGGGCAAACTCGTCGATGACGGAGAGGATGATGTGTGGTTTGTTCTGGAAGGAGTCGGCGTGTGGGTGAGATTTGATGTACGAGACGAGCGCTTCTTCGCGGCCATCGTCGAACTGGGTTGAAGTCAGCGGTATATCGACATGCAGCAGGTGGAGTTGAGTACCCAGACTTCACCTTTCTTGATGTATGCAGTCTTTCGGTCGAACTCGGGGCGTCCCATGGTAGCTGGTGGAGAGGGCTATTGGAGACTGTTTTGTTGAGGAATAAAGCAAGACAAGAGAAACAGCCAGGTACTAAATAGATAGTCGTTTTATCTCAGGATGCCCTTGCTGTCCGATGGCTGATGCGTGCTCAGGTGATGGGTGGGGTCGACGCAAATGCAGGCTCTGGGGGGCTTCAAGGTTCAAGGCACCTTCAATCTATCTATGTGTTCTACGTAGCTAGGATTCCCGAGGTCTTTGTCGTTGTTTGAGCATCAAAGGGACGAGTCGAGTGTAGCAGCATCCAGATCTGGTAATGTATAAAACGAAAAAGAGTTGACCTGTAAGTTTCTATATGCATGTTACGTCATGCACGGGTCATCATGGATGACCCCTACGTTTCCGCTTCAGGGATCTGTGGCTTGTAATTCACTTTCAACCTTTCAATCTGACTGACTAATCATGAGATATCATAATATATTGTAGGCGTCAACATAAAAACTCATCCTTTGCCTAATGTTAGGCGCGCATATGTTTACTCCGCTCCATAATCACCCCTCGCAACCTCTCCACAACCTCCATGCCCAACCATTTCAACTGCTTTCCTTGCGGTGCATTCTGCGCCCAAGCAAACAAAGCCTTCACATTCTGCAAATCTGTCCGATTCCAGGACCTAGCCGCTGCATTCAGAACAAGGCGATCATCGAGAACCGTACCATGTGCCTCGGTATGCACACTACTATTGCCATCCGGCGGTAAGATCAAGCCGATATCAGCCTTCTCAAACTCCGCAAAGGCATGCAGGTCAAAGATCCAGCTCCACTTGAGCAACACCCCTGAATGGCTCCACATTTGTGATTCGTTCAGCGCTGCTAATGTCGAGCTGAAGACTGAGCTGTGTGATTCCTGTGCTGGCCGACGACGCACGCGGATAGTCTGGTTCTTTCTAAACGAAGACAGATGCTTTGAATTGTGCACAAAGTCAAGTGTGACCTGCCAGTAATCCATACTTACGGTACGTAGAGAGGCGATGCTATCCAGCTCGGGCAAAAGGCAAGGCGTCGAGTACTCTCGTTCTGTACCATTCTTCATGCGTGCAACGACCGGAAGAGTGATAAGCCTGTGAGTGTCGACGTCGCGCACAACAACACAACGAGGTTCGGCGGCTAGGACCCAGAAGTGGCGGAAGGCCTGGAGATGGGCCTTGTTGTCCAGCACATCCACAGGGAAGAGCGGGTAGAATGCGCAGATGAGCGAGGCGATGGCGAGGTTTGACGTGCCAAAGGTATATGTTCCGCCTGCCATGAAGAGGGCACCAAGTGCGAAATGCGCTGCAAGATGAGACCCATACGGAGTGTCTGGGCCAACGCGACCGTGAAGAGCTCGCAGTCGCCGGAAAACCTCCAAGTCTCCTGTTCCTGCCATCACCGTCGCCACCGACAAAGCTACTAAGTCTTGACAGTTGCGCACCGTGTTTCTGGCCAGTTTGGCGTCGTAGCGGAGAGCAGGAAGTCGACAAATACGTATAAATTGGTCAAGGTACCTAAGTAGAAAGTCCCGCGCCACAACGTCACCAGTTCCGGCATGCTTGAGACCAACTGCCCACAATAGCCCAGCTACAATATTGTAGAATGGCATGTGCTCACTTCGGAGCTTTTTGATCGTTCGAAGACTGTACTGTGACTGGTACTCGTGAGGTAGGTTCTTCACTACCCAGCGCTGCTCAGGTTGTATCTGCCTCCACATAATCACATGTTTGGCCAGTGTCCGAAGAAGAAAGATATCAGGTCGTACGTAGTCAAATTGAGGAATAGTGTCCGGAATATCGACCTTTCGCGCGACCGCTTCGTTCTCGGTTTTCATGAAGATGAGAGCCACTGCAATGGTTCCGCCAGCAGTTGCTTGATCTAGTACGTGGATCACATCAACAGGCTTGGTACTCACAGCGACAGCCATGAGACGCTCCACTATTCGCATGTCGTGAAGACCATGCATATCATTTCCATGTCCAAGATTTATCAGGCCCAGCGCGAAGCCAGCAGCGAGTCTGTAGCCCTCGTCACGGAGTGTGTCCGGAGGCTCAGACGGATCTGTGACCTCAAAATGCTCTATCTCTGAGAGCATAATCTCACTCATGCGTCGATGCTGGGTATTATAGTATAGAAGGCCGATCCCCATCAATCCTGTAGTTTGGGTAAAAGGCGATAGGTTGAGTTCTGCTGCACCCGGTGGTAGCATTCTTGTAACGTGGACCGATAACAATCGTGTTACAAGTGCATCCATCGTCCCTATGAACGAAGCAGCAAGGCCTAGTAATAGTCCAACCGTGGTCATAGCATGTTTCGGCGTCAGATACTTGAATGAGAGCCATTTGGCAAGGTTTCGGAGATGACCGTTGAGACCCAAGCCGAGTAAGAGGCCGGCGTGCTTGTTGGTCAACTCCGATGGTTTGTTGAAAACGATCCATGACGTGTCAATACCTTTGGCCTCTTTGGAAATTGTCAAACCTGCGAAGACTCCCGCATGAAAGAATGCCCACCCGAACTTTTCTTCCGTAAAAGTAGACCGATCCGCCGTAACTATGTTGTTCATCGGTTTCATCAAGCACGAAGTTGTGAAGCCATGTAAGGGGTATTTCTCCGTCAGAAGTGGTTTCCGAAGATTGTAGCTAATCATGGCGTTCCCCGGTGGTAAAGCAAATGTTCGCAACATGACCCATTGCATGACGCCTTTCTGGGCATCAAGGTATTCAGATTCAGACCAACCTGGTTCTGGAATACACTCAGCAACAGTTTGTTTCAGAGGTTCGAGAAGTTTGGCAGCTTCTGCCAACCGACGATCCTCACGGAATATCAGTCTAGAGACATGACTTCTTTCGTGTTCAGGAGAGCTGTGAGCCGTTACATGTTGCTCAGCATGGTGGCATATTGTATGATAGTCTTTGGACGATTCCTATAAAGATCAGCAGGTATTCCGACATCTTCAGCGATGCAGGGCTTACTGGAATCGGTGGCTGGCTGTGCTTCCATTCGCGTTCGATTGTGGCGATACTTCCAAGATCATCCCTGCCGATCAAATGAAGGAGAGAGTTGGACCACGTTGTTGGCGGAGCTGATTGACACGATACTATCGCCTCCCTCAAAGGTGCGACTGCACACTCGGGCAAAGTTTCAAGCATTTTAGTATCGATACCATTACGCATCAAAAGCTCGACCCGCTCCGTAGAGTCGTTTGCGCGCTCTGCGTGCGCGTTGCGGAAGAATCCAGACAAGGCGTGAGTTCGAGGCGTTATTTTGGCAATACTAGTTTGTGTGAATTCCCAGGGATCCTCCTCCGGAATATCGTCAACAAGCTTATCGAGTAGGGGAAACGGCACAAAACTCTGCATAGAGGATACCTTCTCGATCCATGACAATATGGACGGAGGAGACTCCCAAGGCGAACATGGTATGCCAACTAAATTGAGGTTTGCTTGAAGTCGTTAGTTTAAACTAGCACCACACACACTGATTCCTCCGCGGGTGTAGACAGGGAATCGTTGGACTCACAAGTTTCGAAATACCAGTCCGCAAGCACGATCTCGTCCAAGCCATAGTAACTATCATCATCAACTCCCCACCTGTCCCAACCAAGCCAATGGCCTATTTGCGCAATAACAGCTGTCAGATACTTTGGACCGGAATGAGACTCACGGTCCGCAACTTTGTTCAATTTCTGCTCCTCGCAAAGCAAATGCAAAGCAACAAACAGTCTGGGCAAGTATACACTACGTATGTCTCGGTCTCTATCAACTGACATGTCTCTCCACAGTTCATTAGCCTGTTTACCGAGTGGAGAATCATTGAATTCTCTTGCGATTTGTATGCTCGTAGGGATGTAGTTTCGAAACGCTTGCTGCTTGTTCGAATCATCTTGTGGAGGAGACAGACGATCTGTCCATCCCCAGCACGCCTCGACTACTGGATCTGATTCGTTCGACTTTGTTTCGACAAAAATCATTGTATCCCAGGAAAGCTCTGAAGTTCCGTCTTTGGCTCCAGTACGTGGCACTGCGTGTTGATCGTTATCGTTGCGGTCCGATCCACTTTTTGTGCCTCGATGTTCGACAAATACCAGTGGTATACTGAATAGCGCGGCAGCCAGCGCTATCCAATGTACATCGCCTGCTTTACGCTTGCGGGCGGACTGAGCTGCGCTCCACCAGATCGACAGAATGAGATCCGCTCCATGCTCGGGTAGAACAAACCGTAGCAAGTCGATAATAGTATTGAGCAGTTGGTCGTGAGGTGTAAGTTCTACGCTTAATCTATGGTGCACTCCCTCGGCATCTACAATATTAAAGCGACCATCGGACGCAGAATGAGAGAACCCATGGATAGCATTTGGTATGCTCAGCGTCCTTTTGAGCCCAGCAGTCTTTCTTGTTGAAGGTGACGAGCCGTGAATATCGTAGGGATGGAATAGTCGTAGATGACTTAGGGGTAGCAACACTGGCAGATGACGCATCCCACTGGGGTATAGAGAAAGGCTGATCCCCCCGTCCGAGCTTGTTCCTAGACTGATAAGGCGGGATACAGGGCCATCTACGACCTTCACCAAATCCAGAGGGCCCTCAACGATCCTGTCGGCTATTTTGACAGGCTGCATAGCGTATAGTGGCTTCTCCGAGCGCTCAGGTTTCACTTGCTGGGGGTCATGTCGTCTCTTGCGAGGTTGTATGGCCAGCTGGACCTCAGCATAAGTGTTGTCAGAAGACCTCTTGACATAAACGAAGAGATCTTGCCTGACTTCACCGTTTATGGCTCTTGTGCAAGGAGGTACCAAGACCGAAACCTTAGGTAGATTCTATGACCATCAGCAAACCCATTTACTAAAAGAAGTCAAGAGAAGAGATAGGCTTAGACTGACTTTGTCATCATTGGAAGACAATGAGCTACTGAAGATTGGCGCAGTCCCGCCGAAGGGAACTTCAGCAACTCTCATCAAGACGACTTCTCTGCGAAGGCCTTTCATTGGCTGCTCCAACTCAAGGTGTTCAGAGGAGTCCTCCTCCCAGTAGTCGTCGAGGATTTCATCATCTGTATCAGGGCCAGTTTCTGCAATGCTGAGCCTAGCAATGCTCCCAGGAGTAGATGCGCGGAGCTGCCTTTGTGATGCACCAAAGCTCATCCGATCCGCAGGGCCCCCAAAGGAGGGACCACGCTTCTGTCCAGCACCAAAGCTTGCATGTGCCGCAAGGTCTTGGAAAGGAGTGTGATCGAAGCTTGTCCCGACGTCCCCCCGGGAAAGTAAAGAGCTGACACGCCGCGAGTCTTTGGGCGGCTGCTGTGACAGACTGTAATCGGGATCTAACTGAGATGCAAAGGCTGCTTCTGCCTCCTTCTTGCTCGTTATTTCTGCTCTCGGTACCATAGCATGCTTCTGTGACCTTGTAAGTGGCTTCGAGGGGTCCTGTGCACCAGATTCTGTCCGTATGGCGTCCCTTGTTCGTACACCGGGTGTTGTCGTCCCGGTGCCAGTACCTGGACCGTACGAGCTTCGTCGCCGTGTCTTTTTGGCGGATAAGGACGATGTTCTTCGCTTCTTCCTCCCCGAGATGGAGGTTGCGGCAGAGTAAGATGCATTCCATATTGTAAAGGTTCTGCTCTGAATATTAGAAGTGACCACTAGGATCAATGGAAGGTGTTGGGTAGTTGTGTGGGCCAGTTCATCGTCTTGAGATACGTAAATGACTTCCTCTGCACGATCGATAGGATCCAGACGTCTATTGCCGGTGGAAGACTGCGATGTGTTGAAATGGGCGCTCGAATTTGTGCCCACAACGAGTCCCAGTTCAGACAATGGATCGGTAAATGAGAACAATCGCGGGACGGTGTCGACCACTGGAGTTTCTGCACTTTTCAGAATATCTTCGAGGAGTCTACCATTGGCTGCGTTTCGACTAATTCGACGACCTTTCTTGGTGGCAACGAAGGATTGCCCAATCGAGGTCGACAGTCTGAAAGTCGGTTGACTGAACAGTTGAGATGATACAAAGGTAGTATTCGGCGCTAAAGGCAAAGATGGCGTTGTAACAACGCCTTTCTCGGGGGGTAGGCGTCTCTGTAGTAGGAGGCCATAAGGAGTTGCATGCACCTTTTCGACTTCGAACGGCAAGTTCACGACATGGGTCGAGCCTCGGAGGAAGAAAAGATGGGCTTGAAACTTCAAAAAAACAACCAGAGCACGAGAGCGAGTTTCTGGCAGTGTTTCTCGATGGTGGTTGGTTGCCTGGTCATGACTACCGTATATCGTGCTGGATGTACAGTTTGTGTGGGTCGCATGTCTCCCTGGCCTTGAAAGTCTTTCCTCTTGCTCCTCTTTTCCTGGTATATTCGATGGCTCACTACTCACGAAAGCAGCATCATCAGTGGCGAACCAAGTCAAGACCGACTGAACGACTTTTTGCTTCTCAATCTCAAAGTCGAAGGTCTTTTGTACTACCCCTCCCTGAGACCATACGACACGATAGTCTGTCCATACTAGCTCTTCGGTTACCCAGTGGTCCCCTGACTGATAGGTGTATGTCTCCCACTGGTAGTCTTTCTGCGAGGCATCTTCGTTAAGGATCGATTCGCCGACTAGGTAGGGGAGAGCTGAAGGAGTGTGAGCTCCTAGCGACCGAAGTGAGGCCATGTAATATGTCGCATAGTCCAAGCCATGGAAAAGATCAGCGAGCCTTGAAGAGAATCAGATCGAATTGGAAGTGCGCAACCGAGAAAAATGTGGTTCTATTGCTTTGTTGTATTAATTATAATTAGTTATAGAAGTTATAGTGGGGTCCGGGCGACGCGATCGTAACGTCCGATTTTGGACGCGTCGCGCTGTAGAGTAACTTCAGCTTCAACAAAAACCTATCATCAACACTGTCGCTCTGATATCCCAGTAACTGTACCACCACTTTCAACTTGATATTACCGCTCTTCAATGAAGCCCACGGTCTTCAAGAAAGGCAAGACTGCACTGTTGAGGTCTGTCCAACCCATAGCGGAGGTGCTGATCTTCTCCGCACGCTAATCCTGTCACCAGCTACGAGCTTCCACATCGCGTCCACACGGCTCAGATATATCCCAAGAAGGCGCCGAATGGGTCGACCATCATAATCTATGGCCATACTTCTGGTGTACGGATATTGTGGAGAGGTGGTCGACGGCTGAAGCAATCGAGTGAGACGTCAAAGACGAACCAGAGGCAGGCAAAGACCAATGGCACACAAGGCGACGCTATTGCGGTGGAAAATGACATAGTCGACGACAACAATCGAGTCGCAGAAGCTCGACGGCTGGAGGCATTCGAAGATGCGGAATTTGAATCAGATGAAGAGGAGCTCGACGCCCAAAGCCCAGTTCCATCCATAATACAGCACGTGGACCTCGCCATTCCCTCAGAGGTCCTTCATATAGCCATCCCCGGGCTCCCATCCGCAGGAACTAGTGTCACCAAGGATCAAGTACCACAGATACTTCATGATCGGGTCGTCTTCACTGTGGCATCTGTAGACAGCAGTATTCGTGTAATTTCACTTCCCATCTCTCCACCCTCCAATGCGAGAAAGGCTGCCGCAAAATCAAGCAAGACCGCCTCAAAATGGGGCGAGGAGATGGCTGTGATACACGGCCAATATGGCCATGCACAGATACCTGGTGGTGTAGCAATGACGTGGACACCACGGCATTCTTTGCTTGGAGGCTCTCGGTCGGACGTTGACATGCTCGACATCGATGAAGCTATAGCTCCTAGGTCTGCTAGACAAAAGGTGGAATGGGATCTCATCATCGCCTCGCACTCTGCCGACGTTTCCGGCATTCTGCAGATATTTCGCCTTCCGTTGGCCTCGGGCCAGGGGAAACGCGTCTTGCCAGAAAGCGCGCCTCCAATATTTCCCTGCCAAACGAGGTATCTGCCCAGTCCAGCTGTATGCGTTGCTTTCAGTCCAAACACATTTCCGGCAACACGACACATGCAACTGCTTGTCGCAGACAGCAAAGGATGCATCAAGGTCTACGATCCATTCAGAACGCCGCTGGATAGCAAGCGCGTAGTACGAGCAGAAGAATTACTCACGCCAGAGCAGTCCATAAGCCGCCTTGGCGAATGGGTTGCCTCATTTAATACTGGATTTGAAGTACCTAAGACGGGCAGTATTAACGCACCGGCTACTGCACAGCGAAAGCGAATACTTGATGCAAAATGGGCAACAGGAGGACGTAGTATAATCACCCTACTGGCAGATGGCGAATGGGGTGTCTGGGATATCGATCATACTGGCTCGAATGCTTCTCGCACCTCCGCGACAAAACGAGTTGACAACACCACTTTCGCCATCGGCGGCTTCTTAGTGGCAGTATCTGGATCAGAAGTTGTAGCTGGTAGTCAGAAGCCACGCAGTTCTCGTGCTTTGGCTCCCATGACACCGAATACGCGGCGGACACGAGAAGAGAATCTGTTCCAAGACCACTCTATTCCTATAGGTCCTGTCGCGCGAGGTGGCATTTCGGTGGCAAGCCTTGTGTCTGCCAGTGGTGGCGTACCTGAAGATTCGGTTGTCATTCGTTATGGAACATACGTATGTCGTATTTCCAACCTCGCACAATTCTGGGCTCGTAGTGCTAGTGGCTCATCAGGTTCCCTCCATGGGCCTGGGCTCAGCCGCGTTGAAGGCATCGACACGCGTGGTGAATACATCAATGGCATACAACAGTTCGACGTTCCAGCGGCGAAGGCTAGACCAGCAAGTCCACGGGACTTACTGGTCGTCGCGGAACATCGCTTGCTCATTTTGACCGAGAACACGAATACTCACGAACGAGGACGAATACTCTTTGCGCGAGAGGCAGAGCATGACGAAATAATAGTACAGGAAGAGATGGATATCGATCAGAAGCTCCTCGAGGGAGGCCAATTGAACCTCGATGGCATTGACAACATGCTTGACGGGATGGCCTCTGGCGCCACCACCGCACCGACTGGTCGCAGAGTAGGCTTCGCGACATAGTCTTGTAGTAAGTAAGAAGGGCCCTGTATGTCTACATGGTTGGAAAATGTTGTCTCTAAGAGCTCGTATAATATACCCCTTATACTTCAGGGCGGATCTTGTCCGTGCATAGCAAGCAGCAACGTATTACGGTCTATCGGCATGGTCGCAACGCGTGCTGGCTAGATGTTGTCTCTTTCTCTCTGGTAGTTTTCACTTTTTTCGTATGCACTCGCGGGGCCAAGGTGGAGTACAAGACAAGCCCATTTCTTGAAGCTCAGTATACCACGCGAGAGATGAAGCGTCCACACTCTGCTGCCTGTCGCCGACGACAGACATGGTAACATGTCTTGTCTGGATAGCTAGGCGAGGGTGTGACGAGCAGTATCTCCGGCTTGTGCTTGAGCGCTCTTCTCGGATCGAGAGGGCGTGAGGATGGCACGGGTCATGCTGACCAGCCAATCAGTGCTGGGTAGCAGGAGTGGCACTGCGACATGCCAACAACGTCATGATGGGCGATCCGTTTGTCCATAGTTACATGGGAAAGCTTGGCGCCCGATGCACGTCTGTGCCACCAACACGCGTTTTTATATGTAATTAATATTTTACGGCATCGTCGACGAATACTCATATACCTATTAAAATACCTATTATATATTAGTATTATATGATATTAGCCATATATTAGTATTTTTTTAACTATTTTACACTATCTATTATATCTCCTAAGTAGCGTAAAGGTATTTAATTCGGATAGAATAACTTAATAGAACCTCTACTACCACCTTCTAGACTATAGCTATATATATCTACGTCGAAGGCGCTCTAGTATAGTATAGATAAGGTATTAAGGGCTACGAAGATAGCGGTAAGGCATAAAAATATACCGCTAGTACTCTCTAACGTACCCTTATTAAGTAATCCTCTAGCCTTACTAGGTAATATACCTAATAATACTAATAACTCTACTTTAGTTTATAGAGATATAGTTAAGGAGGAGGAGAAGAAGAATCTATAGGATAATAACGCGGCTCTTAATAAGATAATATAGTCTATCTATATAAATTAGTAACTTAGAGTAGATGGTTTTAGAAAGATTATTAAGGCTATATTACTAAAGATAGAAGCCTAGTATAAGTTTAAGAAGGAGTTATATAAGGAGGAGATTTAGTAGTTAATTAATAAGGCTCTTAGTACTAATAACTAGCTATTTAAGACTTAAGGCTTTACTATAAAGCTCGGAATATCTAGTCGTACTAGAAAATAGTTAATACTTCTAGACTAGAGTCTAGATAACTAGAATAAGCTTCTTACCTTCCTTAATAAGATCTATAGCCTAGTAAGAAAGGATCTACTAGAGGCTATATTCCTTACCTTTAAGAATACTATTATCTATAAGTCTTATTAGCTACTAGGACGTAAGAAGGCTATAGTATCTAATCCGAAGTCTCCTACGCTATTACTACTTACTAGTATAGTTTCTACTAGTCTAGTATCGTTATCTATAGATCCAAACCTTAAGGGACGCTTAAAATAGCTATTTAAATTATAGGAGAAGCGAAGATAGCGAGGCCGTGACCGAGAAGTCATTATTAATAATATTTAGAGTAAGCTCTAGTATAGTAAGGCGACGTATATAAACTACTAAGGTTAGTACTATAAGATTATATTATCTAATAGAATACTCTACTTATTAGGACGGGAACTATAACGGACCTATATAGACCATTCTAATCCATGTAGCCACGTAGTGGCTAGAGCTAGGTTGAGTTAGCTAAGTTAAGCGAGGTTACTATATAAGTAGACCGCATAAACCGATTCCTACTCGTTAGGAATTAACCTCGTATAAGAGTAAGATTACTCTATAAATACATTCCTATATCTCTCTATAAACTATTAGACTACTATCCTACGTCTTTACTCTTTATATTTTAATTCCTCTCTATATAGTACGATAGTAGCTTATAGAGATAGCTCCTACTACGCGCTATAATACCCGTAGTACTACCTTACACGAGAGACTCTCTCTAAATCTAAATGAAGAGAATAGTCTCCCTACGACCACCTCTACTAATAAGTATACCCTATAGACTATCATACTAATAACTAGTACGGTATTCTATATAACCGTAGAAGATTACCTAGATAATAAGGAAGGAGTCCATTATACTCTATCGCGGTCTAGTTTATACTATACTAGACCCATCCTTACTATAAGACCAGACCCTATTAACGTTAATAAATTAATTCGTTAGAACTAACTAACGTTAACCACGCCTTATAACGACGTATATACTAAGCTATACACGGAGAGGTAGTATTAGGCTTAGCTTAAGTAATAACTTTATAAACTTAATAAAGCGTGAGGACGAACCGCTAGACTTAAAGCCGCACTACGCGCTTTAGTACTAGTAGTAACTAATCTATACTAATATGGATTAACTTAAGCCGAAATAGTCTAACTAAGTCTATTACTATCCTAGTTACCTTAGTCTAAGAAACTACCTTACTTTAACGGTAAAACTAGGAGGAGCTTTTATAAATAGGCTTACTAGTATAGCCGATTCTTCCACCTATTCACGAACGATAGTAATAAGATTAGGTTTATATAGAACTACCTAGACCTAACACCATCTAAACGTTAGATGGTACATCGAATTAAACACCCTAAGGATACGTATAACTAGGACACGTTCACTGAATTCCTTCTTTAATACTTCGGCGATAGAGCCGAGCGACGCGAATAGGCTTAGAGCTATATCTTTAAGACTTAATAGCGAGAGAGATAATCCCCGTTATAACTTCTCGAATACCTCCGACCTCTTTAGAGAGAAGCTAAGGAAGATTATATAGTTTAATAATACGACGACTTTAAAAGGTCCCTTAACCTAAGCGTAAAGAAATATATTAACCTTATAACGTCTATCCCTACTAACCTTTAGGTACTCGCGAATCTCGTAGAATAATATTAGCGTATAATGAATAACTAACGTCGTATAGGCGCACGACTATCCCTATTAATCTAATCCGATATAAAATCATCTAAAGAGGACCGGTTTAGTAATAGATCGCGCGGAATACCTCGTGGGCGCTACTACTCTACGAACTCGAGAAGACGAGGCCCGTACCGCGGATCTTTCTACTAGTCGATATATTAAGACGCGAGAAACGACTCGTATAAACGACCTAAAGTTACCTACTATACCTATAGTAGGATAGGCCATATAGCACCTAAGTACCGCTTAGGGAAACCACTAAATACTAATATAGATACTAAGTTAGTTATATACTATAAGTATTAGTAGCCGGGATACATCGCGCCTAACTACCCGGTATATAATATAAAAAACTAACTGCCTATAAGGAACCCTCGCGACTTATAGGTATAACTAAAATAGAGAGATAACTAGCTAACTAGTATATTAAACTATAGACTAGGCCCATCAAGGTCTCTTATAGATAATATTAGACCGTAATGCTCGATAGCGGTTTAGCTACTAACGTTATATCGACTTAACAAGCACGAGAACTTAACGTCGATATTTAAGCACTAATAGATGCTACCTTCTATAGTATTAATGGTCCTATTAAATCGTAGGGTATCTATACTATTAAATATAGTATCTAGGATAGCGGGGGGAAGTGGAAACCCTACTACTTAACCTTTATCGTGGTAGATAGTCCCTTTAATATGATTCTCGGTATACCGTAGCTCGAAAAATATAACCCGAAACTAGACTTCATCTAGAAAACAGCTAGCTAGCGCATGTACCTACTATAATAGAACCTAGTATAGCTAGTCGACGACGAATAATTCTAGAAGGACTACAAAAAGATAATCTCCGCTATCTACGTTCTCTTACTTACTTAAAATAGAGAGCTTAGTATTAAAGTAGACGAAAACCTACTATATTAGTATAAAATATACTAATATATCGCGTTAGTAATCGACTCGTCCGAATTACCTTAATACTAACCTACTAACCTTACTATTAACCTTAAAGACGGTTAATAACCCCTATATAGACCCATCTACCCTCTATTAGAACCCGAGCTATAGGTCCTCCGAGAATATATCGAAAAGAACCTTACGCGAGAATAGATTAGGCCTAGTATATCCCTAGCCGGAGCTCTAATCCTCTTTATAAAGAAGAAGGATAGGAGTCTCCGTCTATGTATTGACTACTATAGCCTAAATAATATTATGTGAAAGAATTGTTACCTACTACCTCTTATCTCCGAGTCTATTAATAGACTAGGGTGTGTGAAGATCTTTACTAAGCTCGATCTACGTAACGCCTACTACCGCCTATATATTAAGAAGGGCGATAAGTAGAAAACGGCGTTTAGGACCCGTTATAGACACTTCGAGTATATAGTAGTCCCTTTTAGACTAACTAACGCGCTAGGAACCTTCTAAGCGTACATTAATAACGCGCTAGTAGGCCTACTTGATACGATGTGCATCGTATACCTTAATGACATCCTTATCTTCTCTAATAACGAAGAAGAACACATCTAGTACGTACGCGTAGTCCTAGATAGGCTAGAAAAACATAAGCTATATATTAAGCTATCTAAATATAAGTTCTACTAGAACCACGTTAACTTCCTTAGCTTCGTTATTACTAATTAAGGTATAACTATAGAAAGGGATAGGGTCGCTACTATCGTGGACTAGCCTAAACTAAAATTAGTTCGAGACATACGTGTCTTTATTAGATTTACTAATTACTACCGAAAATTCGTTAAGCATTTCTCCCGGCTAGTAGCACCGCTTAACACGTGTACTACTACTATAGATTTATCTATTACGGTCCATGGTAGATAGAAATAGCGTAATATTAAATCGCAGCCTATAGAATTATTAGAAGGCGAAAGGGCCTCCTTCGAGAAAATCAAAGAGGCATTTATAACTACCCTATTACTAGTGTACTTCGACCTAACTAAATCTATCCATGTTAAAACCGACGCGTTAGGATTTATAATCTTAGGTATTCTCTTCTAGCCTAGACTAACTAAGTCTAAAAAGGTCTAATAGTATCTAGTTACGTTCTTCTTACGCAAAATAGTTAATATTAAGACTAGATATACTATCTATAACTAAGAGCTACTAGTAATAGTAGAGTCATTTAAATAGTAGTGATATTATCTTAAAGGTACTATATATAACGTCGAGTTACTAACTAATTACTATAACTTAAAGGGGTTTATAAGCACGATAGTTTTAAAC